GGGGGGGGGGAAGGAAATGCTTTCGCGATCCGATCAACAAGAGGCAGATCATCGCGAACGGCGCATCACTCGTTTTCCACAAACTCAGTGTGTCCAGTCTGCTTGGCATGCTCCGTAGCCTGCCTTTGGCCCTGCAGTGGTGTCTGGCACCGATTGCACTTCAGAGCAAATGTCGATGTATCGGTGTAGCTGATCGCCAATCGCCAGAGCGATGCTCTGTGTCAGCATCATCCAGCCCTCGACACGCTGGCATCCTAGCTTCAAGCCTACTTACTAGTGCCTTTTCTTCAGAACAGAGACGAGATCTTGCACCGCTTCGAGAACGACATCTTCGACGCCCACTGGTGGCACTGGGAATCTCAAAGTGCCAAATTCCAAGGGGGCATCCGGAGTGGGCAGTAGCGCTATAGCATCGTAATGGCTAGTGGCGATGGACAAAAGGCTTTAGACCGATTGGCGACGCGAAGCCTGACTCCGCACCGGCTCAGCGCGCCGTGCATGACCGTCTGTACTCACATGCCGCTGTACAACAACCACGCTCGCTCTTCGAAGCCCATGCCTTCTCCGAATCGGTGCACAACTCCACTCGCTACATCAGCAGCGTGCAGCTCGGTCTGAAAATGCTTTGATAGGATGGAAAGCTCCACGGCACCTCCCCACGTCTTTGGATCTAGCATCTTGGCAGCGTATACCGCTGGGTCGTGTCCCAAGATCACCTCTGGATATTCGTCCGGGGAAGACAGGACGACAGAGCTCACGACTGCAGATGGGGTAGAGCTCTTGCACTTTCAGCGAGCTGCCCAAATGATTGACCTATATGCGTCTAGGCCTTGTGGGACAGCGCAACGCTCCACGCGCGACTCACTCTGCCGAAGCTCTTTACAGACAGCAGCTCCAATGGTGCCCTTCACCAGCATGCTGACAGCATTGAACAGACAGCTATTGTCATCGTCCACAACTTTAAGCGTCAAAGCTTGTCCATCGAGCGGGACGTGAACCTCCCCATCAGCTACCTTGGCGCTCTTCTTTGCTGTCGGCGAACCGGTGTATGCCGATGATGAGAGCGGTGCCCGACTTGATTCCGCGCGTGGCGTCGTTGCCCCGCCAAATCTGGCAGAACTGGCCGGCGGCTTTGGCTTCAAGGCGGGTGGCGCTGCGGATGCTGGATTGCCGAAGGCTTGTGGCAAGGGCGTCGAAGGTGCAGCAGTGAACGATCTATCTGCGATAGGAGCCGCTGCGGCGGCGCTCTGGCTCGAGCTAGCCGACGACGTAGTGTCTGGGATCGTGTGGGCACTTCGGTTGGGCGTGGATGAGGTTGCAGGCTTGTACGACACTGTGAGCTGACTTCCGGCCGTCAAAGCAATGTCAGCATGGCTAAGCAGTGTGCCGGGTGAAAGGGTGGAAACGCTAAGCGGGCGTGGGGGATATCCAGTCCGGACTAGACGGCGAAGGAGTGTAGGCTGTACTTTTGTCAGGCAAACGCTGAAACGAGAGGAAGCGCGCAGATGGTGCACCTCACTCACGCTCTTGATCCCAAGCTGGGATTCCACAGCTTTCACTGATGCTTTTTTGCAAGTCTTGCAATGTTTTGACCTGTGCCAAGTGCAGTGTGGAGGTGCCTTGAGGATGCCTGGTGCAGCATCAACCAATGTTCGATCTCAGCGCTGGTTTCCCACACAAGCCAGACGGATTACCTACCTAATGCGTATCATGATGATGTGCAGACTAGGATGAGGCGTGCTTGCACTTTTTTTGAAACAAAGCGCTGGGTTGGATAGAGGCAAGGTGGAAGTGATTGACCAGCACTTTGCAAGTTGGATCGCGTGAGGTGGAGAAGTGGGGAGAAACATTCACGAGTCGTGAACGAGCGGCGCCGCGCGTCGCATGCGTGATGCAAATCCGCGCGAGTAGAATTTCACGTGATTGAGTAAGCGCTACGGAACAACAGTCAAGAGTCAAGTGCAACTCCGCGGAGCTGGACGATTTGACTCTGGCCGCCCGTGCTGCAGGCAGGCGCCTTGATCACGTTCAGACAAGGCAGCATGCAGCATCGCTCAATCATCCTTGGGCGCGTGGCTCGCGAGAACTCACGATTCGCAACTTGAGATCTCAGGTCAAGCGCATGCTCTAGCTCCAACGTCAGACCGAAACACGTGCCACACTCATCAGACCTTTGTGTATACTTTTGACTCCTCTACACGACAACAAACACGACTGTGGCAATCCTCAGTATCGCTTCTCTCCAGCGCGCACATCTGGAGCTCAACAGAGAGAGCGCGCACACCACTCGATCTCGCCATCAAGCCCGTACCGTCTAATATCTCATCCAGGCAGCCAAGCACAATTCGGATACGCCGAGATGGCTTCTGAAGCAGGTGACGTCGTACCATCGACGCCCATATCGGGTGCTATTCCAGCTCCGCAACCATCCGTAGCCTCCATCGTGCAGCCTCCAGCGGCTCCAACGGACGCAGCATCGCGTTTCAGAGGCGCATCCGTGGAGGATCTTCAACTTTCGCCAGCCGTTTGCGTCGATCTTCGAACGCCTTTGGGATCCGCACTTCGCATCGCTCACGATCACGATTATTCTCAACTTCCGGTGATGGATGGACGTAAACCTAAGGGATACTTGGATGTGAAGGAAGCTGTGCATCGGACGGGGACTGGTAAACTCAGCGCAGAAAGAAATGTATCGGAGGCTATGACGAGGTTCAGAGGAGAAAGCGCCGGAGGTACCTTTACCGTCATCACCCCCGACACTGGCTTGGCCGAGCTTGAAGGTGAGCCATGCGAGATGAGATGCGGGGTGCCAGCTGAAGAAGAGCGTCAGGTGGATGATGATCATGCTGCTGTTCCGTGAGACGCATGTATGCTCACCCACCACTTCACTTCTACGCACGCGCGCCCTGCTTTTCAGCTTTCCTCGACTCGAACCCTTTTGCGTTTGTGACAGACGTGGATCGTCAATTCGTCATCGGCATCGCCACGTCGGAAGATCTTTCGCGCTACATTGCTCGCAGAGGCCTGACGCCGGCTCCTTCGCGAGCTGCAGGGGACAAGTCGAATGCAGATGCGTCGATGGACGTTGATGGCAATCAGACGCCCACGGGTGATCAGACGAGTACAAGGGAAGGCGACACCGTGTCTGTGAAGGGTGCACAGGCCAGCGCAAGTCAAGAACAACCTCTTTCGAGGAGGGCAGAGGAGGAGAGGAGAAAAGATAGGACTTTGGGAGAGTTCTTGGGTATGCTCGACGGCTATGATCCACTGGTGAGCGTGTTTGTCAATCGGTTGAAGGCATCTCAAGAAGCGCCTGTCTTGACTGAACTCGCTTGCACCCTAGATCCCGGATGAGGTCACGGAGCACTACTTGTCCAAAGTAGGCTTCGAATGCGACGATCAGCGCCTGTAAGTCGGCCAAGCGCGCTTCCGTATAGCTAGACAATGCGCTGGGCTGACCCATTCTTTGCGCTCGTCCTCTCAGCAAACGCTTGCTGTCCCTAGCAGCCGAGAAGTTTGTCTCAGACATTGCGACGGATGCTTTTCAGTACGCTCGAATTCGCACCAATGCGGGTCCAGGACGTCAGCGAGCTGGCGCGAGCGGCGCAAGGGTGAGCCAATGCACTTCTCGTCGCGCTGTGCGGGGATACGTTGGGGCTGATATACACTTGCTTCGTTCTGCAACTGCATACGAAGGATCGAGCCCGTACTGTGCTGACCATGGACGATCTGAGCGCTGCTCTAGGAGAATACGGCATCAACGCTGGACGCTCCTTCTATCATTAGGCACCTTCCGGATGAGGCTCAACAAAGAAAATCTGCCAGTGTACCTCGAGACTCGAGGAGACGACCGTCGTTTGTCTTGCACGACATCACATGGCCTACACTCATTTCAGTAAACTCTCGCGAGCACCGCGACCTGCTTCCCCATTGTACAGCGATCTAGGCACCGCTTGCTCAACCTCAAGTTTGTGCTGTCCTTGTTGGTGTAGCCTAGAATAGCGCCAAAGGAGACCAGGGTCGATCACCACCCAAACGTCGCCATCAGACTTGATCGTGAGCGAATCACGAAACATCGCTGGCCATGCTCGTTGAAAGTGCGTTGCGAGGCACATCATGTACCGCCGACTGAGCAGGATAGATTCTGATACGAGTTTGAGGGCATGCGTGCGTGGACATGTTGTGTGACTGTCAGAGCAGCCCTCGCTCGACGAAAGAATGTTCTAGGGCGTGAGCTGGTGCGTCGACCGGACTTAGTAACGCGTCTCACCTCAGAGGGCGGACGTACGCGTGGAGGGACAACCAGCGTCACGTGCTTTTTCCTCAGAGTCACGAGTCGTGAGAGTGACGAAAGTGATGAGAGTCTGAGTGTGATGAGAGTCTTGAGTCTTGAGGGCCAAGCTTCGCTCATCTGTGTAGTGATCACCATCGTCATCCTCGAGACCAGGCGCAGTCGACTTTGACGCTCCGAACATCACGCTCATAAAGCACCAATTTCCCTCCTACGCGCGGAAACAAGTTTGCTGTCTTTTGCCATATCCATCATGTCGCTGTTTCGTTCCGCCACGCAGACTTTGGTGAGTGCCTGGCCGGCACTTGAAGGCCGAGTAAGATCTACAACCGATTGTGCGCTGGCTCACAATGCTCTCTTCGCTTCGTCTTGCTGCACAATACACAGCGTTCTCCTCTCATCCAACCTCTGCGCTCCTCCAGTCTAGCCGCTTACAGCTCCACTAGACTATTCCATCAAACAGCATCTCGTTTCGCACTCGCTCCTGCAGAGCGCAAAAAGATCGATGATGCCGTACACGCCCATCCCGTCGTCGTGTTCATGAAGGGAACGCCAGAGGTGCCTCAGTGCGGATTTTCTAGAGCGGTGGTTCAAATCTTGCAAGTGCAGGGCGTGAAACCTGAATGCTTGAAGTGAGTGGCGGGAGATCTGGATTTGGGTTCGGGTCGGAGCAAAAGCTTCTTCCAAAAGCGAATGAGAGAGATAGCGAATGAGAGAGATCATGCAACAGCTGCAGCACCCAATTGAAAAGAACGCATTCTGTCGTCGCAAAAGATCTGGAATACCTTTTGTGGCTGCATCGGACGCGATGGAGCTGCGCGGGTGTTCTTGGAGGTGATGGACATCTGCGACGAGAGATAGATGTCATCGGACGTATTCACCATGAGTCGCGCAACTGGAGTTAGACCAGCAGTCAAGAGGCCCAAATTTGATTTGACGGTCGAGACAGATCACTCGGCAGCTTTTTTGCTATTGATTGAGGCGCAGAGCGCTGAACCATATTTGCTTCAATTCCTTGTCGCCGCTACAGGACTTACAATGTGTTGGAGGACTCTGCATTGAGAGAAGGTATCAAAGACTACAGCGCATGGTAAGTGTCTTGGCGACATCTCAGCTCTAAGCCACGATGCTCACTCAAAGCCCGAACAACCCTTTCTCGCCCCTGGCAACTCTTGTTCCAGGCCCACCATCCCTCAACTTTTTGTTGCAGGAGATTTCCAAGGTGGCGCAGACTTGGCCCTGAGCAGTAAGTGTCACCCCTCCCGCACTGTCCATACTAGGCGCTCAGCACACTGCTGATGAGACCCTTTTTACGCTGACTATCAGTGCACACATCGGGAGAGTTGGAGGAGGTGCTCACAAAAGCTGGAGCTTTGATCGAGCCTGCGACGCCACCTGCAGGCACCACAGAGCAGAAGTAAGGCCAGACGAGACTTTGCACGATGCTGAGCGCACCTTTATAACGTCTGTGGACAGCCAGTTACGTTGCATGGCATCCGTTGCGCGACGTTGCTCTCCGCTCCCACGCAACGACCCAAGATTACCCAGATTCATGCTCGCTCACGCGCAACGCTAATCGGAATATAAGGGATTGTTCGTTGGCTCTGCAGCAGCGAGAGCAGTGGGAAAAAGTGATCACAGATCAACGACCAGTGATAGAAGACCAGGAAAGGGGTAAAAGGATGTCTGTGGGTGACGCTGAGTGAATGTGCCGGTCAAGTGTACTGTAGACTTCGCAGGTGGGGAAAGCGGGTGGCGAGATGTGACGCAGGCGTGCAAATCACAGAATTTGGCAACTAAAAGCGCGGCAAGTGGAAAGCGTGCATGGAGGGACGCATACACGGCAATCAGTCATCCCCGCCCTTGTCCACGGTTTCCTTGCCATGTCTGCCGCGCCAGATCCCGTCCGTATCGACTCGGCCATAGAGTTCAGTGCTCTGGTTTCTTCGCAGCCCGTCGTTCCACTCCTTGACGATCTCCTTGCTGTCCAGCATGACATTGATCTCTTGCGAATGGTACCAGCTTTGGGTATCTTGGTTGCCGCTCCCAATGATGGCCACCTGATCATCAAACTGTGCATACTTGACGTGGCAATTTCTCTGCTTTCGAACAGCATTCAAAGGCCTCGTCATGTCTTTGCCTGTATACCAATAGATCTCTAGATTGTCCTCGTCGCCCTTGCCTTCACGTCGCAGCTGACGATACAAGCGCGTCACGACTTGCTCGTTTGTCCCGCCTTGAAAAGGCATGCTTTCCGACTTGTCGTTGAAGCCCAACCCTAACCAAAGCTCCACTCGAACTCCTCGGCGGCATGCGTGCAGGATCGCGTGCTTGATAGGTGTGGCATTCAAGGTTGGCGATTGGATGAACACATGCCGCTTGGCATATCTGAAGCCAGCCAACCACGCGGCATCCTGCGCATTTCGAATGTCGTTGTGTCCAGGCGTACCGTGTGGTCTGCGATTGACCAGCGCCATTGGGACGGGAGCGTGCGGCTTGTGGAAGATAAAAGGGTTGAAGTCGATGACTTCACTTGCTGCAGCGCCTTCCGATCCTGAGACACTTCCTGGGCCGCTCTTAGAGGGGTCCACACCCGCCGCCTGAGACATGGCAGCGAGCTGCTCGGCAGTGATTTCGCCTTTAACTTGACTGAGATTTGCAAAATCCAACGACTTGGTGATGGCAGCAAGTCGTTCCTTGGCTGACACTCTGGAGGCGATGGAGGCAGTCCTTTTGAGCTTCTGACGGTACGCAAGCGTGCCGGGTGTACCTTCTTCATGGCCATCATTTGTTCCAGCTACTTTTGCGCTCTCGTCGTCGTCACCACCAGAGCTGGACGCCTGATGCGGTGACAGAGCATCCTCTGGAGGCGAAATCGGTTCAAGGCTATCGCCCTGTGCAAGACGCTGAGCTGTCGCACTGGAGCCAAAGTCGGAGCTTGGAGCATCAACATCGGCAATTTCGCCTTCGACTTTCTCAGAGCTCTGTTCTGTGTTGAAGGCTGGAGCACCATCCGCATGTGCTGGCTGACTAGTGTTGTCCAGGTTGAGCTCGTCGACGGTGCTTGGTTCTTCGGCGACCACCTTAGGTACGCTGATGCCGCGAGCTGCAGCATCTTTGGCTCCTCCACGTGCAGCGCGCGATCGGCGAGCGTCCTCTGCAACATTTCTGCTCGAGCTAGGGCCCAGCCCAAATGCGTCAAGAGCGCCTTCTGTCCACAAGTTCGGCTTAATGCCTTCCTTCTTCATCAAAGCCTCTACTACGTCTGCAAAGTGGCGTCGAGGTCCGAAAGATGGGCTTGCGGGCGGCGTGTGCCCGGTAGTGGTGGGAACTGCCTTTTCGGGACTGGAGGGCAAAGCAGGTGCACTCGCGGCAGTAGGTGTGCTGGGATTGCTGCTCCCAAAGTTTGGAAGGTTCAAATGTCCAAAGCGCTCCCTTAGGACTTTTTGCGCCCAGAGCTGCCCAGCACGCCGAGCGTCCTCCACGTTTGCTTCACCGCTCGGAGCTGAAGTATGCTGCTCAGCGGCACCTCCTGCAGGGTGTGCATCCCCGCTGTTCGGTCCCGCATGAGGCGTGGCAGCCTGTCCACTCTGCTCCCTGCGGGACTGCATCACGACATCGATGACTTCGGCGAAGCTTCGACGTCGAGGAGGGCCAAAGGTAGGACTGGATACCTCCTCTGTCTCTTGATCCTCCTCGAGGAGTCGGGCTCGAGCCGCCTGTGCCATCTCCTTCAACTGTGTCGTGCTGATAGCAGGCAAACTGGAGAATTTGCCGCCAGCAAACGCATTTTGACTGGGTTCCCTCGGCGCAGGCGAGCCGAGACAAGGCAAAGGCGGACGCAAAGCATTGCCCCAAGAAATCAGAGCGTGATCGTACACCGAATTGACAACATCGCCTTCCAATCTGGTGCAGGCTTCAATGTTTGGTCGATCCTGGATGTTGTTGCTATTGATCAGAGCAACAAGACGGTCAACAAGAAGGAGCTTGGCGTGGAATGTACCCATAAGGGGGCGATGGTAATTGCTACGGGGTTTAGGGCGAGGGTGCTTCAGTCATGTGCGGAGCGCAGCTGCGATCCGGCGGTATTCCTTCACTCACAGTACTTCGATATGGATATTAGGGACTTGATCTTCCTCTGGCAAACCGTTCTCCTTCCACATCCCAGGAGGAACGGGCTTGCGTAGACGGAACAAGTCTGCAAGCGTTCTGGGTCCTCTGTCCCACATGATCTTTACGATGATCCGCTCTTCAATCGTTGGCTTGGGGAGAGCTTCAGCGTCTTTCCCTTCAGCCTTTGCAGCCTGAACACGCCTCTCGCCATGTCTCTTGTCGAGCTCTATGAGCGCTTCAGAGATTCGATTCACGTTCTTTCCGCCCTGCCAGTAATTGGTGAGAAGAACAACCTCACGTCGAGCTGCGACGATGCAATCGTAGTAGTGTCCAATGATGTCTGGGCCTGTGCTGAAGATGCTAAAGGGCACAATACCGGTCGTCGCCAGGAGTGGAGGGGAGACGACTCCCGACATTGGGTGACGTGGCAGGGGCAAGAGGCAGTCTGCCAGCATCTACGAGCGCGAAATGAACCACACAGAGGTAAGTTTGGGGTGAGTGTATGCACATGACGACGCACGCTTCTGCTTACCATCAAGTACAGTCTACCAGGACCGCCCTCCGCTTCCGACTTGTACCCGTACTTGTCTCTGATCTTTTGCAGCTCGTCCTCCTCAGGCTCGACGTTGCACGCATGCACGGCTCCCTTGTGCCAGTTCCATCCTTTGCTTCTCCCTTCTTCAAGCTGCTCTTTGATCTTAAACCTCAGCAAGCCTCTGCGAGCTGCAGTCGGCGGCGGAAACAATCTCTTCTCTGCTATCCTGGGTGCGAGCTTCGGATCAGCAGCCACTGCCGAGGTAATTGTGGCATGCTGCAAAGCTGGCTCTGAGGAGGAAGCGACACCTTCCTTTTCGGCCTTCTCCCGCGTCGCTTTCGTAGCTGGAGGAGTAAAGATCGTAGATTTGGCCGCCATGTTTGAGTGATGTCGCTACTCTTGAGGAAAGCTGTTACCAAAGGTGGATGCAGGAGCGATCCTCTCTATCCGCGTTGCGAGGCAAGCGAGTGATTATGTTGATGATCAGGAGCGCTGCGCTGGGGCAGGACGTGTTCACTCGCTGATTCTCTCTGCGCGGGCGGTGAGTCGTAGGAGAGAGTGGTGGCCGCGTTGATTGTGAAGAGCATGCATGCAAATGTAGAGAGAAACTAAGTTGCTTCGTCGTGATGAATCACTTTGCGCAAGGTCGAGGCGTGATCTTCGAGGAGGGCGTGAGGGGGCAGGAAGAGGTCAAGAGGCTTGGCACACGGATGTACTGGATACCTGCTTTGCATCCGACGAACGCTTTGAGACGAGCTGCGCTTGCGTACATACAGCATGCGCTCGGTATTGGTGTGTCGTGCCTACCGCTAGCGCAGACTGTGAGCGCCCGGTCACCGCAATGTGAAGGGAGAGGTACAGGCTCGGTACAGGATGAGGTGCACACACAGTACATCGGGAGCTACACTAGCGGTGTGTAGAGGCGCGGCGGGCCCCCGAACACTCGTGACTCACGATCACCCACGCGCGGCAGCACCACGCGTTCTCCAGTGTACGGTGTGCAGTCGTGAGTTACGCGGTAGTGCGAACAAGCAAGCCACACAATCAGATGGATGGAGGACTTCGTCGAGTGCCGGTCGCGGTTAATTCCAAACACAGCATATGCAGCAGCTGCTACTCAAACTCACATCTGCGCCTATAGCTCGATCACGATCACGGCTGCTCTGCTCAATCGCCTCTTCGACGTCACTCTGCTGCAACGGCTGCCGGGGCCCGGCAGGGCACATGTGTATGCGGCGCTGCACCTTTGGGTTGTGTGGCAGTGTACCGTATATACTTGTACCTACTGTATACTAATTATTTATATGCACCACTTTACCGCGCGCGGCTACGCGAGAGCGTGTCATTCAGGCAAAGCTTTGCTTGGACACGACAGCGCATCACCAGTCCCACTAAAAGACTGCAGTCTGTGAGTCACGAGCGATTTTTCAAGCCGAATCCGGTCATCAGCTAAAGGAGCAAACCCTGCAAGTAGACGCCGAAAGGGGCTCTCGCTGCTGCTGCTCAAAGTACGATCGGCACAGCCGTCGACATCCTTGTCATCAAGTCGACCTGCGCAAGCTGCCTCCTGTCGTCGCCAGCACTCCTCTCGAGCGAGTTCAAAAATTCGTGACTGGCAATCGTGGGCCGTGATCAGGGATGCGCACCGTTGCGTCAAGCTGTGCCGTCAGGGTTACAGTCACGTGACTCTCTCCAAACAAAACTCGATGCTTGGTCTACCTTTACACGCTAGTAAGGGAGACGTAGGTTTTCTCCGTGCACCAAGCGCCCCCCCCCACCCCCCCTCAGGGCTTTCCAACCATCATTGCCTTGTCGCGCGACCGCCAATACAATGCAGTCCTGTGCTATTCGCAGACAGGGCAAAGGACCAACGGTAAAACGCGGCATCAGCGCCATCTGTCTTTGCTCTTCGAGCTTGACAGCCCGACCGCATCTTCAGCCTTGGATGTAATAAGATCGTCTGTGCGCCAGGAGTCGACGGCATCAGCTCTACCCATGGCGCGTGAAGACCATGGATGCTGAGGACGGAAATTGTGTCGGCGTCTCGAAGCGGCTGGCTTGGTCGAAGATCTCGCATCAGCATCGGTAGCAGCAGTCGAGCGCAGCGCAGGTGGTCTGTATCGCATGTTATTGGTGGTGCTGTCCAAACCTAAAGTGCTGGAAGGAATTGACGTTTGCGTTTCGCCTGCCTGCTGACTTTCTCCGTCCCCGCTTGCCTCTTTGGAAGGCTGTCTCTTCGTCTATCCTTCCTTGGCAAAAGTCTCGTGCGTCTGAACGGTGGGCGTCGCGCTGCGTCCGATCCAGACCTTTCCATCTTCTGCCGTAAACTTCTTGCCGTTGTCCAAAAACACTCGAACCGGGTGGTTACCCTTGTTGCGCGCGCCGTATGGATTGATCACTCTACCTCTCGCGTCCTCGAAGCGGATGTGAGCCTGCAGGGACTGAACGGGATGCTTGTCCGTTGGAGCAGGTTGGTGCCAAGTGCGCACCACTTGGGCTCGCTTAGCTGTCTCGAGAATCGGCTGAGTTTTGGTCAGGTCATGAACAGCATGCGCGATTGTGTTGCGATGGTAATGATACTTGTCTTCGGCGACAGGACCCCAGTCCCACAAGAGGCTTTTCACTGCTTCCAATCGACGTTCCAGCCTTCTTGGCTGGTCATCTTTACGCCAACTTGACGCATCGCTTCGACTCTTGGGCTGTTGGCTAGAAGGCGAAGCTTCTGACGGTCTTCGCCATGAGCTGGCATCACTTCTAGCTGACGGAGATGGTGTAGAAGAGCGTCCGCGCCAGCCGGACGCTCCCAAGGTTTGCGCGGTTGTCCCCGAGCCAGAGCTACCGACTTCAGCGTCCCAATCTTTTCGCCATCCCCTTGCTGTGTCCCTCTCCGTGCGCGAGTCGGAGATTCCCGCTTGAGCATGTTCAGCTTTTCTCCACCGCTCCGCTGTTCCCGCTTCGGTGGCTCCTGGGTTCGCTAGATTGCTGTGATGCAGATCGTTGGGAGTTCTACGGCTTGGGCCCGCCATTTTTGGACGACCTGTGGGCGCATCACCCACTCTCTCTTCCATAGGGTGCGGGTTTCTGCCAAGCCAAACTCTGCCGTATTGGTCTACAAGACGCGAACCCGACGAGAGGTAAATGATGTGGGTGTCAGGCTGAGCATCGGCCTTTGGGTTGATGATCGGGTTGCCTTCAGCATCGAACGCCTTGATTCGGGCACGTATGGGTTTGCCTACTCGATGAGGCTCCGCCTCGAAGCCCCTCACGACTTCTGCGCTTGCCATTTCGGGAAGACCAGTTTCGCGATAGTGAGCGATCGCGTTGAGCAGTTGGCTTCGATGTAGCCCATGTTCTTCGCCTGCCAGCGAGGCAGGATACTTTACTTCGATCGGTTGTCGCTTTTCGATCGCAGCAGCCTCCTGGGTATTGTCCAAGCCACTCGGGAGACTAATTTGCCCCAACACTCTCTTATTCAGTGTCGAGGTCAGCATTGCACGTGATGCTGCGAGCGAGACAGCGATTGAACGCTTGTGGAGCTGCACATTGTCCGCGTCAGGACAGCGTCAGTCAGTGTGTGGCCACTTGGGGCCGCTTGAAAGAACAATCGCACCTTCGCACAGCAGTGATCAACTCACAGTTCCAGCAGCTCGCTGCTCGAGACGTGCCGGTGATCTTGCATCTTGTCTTTCCTCGCCATGGGATGCGCCCTCACTCCCTGACCCTTCTGGTGTTGCACGAGCGAGGGGTTCTCGAGGTCCCTTCCTGAACAGTGTCTTGCGTCGCAGCGCGAGCTCCTTCCTGATCGGTTGCAGCTTCTTGCTAGTCTTGGCAATCGACCTGGTCATGGCTATCCTGCCAGACGAGCGCTCCATACCCTCGCCCGATACGCGAGCGGCGATGGCAGGATGAGCATGACCGTGCCTTAGCTGCGCAATGTAGGGTTCGACTCTCCCTTGAATAAGCTCCGTTGGCGGCCGATCCTTTTCAGGTACTGGAGTGAAATGAGAAGGGACCTTGCCAGTCCCAGTGACCAGTGCGTTCCGACGACTGGACTGCCATGGCTGAAATTTGACGCCCTCTGCCAAAGGAATCGCGTAGCTGTGATGCTCGCCTTTTTTTCGTGGAAATGCCCAATGACTTTGAAGCCTTCGTGTATTTGTATCAAATGCCCTGCCCACAGCGTACCATTCACCGCTATCCTTGACGTCCTCCCGGAAAGCTCTGTAGACGGTGAATTGGTGCATGTTTGGTTCGTGAGCACCTGCGTGCGCTGCTGCGCTTTTCGCAAGCGCCTCGCGCGTCATTGGGTCCTTAATGACTGAAGGTATGACGACTATCAATTTGTGCTGCATGGAAGGAGCTTACAGTGTCAGTCGGCGGTTTGGTGGTGTTCGGTCATGCTACCCACTCGTCCGTGCGGAAGGTCCATCTCGAGCTATTCAGCGGGGCTTGTTTACGTCAGCGGGCGAAAGCTGAGCCCTCGGCCTCCGCTGGGAAATGTTCTTACCACGTGTGAAGACGTTTGATGCTGCGTCAGACCTTCAACAGATGGCCCGGCGCCAGCGGCATGGGTGAGAGCTTTGAGAGGAGCCTCGCTACCAGCTCGACGATATCTGGTGCAGCCAAGAGTGGGATATGTTCGCACAGCTGAGTGGCTGCGAATGTCAAGGCACACGGCAAAGTATCGGAACACTTACAAAGTTGTGGTGAAGTCGTGTGCAAGGAGATGACGACGAGCAAGGTTGCCACCGGTGCCAGATCCTTGTTGACGCGTTTGCGTCTGCAAAGGTGCTGCTGTCAAAGGTTTCACCTGCGGCGTACGAAGCCTCCCACTCCGCTGCGCAAGAAGCCTACGAATGGGACGCAGCTTTGGGCTCGACTTGGAGATGGATTGGCGCACAGCTTTCTGTCCCCCAATCTTCGGCTTCGCGCGGATCTCTTGCTGTGGACTAGCCAGCGTTCCTTCCGCTTTAAGCGACTGCTTCCGAGCAATGATGGGAAGGGCAAGCTCGCTTTGAGGTGGTACTGGACGACGCTGCTCTGCCGGAACTGGCTTCCAGTGCTTGGGGACTTTACCATTGCCAATGACTCTGACCTTTTTGGGCCGTTGCGTCGTATGCACGTCACCTTTTGCCAAAAATATCGGATGCCCGTTTGCTAAGTGCGCCGGTCGGTGGAATGCCCAGGGACTTGGCAACCTGTTGCCGTCCCCGTCGTACGCCACCCCCATTGCGTACCAGTTGCCCGAACCAGCCGGCGCTTCTTGAAAACTTTTCGCAAACGACCACTGCCGCATTCTGGGCTCATGAACGGCGGCGTACTCGTTTGCGCTATGCTCTAGCGTTGCCCGATTGCTCGCGTTCATGGGCTTCGCGGCGTGGAAAAGAACCTGAACTTTCTGGGAGGCAGAGTCGTGTGAGAACATGCGTGCTACCAGATCTAGCATGTACAGGGCCAAAAGTCTTACTTTGGTTTCTGACGCAGCAGCACTGCTCGACTGTCATTCGATCTCACGCGCTTGAGTCAGACTGCTTTGCCAGCCTCAGAGGGTCCGTCGCGGTGGTACTCACCGCATGCGCAGCAGCAGAGGCACTCGGTACAATGATCTCTTCAGCTATGTTCATCGGCGCCAGGCGTCTATCCCTGGTATGTTTCATTCAATCACAGAGTACGGTGAGCTCTACTCGAGGTGCACGATATGGCTCACCCAAGCTCACAAACTGGCCGTGTTTGTTGTAGTGGCCATCGATGACCGCCGGTCGATGCGCGATGAGCCCGAAGCTGCATACGGCCCAGCACCTTGAACTTCGTCGCTGGAAGTGGGGTTCTGAGTCGTCGAGGCTGCATGACTGGTAGAAGCTTGCGCTCGCGTCCTGCTAGCCCGTCGCTGATTTCTCCGCCGGTCATGGAGTTGTTTTCGAATAGAGCGTATGCCTGAGCTGGAACTATTTTTCCATTTGGCTGGTCTGCTACTGGCCTATGCGGATTTGTCGACGCTTGGTAGGAGCGCGGGATGCTGATCAGCTCCGACTTTGGGAGTGAAGCCGCCCGGCTTGATGGACTGAGGTTGGCGCTCATGCTCTGGCACCACTTGCCAGTCCGGAGAGATGTTGCCCGTGCCAATGAGGAGCTCTTGTGGGTTGCCAGACTTGCGCGTGACATTCTTCCGAGACACCATGGAAGCGCCACGCTGCATTGGGACGACATAGAGATCTCTTGCTTTCTGCCTCCCTTCGCTGACGTGCGAAACCTCGGCTCGCCAAAGCGGAGGCAAAGCCTTGGTGTGCCTATCGTACGCGTACCCAACGACGTAGTGGACCGGCTGATCTTTCCATTGACGAAAGCCAGCCTTGACAGTGAATTGAGCCATGTCCTTCTGATGTACTTTGTGAAACTTCTGAACGCTGTGCTCAATGGCAGCCTTGTGATCAGGCGCCAATGCGCGCATGTCGGAGAACAGCACTTTGACTGGTCTTTCGATGCCCTGCGAGGAGCAATGGACCAAAGCACGTCAACCAGGAAGGAGAGCGCCATCATCGTGCTGGCTTCACCTACCTCTGCATCAAGATAGCGCTCCTTTAGAAGAGAGTGGCTGCCCTGCGCGATTCGCAGTGGAGAATGATCAGCGCGATCGTAGCAAGATAAGCCGAAGCTGACCTCACAGATGAGGCTGCTGTTGCTCTAGCGCACGCACTGGCCCCTGCCAGCAGCGCCAGGAAGGCGGTTCCAAGCATGTTGAGCGGCGAGCTTGTTTCGAAATCGAGCGTTGGAGCAGATCTTGCGCAAGAGCGAAATGCACACTTGCTGAGAGTGAAGCGCTCCACTTGCGAGGCCAGCTCGTGAGGAAGCGCGCAAAGGAGACGAAGAGTGAATGGCAGCAAGACGAGCGACAGGCGCTACTTTCGAATCGCAGATCTTTTCAACCTTTGAAATGTGACCTGCTCTCGCCACAGCTTCGAATATACTTGACCAAGCCTTTCAAGTGGCGAACCACAACCCTCGATTTTGTCTCAGGGATCGAAGTAGATGTGAACTGCCCATGCGCCACTAGAAAGGCGGTGGCAAAGCCTGAGCGTGGCGTCGCACGTAAGAGCGACAAAAACGCAAGTGAGCATATACTGGCCTACTCGCCACCAAGACCGAGACCAGATGATGAAGACGTAAGATCGACGCGACGCCAAGGTGATCTGACTGTTGTTCCCGATACCGTACAGTGGCCTTCACGCCGCCAAGGCTGTGCAAAATGCGCAACGGTGAAGTCTTGCCTCGATGACCGTGGCCGAACGAAAGCGCCAAGTGACATGAGTGGCAACAACCTAACACTCTGACTATCCGCTGCCGCGTCAGGACTGCTGGCTCCTTGGCGCCCTTATGCGTGCTGGGTGAGCGTCAGCGGACATGTGATCTTGACATTTGCAATCATGTTGACAGCTGGCGGCACGTACGCCCCAGCACGCCATACAATGATGTCTATGTATAGTCATGCTGTGGCTAGCGCACGCTCTTCCCAGCTGCGGCCTACGAGGACATGCAAGTTAGCTTGCCTTCTTGCACAGATCAGGCAGCCTGCCTCGTCGCAGTCGCTGTCGCCGTCGCAGTCGCAGTCGCAATGCGATTCACTTTGACTGTCGAGAAGGTTTGCGTGCTCTCATACAGGTGCCGCTTGATATGTGTTGACATGAGCGCAATGTCTCTCCATACTCCGTTGGCGTTTCTGCTGTGTATTCACTGCGCCCGTGCCGTCGACATTCACTCATTCTGCGCTTTTCATGGATGGACGAGTGGGCGAAGATGTTGGGCGTGCAAGGACACTCAAAGATGATCATCAGCAGAGTGCGAGTGCGAGTCGTAATCGTCAGCAGCAGCAGTCTGATCATGAGTCCGAGTCCAGCAGAGCGAAGCACACGCGCGAAGCAATAATAATCACGGATCACGAATGATGCGCTCCGCGCACTCCGCGAAGCAAAAAGTCGCGTTAATTTACGCGCCAAGGTGTTGATCTCGACGCGTTGAAACAACTCAGCGAGCGCCGCGTCGCGTCGCGTTCATTCTTCTCCAAGGAAGGATCTTGATGCCGAGTCAAGATGAGTGGATGTTGGTTGACCAGGACGCGTGCAAGCGCAGCAAAAGCAGCAGCAGCAGGAAGACAACACAGATGACTGCCTGTTGGCGCATCGGAGCCGCCCGACATTTTCATTCCTGAACAACATCATGGTTTCCACCACCTTGGCTTCCTCCTCCTTGAGGTCTGCTCCTCGTCCGACACCCACCCATTCGCGATACCTCGCGTCCATACGCGTGCCGCCTCACTGCACGATCCTACGCCGCCGCTCACCTTGTCATCTCTGCAGCATTGCCAATCGAGGTGATGGTGACCAAGACGAGCCGAAAGCGTGCTCGCACAGAGCTCGGAGCTTCCCAATCTTCCGACTCGGGTATTGCCTCCCTTCCCCATTCCCAATCCGACTCGCTCCTGACTCTCGACTCCCAGCCAGACCCTTCTTCATCCTCCGCACCTGCTTCCCACGTGCCCAGCATCTCTTACGACCGACCTCAGCTCGATACGTACACTTGGAGATCGCCTTTGCCTAGAAGATGCAAGGAGGAACCTTGTGTGCTCGGAGTGGATGAGGCTGGCAGGGGCCCCGTCTTGGGTCCGCTAGTCTACGGCATCGCGTACTGCCCCTTGGCTTTCCACGATTTGCAGCATGGTGGCCTGAAGGACGTGGGCTTTGCGGGTGAGCGATGCACAAATTTGCTCCGAGACGCTTGATGAGGCGCTCAAAACCATGACCCGCTCGCAGACTCGAAAGCGTTGACGGCGGAGCGCAGGGACGCCCTTTTGAACTCTTTGCAAGCTTTTCCGGATACGCTCGGTTGGGCCGTCAGGAGCATGTCGCCGCAGGACATCAGTTCGGGCATGCTGCGGAGGAGGCCTGTCAATCTCAACGCTCAGAGTCTTGCTGCTACGATGGAACTCATTCAGGGCACGCTCGATGCAGGAGTTAATGTGGTACACGTGAGTGGCTGAGCTGTCGCTCTTATCGAGCGATGAGAGTCCTTTGGGCTCACCCTCGCATCGCATACATGCACCAGGTCTACGTCGATACGGTGGGAGATCCCAAGTCATATCAACGACAGCTATCTTCTGCCTTTCCCAAACACATCCAATGGACCGTGACTTCGAAAGCAGACGCACTCTTCGAGATCGTGGGTGCAGCATCGATCGCTGCAAAAGTGACGCGAGACGCCGCTTTGGACGCCTGGCTTTACGCCGAGAAAGGCATGAACGTGCGCGAGCCTTCTCGTCAAGCCACAGAGTCTCGCGAGAAATGTCTGCGCAATCATTGGGAGACGGGAAGCGGGTATCCTGGTGATCCAAAGACTGTCGCTTTCCTAAACAGGACGATGGATCCGGTCTTTGGATATCCCGGAATTGTACGTTTTAGCTGGGCGACGGTCAAGACGTTGATGGAGGACAAGGTGCCGTTGAAGCGCAACAGGAATGGAGAAGCTGCCACAAATTCTGACACAGGCAGAGAGAGTTCATTCGACACCTGCACCATCAGACCCGCTGCCGGATGCAGAAGAGCATACACCATCAAATGGAACGACGAACCTCTGACCATCAACAAATTTTTCAGCGCGAAACCCAAAGCTGTCGCCGTCTCAGGTGCGAGCAGAGCTGCACAGAACATCGCGGCTGGCGACGAGGCGGACAAGGTCAGATCGAAGCTCGCGAGGGAGCTGGGTCTGCAGAGCGTCGGTGAGCTCTGAGAGGGTTCGTGTTGCCGTGGTGAGAAGATCGCACCATTGCCGTCATCTATTCCACGGTGCTCCTTTATGTTGGGGCGCGATCGCCTCGAAGACCAAGGTTGCGCATCGAGCATCCATTGACCTCAGCCATGCACTTCTCAAGTGGGGCCGCGCCGTGGTAAGACTACGTCTGCTTGTTGTCCGAAAGGCCTCGAGGTACTCGAGATCGCAACGCGAAGGTGGAGCGATGCTGATAGGAAGGTGCAATGGCTGCTCTTGAATCAACAGCCAGAAAGCCCCTCAAATAAAGAAACGTCAACTTTGCGGGGTGATGGAGGGAGGGGGTCTATATCTGCAGAGAATCGTTGCAGTCTGGACTCAAACGTCTGCGATCAGGATCATGCATCAAACAATTTATGGCCTGACGCGTTGCCATTCAATCTCGACTGGTGACTTTTGCACGACTCTCACCGGCGTCTCAAATTCCAGATCGCGATCTTCGCGCGAAGGCTGTGCAAGTATTCGTGATTGAGTCCAGCAGGAGGTTGACTGACTCAAACGCAGCAGCAGGCCCCATGCACACTCAAACTACTCGAAATTGTACTCACGACTCATCAGACTCTGCACGGCCAACTTTCCGACCAAAAGCTTCCTGTCACGTGATGCATAGGATCTCCCAAATTTTTTGAGGCTTCTGGCCGCACATGGTGCAGCAAGCAGATTTCTAATCCACGACGATGAGCATCAAGCTGTATGCATGGTGTCTGGCATAACTTCTTCATTTGGAGGTCTCACGTCGCTCATTCACCACTGCACACACCTCTGGACAGGCTTGACAATCGCTCCTTCACCAGCTCACTGCGAGCTGATCAGACCCACCTGCACCTTCATTTGAGCGTTCAGAACACAGAGCACAGGCTCTCAATCTTCACTCCGTTTGCTTCGCCTCGATCAAATCGGACCTTGCCGTCCATCCAAAGCTCTTCAACCCATCCAAAGCTTTTAGCGGAGACACCTTTCCGACAATGTCGCACGCTCAGTCAGACGATGTCATATGGTCCTTGATCGGTCATGGCTTTTGCTCTTTCAAGCTCTCCTCTCCCAGCATCAAGACGCATCAGACCTTTTGCAGGAACGCGTACAACTTGACCGGGTGTGAGTGCGCGGAAAAAGGTTTGGAAGGTTGATTCGCACGGCTTGGGCGAACAGCGAGGCTTATGCAGTTGCGCTTCTATTCTTGTTGGACGCTCTCAGGGTGCAATCGACAATCTTGTCCGCTGGCCAATGCGCGATACGCTACAGTGCGCGACGTCGAAGGTACAGTGTACCTATACATCAAGACTCCCGAAAGAGCTCACGCTCCCTCAAAATTGTGGGAAAGGGTCAAGTTGTCCAACAATATCGAAAAGGCGATGAAACAGATCGACGAAGAGCTGCCATTTTGGAACAATTTCGTCATCCACAAAGCCAAGCAGAGGTGGATGAAGATCAAGCAGTACAGGGATAAGATGAGGAGCTTGGCAAAGGTTGCTGATGAGCAGTGAGTCTCCGAGCAATGACGCTCTTTCTGCGTGCCCTCTCTGCACGGCAATTGAAGAGTTGCTTCGACTTTCCTCTTGCCAGACCCAAGCTGGTGGGAATCAAGAAAAAGACGGAAAGGCGAGAGGCGAACCGAGAGAACAAGGCGATGCGGGCTGCGAGATTAGAGAAATCCATCGAGGCGGAGCTTTTGAGCAGGTTGAAGTCGGGCTTGTATGGAGAGGCACCACTAAACGTTAATGAGGACATTTGGAGGCGAGTGATAGAGGAGAAGGCCGAAAAAGAAGGCTTGCAAATCGAGAGGGAGGAAGAGCTTTTGGATGAGCAGGACGAAGAGGACGAGTGGGACATGGATAGTGAGGATGAGCTGGAAGAAGAGGAAGACTTCGATGGGGTTGGGGATCGGGAATTTGTGGAGGATGAGGATTCGGATGATGAGCTGGACGACTTGGAAGAGATTGACGAGGAGGAGGAAGACGACGAGGTGAGCACGAGGATGAGCGCTTGAGGCTTGTCGAAACGCGTCTCTGATACCGCGGAGTCTGCCCCACCTTTCTTCGTCAGGATGCCGAGTCTGGCGCTTCTTCTGAGGATCTCGAATCGGACCTCTCAGACTCTGCTTCGGAGTCAGCAGACACCGCAGCCGACCCGAAAGCAGGTCGCAAACGGCCGGCTTCGGACGTACCGCCCAAGAAAACGTTGGACAAGAGAGTGAAAGCTGCCCCTCCTCGTGCAAGACTGCCCAAGAAGCCAGCCCCAAAGAAAGGCAAGAAAGGCTCAGGCGGAGCTCCCAATCTGGAGGTGGAATACGAGCAAGAGACGGTCCCGCTTTCGAAAGAGTCCATCGCCAATTGGTAGTCACGTATTTGCGAGCTCTCACACAGAGAAGTCTCTTCCGTCATGTGGTTAGGAGCAAGACAGACTGATCGAGAGCTTTCGCAGGTCGCACTTGCCATTTCAGAGCGTTCAAGACGGCCGGGAGTGTACAATATATCGGTTGCGAACGCGCTGCGGTGGAAGCTACAGGTTGCCGTGCGATGTGGGACAAAAAAGGGGCGGTTTCAGCACGCTCGCTGCAGGGATAGTCTCAGCAGATCCACCAGGTCAGTGCCTCTATTCTCTCCTGAACCCTTCTCGGCAAGGACGCCCCTGCTTGTCTCGATTGCGCTCTGCACGCCCCTGGTAAGCGTGAGATCCCGCTTGACTGGGCCAGCCGCATCGCCTGGGTCTGAAGCGCGCGAAGCTTCGCGCTGGTTGGCTTCCACCAGCTGAGCAGCTGCCAGCGTCAAAGTCTGCTCGAGAGCGGTGCTCAAATGCACGACCCGCTCCTTTTCGAGCGCTTTGGTGGAACGCAACTTGTCCGTCAAGAACGACGCCAGGTCGATCAGCGTGCCGATCGAGGTGGGCGCTGCAGGTGCCGTGCGGGAGTTCTTTGAGTACGCGTGCAAGGGAGAAAGATGCTTGTCAGCGAGGCAAGAGAGGACAATGAAAATACAGTCACACGCACCATTGCAATGACAGAAGTGTCCGACATCAGCAAGGGCTGCTGCGATCCGACAAGTGTGGACATCGCACGACTCCACGACACCAGAGCTGCGACAGCCGAGGTAGCAATGCTCTCGAGCAATTGCGAGACGTAATTCGAAATCTGCTCAGACCTTGTGTTCCGAGAGCCGGACAATGGTTGACTTTGCGTCTCTCCTTGGTCATTGGTGGCGGGTTGACTGCCTTGCACAAGGCTGAGCGTCTCTTTAGGATGCTGTAGCAGGTAGACCACTTGTTGTAACAGACCCCCCGTGGCGTTTGCAAGGACAGCGACTAAATGCGCTGAGCTCGACTCGTGGGGTGACATGCCTCGCCTCCGATGCCGTGCTGCATTGTGGGCTGAGACGATGACGAAGAAAAGCTGCACAGTCGCCTCAACTTCTTCGATGAGCGGTATGCTAACTCCGTCACCACCATCTTGGAGCGCAGTGTGAGTTGAGGCGAAGCCCGAGGCTGCAGTCAAAGGCTTGAAGGCCAAGGTCGAAAGCACCTGACGGCCGTAAATCCGCACAAAAGGCTCCACCTCGTTTGCAACGAAATGCAGGCTCGCGTCGTCCCAGGTACTGTCGTCGTCTGATGTGCCGGCAAGGCTTCTTGCCAGACCTGACACTAGCCGGAGCATCTCCAACCACACTACATGCGCTGGATTATGAGCGTGTGGGAAAGATAGAGGGCGGACGCTGCCACGTTCGAGCTGTGCAGACAGCGCATTTGAGCTCAGCGCTGCCATGACGCCTCCCAGAGCCAGAGTCTCAGCCCCCGTCATGCGCAGTGCGAGGGTGGCAAAGAACTGAAGGAGGGAGGGCATGAATCGCACCTCGGGAGAAATATGGCTAGTCTCCTCGGCCTCGATTTCGTCATTTGAAATCGATCGCCAGTGAGCTCGCCTGAGCAGGTCGCAGCAGCTTGTGAGCAGGCCGGTAGATTGGAAGTGGAGCGACCAGAACTGAGGCTCAATTGTAAAGTCGTCACGAAGAAGCAGTGAGAGTGTGGTGCTAATGATGCTCACATCGGTCTCCACGCTGTCTAGCAACAAGTCAGAGTCCGCCGAATGAAGCGCAATGCCGCGATCGGCAGCGATGCGCAGCGCCAGAATGGTGTGCGTGGCGAAGACGTCGACAACACGATGCAGGTGCGTCTGCACCAATCGTGGAGCGTCCTGCTCGTCAATGTCGTCGAAGGCTGCGCTTCTTCCTCGAGAACGGCGCAACGAAGCACGTTTGCCAGCTTCCGCGCCCATTGCCGGAGCATTGAGCAGCTGTCTAAATTGGACCGTGCAGATGAGAACGATGGTGAAAACATCTTGGTGAAAGGGCGTAGCGAACATGCCTGCCACGCTGTCCTCCACTTTGAAAGCCTCGCTAGTAAGAACTTGGCATGCCAGCTGCGAGACCTTGACCACATCTGCGGGAGACCCGACTTGACCTGATGACTTTTCCCGATCGATAGTGCCAGATTTTAGGCCCCATGCTACCTGCAAGAGACCCGCAAGGAAAGCAACCCTGTGGCTGTGAACACCGCGCAGAGCGGCGGCGCTGCGATCCTCTTCTGCAGTGATAGTTGCACACCGTATCCACGCTGACAGCAGGTTCTGCTGTAATTCGCGAGCTCGTGCGGATTTCAAGATTTCTGAGCCGACTTGGCCTACGCTCAAGCGTAGAAGTGAAGTCCACCCTCGCAGCACTGCAACCTGGGAGTCGATGAGGCTCCAGTCTGCGTTGATGCGAGCTAAAGCCAGGAAGGCGTCCGTTTGCCAACCGGCTGGCAAGCCATCAGAGGTGACGCTCTCATCTTCATTCGCAACTTTATCCGTGGTCACGATGCCTTCCAACTTGTCACAGAGGTTCAGCGCATCATACACGTAGGTGTCCCCAAATGGTCGTGACTCGTCGAAATCGTCCAAGCGAGCCGGACGACGCATGGTGGAGAGCTTGATGGCAGGCAGGGTCTGGTACAAGTGGTCTTGCTCGACTAGACCGTGCTCAGATGTGTCGCACTGCACTTTGACAGCGTGCAACAATATGTCGATCAGGTGCTTCGGCTTTTCGAACAACTCCAAGAAGACTTGTTCGCTGGCTCTGCTCGGCGACTTTCCAGCTTCGTGACTTCGCTTGAAGAATAGCGCGAGCTGGACCGTCAGCTGCATATCTTCGCACAGCAGGCTAAGTGCCCGGGCTATGCACATCTGCTGTCGACCATACGTGTTTACATCCTCATCGGCTTCAGTCCGATAGTAATTGTTGTTCCTCGAACACGAGTCTGGCAAAGGAGGAGCTTCGATAATGTGATCGGAGATGAGTGCAACCAGTGCCGTCCACAAGTCTTTACTGGATCGGATCTTGTCAAAGACATGAGGATGCTCCATTGCATGCGACCACGCGTGGTGTGCAAAGCGCAAGATGGACTCGAGAAGGGCTGGTTGGGTCTCCACAGGAGCCGTCTTCTTGATCAAGATATCTTGAGCTACTAGCAAGATGCTCCCTTTTCCTGATCCTTCTGTGGCTTGTCGGTCCGTGTCGCTACTTTGCAATGTGCTAAAAGCTTGGCCTCTCGACCCCTGCAAGGCATGCCCGCTGAGAATAAGCTGCGCCAAAGCAGGCTGCGAGTCGATAAAGGACGCCAGCATCGTCCAAATTGCTGAGCGCAGATCAGGATCTACTGCTTCGCTTGCCACTAAATCGCGAAGTCTCCCCAAAGTCAACTCGATCTCCTTTGGTGAGCCGAAATGCGCACTGAGTGAAGGCACGTGTTGATGCCGCTTGCTCGATTCCTGTGATGACACCACATCCTTGGAAGACCCGCACAGAGCAGTGATCAGCTGAGCCCCTTTGATGCTCAAGCTTGGTATACTTGAGAAGAGCGCATAGCTGAGTACAGCTGCAGCGAGCTCCACGCCAGCCTGCGTTGCTCGGCTGGTACGACCTCGCCACGCGACGGGCGTGTGCTCATAGAAGAGGGATTCGACTATGCCGAGACGTACGCCTTGGTTTCCATACACTTCGGCTTTGCCGAAAGCTTGAATTTGCCTCTTGCGATGCACAATGATGTGCGTCAATTGGAGCACAGACTCGACCAGGCGCAGTGCCCCTTCAGCCTCGTGATAACGTCCTGAAGCATACAGACCCTGTAGTAGCTGATCTCCGCCACCCAATACAGTAGCAATGGGTGCAACCAGCGCCTTGTTGACACCGAGCACGAGCGCACGCTCCAGTGCGCCGCATAAAGCGCTGGCTGAGCTGTTCCCGATTGTCAGAGGGCTCATTGCAACATCATTGAGGGCGCTTCGGAGGAAATGTGTGATGCGATGACCGACTTCTACTTGAGTCCTCGCCGAGGCAAAAGGCAGAGTTTGATATTCAACCCAAATGCTTTCCAGCATCCAAGCCGTAGCTCTGAGAAGGACCTCGCTCTTGACCTGCATCAGTTCAGGGGTGCTGGAGAATTGAGAGCGCTGCATTTCGATCAGCAGGCCGGCGTGCAAGTCGAGGAGAGCAATTAGTGCAGGGTATTGGCCCCGCGAACTTTCTTCTTGCAGGATTCTGGAGGGCGGGACGCCTGACGTGCCAAGATCCGTGGTGATGCCATTTTGATACTGCGCGGGTAAGAAGCCGGGTGAGCCGGTCAAGAGATTCGACGAGCGTAGAGCGACGAAGACATCTGCAGCGCGAGAAGGTATGAGAAGCGTCAGAAGCTTCAGAGCGCTGACCACGACGCGCGAGATGATCGGGCGTTGCGCGACGGCTTGTTCTAAGATACGCAGGGTGACCTGCATCAGGTCGACGAAAGGCGCACGATGATCAGAGGCAAGCCCATCGTCGGATTGGCCCTGCTCGAGGTGTTGCAAAAGCTCTTCTCGAATGGTCTCGCAGCCAGAGAAGACAGCGGCAAACAAGTCGAGGACGTCGGCGACACATTCCGCGCGCGAGGCAGCGTCTTCACCTGGCGCTAGCGCGTCGAAGTCGAGCGCCGGCGAGGTTTCGTCTATAGTGAACACGTCGTCGACGGCCTGTGACCTCTTCGTCTGATTCGAAGACTTGGTTGGAGCTGCAAGCAGGCCGGCAAAGCTGGCCAGGCAATCTGCAAGAATCAGCCAGGCGCTGATAGGATCTGCGGATTCCCAGACGACGACCACGTCAGTGCCAGCATCTGAGACGACCGTGCCAACCGTGCTAGGCCTGATGCTCTTCCAACCAAAGAAAGGCATCAGGCGCGTCGTTCGGTAAGCCGCTGCATCCGGGACGGAGGTGCTGATGAGCTCATAGGGCGCGCTCACTCCCATTCGCGGCAAAGCTTGAGCAACGCTTGGCAGGCTCGCCAGAAAACGATACACTGCGAGAATACATCGCTCCGACGTGTCCCTCGAGGAATCAACGAATGTCGGAATGGCCTGAATTGAACATGCACCCGTCAGAGCGGTCGCCAGGCGCACCAGAGGCCGGAAGCTGACTGGCCATCGGCGGACCGCGAGTTCCAGCAACGCTCTCCTGTCTTCGTGATTAAAGTCTTCCGACCAGAACTGATCGCACAAGCTGGCAATCCCTGGCATGGACTCTGCGCTCTCCTCCGCGATCGCACCGGATCCAAACGTGGTCTCCCAAAGGCCGATGAGCCCATCCAAATCTTCAATGAATGGAGCGCGCACAAGCTCGGTGACGCTGAGCAAGAGACCTTTGAACACGGCTCGATGTGCCAAAGAAGCTGATGCTGGTATTGCTAGTACGGTGGCAGCGCTCTTTGAGCTCGCCGTAGTGATCAGAGCAGAGGTGACGATGGCGTGCATTTCGGAGAAGAGACCTGAAGCAGGACTGAGAGCGACAGATGCCAGCCTTTGCCACAAGCTAGTGTCGCCTGTGTCAGGAGGGGCAATCTCGTCCTGAAGCCTCTGCAAGTGTGGCGGTAATCGATCATGTGGTCTGACGTGGAACCACTGCTCAAATTTCGCCTCTACCTTCTGAAGGACGAGGGACCATGCGAGCAGCAAGGGAGAGAAGCATGGCTCATCGGCAAGCAGCTCGAGGGTGTCGATGACCTTGTGCACGTCTTTCGGAGATGCGAGCAGAGAGCGCTCATCTACCCAGTTGGAACCTCGCTCCACGTCGATGGCTCTCACATCCTCCAGAGAGACCTCGCCGTTCATGTGAGACTCCAAATTGAGGCTCTCGACCGCCACTAGGATCAAGAGATGAGAGACCGCGGCGTGAATTTCTGTCCCCTCCTTGTCCAGATGCTCGAGCCCAACTAGTATGCGACCAGCACTCGTAGTTCGCACCGTATCTAGAATCCTGAGGACGGCCGCCGCTGTGGATGCAAGGCGCAAGTAGTATAGAAAGAAGAGAGATTCGAGTAACCCAAGTTGCTCCCTTAGTCGCTGCTTGACCCATGCAGCTTCATCTCCTCTCGCTCCCCGAACTGACTCCGGCAGTGGTCGCTGCGCGTTTTCATCGAAGGAGCTGAGAATGTGCAGAGCGAGCTCCGGCGTCGCTATTTCTTGTACTAGGTCGCTGACCAGATCGTGGTGCTGATGCGAAGGGTCGTCGGCGATCCGGAGCAGGATAGGAATGATCCGTAAGATGCAAAGGCGCTCTTCAAAATAGAACGCGGTCAAGCCCGCAACGAGGACGAGGCGGAGCTCATCTTGGTGCTTCGTGCGTTGCTGAGCAGCATATGATCCTTGAGAATTCTGAGCGCCTGCCGAAGGCGATTTGACGAGATCCTCCAGCGAAGACTCTTCGCTCTCCAAATATAGCCATACCAGGGGCGCTGCGTCGGTCGCGTCGATTGCATGTAGTTTGCTAAAGTCGTTCACGAGGAGTCTGACCTCTGCTCTGACCTCGGCGGACCTTCCATTCCACAGGTCGAGCGCCTTAGATGAGTCAGTGAGTTCATGTTCGAGGCGCGATGGCTGGGTGAAAGGGCGACCGCATGACTTGAGTTGAGGCGCCCGAACTCGCAGTGCTTGGGCGAGTTGCTCAGGAGAGAGGCGCTGCGCGGACAACTCCAAGTGGTCGTGGAGCTCGCGGAAGCTAATGGGCCGTTCGAGGGCATCTGTGGATGAGGCGGAATTTATCGCGATCCTCGACGGCCCTGCCTCGACCGGCATCTTGAGAGGGGCCTGCAGATTTTTGTGATGTCAAAGAAGAGCATTATGATCCACTGGAACGAGTCGAGGTAAAATACTCACCGGCGCACGAGGGGCAAACTCCAGAGAAGGGAGCACGCACGGGAGAGTGAGCTTGTCTTGAGGGGTCGAGCCTGTGGCGCATTCAGAAGCGACCTCGCGGAGCGACTCGATATGGCCGCATGATCTATGCGAGGGATGCGTGAATGGTGAGGAGCAAGGCAACACGAGAGCATGTGTGTGGGTGGTGTGAGTTGTGCGCTGCGTGCATACACCGCGAAGATCTTCTCCACGCGTCGCCGCCGCCCTAGCGCGCGACGCTACGCACCACACACTCATCAGACTATAGATTCTTGACTCGTGACTCTTGACTCCGGCTGCATGGGTAGCGGTCAGGTGAATTGCAGCAGGTGACAATCACCTTCGTTCGCGACGCTCACACACGACACCCTTGGCTGAATAGCTGATCTTCTTCGAATGGACCGCCGTATCTGCATATGAAAGACTGAGTCATCCTCACTGATCACATCTTGACCGCCTCGCCGAACAGCTTAGCCGCCATGTCCGCCAACGGGAGCAGCACATCCACATCCCTCTGGATCATCAACAAGGCAGGAGGCCTGATCTACCAATCCTTTGCCACGAACGAGGACGCGCCGAAGCTCTCCGCTAACGAAGCCCTGATTCTAGCTGGTACTCTGCATGGCATTCACGCGATCACTGCTCGAATCAACCCCACTGCTCTGCCAGACACTGGCCTGACAAACTTGTCCGCTGGCGGCTACGAGCTCAATTTGCTCGTCACTCCAACAGGTGAGTCTAGGTCTCTGCATCAAGCTTGGACACTCGTCGCCTTACGCCAACCCACTTTCCCCGGGTTCCTGCTCGACCTCAGGGATCAAGTTCATCCTGCTTCACCCGCCCTCCTTAACTCCTCAAGCAGCCCAACTCGCACTACGAGCAGCTTACGAAGCGTACGCGGACCTAGTGATGAAGAATCCCTTCTACACAGCCGAAATGCCCATTCGTGGCATTGGCGCATTCGATGAGAAGATCAAGAGCATCACAAGTGTCTGAGCAATCTTGACACAGGAGACACAGCGAGCATCCGTCGCGAGGCGCTCCGCCCACTATGACTTTCCCAGGTCTCACACATCGAAGAGAGCTCGCGCACATATCTTAACTCTATCAGACGAAAACCTCAGCCCTGGTCTTCATGCGACAGGACGCTTTATGTGCATGGTCACAGCATGAGCGACGAATGCGTGAGATAGGCGCTTCTACTCGTACCGGGGCTTTCGAGCAGCAGAGCTCTCCAGAAAGACACCGCAGCGGATCGTTGTCAATCGCTCCCAGACCGGCTGGTCGGTAATCGCAAAGCAGCAGCATCGGACCCATTCGATTTGTGGCGCAACCGCATCGAGGCCCCTTTGCTGCAAAGGGGAGAGACGGCCTCGGAGGAAGCGCAACATTGAGCCCAGCAAGTACTTTGCGCGGCGTTGCAGTGCTTCAGCCAGACATCTCGCAAGGATGATGGATGAAGGCGACGCTGGGCATCGCAAGCGCGAGGTGCAGAGCCACATCAGCCAGGCTGGCTCCGGTCACCACACATCCACACGATGACAACAATCCGTTTCTCTTCATGCATGCAATTATCAAGTCCTACTCTACAGATTGACAAGGATCGACGGCCCGACTCGCCCCTCGCATTTGCGAGCTGGCGTGCGATCTAGACGGTGAGAGCGCCGCTACCAATGCCGATGCCCGCCACAGACAACAACGTCTCACGAGTGCGCATCAGAGATTTTCCAAGCTGGTTGCGTCCAAGCCCTTGGGCTGTGGAGCCTTCGGGTGCTCCGGAGCCCCAAAAGGCGTCGCTAGGGTTCGCTTCCACCAGCTCTGCCTCCCCTGTCTGCACAAGCAGCTCACGCAGGCTCGAATGCTGTGTAAATTTGAGCAGCAGCGTTTCTCGCATCTGGACGGTGACAACAAGGAGGGTCAGCATGGACATTGGTGAACATGTGTTGAAACTCTCCGGTCGCTCTCCAGATGACTGCACTCACCACGGCGACATTGATGCCCTGTCTGATCCAGCCCTTGCGAGCATCCGCTACATTTGCTCGAGCAATCAGCATGGCGTCCGAGGGAGAGCCAGCTTTGCGCACTTTTGTCGCGATATCCGGTCGATGAGGCAGGAACTTGAGTGATTGGAACAAGTGCTCTGGGAAAAGGTGGCAGCGATTGCATCGTCAGAAAGGGCCCACCATGGTGCAGTCTGAGTCTAGAATTAGGCGCTCATTATGGCCCGCATTTGTCCGACTGTAGACTAGACATTTGGCCGGTCACTGCGACTCACCAGCCGTCTTGTAAGTGACCCCGTCCCTGACCACCGGGTGCGGACTCGAATTGCTGAGCCACCAGTGTGCGCCAGACTTGGTGAAGAATTCCACACGTTCGACACTTTCCGTCTCTGCCGCTTCTGCAGGCGGGCTCGCGCTGTGATTCACGCTGTGCGGCTTGTCGCCACTCGCGTCTGCCAGCGCTACGCCATCTGATTCATGCTTGGAATCGTCCTTGTTTGAGCTGGGGCCCGCTTGTTCTGAGATCAGTGTGGCATCCCTGTCCCGCGCAGTACGCGTCGGTTGCTGCGAGATACTAGCCCCCTCGTGATTCGCGAGATCGTGCTTGTGAGAGTGGGCTTGCTTAGCATCCGCAGCTCCGGGATCTGGTAAACCTGCCAAGCTTGCTGCGACCGCACCTCCAGCTGCAGGCGCAGCAGGCTCCGATTGAATGGCCTGCTCGGTCGTCGGACCCTTTTCAGGAACGTCCGCAATGGTCTCGCCAACATCCTCGACGGCATCCACTGCTTTCTTCTTGAACAGCTTCAGCGAGCGGATCGTTGCATGTGGCATGATGAATGGAGCGGAATGTATGCGATTCAAAGCGGAGGTGGACTGGGATTTGGCTGGACGTAAGTCTGCAGAGAGATGATGGTTGGTCAAGTGAATAGAACAACTTGCCGCCGCTCTCTCCGATCGCTCGCGGGAAGTCTCGCTTCCAGCTGGGCCGCAGTTCAGTGTGGACAGTTGTGCCTGACGCCGATACCGAGGAAGTTTCCAAGACGATGGCAAGACAGGCGACGTCGGCGCACGCTGTAGTGAAGCAGCAAGAGCAAAGGTTTCGCCTGTGTCCTCGATAGCAGCCAGCTGGAGAGAAGACTGCGCTGAGGTGCCGTTTCGAGAAGTTGATGATGATGATTATGCTGTTATGGCGTGCTGTTTTAAGAGTTCCGAGATTGCGGCTACAAAGTTCGTGGATGACGTGGCGCCAATGGTGAATTCGTGGTTGTGATTGTGAACATCCGATCAGCGTGGGCACATGTCTCCACTGCTTCTGGGATTCTCGACACTGCGACCGCTGCTGGATGCAAACCATCGGGAGCGGCAACGGCTCATCGCAGGCCGCCGGTAGAGGAGCGCCTCCATTCTTGATGATTTTTGATCTTCAAAGGGTCTTGCGGTGGAGACCTCGACGCTAGAAGACAGCGAGTAGACATGAGTGTGGCAGACGGCCTCGCGACTGTCGGAAGACCCCTTGCGGTGTCGTGTTGTATGCACCGAGCACGCCATACTTGCTTCGCGGAAGAAAACGCCGCATACAACCACGAATCAAGCGAGACTATGTATTCTTGATTATTCACGATTATTATATAGCATGCATCAGATGACAATTAACCCTGGATGCCGCGGCCGCGTCTCGGTTGGGGCCGCGGCCGTTCTTGCCATGCAGCATATGCTCATCATATATGCGATGCCAACACGTGATAGATCACCAGCGCTTTCCCCTGCAGTCTATGACACGTGACTTTGACTCAAGACTTCAAGACTCAAAGTCTCATCAGATCAATTTTGAATCTTGACTTTACTTTGACTGCGTCATTTTTGATTCGAGATTGTTGACAGGACCGATGTCTTCCGAACAGCACATGTACGCGGCTTGAGAATCAAAATGTTGCTCCAACTCTCGACACCCTCGCATGTTCGTGATGATGGGGATTCGTCTGCTCGTTCCCACGCCGCGGACTGCGCGATCTAGGCTCGCGATGCCGACACAACGTCAAGCCAGACCATACTATACAAGAATGACAATCATAGGTGCTTAGTCTCAAAGAGGTAGTACACTAGCACTCTGGCCTTCCTTCCGACTCTCTCAAGCTGAAGCTCTTGCTCAATCACGTTCCACGATCGCAATCACCCGAAAGAGGCTTTATAAGTTTGTGGACTGCGGGATGTGCCCCGGTCGGAGTTGATAAGCTCTCACCTCACGACTCGCCAAACGGTTCTCTTCGCGGACCACTTCGTGTCCGGAATGATCGCTATGTAATCTGAATGCTTCAATCACGAATCTTGGCCTACCGTTCAAGATCGAACCGCCAGCCTTGTGCTCGCAGCTATATATCGACCCAGCATGGCGTCTATACAAAAAGAAGTTGCAGCTGTTGTGTGCGCGTGCGAGGGCCAGGCACGTGAGTCGTGGGCGCGTTCAGCCTCAGCCAGGGTGCCTGCAGAGAGCGCGCCGAGCTGCAGCTTGGCGTCGAGACGCTAGCCGCCCCCACTGCCAAGACGGCTCCCAAGGCTCTACGCTCGTAGGACACCACGTACGCTTGCAGAGACAGAACGAACCACAAGTTTGTAATCGTGAATGCGAGTCACGAGTATAAGAGGCGATCGCCAACGTGGGACCTTGCTCACCTATAAGACTGATCCCCACTCCCACCTCCTCTCTGACCGATCTCGCACTGCCTGCCATCTCCAAGGAACGCCGGTCGTTCCGCACATCTCCCTCGTCACCTTGGCACCCCGTCACCTCGCGCCCCCGGTCTGGCACCGGTCATCAGCACATCGCGCCAAATCGCAAATTGCGTCCTCTCCGCTCCCATCCACGTTCATTATGCGCTTCTCCTCAGCTACATTTTCTGTCTGTGCCGCGGCAGCCCTGTTGGGCGGCGCATCTGCTGCTTCGAATTATGCCGGTTCAGCACCGGTGAGTATCAGCGCACGGCAAAGCTTGAAGCTGCGCAGCGAATCTACAACGTATCGGACCTCGCAGAGCGCATCAGCTGACCAGAGCCAGCTTGACGCCATCTTCGCCTCGCCCTTCAGGAGAGCAGCATCGCCGTGCTCCTATCGAGGTCTGGCGGTGCAATCGCAAAGCTAGAAATGCGTTCTTCTTCATTCGCCTCTTCCGGTGGAGGATTCCCCTGGGGTTCAGACAAAGGAATCGTCTCGAACACCGAATCGCACTCCACCAGCATCGGAGATTCGACCATCACGTCCAGTAGCACGTCCAATTCCTCCAACGACGACGACAAGTCCTCCGCTTGCAAGGACGACGGGAGCGTCATGAAGACGGGCAACGCGGTCATTTCTTCGTGCAACGGCAAGGACAGCATGACCGTTGGCGGTGTCACCTTCTCAGACACCGACAACGACGACGATGATGAGAAAGACAAGAAAGGTGACCACAAGAACGACGCGTCTGCGCAGACTCAGTCCACCTTGCTAGCTCTGGTCGCCGTCGCATTTCCCATCATCGCCTTTGCATAGACGTTTCGCTCTTCTCTCTCCTCACCGCCGTTTCACGATTTGGCACAGTACGACATAGCAATGACATGTCGCAGTCCAGTGATGTGCTGGCAGATATTCCTAGTCGAGCACGCGAAAGGAGATGGGTAGTTTGGTTATTGATACAAAGCGCGGCGAGCCTCCGGCGCAGAATAGCTAGTGGGAGAAGCCCATCTGAGATTCTCGTGCTCGATCCTTGTTGAGCTTTGACTCCAACTTGGCGAATTCGTCCAATGCAATCTCCTCTTCCTGATCGAGCACCTATTGTCAACGAGATCGTTTCAGTAACGTGCATCTCAGACTACAGGGGCAGCGTAACAATCGCAATACTAACCTGCTCAACTGCTTCGACCTCTGGAATGTAGTGCTTGAGCATACGCTCGATTCCGGTCTGTAGACGCAAGACAGAGTAAGCAGGCTGGCGCTTTCGTGATGATGGGACATTCTGTGCGCACTCACTTTCAAGGTGACTGCACTGCTGGAGCAGCCTCTGCACGAGCCTTTCAATTTCAAACGCACAATCCGATCGCCGTCCTCATCGAAGCCCCTGTACTCGATATCCCCGCCGTCCTCCTGTATTGCGGGTCGAACCCGAGTGTCCAGAAGCTCCTTGATCATAGCAACCGTCTCGCTGTCCGTGTCCAAGATGATCGTGTCTGAAGAGCCCTGAGCAGATTCAGGATCCAGAAAAAGGTCTCTGCCCGCTGTAAAGTGTTCCATGATGGTGCTATAGATCTCGGGCTTCAGTGTTGACCACTGAGTCTCGCTGTCTTTGGAGACGGTGACAAAGTCGGGACCAAAGAATACTGTCTTGACACCATTCAGTCCGAAAAGCGTCTTTGCGAGCGGAGAGGTCCTGTGCACAAGAAAAGCATCACCGATCAGCGTCCGAGCTTCCGCGCGGCCGGTTCGTGCGTTGGTGGCGAAGACTCACATGGAAGAGCGGGTGTCTGTGAATTCGGCCGTTCCGCTCTGCATCACTTGTTGGCCGGGCAAGAACTTTAGAGAGTCCTCATTGGGAGTGGACTCCGTCTGAATGAACATCGACCGGGCTGTGTGCGAGTAGCATGGAACGGTGGGCGGTAGAAAGCTCGTCAGCTAAGAGTTGTCGTCCCCACCGCTGCTGTTGCCACAAGGAGGCGGACAGCAAAGAGAGGCACTCACATTGCTGTCTGCCAAAGACGGCGCCAGCAACAGGCACGGTCGGGCGCAAAGGTAGCCTCTGAGTGTTTGCAGTCGAGGCCGAGCCCAAGCGGCTACTCTGAGCACCAGGCGCAGAACACCCAAAGCCGCGAACAGAAGAGCCACTTGTGGCGCTTCGAATGGCCTGGGCCGCAAAGGCGGGCCGCTGCGCTGATCGCAGCGCTTGCAACGATCGGCTAGACATTGCTGAAGGTTACAAGCTCTTCTTCATTCACCTAGAGGTGGGTCACAGGTGAATCGACGATCCAATAGACGCTCGAATCAATCTGTGTGGCTTCGAGCTCGATAGCCGCAAGAATGCGAACGACTTGAGTGGCAAGCACTTGTGCCGGAGCGTGTCAGTACAGACGCAGGATTGAAGTGCAGCGCGAGTTGGCGAAGTGAAGTGAGGGGCAATGCCAGCTTCTGAGTGGCGAGTGTGATGGTGAGTGTCGTGGATTCAGTAGTTGTGCTGGATGCAATCAGGAGCCATCGGAGTCAAAGCGCGGGGCAAAGCTGCTCTGATTTGTCTGCCTCGTCATTGGGCGCGGCCGCTCCACCTCGATGAATCACGTGAATGCTAAACAGGTTTGTCGTGCGAGTGACGTGAAAAGGTCACGTGAGCAAGTGCCGCCGGTTTTCCGGTTTCCGGCAAACGCTTTGGCGTTTGCAGCCGGTGGGTGCATGGTGGATTGATTGCGCTGCAATCCACGCACAGCAAGGGTCAATCACGAATCAAATGCTTGGAATTTGCGAGGGACATGGCCTCACCCTGTGTGACAGGCAGGTATATTCACGTATACTGACTGTATGCAGCAGGAGCTGGTCAGAAACCGAATGATTTTGGATCTGAGACCAAGCAGAGCTTGACTCCACATATATCAAGACGATATATGCCCCGGATTTCACCTGCGCGCTTCGGCCGCATTCGTGATTGAGCTTTGTTGAGCTCGAATTCAATCGCCTCGGCCCTCCCGTTTTGATTTCAATTGCGATCGAACGACCTATAGTGGTGCGCTGCCTGCCTGCCTGCCGGCCTTGCGATACCGTGCAAGTTGTTGCGCTTCGCTCACATTACGAGCAACAAGAGCATCCATCGTGCAGTCACGAACGAGTATACACAGACAAATGCTAGCTTGCTTGAGCACAAGCAAACAGGTGATTCGACGGCGGTTCGAGCACTCACGACTGGTCGCAAGTCAGAGTCTCGCTTTTTACCAGCGAGCTTGCTCTTCCCGCTTTGGCCCGAATGTGCGGGGAAACCTCAACACAACATCGCGCAATCAGCAAGAGCAGTCGAGAGGGTAACAGTCGGCACGAGTACATCCACGCACACTGCCGTGGAAGCTACAGCACCCAGCCAGACGATAAGACGAGCATCGCACAGCATCGAGCGGCCAGATCTGCGGAGCTCTTGAGCGCGCGTGCGCTGTAGGTACGTCTCATCCCCACAAGGTGCAGCTGGAGAGCGCGAGGAGCGAGGAAGAATCTCCGAATCAGCGGGCAAGTAAAGTACCTTTCGCCGAGACACAACAGTGAAAAGCATCGCACCACGCTCTTGCCTCCCTCTCTCCATCTTTGCGACTGCTCCACTCTTCAAAGGCACTTGATCGTGGAGACTCGCCGCGCGCCTTTCATTCTGGACGCCCGCGATCTCGCATTACCCAGCCACTCTCACTAGGAGGACCCGCTCCATCTACACCCTCGGCATTGCGCGTAGCAACGACCTCGACAACGAGAGTGGAGCACAGCAGCAGCCTCTCACACCCGCCACCGAGCTGAACACCTCACGATGAGCTCTTCGGCTCCGCCACCGTCGGGCGGGTCGAGTGCAGGCTCGTCTAGAGTCTCCGCTGCCAAGGTGGACGCCTCACACCTGGTGCAGACCAAGCTCAAAGTTCCGCACAAGTTCACCCCTCAATCATTGGACGTGACCGGCATCTTGGCTCAGCATGTCAAATTCCAACAGCTTCCACCTCCCACGGATCCTTCTTACGCTTCGCGCAAAGCAGGGTTGCGGAAAAGACCGCTCGCATTGCTGCTGCATGGCGTCTTGGCACACAAGGACCAGACTTATCACAAGGGACTCGTGGCCAGACTGCCTATCGACAGCTTCAGATTCGACTTCCGCTCAAATCACGAGACTCCACCTACAGGTGGGGACGGTGGAGGCTGGGGCATGGCCAAGTTTGATGTGAGTCGATCGGGAGGCATAGCATCGGACGTAGCTTTGCGTCGTCGCTGATCAACGTGCCAATTTGAACGCTTAAAGGAAGATTTAGATGATATGAGGTCCGTCATCCTCCATCTCAGGGAGAGATATAATTATCATGTGCACTTGCTCATCGGTCATTCACGAGGTGCTCTAGATGGATTTGCCTACTACTCCAAGTGGGCGGAGGCTATGAGACAAGATCCAGAGGAGCGGATACCTTACTACGTCAGCTTGAGCGCTCGATGGAGAATGCACGTGAGTGTCTGCTGGGACCCATCTGCGCATGGGCTGCGAACGGCGATAGGAAGAAGTGACATGCTGAAGCAGAGCATCCTTCGTCGTGCTGTGATTTCACGCGGCAGCGCATACATGGTGAGTATCGGTTCTGGCGAATCACCTTCGTGCATACTGATCTCTTCATCGCCCCCCACGTCATGCAGATCGAGACAATGTTTACTTGCCAGCGTTTGCGAAGGAGGGAATCTACCGGTGGAATGTGCGCGTGGCAGGCAAGGATGTAGAGGTGCAGATCCGACCTCAAGACGTCGAGCAGTTCGCCAATTTCCCAATCGCAGATCACGTCAGGCGCTTTCCGCTCGATTCCGATGCGCTCTTGATACATGGAACAAGCGATACAACAGTGCCCACTGCTGATGTGGCCTACTATGTCAACGAACTGTGAGCTCGAGCAGGTCGCGTCTCATCATCGACCATGCTCACATCGCTTGCTCGTTCGCCAGGTCTGCACCCGGCCGAAGACCAGGATCGTGCACGTTGTGTGAGTGCATTGACATGGCGTTTTCCTCTATTTTCAAAAGATTGTGTTTAGTCAGGCGGGTCGTGCTCATGTTTGGCCACCCCTTTCTGGCAGATCTGGTCGAGAATGGCAATCACAACTTCAACAGCCAAAAGGGCTTGTGAGTGACAGAGTGCGCCCGAGCATTGTACTCATAAGCCGCGCACTCCCTCCGCGGTTGATCGAGAGGCTCAGCGCGAGAATTTGAATGCTCTTCGTTTGCAGATACGACGAAGTCATTGAGCGCATCACTACTTGGTATGCCGCACGCACAGGCTCGGGTGCTGATGGCGCAGCCGCGCGGGCTGGCTTTGCACCGGGCGTGTCAGCGGCTTCGACATCAAGCGAGGCAGAGACCGCCGAAGAGGCGCCTGTCCCGACTGACGCTGGCCCTGGAGCAACTACCGAGACGCTTGAGAGCAGCTGGAGGAAGAGCGTCGACGGCGACAATGCTGGCAAGGGCAAGCTGTGAAAGAGAGGCTCACCTGCAGCTGCGTTTCTATAAACATACCAACATATCATTACCACGCCTCTTGTGCATTTCGTTCTTCGCACCTCTGTCGCTGCTGCCGCTCGAAGGAACGTCGCTTCACATATACCGAAATCATACATATATCACGCCATGACTCTTTGACCTGAAATTGGTCAAGATCGAGATTCTGGACACGAGCCTGTGAAACCTCACATGCCAGGAGGACGCTGTGGCGGTGGACCAGGCGGTAAAGGAGGTGGGCCAGGTGGTGGAGGCCTGCGTGCAGACGAGACGCTCGACATTCTTTCTTTCTCCATACCTTTGCCTCTAGGTGGCGAGCGAGAAGGTGATCTCGAAAGGGAAGAGCTCGCTCTGCGCCTTCTCGTTGGCGGACTTGCAGATCCAGAGGTGGATCTTGCACGCCTAACCTCCGCTCGTCGGGGCTCGGGCGATCGGCTTTCGCTGTGACTGTCTGGTGCACGCCTGCTTGCTGGTGCGCGGTCATTGCTGTAGCGGGGAGGACTTTCGCTAGGGCCGTTGTACCTGCGTCGCGGTGGAGAGCGATCGCGGCCACTGCGTGGTGGTGGAGTTCTGTCGCGAGGCGGCGTGGGAGTATAGCTCGATTCACGACCTCGACGAGGTGGCGAGTTGTCGCGTCTGCGACGAGGTGGCGGACTTTTGCTGAAGCTTGGTTCGCGTCTCCTACGAGGCAGCGAACGGCTGCGACTACGACTCCGACTCCGACTGGAGCCGTACCGACGACGAGGACTGGCGCTGAGGCTAGAGTCGCGTCGACGACGACGAGCGGGTGGACTGTCGTCGTCATACCGCGTCGGACGTCTTGTGTCTTCAACATCTCTACGAGATGCGGTCGGGCGGGGACTTTGGCTGTTGTATCGCATAGCAGGTGCACGTCTACCTTGAGGTTCCCGACCAACGTCATCTCGACTGCGCTTCCTGTCCAGCTCATTCTGGAAATCTCGACGATCTTGTTCTTCCTTCTCTCGCGCGGCACGTGCAGCTTTGTATGCAGCCTCCCTCTCTGCGGCCACTCTGACTCTTTCTTCATCTCTCCGTTTGCGCTCCTCGATGCGCTCTAGCTTGCGTCTCTCTTGGACTTCAGGGTTAAAGGCATCACCTTCCCTGTAGTCGGCTGATACGCCGAGCGCTCTCTGGAACTTGGATGATTCTACCTCTTTCGCCGCCTGCAGTTTGTGCACGTCAGACGGGCGAAGCTGCTTGGCTTCGGCTCTGGTGGGCGCTACAGATAGGTTGCGTAGCAGTGAGGTGCGAAGGTCGGAGACTTGTCTCTCAATGTCTTCCTCTGATAGGCTGAGTGGTTTGCGGAAGTGGATGCAGTAAGCACCTCAATTCGAGGGACGACAGGCACGACGCGCGGACACGTTCTGCTCAGCTTGGGCAAGCCACTACACCAGCTCGACTTACCCCTTGTCTTCGAGTTCGACCTGCAGCTCCAAGCACTGCAATTCAACTTTTCGCTTGCGCTCGTGTTCCAAAATCCCGGCATCTGGCTTGCGAGAAGGCGCATCTGACCAGTCTCTGTCATCTCGACGGTCGCGTAGGCTACGCTCGCGCCCGTTGGAAAGAGCGGAGAGGTTCTTCTGGACGTAGCCGTTTGTGCCGCTGAAAAGCGCGTGAGAAGAGAAAGGTCAGCTTGAAAACTGACGTGTGATGATTGCACCCAGCCCGAATAACTCACCTGCCACGAGCTGTCTTGAGCCCAACGCCGTTGTACATTTTGTGGTGGACTGACCGAGCTGTGGATCGGCAGCCTCGACTGTTTGTGCAAGGTGCCTGTAGTAGGTGACGGCATGAATCACGAGTGGGTGCTCGATGGCCTTCTAGGAGATCGATTCCTCACTCACTGGCCAGAGAGTTGCTGCAACTTTCGGGTTTCCTCCCGCATGCTGTGTGATCGCGCGATCGTAAATCGAGGATCACGTGATGTGGCCACCCCTTGCCCATTTTGGATCTTGAGAGCAGCTCCAACTCATCTGGTTCTTTGTTGTGATGTATACAAGACTCATCAAGACTGTTGTGTGACTATACACGCAAGGCTCTGACTCTGAAATGTTCGAGCAGCATGGCCTTTGGAGTCAAACTGCGTATATTCACGACTGGCGGCCATATTCAAAGACAAATAGCGTCTGGCAACTCTGCTCACGAATTCAAGATTGGAATCAAAATCTGGCGAAGGATTTGCACATTCCAAGGGAGTGCAGACACTTGAAGAGTCTACTTGCTGGGATCGAAGGCCAAGCATGCGCCCGAGCTGGCCGATCGATCCCCAAGTCGGCAGCAGCGCAACGCCACGCTTGCGACTCAACGATGGAACGCTCAAGACTCATCAGTCGTGAGTGTGAGTGACTGATGAGATTTTGATTGGTCCAATGCCCATTGCACGATCCTGCTCTGGCGCTGCATGGAAGTCGCAACAAGCGCAAATCACGAGACACCAACGGCGTGTGCAAAGTCACCCGCTCGACCTTTGCTGTGGATCTCGGATGGACCATGTTCGGCCGCTGACGACCGTACAATGGTCTGTCTGTTACAATGTGAATTAAAATCGTCCTTTTTTTGAGTTTGTATGTGTGTGTTGGCTAAGCACAGCCTCTCGACTGAGCCGTGACTGAATTTGCCGCTCGCTCGTTGCTGGCCGCTTGCTTTGAGCTCCGTCTTGTCGCCTATACAATCTTGAATTAAGAGTCTGATGATGAATGCGTGCATAAAATGAATAACGAATTGCCAGGGGCTTGCTCGTTCTTTGAATTTGAATGTGCCCGCTTCACTCAGCTTGAATACCCCGGCAAATGCAGAAAAGCCACGAACCTGTTGAAGAGCAGCATGTGTGCGGCAAACGTGCAGCGTCGAATGCGGTGCAAGGTAGATCTCAGCTTGAATGGCACAGGCGCAGTGTGTAGTGAAGCGAAGACTCGGCCATGCTGGGCATGCATATGCATGCAGTAGGTCATGCATCAGCATGCTTGGTCGTCGCACTGCGGATTGCTGATCATGACTCTACAAACGCGCCGTCAACGCTCGTGCGTGCATGGAGGGCCGGGCAGGCGCGGCGGTCGCCGGGCTGCGCGGGGCACGCGTACGGGGGTTGCGCGCGCGTTCGGCAGCCTAGAACTTGAAATCTGCAAGGCGAGGCATCGCCTCACGCGCACAGCACAGCTATACTGCACCTACAGGCGATCTCGCCTGATTCACGATTCGTGACTGTGTAAATTCACAATTCTCTCAAAGAAGTGCAAACTTGGTTCCAGTTGACCTCCACCGTTTCCACCATCGCTCAACATTTCCTCACCACTTTCAATCAACTCAACTCGCCCTCTCACTCCTCTTTGCACATCATGTCGAACAAGGATGTGCGTATTCTCTGTGATCATCGACATGGGGAAAGGATGTTTCGTAACGCACGCGCAGCTGGCTTCAACGCTGCTCTTGCGAGGGCAGCTCCTCGTGACGTCAGCGGGAACAGACCGCTGATGTTGGAAGGTCAAGCGCGGGGTGCTGGATGCGGGCGATTCGAAGCGCAGCATACAGACTGTGTATAAAGTCAGATAGCCGCCGAATAAGATGCTGTCACTGGGTGGCAAGCATAGGCACACGGCGTTGGCGCATCATCACGCTGACCTCGCTTTGTTCTCATTGCCTATTTGTAGTACTACGGGGGTGGACAGCAGGGTAAGTGGCTACTCTCGGACGGCTTGTCGGTGCTGGGCTCCCGGTCGGCGAAATCAAGGCGGCTCGGGTCGGAGAATGAAGCGACGCTTTGAGATGTCAGTGCGCGGGATGGGAGCAGACCTCAGGGGGCTTTGACTTCCATATTTTCAGCGCGTGCGGGTGACCGATAAACAACGCTGGCGCATTGCCAGCCCGGACTGCGTTGCCAACTTGTGCTCGGGAATTGCCTTAGCCCCACCCTCAACTCGTGGCTGCAAGCTCTGCGCGAGCGCTTTCCTCATCCCTTGAACGCTCCTCACACCGCTCGCTGTTCCATCTCAGGCTACCCTCAGCAGGGCTACCCTCAGCAAGGCGGATATCCTCAACAAGGAGGCTATCCTCAACAGGGTTACCCCCAGCAGCAACAGGGCGGCTACTATGTGAGTGCCATGGGCGGACCCTTGATCTTCTAGGGCACCTCACCCAATTTCGTCGACCTATCTTGCAGCCACCACCTCCTCAACAAGCGTACGGAGGTCAGCAGCCTGGCTACTACCCTCAAGCTCAGCCTCAGCCAGTAAGTCTTAAGCGGGATGCCAGTACAGAGACTTGACAGCGCTGAGGCAGCGTGATGGGTGGCGCATCAGACGGAGAAAACAATTGCAGAGGGAAATTGCAGATTCACCGGCTGCCAAAGCTCGTCTCATTTGCGGACGTGGGCCGTCACCTGTGGTGCGGTGGAATAGACAAAACGGCGTCGGCCTCTGTGCGATTTGGCTTGAAGTGTAAAGATCAGCCTTGATTGACTCTCCGGGTCTTCTTTGCAACGTGCAGGTGTACGTTCAGCAGCCTCAGAAGAAGGGAGGAGGAGCCGGAGCCGCGGGAACAGGATGCTGCGCCTGCTTGGGTGAGTGCATCTTGGGTACACCGTCGATGCCACATTCGGCTAATGACTTTCTGCTATCACGTCGCATCAATAGCCGGAGCCTGCTTGTGTTGCTGCGCTGAGGAGATGTGCTTGGACTGCATGTTCGTAAGTATCGACCGCAAGGGTCAGCGCACATGGAAGGTGACCAATGCTCATATGGCCACACCCCACCTCTCACACCTCAGTGAGACTTGTCGCCCAAGATTGCGCGTCAACGCACTCTCGACAGACATCCAAGACTGAGAATTGCGGTCTCGAGGTCAATCGTGATGAAGGACATGCGAATTGCTCAGATTGACAATCGACACTGCCTGCCAAAATTCGTCGCATTCACGAATCCTGTTCTGATCCAATCGCAAATGCCCCACTGTCATCCCCGATACGACCCGCTTCTATTTGTACATGTCAATTCTATCGCCTTTACGATGCTCTCCTTGAGCGGTTGCGCTCTCGTCGTCTTGCGCGCGATCACTGCTAAGAGGCGGAGCTGCAACGCACAGGTCGCAATGGTCACAGGCGCCGCAAAAACAGCAGAAGACGTGCTGTTCAACCCGGAAATGCTGAGTGTCTTGCTGACGCGTAGCGGCTCAGCGTCAAAGTTGGCGAGGTAGGTGCTCCTGGCAGGTGGTATGGACTGCTGCAAACGGCAAATGTGTGGCTGAGCAGCCTCGGGCTTGATGCGAAGGTGACTGCACCACTTCTGGATGAAGCAATTCGCTCCTCTACTGATATGACGCAGCATCGGCTACGGTGGTGCCCCCTCTGCCGACATCTCCAGTCCGAGCCAGACAGGATTCCTAAAGTGTTTGAAACCGCAGCGCTCAAAAAAGCCGAGTGCGCCCGCAGTCAACTCGGTATCACCGACCGTAGGAGCAAAGTCGTCGTATGGACCCTTTGCATTTTTCACGTGCGCTTTTTCTTCGAGGCGTTGCAGCGCACCGCTCCTGGCCAGAGCGTGCATGATGGCCCTGTGAAGCTTTAGACCCATGGCATGAACCAGCAGACGACCTACGCTGCTCTCGGATTCGGCGAGAGATGCATCTGCGCTGCGCAGACGTCTATAGGGAGAAGTGACGTGAAGACTTCCAAGGGAGAGCTGGTCGTGCGCGTACACCCATCCGGCCGCATTGCCCTTTCGTCGATCTGTAGGATAGGATTCGAGGTTCACCCCTGTGAGATCGTCGGAAGGGTTCGCATCCTCTAAGGCATCGCGAATGATGATGGAGAGGTGCTTCCTGCTCTCTACATAATCGAGCGAGAATGGCAATTTGTTGCTCTTTTGCACCTATACGCAAGGGTTCAGGTGACCAGCAGCCAGTCAGCGAGCGTCGTGGTGCAGGCCCTCGGAGCTGGTACAGGCTGTGGTTCACTCACCAACTTGGTCTCTTTGTCAGAAATGAGGCTGCGCACCGACCATCGACCTCTCTGAATCACCTTGCCTCCTTCGCCTTCCTCTGCTCCTTGCCCTGCAGCCAGCAGCTCGGCATCCGGCTTGACAGGAAGATGCACAGAGGCGCACGGATTTGCCCATGAAATGTTCCACCCGCTCGCAAAGGTGGGAGAAATTCTGGATGCAGGCTCAGGCACCGACCTGATAGCCTCGGCATTGTCCTGGGTCTTGTTCGCAGCGCGCAACGCGAGTGTCTCGACATCCACCTGACCCAGCCAAGAGCAAAGCAGATTCGCCCACTCTTGCTCCACAGCGCCTAGCGTGACCCTCCGGCCCTGATCACCCCGCAACGCTTGCAGCTTCTCCACTGCTTCTCGTTGCAGGTCCAGTAGCAGGAACTTGACCAGAGGAGCCGAGTCTCGCACTACTTGTGGCCGCATCGCCGAAGGTCTAGCTTCAAAAGTGTCTTGATTCGTCTCGTACAGTGCAGCTTCGGTCGAGATCCAAATGTGCGTGCTCAAGCTTTGGAAGGTAGGTCGAAAGTAGGTGAAGATGATACCCCAAACGCCTGGAGCAGAGGAAGCATCGCTGTGGTCCTCTTCTTTGGCTCGATCTGATCTGACCTCCAGGGGCACATCCCCCGCAGCGCAGATTGTGCATCGAGGAAACGAGTCCAGAAGCGTCTGCCAAGGGTCCGCATCAGCGACCGCATCTTGCTCATGCCGATCAGCAGTCTCGTAGTGAGCTACGAGCTGATTGCGAAAGGCGTGTGAGATGGGAAAGTGTGGTGGCGAGGACAGATGGGTGATCAGAGAGGCGTAGTCGAGCTGCGAGGTTTTGAAGATGGGGAACGCTGCTGATGATCCGTTCGACTCATCGCGCACTGCAGAGCTGATCATTGTGAATGGAGATGCCGGTTGTAATGGTACTTTCAAGCACGGATCGACGTAGCTGGATGGGATTCTGGAAGTCAAGCACTCGCCATTCTCGCGTCACCGCGTGAACAGCTGGGCGAAATCCTTGGTCAGTGACTGTGCCTGAGCGCTTGGCTGGACATTCCAGATTGCCTGCTACTCCGCGTTGTGTTGACTGTTGAGCCGTTTCAAGTGAGCTTGTGGTTGTGCTCCACCATCTTGGCAACGCGAGGAGTGCTGCGTCGATGAATCATAGGGCTGCGCGAGACAATTCCTTTCTGGTCTAGGAAGTCAAGAGTGCTGCTAACCTGCCTCGATGGCGCGTGATCCGATGTGCAGAGCCTGCGCGGCTTTTTATGAAGTGGCAGACCCTGGCATGCGCATGCAGCACCGGAAATTGTCATAGTAATGATCGAGTCACAGTGGTGAGTGTAGGGAGTCGGGCGTCGAGAGTCACGAATCACGAATGGCTCGTCTGTGCCCAGAGGACAAGAATCACGAATGAAGCCAGACGGGATATGAACGGAACGAGCAGCGTGCCAGAGCGTTGATGCGATCGCTGTGAGAATCATGAATGCAAGATGCACTGATCGCCGCGCATACACAATTTGATTGGTGAGCCTATTTTTGATTGACTTGGTGGCGATCAAGCAATCGCAATCTTGAATCACCTATCAAGAATTGAAATCGCGAATGTCGAGCTCCAACTCATCAGACGTTGGCGATCATGCGAGTGATCACAATTCGTGACTACTCGCGCTAGAGCATGACCCAAGAGGAGCGACTATAGCTCGATCCACCTCGGAACCTCCCACTTCGACTTTCGACCACTCTCACACTTCTTGCAGAGCTCTTTGAAGGCGATACACTCAACAAGATTTAGCATTCGTGATTGTCAACGTGAGCGAAGAGGCACGGAAAGCCAATCCACAAATGGTGTGCCATAGTCGTAGGAGAGGTGCATTCAAGCCTTCGTCTTTTATAGTTGCTGGGCCTCATCACGCCGTGTGGGGAGGAGAGGAGGTGGAGCGACGCTTGCTGTATATACTCGTGACTCTCGCGAGTCATGACTCTGTTGTGACTCAGACTGCCACATCGGTCTCATCGGCCGACGAGAAGCCTGGTCAGGCATTCCAAATGCAGCATGGTTGCTTATTATTGTGCTCGGCATAATACATATAGGTAAACATGGCGCAGAACAAGTGGCTTACTATACCGCACCACGCGTATACTCGTGTGTACCGCGCAGGGCAAACGCGGCAAGGGACGCGTCGATACTTTTGACTGTGAGCACGCAGGCGTCAGAGCAGTCAGCATCCAACCAGCAACGTGAAATCGGCGGCAACCAAACGCGGAGATCCTGCCGATTTCGCCGTCGGCACAAGCATCGGAGCGGCGCGCGAGTCGTGAGTCATCATGCAGCAGCATGCACACAGCACTCGCGCACGCTCGGACTCGGCCGCATCTGCTGCACACCCGCAAATCCTCTCCGCCTCCCCGAATCGTGAATCTCCTCTTGTGCATGGATGCTGTGGATCGGAAAGATATAGAGGCGATCATGCATCACTACCACAACAGGCGCAGATCCGAGCTCAGCTTACGGTCCGTTCGCGATATAGCGTCGCGAGTTCTGGCTTCGGGCTCAGCTCACCTGGCCGCCGGTAAGGGAGCATGATAGCTAAGCAGAAGGCGCGGGCTTGTCGTTGAGGGAATCAGGCGTGCCGAATGGTTGAGCAGTGACGATGCGCGCTAAACATTGTCATTGGCACTCGTTGGCACGAGCGTCATGGACGCCGAGCACCATACGGTAGACTTGATAGTAATGTGAGGATTTGCGCTGCGCGGCACTGCGACTCTCATTCTGTGTGGGTGAGAAGGAGGAGTTGAAGCTGGGATAGGGTTCTCTGGTAGACTTCATCGAGTCTTGCATTCGCTACGGCATCAGCGCTAATGCGGGGTGGTGCCTGTCCGTACTCGGTATCGCTTGTTTGGACCGATGTGAGAGATACCGCATCACGGCGCGTGCTGCGAGCGCGGATTCAAAATTCTCAGGTCAGCCAGTCAGCCAGTCAGCCAGTCAGCCAGTCAGCCAGTCCTCAATGAGGCACACGCCCAAGCTTAGCTGAATGAATCGAGTCACAATTACAAATACACCTCGACGGTCCATCGCAGCAATCATCCTTCCCGCTCAGCACGGTCTCCAAAGGTCAAATACGGCCGACGTCCCCCCCGCTCCCCCACCCCCCCCCGGTTCACTTTCGCAGTCGGGTTCCTACCGTCTTCAACGCCATTCGCCCACAAAATGGTAGCAAGTGCTTCTCAATCCCGGGCGCATTCCCCCACCGAGACGCTGGCGGTCGCTTCGCCGACCACAGAAGTGGCCACCTCCCACGAAAAGGATGGGATCAAGGAACAGCATGCTCGCGAGGCGGACGCAAATGCTGCAGAGCCCGCAGCGCAGCAGCAAGACAGCAAAAAGCATCACTTGGAATCATCTGAACATAGGATGGTCAAGAACAACTTGTGGCTCGTCATTCCTGGTCTCATGTTGACCGTCTTTCTCGCTGCGCTGGATCAAACTGCACTGTCATCCGCTCTGCCTACCGTAGTGTCTCAAGTCCGGGGCGGAGGACCCAGCTCCTTTACCTGGATCGCAAGCGCATACCTCTTGACCGCCACCTCGCTCATTCCCATGTGGGGCAGGTTGAGCGACATCGTTGGAAGAAGACCTTTGCTGTGGGTTGCCAACTTTTTCTTCCTCTTTGGCTCCATCATGTGCGGGGCTGCTCAGGATATCACTTGGCTTTGCGTTTGTCGCGGTGTCCAAGGTGTCGGCGGCGGTGGCATCATCGCCATGTGCCAAATCATCTTGGGTGACGTGACACCGTTGGAAAAGCGAGGCGTGTTCCAAGGCGCGTTCGGTGCAGTGTGGTCCGTCGCTTCGGTGCTGGGACCGCTGATCGGCGGTGCACTCGCTGAGAAATCTTCCTGGAGATGGATCTTCTTCATCAACCCAATCATCGCCGCCTTTCCTCTGATCATCATGTGGTTCGCTCTCAAGGTGCCTTTCGTGCAGAAGAAGACTGCGCGCCAGGTATGGGACGAGTTCGACAAGCTCGGCTACGGTCTTTTGCTCGCAGCTGTCATCCTTTTCCTCCTCGGCTTCGTCTACGCGGAAGTGGAAGGCTTCAACTCGAGCAGATCCATAGGTTTCCTAGCCACCGGCGCTGCTCTCTTTCCCATCTTTGTGGGTTACGAGTTCCTCGCCGAGCGCCTTCTTCCCACTTCCAGGCCCATCTTCCCGACACGTCTCTTCAAGCTGCGGACTACGACGCTCCTACTAATTGCCGTCGCCATGCACGGCATCGCTTTCTTCAGCTCCACTTACTACATCCCATTCTACTTCCAGGTCAAGGGCAGTTCTCCCATCTTTTCGGCGGTGGAGCAACTGCCTTTCAGCTTGGTCTCTGGCATCATGAGCGTCGTCAGCGGTGTCGTGCTCACCAAGCTTGGGAGATACAAGCCCGTCGCAGTGGTGGGTCTGGGTGTATTCACACTCGGACAAGGTCTCATGATCTTGATCGATGCAGAGCAAAGGAAATCCGTCGTTTTGGCCGTCATCTTCGTCGCTGGCCTCGGTCTCGGATGCTTCTTCCAGACGCCTCTCATCGGCATCATGGCTGCAATGCCTCACGAAGAGATGGCCGCTGCCACTTCGGCCATGGCCATGGTGCGTAGCGCTGCCGGAGCAGTCGGCATCGCAGTCGCAGGCGCCATCTTCAATTCCAAGGTCAAATCTGGGACAGAGGGAATCGAGGGCTACGTTGCTCCTGCCGATCCCTCTTCGGACATCCTCAGCATCTCCCATCTCCAACCTCTCGCTCTCAGGAACGCGGTCACCGTGGCGTATTGCGATGCCATTAGGCTGATCTTTATCATTTGCACACCTTTGGTCGGCGTCGCATTCCTGTGCACACTCTTCGTCAAGGAGTACAGCTTGCAACGCAAAGTCGTGCAAGAGAAGAGCAAGCAAGAAGTCATGGCGGCCCAGAGGGAGCTCGATTTGGAAGCTGCAAACGGCGAAAAGTCGGCCGACACGCGGGCCGGAGCCGCTACTTCGGGTGGCCAGAACAAGACCACATCGTCTGACAACGGCCACACGAGCGAAGACGATGCCATCGTCCGCCAAGCTTCTGCCTCAGATTCGGCCGACAGTACCGACCAACCCAAGCAAAAGCCTGCAGAATGATCGTCTTCTCCTGACGCACATGTGGAGTCTTATTCTCTTCGCTTGCACCCTTTCCTCTCCAAGCAGGCTCTCGACATGACCCGGACACGTCTCTCTCTCTCTCTCTCTCTCCACGCACGACCTCGCACGTCTTGGGCACATAGACAACTCGGAATCCATCACGACTTCATCATGTTCCTGTTTCATCTCCTCACGACATGATTTGCAATGCTTCATATCCTTGTATTTGCGATCATCAAAGATCCCTCGCATTGCGATGTTGGAGGCTCTGCTGTATCAGACGTCTCATCGGCCTCATGATTGCTCGACGCGCCGTCTAGAATTGAATATCGTGCGGAGCGGCGGGGCGTTTGCCAGCTTGAAGTCCAAAATCACAGGTCATCTGCGCATGAATCCTATCGAGCAGCTGGCACAGCAGCGAGGTCAGACGCATCGACAGCGCCTGGAAATCTTAGTCGAAGAGAGAGCTGAAAGGGCAAGTTTGCATCCGTGACGATGAGCTCATCATCGTGCGACAGCAGCTCTCCCAAAGGCTTTTGAAGGTTCGGTCGTGTGGCCTCTTCGAGCTGTGGAGGCGCTTGGAAGTAGAGAGGGCCTTTTGGTCCCGATAAGGATGGTTTCTTTAGTTGCCTGAATGATGTGCCATCATACAGGGGTCCGGAGGTGAGCGTACAGTACTGTGAGCCACACAGTCGAGCGACGACTTACAAGTCTTGTGTCTCCAGCAAGTATTCTAGTATCCGCTCCAAGGGCCAATCCGGCTGCACGTCTACATCTCTAGACTCGCCCCCGCACACCGGACAATCGGGTCGTTTCTCGTGCTCGAACGTGTAGGTATAGACACTCTCGTTACCGGTATACCTGCGTGGTGGAGAGGGAAGCCTTGAGCGGGTGCCGCTTGGTCATGATCCGCACACGACCCACATCATGTAATTGTTCAAGTAAGGCGCAGCGGTCGTCGCGAACTTGAAAGCTTCTTGCGTGCATGCGGCTGGCGAAGAACGTAAATGACTTAGCAATGCACACCCGCGAAGATCGTGTAGCACACAGCCTTACCTGCGATGATAGCGTTTGTGCTTGCGATCGCCGGAATGATATTTTTGACCACGCCTTGAGTCAAGCTCCACGTGACGCCTTCGATGTTGTGTGCTTTTGCTCGGGTCTGCGCCGTATCGAGGAGCCACTGGATATGGTCTGGGTCGTCGTTGTCGAGCTTCTTATCTGTGGGAGATCATCACGCCGTACCCGGGCATCTTCAAGGGTCAGCTCGTCAGTAGTCAGCCGACTTGTATGCTCTTCACTCACCGCCAAAGACTCTGGGCCATTCCAGTACGCTGGCCCATTCGATGCAGTGCTCTGGCAAACGAGGAGTGTTGGCGATGGTGCAGATGGGGAACACTGTTTGCCGCGCCAGCATATCTAGACTGCATTCGTAGCAGCTTGTAATTGTGGGCAAGATGACACGTGCTTGACCTTTGAACCCTTCTGTGCCTCCATCTATAAGCGGCTTGAGCGACTCCGGGTTTTCTTCGTCCACCATTGCTACCAGCGTTGCATTTATCCATCGACGAGCCTCCACCTGCGAGTCCCAACAGGGCCAATCTAAGAATAGTGCACGGGGCGGGATGGCAGAAGACGCTCGATCCATACTCACCGAGTCCAAGCCGCAGATGATGATGTTGAATTGGAGGTAGAAAGCCTCGTCTTTGTCCTGGATCTTGCCATGGAAAGGCGTCACCTTGACGCCCGGCACTCGGCGTTCCACGAATTGTGCCGCCGTCTGTGCTTTGGACCGGCCAACGTCTTTCTCTCTGCAGCAAGAGGGGCGCGGAGGTGAGACTGCAATGATGGAGCCGCGAAGCCAACGTGTCTCCATATTCACTCACCTGAACAAGAATTGTCTGTTCAGGTTGGACACGTCTATAGTGTCCATGTCGATGACGTGAATGTCCCTAAAGCCAGTCAAGGCAAGATTGTGAAGTATTTCGCATCCCAGACCACCAGCACCGATGACGAGAACCTTGCAGTGGTTGCGCAAGAAGTCCTTGACGATATCTCCGGCCTGAAATTGCTCGTCCGTGTAGGGACCGCTCCGCTCGAGGATCTTATCGACGTGCGTGGTGCGCGGCAAGGGTGCCGTGGCAGAGGTCGAGGCTACTGCGGTAGCCATCTTTGCGAAGGCGATCTTGAAGGAGATGACGGACGAGACGCGAATTAAGATGTGCCTAGAGTGCGGCTTTTGGAAGGGCTGGTGTCGCGAGACCGACACCTCAAAGAGTAATCACGATCAGACACAGAGTGCAATGGTGAAGAACAGTGAAAGTCGTGCACGCTTGCTGATCCAAGGTCATGATCGAGATGGAGCGCGCCGCCTGCTAGCTGCTGCTTGCCTGCTCTGTGTTTTGCGGCGTTGCACGGACCACGGCGCCTCGACCGTCGTGCGTGAATTGAAACACGCGAGCACTCGTGACTTCCATTCGTGATTTCGCGCTGCATCGGCGATGCGTTTGAGCACCATGGTCGAACGGCATCTGCATTTGATTATAATCTTTTGTGTCCCGGATACTGCGAGCACTGCATCATATGTCCCTCGAGCGTTGAAGTCAGGTCGAGCGGCGCAAACAGCGAGCCAAACGCTGTCGCTGACGCCTGCGCCCCAAAATGACACCTCATGCCCAAGTCGGCATGCAATGCACAGAGCCAATTCGACCCCACTCGCCAGTCGTAAGCCGAGTCAAGTGGGCAATCAGATCTCAGACAGAAGTAGCATACAGCAATCAGAGTTTGCAGTCAATTCATCTAGGGGAGACCCAGAGGGGCAAAGGTCGAGAAGAGCATGGGTCTCTGAGGCAGATTTCCGCAGGCCCTCGTGTCACGTGCACGAGGATATCCAGCTTACGTTTTCCATTTGTGACTTTCAACGCCTTGACTCCCTTGAAGAATGCGCAGGAAGCTGAAGCGAAGCCTGAAATACAGTCCCTGGCGCACTGCAGCTGTTCTTCTGCGGATCTTGCATATCAGCTGATGGAGCAAGAGGACATGGATTTTAAGCACCAGCTGCCAAGTCGGAAAGTCGTCGCGGCTCGAATTGGCCGAAGGTCGCCGAGGGCGGAGAATTGCTTTCGCGTCTGCCATCTCAAGCTATAGACGCCATATATGCCGTCGATCAGCCTGGCTACTCACAACTCTGACTGACTGCACCAGTCGTCGGCAAGGCTCCCCGAGTGCCCCACCTCCCGGTTATTAGCGCAATTGCAAGGCCGTCAGCCTTGCATCTCAATCAAGAGTCTTTGATTGTGATTGTGGCATACAGCAGATATCAAGTCGTGAGATTTGCCGTGATCAGCTGCTGTGTTCAACTTCCGATTTCCCCATTCACACGATTCCTGATATCACGAGAGCAACTCGGGAAATTTAGCGGGTGACAATCCTGCAGCAGCTAGCCCATACATGCAATCTGAATGATAGATGCATGCCGAAGCTCACCAATAACTCGTGCTCCTTGATCGACCGTAATTGTGAAAGTATAGTCCTAAGCCGATTGCAACTCACAACTGCATGGTGGCCGGAGGTACCTCATTGACAGCAATTGAGCCTCTCTGCTTCCGCATTGCAGGATAGGGGATGCCCGCTCCAGAGTGTTGACGTCATGATTGCGAACCTTGTCCTCAGGAATTCGCGACTCGCAGCATCTCTTGCCGAGGCCCCACCAGCAAGGCGCGACCACTTGACCTGTCCGAAGCCGTCACCTCGTGGAATGGGCGCCGTTTGGGCCTCCTCGACTGAAGACTGCTGCATGTGGAAGCAGCACCGGCCGTGAAGGCTGATAAGTGCTCGGCGCATCGATTACGTGTGACTACGACGATATAGACCGGAGCGCATATGATCCAGAAGGGTACACAGGGTGACATCCAAGACATTCGTGATTCCCGATTGACGACAAGGTCGGAGCACGGAATAAAAAAATCGCCGGCACAGGCGTCTGCTGTAATTCTGCTCTCGCTTTGCTAGGCGTGCGCGCGAGAGCTGCTTGCCCCTGCAAGGTCACGAGCTTTGTGCGCACAGCCATCCGCGTCTGCCAAGCTGTCACGACGACCGCCGGCCGCGGTATCTAGTCGTTCGAGAAGAGCAGAGCAAAGCAGGTCGAGAGGGGTGATGAAGTCAACGAACCAGCAGCAGTAGTAGTAGTAACGTCGAGTCTGTTCAGCGCTATAATTAAGAGTAATCATCGCGTGATTCGTTCCTTCATGCGTCCTTGCTCGGCGCGCTTGATGGGCGCGTCGAACGCCCAGGCTGAACTAAGTGAGGCTCATTCCCGTGGTCGTCGATCGGCTGCCGAATAAGGTACACGATAGGCCTGTGAGAGACTTTCTTGATTGGAGGATTCCCAAGACTGCGTGAAGCATTCACGTGATTGACTGCAAGGCTCCACAGGGAGTCGAAGCCATCGAAGTCTGATGAAGAGTGTACCTGAGTGTACCTTCGTTCTGATTTGGCCCATCATGGACGGAATTAGTCATTCGCCAGGAAAGGCGGTTTGACGATGAAAGTCGAGAGCTGCCATTCTTCTTGAGCGCTGTGTGGGTCCCTTTGCACTCGTGACCTGACCACCTGGCGTCCAGCAAAAGCTATAGGGATATGGATCGGAGTCTAAAGCGGCGAGGATGTGGCTTTCAGCCACCGGCCGTGCGGAAATTCAAATAATGCATCGCAGCTTTGTGATTAGAGCTGCGATGGTTAAACACAGGTCCAGCAGCGAATAATGATCCGCGATCGTGAATCGAGCGAACGACTCGCAATCCTGCTTTCACATCAGCTGGTGGGCCTGCACATATCGTGTATGCATGGCAAGCCTCATGCCCATCATGTACTCTGATGAGAGACCTCGCTTGAGTGGACACCTGTGACATTTGCTGGAGGATGCCGCACCGCGTCCCGTTTGTATGTGTGAGATGAGTGCAAAGCAGCCCAGCAGAGCTGAGGCAGAAAACGTAAATAAGCTCAGCGCTTGCGTCCCGGTAGGTTACCTGCGCAACTCGTGATTCATGACCACTTCCCGCCAACCTTGTGGCGCTTCTGCTGCTATACAGTAGAGGGAACTGGCGCTGCGGGCAAACGCGAACGATTGCATGCAGGGTCAGGTCGAAAGGCCCTTCCCCGCTGCGTTTGTGCTCTCTTCAGCACAGCTCAACGTATCGACTTAATGCTGGTGACTGTTGTGATCGCCAGCCGGACTGGTGGGTCCGCTCTTGGTCATAGCCTAGAGTCACAGTGTCCGCGCAGGCAGAGCATCAGCATGATCACGGCGCGAAACGGGTCGGAGAGGAGCGGCACACGCACAGACGGGCTGATCATCCATAGCGCCGAGCTTGCTCACCTTAGCGCAGCGCTTCTGCCTAGATGCTGCTGATTTGGCCGCTGAGCGCATATCGCGATTCCCATCGTGGGTGGTAGAACCGAGAAGTTGAGACTGCTCAGGTGCAGAGAAAGCTGTCATCGGATGTTTCTTGAATGAGCGGCTCAGTCGGCTGGCGCTCAAGCCTTGCCTGCTTGCTTGCACGTTACCAGCAGAGGCCAGCACGCGGTTAGTCCCAAGCATCCGCTTTGATGGAGATGCTGCACAACGTGTTCACCATGACGCTTTGGAGCGGCTACCTCTCTCTATAGGACGCCATCACCACTCTTCACTCTCATGACGTGGAATCGCGCGCGCCGCGTCTCTTGACACTCTGACGGGTTTGGGTATCTCTAGATCTATTGGCGACAGAATTAAGCAGCGGTACCGTAGCTTGACCGGAAGTAGCGGCTCGTCTGGCCCGAGTCGGCGGATACCGACAGCGCATCCAGCATCTGCCTCCGCTTTGTTCGGATGCGGGAATGAACCCTGGATTGGCGCAATTAGCAACATCACTTATCATTGCGACGGAGAGCAACTCAACGTCCGACTACTGCATGTTGCTTCTGCTGGTGACCGTGCGTGGTAGCCAGATTCTCTGACGGAGACATCTCGTCGACAGGAAACACATTCAAGATTCGTGACTCGAAACGTCGGAATCTCGACAGCAGTGATCAACAACGGACATCCGGCCACCACGTCATTGCTTTGCTATTCTCACTTGCTGTCAAGTCTCGCGTGTGCGAGTGAAGGCAGGCAGGCGCGGAGAGTAATAACATCGCACTCACGACTCCATCAAGACTGGTATAGAGCTACAGGTGACCCGCCAGCAGCAGCGGCACCATCCAGCCGGAGCTTCTGCATCAACTCGATTCAACTCGATTCATCATCGTCGCGATCAGAGCTTGCTTAATTGCCATATAGCTTCTATCGTACCTCGGTGCGGATCCGTCCTCCTGCTGCATTTGGGATTGGCTCGTGGGCGCTACATAGGTACACGTCGCGCATCGCAGCGTCTTATGTCGTACTCAGTCGCGCATACAATAATAACGGCCCAAACTAAAAGAGCTGCAGTCACATTCTATAGCAAGGCGTGGGCATCTCACCGCCACGCCCCGATCGACATCAGCACGAGGTCTGTATACCTCTAACACGCCGAGGGTCACACGTTCGCGAAGGCCGAATCACCTACAGCTGCTGCTGCTTGTTTCGCATCATCGCCAAAGGACGACAGCAGCAACAGCGACCAGGACCACGCCCTCGCTCACATGAGCTCTGACCTCCACCTCGGCCAACTTGAATCCCGATCGGAGCACCATCTTAGCGATACGCGGGCGTAGCGTGCAGCATGACTTCCTCCTCGAGCGCCATGTCGGGAAGCACTCATCCTCAAGCAGCCTCGAGCAGCGGGCCTTCTTCGTCAGCTCCAATGGCAATGAGCGCGCCCAAGGCTACATCGAGTCATGTCATGTCTGCGCCCGAGCTAGCTGCCCAGGGCTTGCTCTTCCGCAAGCCACGTAATCAGCCATCTGCTCTGCCAAGCGCAGCAGGTGCGCTACCTTACGAAGGCTCAGCTCCGCCTCCTCCTCCTGCGCACTCTCAACCTTATCATCAGCCAAGTCAGCATCCCCCCCAGCCCTCTAGAGGATACTCCAACTCTTCTTCTGACTACCAACCTTCATCAAGCAGTCAAAGCCACGGGCGTGGAAGCGGAAGTGGTGCAGGAAGCTCGTATCCAGAAGACAGCCCTTCGAATCGCAACATGTTCTCAGAACCCTCTTCGTGGCACCAACATGGGTCTCCCTCGGGGCCCTCTCCCATTCGCAGCAGCGCTCCGATGAACCCTTTCGCGATGCCCCCTCCAGCTCAGCAAGAGCACAGCGTCTCTGGTGGGTGGAATCAGTATGGCCGTGGTGGAGGCTCGTCGAGCTCGACTGCGGGATGGCCAGCTGGAGGCTCTGATGGTCCTGCAGTCGACGCTCCCGACAATGCAAGAGACCCGCGACATTTTCCCGTCGTCCACAATTCTAGACGTAATGTCCACGGAGAGCCCTTCCCAATGCGACCACCGGACGGCAGGCCAAGCGACCGGAATGGCTGGCCCAATGCAAGAGATCGGGAAAGAGAACGTTCACCGGGTTGGAATCGCAGCGACGGCAGACCTTGGGAGCGCGAGCGCGAGGCGTCACGCGATTGGGATCGCAGCCGGCAGCATCGAGGCAACGGCTTCTCGTTCGGGCATCATGGCGACGACGACGAAAGCCACTTTCATGGAGATCATGGAGAGCGCGATGAGGCTTCGGGTGCCAGCGGTGGTGCGGGAGGCGCGCAGCAAGCAGGTGCGGATCGCAAAGTCTCGTGTATGGAGTGCAGAGGCAGTAAGGTGAGTGGCTAGCTTCACACGGTTGTGCTTCTGCCCTTCACTCGACTTGCGCGAGATGCGTGGCCTGGAGCTCATCGCAATTTGCCGCCCCCGTCCTGGCAGGTCAAGTGCACTGGTGCGGCGCCAGGGGAGTCTTGTGCTCGCTGCGTTCGTCTAGGACGATCTTGTGTCTTTGAACCTCATCGCCGGGGCAGGCGGCCTGACTCTGCGAAATATGCTAAGCTGGAGAGAAGCTTGGAGACGCTCTTGGGTGCGCTCGGGGACATCAGAAAGTCGAACGCGCAAGAATCAGACAAGGAGAAGGACACGGACGATGCAGGAGCTGATCCTGCCCAAGCTACCTTGAGGAAGCAGCTCCTGGCACTCATATCCAACAGCGCCGGCGATGCAGACAAAGGCGAAGAAAGCGCGAGCGGGAACATTGACCAGGCCAACACCTCTGAGAGATCTGGCAGCGTCAACAGTCCCATGGACGATGCAGCCAGTGCACCATCCCGCGCTTCGAAACGGCAGCGAACTCGCTCGACGTCGTCCCGTGAGGCGTCCTCCGCCATGCCGATCGTCGTGGAGCCGCCATCGCCTCGTAGCAGCGAGAATGTGGAAGGCGCAAACTTCCCGAAAGATGTCGATGAGTCCGAGAACAGCAAGGAGGAGCCCGCAAATCTTGGCTTACCGCCGCTCTCGAATCCGCTCAAGCTGCTTGCTCAAGCTTCCTCCGCTCACAGCGCCAACAACCCTGCATCGCCTGCTGTGCCTTCAACTCCGATCTCATCTGGTCTGGAGCACCGCCGCAGCGCCGGGGCAAATGCAGCAACTTACTGGACCTTCGGGCTCTACTCTGCCAGGTTAGATACGCGACCTGGGTTGTGTCCCATCGCAGGCGGACTCGTCAGCGAGAGCGCGGCCGAGATACTTTGGACGCTCTTCATGAACCATCTGAATTCGCCGATCACGCTTCTGGATCCGAATCTCGCCACCTTCGCTTATGCTCGTTCCCACTCTGCCTTGCTGCTCACCGCGGCATGCGCTCTTGCGGCACGCTTCGCCCTTGAACTTCCGGATGCTGCAGGGATTGCTAGTCGTCTTGATAGCCACATTCAGACGACAATCTTGCCTGCCGTTCTCATGGAAGGTTTCAGAAGCCCTGAGATCGCGCAAGCGCTGATCATCATGGCTGCTTACCATAACCCGACAAAGACGCTGGCCGATGATCGTTCTTGGTCTTTACTAGGGTGCGTGACATGCAACTGTGGATGCGGTAGTCGTGCGCGAGCCTCAGTTGACCTGCCGAGCCTCCATACGCCTACAGCTACGGCCAACGAATTGCGTCTGAGCTCGATATGAATTCATCTATCTTGAGCGCCAAGGTCGGCCGCCAAAATGGTGCTTCGTCAGAGGGCGACGACCACAGCGGCTCTGCGGAGCTTGACGAGGGCTTTCAACGCCGGTTGCGCAGCCGAGAAAGGTGTGTAGCTCGAGCCGCGAAGCACGTTGACACCTTTGAGCTCACAGGTCTCTCCCCTTTGGATATCAGAACTTGGATGAATCTCTTCCTCTTCGAGCAATCGCTATCGACGCACATGGGTCGCCGGTCCACTCTAGTTGTCGACCCCGTCGTCCGCGAGAGCGCCGCCGGCTGGCACAGAGCACCATTCGCTATCGCAGATGACGAAGCCGTCGTGGCCGTTCTGCAACTCCGCCTCTGTGTGCGCAAGCATCTTGAATTCTTCGACCGTTCTGTCGCAGGTGGTGGAGCGGAGCACGCAGCGCTGCAGCTGGAGTTCTTCCGCCAAAGTGCCAAAGCCGACGTGGACGCCTGGAGAGCAACGTGGTGCGAACAGAGAAGTGGAACGTACAGGATGCGCAATGGACGCCTTTACGCCAATTATGCGCTCATCATTCTCTATTCTTTCGCGCTGAGGAGCACTCATGTTCCAACAGAAAGTCTGGCACCAATCTACCGCGACTCTTTCGAGGCCTCTCTCACATATCTGACCTTGTTCCTCGACATTTTCACACCTCAAAAGCTCATCTATTCCAACAATAGCTCGACGGTCACCGTTGCGTACGTCAGTGTCTTTGCCCTCAAGCTCACAGCGCTGGACCCCGACAAGCAGCGCTTTGCCTACATTGACGCCGACCAGACTTTCTCCCTGGTCGGGCGCGTCGCTAGTGCGCTCGCTGCTGCCGGATCGGTCACACCATGGCGCGAAGGCTGCGCTGGCTCTTATGCGCCGTACCTCTCTGCCGTGCTCGCCCGCGCCCGCCGCGCCTATAGGAAACGGCAGCAGGAAGGCGGAACGCAAGTTAGCGGTCAGCATGATTTGGTGGCCAGTTCGGGCGACCCGCAGGCTGGCGGACGAGATACCAATTCCGACTCACACGTACAAGGTGGTGCTTCCCAGAAGCGAGCTCGAGCATCGGGCGAGCACAGTGTTGTTGGAGACGTCAGTCCGTCGCACAGCTCTCCCGACGCTTTCGCGTTTCATGCGGGACCCTCTGGCGTCCAATCCTCTGCTGCCAATGCCGGCACGCTCGAGAATGGGAACCAGCCTTGGGATGCCCAGAATCATGACATGGTCAGCCACCTTTTGGAGTCCAGCTTGTTCACGGACATGTCCTTCGTTAGTACTGGAGCAGGTTGGGAAGGCGCTTTCGAATGGCCTGTTGGTGTCTGAAGGCGTGCCATCGTATTCAAAACCATTCTCATTGCTCGCTTGCCCACCACGAAAGTCGGCTGGCATACAGCTCATACGCCGTTGCCCCTTGCCACCCGCATTTTTGCTCTGCATGCAGTGTCACCTTCACCTGTGTCATCTTTACTCTCTCGCTCAATGTAAGACTAGACACTTTGTCGAAATTCCATACATTCATCGCATTATTTGGGGAATTGCGCGACTGCATCGAGCGCTGTTGATTCGTCGCCCCAGCGATGTCAAAGTGTCGCTTGCGACAATCGTAGCGTGGCGACGGGCCAAAAACCTACAGCACCCAGGATTCACAAGTGGTCCCCCACCTTGCTACTAGCTGGGCTCTACCGATTTTGACTTGAGGGAGCGGACGAGACCTCGTCTTGTACCGGTGATGTGGCCGTAGATGGGGTTTGAGCTGCGTTGAAGCACCATATCCCGCAAGAACACGCGCACTCGGGGTTGATGTACAGCTGGATTCCCGCGCGCTCTTGCAAAAGCTTGCGCTGCGCTTCAAGCAACGACCATGCACTCACGATCAACGGCTCCACCCGTTCGTCCATCCAAGTTTGGGCAGCATCTCGTGCCCCAGACTTGTGTTGTCGAGCGTCTTGAAGCTCATCGGTTCTCCCTGTCGCTTGCGCACGACATGAGTGCCGCATAGTCCGGCTAGGGGTAAGGCTGATTGATGATGGCTTCATCCTTGACAATCGTGAATCTTGGCGGGCGCACACCTTGGGACTTCCGCATCGTGACTGCGCAACCCACCGATCTTTCCAATGATGAGACGAACATGCCCCCTTTGGATGATTCGTGATGAAGCCGATGCGTGGCAAAAAGCTCTACTCTGGCGGCACGAGCGAGAGCGCGTTCAGAAGGGAGAAAAGCCGCAAACAAGCAAAGGTGCTAGCCGTAGCAAACTTACGACGGGCCCAGAGACGGCCGCCTACTTCGTCCAGCAGTCGAACATCACACACATGCAAGAGCGCAAGCACTCCTACGCTAGCGAATTTTGGGACACCCAGCTGCACAGCAGCACAGGGTGGGCTCAGGCAAAGAGATGAAAAGCAAGTAGCTGCACAGCAGCTCTTGACCGTATCCATCCCCTTGCCGAGCCTGGATGTGTATTGCGGGAGAGCGCGAGAAACAGAACATCTGAAATGCGTACGAGGAATTTGTAAAACGGGAGTGAGAACAGTGTGTGTCGGAGACATCGAGTTCCCCGATCATAGACAGGGTGACATACGTGAACATCGAGCAGCGTGAGGATAACAAGAAAGTGAATGCAACTTTGAGCTGTGCGACCGGGCAAGCAGGACAAAATTGGATCTACGCGTTTTTCTGGGTCAAATGTGTGCATCGAGCATTGCTCGCGTCCCAAAAATACTTTGCACGTCGAGTGCTCGTATAATGGAGGGGAGCGTCACATTGCCCAGGAACAATAATGACCATCGCTCGCTTACGCCCAAGTCCAAGAGATCTCCACCTGACCGTCATTGAGGCTAGCAATGGCCTGGAAAGCGCCAACGCTCAGGTCGAGACTCTGAGTAGTCTGGCAAGTGGGACAGCTGTCCGCGACTTTGGCCGTGACGGTCTTGCCGTTCTTCTTGTTAGTGATCTTGACATTCTTGCCGCAATGGTTGCCGCCACCGTACATGGCGGTGGTGAGTGCGACAAGAGGTGTGTTGTCGTCGTTGACCTGGCCACAGTGTCCGGCGTTGCCACCTTGGTAGAAGAAAGTCGCATAGCCAGAGAAAAGGCTGCCACCGCCACCGCCGTTGTTGTTGCTGCTGCTGCTGCTGCTGCTGCTCGACGAGGTCTGCTTAGCTGGGCTCGAGTGAGTCGTTGGAGCGGGCGTTTGCGACTGAGATTGAGACTGCTGCTTCTGCTGGTTGCTCTTGTTGCTCGAGGGTTGCTGCTTCCTGTCGGAGCTGCCAGAGTCGGATGAAGCGCCATTGCTGCTGCTGGCATCTTCCTCTCCCTCATCGCAATCCTCTTCAACGTCATCCTCTTCTTCGTCACAGTCCTCCTCATCGTCTTGAGTTGCAGCGCCGCTCTCGTCGTCGTCGCAGTCTTCGTCGTCACTGGGGCTTGTCGTGTCCTGAACAGCGACAGCATCGCTTTGTGCGCCAGAAGTGGTGTCGTCAGAGGAGATGGTGGACTCCTTGTTCGAGCTCTTCTTCTGGCTTGCAGAAGTGTCCTCCTTGGATGCGTCGTCCTCGTGTTTGGACTTGGTCTCGGTAGGCAAAGGGGAGGAGGAGGAGCTAGAGCTGCTGGACGAGTGATGGTGAGAGGTGTGGGACGAGGTGCTGTTGTGAGAGTGGCTGGACGTGCTGTTGTGGCTGTGCGTCGAGTTGCTGTGAGAGTTCGTGGGAGCGCTGGTCACGGTCGAAGTTTTCGTTGCAGAGGGGGAACCGGAGCCAGAGCTGGTGCCAGAAGGACTGCCGCCAGTCTTGGTGTCTTGCTTGCCTTCGTCGCCCTGATGCTCGTCGCCCTGTTGCTGCTGGTTGTCGTGCTCAACCTTGTCATCAGCACCGTCGTCCTCCTTGTCGTCGCCGGTGTTCTCTTTGTCGTCACCGCTATTTTGCTGTTGGTGAAGACCACTGGTCTGGACGTGACTTTGCCAGTTGGGGATCTCGGCAACCTTGCCGTTGCCAGACTCCTTGTCATTGGCAGCTTGTTGCTCTGGCTGCGCGGATTGGTTGTCCTCGCTGCTGGTCTCATTACGACGAGCAACTGGAGCAGTCTCAGCGTAGCGACGCGCCTTCTCGGAGCGGCGGCGCATGCGACGGTGCTGAGCCATATGGTTGTGGGCCGAGCCAGCAGATCCACCAACATCGCGTCTAGCGACGTTGTTGGAGTGAGCCAATGAAGGCTGAGCGGCGGCCACAACGGCAAGCGCTGCAAGAGCGAAGGTGGAGATGGAAATGCGCACCATGTCGAATTGTTGGTGTGGAAGAATCTGTATGTAGAAGAGTGGATGGGATGGCTCGATGGACTTTGGTGTCCGAACGTTGATGCAGATGTTCTGTGGTGGAGCTGGAAGAAGATGCAGTGAGCGTGTAGATATGCGCGCACGTCCAAGTTACGGTGTCGATGCGATGTTTGAGCGAGGATGGGGAATTCGAACGTGACCTGTTGCGACCGCACTGCGGAAGGGTGGGCTGAGGGAGCGCGAGAGGGCTGGTGGTGGTGGTGGTGATGTGAAAATTGCTACAGTCGTGCCTACAAGGCTGATGCGTGCTTGGGAAGTCTGTTGATTGGCGAAAGACGAGGGAGATAGGGGACACCGGGGGGAAGAACCAGGGCGAGCAGGCGCAAACGGGGATCAAGAGATGATGATGGGTGGGAATCATGCTTGGCGATGAGCCGCATGGATGAGGCAAGGTATTGTGTCCGGGGATTTGGCGGGCGACTGACTTTGCGATGTGAGCTGTGCTGCTGGACGGCATCGCGGGCTTCTGCTGGCTGACGTCTGGTCAAGGGCGTCCACGCAAGCTGCAAGCGTGCCGGTCTTTTCGAAACGCCAGCAGCAGCATGCAGCAGTGGTAGCAGCCGCACTATAGCAGCAGCCCACCTCTTGTGCCGCCAAAAGGATCAAAACGGGGGTGCATGCTTCCTCTGCTGCAGGCTTGCGCTTGTCCCCCCCCCCCCCTTGTCCGCACCAACCCTTTCCACCTATGCACGCAAACTACTCTGCATGTGCCAGCACACGGTCAGACATGGCGAGACCTCGTGCAGCATGAAACATGCTGGCACATCGTCGATGCATGCAGCAGACTCACGCAGTCGTGAGTCATCATCCATGGACGCCATGCAGCTGTCGTCGCTTCCCCTCCGGCCTCCGCTATATCGTCGCCGTGCTGCATGGCTGCAGTTCACCAAGGCATGAAGCAAGGAGGTGCATGGGCGCGGGTTGCGTCTTGCAGGGCACGTCGCTAGTTCAGATTGCGCGCCCAGAGAAGCTGCTGTACAGCCGTGACCTGTGCTGATGCACGATTTGCACTAGCCGGCGTTCGCCGTGAGCTGCCCGGCCAGGGCAGCACAGCCGCAGGGCGGCAGACCGATCAACAACCTATGCTGTGCGTTAGCGCTTGGCTTCGACCAGACAGGCACAAAATCCCCCGGCCCTTTTCTTTCGATCCAACCCACTTTTGCATGGCACGAAGGTCGCGACGATGAAATCCCCAAGGGTGATTGATTGATCTTCATTTCGGAGCTGCAGATCAACATTGAATTGGGCGAAAAGTCGCTTCGTGACCCACACTCATCAGACTTGACTGATGGGGGCGAAGAATGGTCATTCGCGGAACCTAGTCAAATGTAGATCGCACATCGGATCAGGTGAATGCGGATCAGGGTAACATCCCCAGCGGTGTCGAATTCGAAGATGCGCCATATACTTACCCGGTGCCAGCGCATCCATGTCTGCCCTGGCGCAGCACTCAGGTTGTGGACCCTGATCGAGAAGCGGTCATGCAGGCCATCCGCCATCAGCACGACCAAGATGCGCGAGTGCGACCTCGCTCACATACTCTTCAAGACTTGCGTACGTGCGACACAACAGCCGGTCTGAGTGTAGTCTTTAGTTGTTGGGCTCGCTGCTGCTGCTACGATGTGCAAATCTCTTTAATGGTGAATGTACCACGCGGCAAATTTGCGCTATGTACTCAAGACTGTAGACGCCGAAAACGGCGCGAGCCGGCCGTTGCAGAGGGGCGCAGCAGGGGGCGTACATCTTGCATCTCTGGGCGACGACGGACGTGCATCCATGCAGCGCCCGCAATCACGGCTTGCTCATGCACGCTGCCATGCAGCACCTTGATCAAATTCGCCTCACGTCCAAACTTGGGATTGCCGAATCAGATTCAAGATTGCTGACCGCTCTACTACCACTACTTACTGCAGCGTACGGTTACAGCACACAGCAGCATAAACTGCATGTATGCGTGCGGTCGTGCATTAAGATGTGTTGCTGTCATGCTCGGCGTTGTCCGTTATTAGAAGATGTCCATGACAGTCGTGGGTCACCAGTCGCGATTCGTCGTCAATCTCGCGACGGGCGCAGCGATGGACTTCTTCTAAATAGAATCAAGAATCGTGAATAGACTTCACAAGGCGTGCGGCCGGGGCGGCCGAGCGGGTCAGCAAATCGAGAGCAATCCTGGCAAAGCCGAGGGTGGAACGTCTGAATCGCGATCAGATTATAAAGCTATGCAAAGACACAAGTCACCAACCTCATCAAGAATCTCTCAATTTGAATCGAGAATCACGAATGTTAATTTGAACGGGATCACGGAAGACGTCACGTGATCTTAATTCTACCCACGCGGAAGCCGTCGTGGCGGTGCGGGCGCAGGCACCGATCGCGCCTGCACGTTATCGGCGCTCGTGACGACTTACGATGAACGGGACCCGCGTGGATGTCAAAGCACGAATGTCAACTCGTGAATCAAAATGTGATTCATCCACTGCATACCTCATTGGCCGATTCACATTCTTGATTCTTGATTCCGTATCTTCATGTATGGCGTTCGGCGTTCCAGTCGGGACCTGGAAGGTGTAATCGACCGCCTTACCCACACTTGGTCGCCTTTCACTAATAACCTGCTCCGCTGCAAAGTCTCACGCCTCGCATCGCTCTGAGGTAGCTCACCATCATCGGCACCGTACTCTAGCAGATTGTCACGGGCTTGCTCAAGACGTACAGAGCATCAAAACCTGTTCAAAAGCTCACCATGGCGGCGAACCTCTCTGCGACAGCTGCCGGTGCTAGCGCGAGCCAATGCAGTGTTGTCAGCCCGCTGCCATCGCCAGAAGGATTGTATCAATGCACTGCGACCACCATTAGCCCGGTGATTTTGGCCCCTTCCCTGTCTCTGACACCGGGAAGCATTCCTCCGCCGCCGCCGGCAGCTCGTCTATCTATCGTCAGCGTCAGACATCCCAGAAGATGCAGTGCAGGCACTGACGATGCTTCCGCCGCTCTCGTAGCAACCACAGGGTCTCTCAGCGCGGCCGCTCTTACCGCGAGCTCCAGCGGCAGCCAGAGCGGAGGCAGCGAGTCTGGTGCTGCGACATCTACATCGCAGAACGTCGTAGGACAGGGAAGCTCCCTTGGGGGATCGACTAGTCCATCGAACAATCTTGCGATTTCGCAGACTGGAGCGGGCAACATGACGCAGATGCTCTCCCTGCTGAATCTTGGTGGTGGCCCGACGATCGAGTGTGTCCTCGCTTCGCAAGGCGTGGACGCGCCCGCTTCGCACATGACGGGTGGTGGCGGGCTGCCTCCCATTGCAGCATTTGCGCCTCATCATGCAGCCGCAAGCAATAATGCCTCCGTGGGAGCGCTGGGAGTGGGGACCTCGGCGAGCAAAGGGGCCAAAGACAACAGCAAGAGACCAAAGAACTCCATCAAACAGACGAGCTCGAGCTTTGTTCAGAGGCTCACCCAACATCCCGAGCTGACCAAGATTCTTGCTGCGCGAGTCGAGGGCGACAGCTTTGCTGTGAGTATTCTTCGTCTCGCGTTAGTGCTGCCCGACCCAGCGTTGCCACCTGACCAATAGACTTGATGCGAATCTGTTCGAAACAGTTTCTCAATTCTGGCAAGAGCTTCTTGTGGCTGGCTGATCTGCATAGCAAGACCAAGGTCAGTGTCTCGCGTGTCCTTGTCCGGTATCGTTGCCGACAGCAGGCTTTGCACATCCTTCTCGCAGGAGCCCCTGGCTCGCATGGCTTTCGCATCACCCGTGACAGCCCACGATGTGAATCAAGTCACTCGCTCATCTGATCGACTCGACATTGTTCTTGGCTTTGCATCGGGCGACTTGCTCTGGCTTGACCCCGTCTCATCACGATACACTCGCATCAACAAAGGAGGGATCATGGTATCTTCGCGAGTGACACAAGTCCGGTGGCTGCCTGGATCCGAAAATCTTTTCTTGTCCTCGCACGCGGACGGCACCATGATGATATGCGACCGATATCGAGAGGATGCACCGACAGGTAGCTGGACACCCGCCAGCGTGTGGAGTCACATTCCTTCTAGGGAGACTAATTCAACAGTCCTTGCCCACGACGACGAGCACGCACCCGCCGATAGCGAGCCCTTGGAGGTCTTGGATACAGATGGTCAAACGGGACACAGAGAGCAGCGTCAGTTTCCTCATCTGCGAGCGTGGGACTCTAGACGGTGCTTGCTTGTGACGAGGCCCGGTGAGAATGCAATGTCTGCGGAGATTGCATCGTCTGCGGGCAATCAGGGCAAAAAGAGTCAACAGATCTGGGCGATTAGGAATCCGATCTCGCACTGGAGAGTTTGCGAATCGAAGATCAATGGTGAGGGCAACGTTGGCCCTATGCAAAATTCACTTGAGGTGATTCGAGGCTTAAGCTCGCACCGTGATTGTCTTTGCCATAGACTTCGCTTTTTCCCCAGACTTTCCACACTGTGCGATCGTGTCAGAAGATGGGATGCTGCGTCTCGTAGACTTCCAGGACGAGCGGTCAGTTCCGAGCGTTTGATCTTGGTCGCACGCTCGCTAACTCAAAAAAAAACCGCGCCCTTAGACTCGAGTTCTCATTCAACTCCTACTTTGGCGCGATCAACTGCGCAACGTGGTCTCCAGATGGGCGTTTCCTCCTGACTGGTTCTGTGAGTCGCGCCCCTTGACTTGGACATGAGCACAAGCTCATCATTTCGACGGGAACTCTTTTGCGTTGCAGTGCGATGATTTGGTGACAATTTGGGCACCAAGAGAAGGAAGAATCATTGCAAGATGTCCAGGCCACGCTTCGTTCGTGCGTGCTATTGCATTCGATCCCTGGAGATGGAGAATCGATGACCGCACGTACCGGTTCGCCTCGGTTGGGGAGGACAATCGACTCATACTGGTGGGTGCAGTCTCGGCTAGCCTCGATCACCGCGCGGATTTGCTGACCCTTTCTATGCTCCTCCCTTCACTCGCAGTGGGACTTTTCTAGTGCTGCGCTACAGCGTCCGAAGCATTCGGCTTCCGGCGGAGGTCCTTCGCATGGTGTTGCCGCCAAACGACCCGCCCTGGGAAGCACAGTCTCTCTTGGCCTTGACGGACGTCGGCAATCGTTCTCTGCTCGTAGAGCTTCTATGGGTTTGGACAGAGGCTTCCATTCTGGTCCGGGAATCGGAGCAGAGACCGATCCGGATCTTGCGCCATGCTTCGAAGCGCCTCCCAGAGGTGCAGTGGCAGAGCTGCAACCGATCTCAGTCTCTACATTGTCTCCTCAAGCCGAGCCTCATGGCGAGACAGCACCGGCGCCAGGTCAGACTTCAATCACAGCAACGCCTGCAACTCAAAACGCAACGGGAGGCAAAACCGATCTGCTGTGTGGCGTGAGATTCAATTTGACCGGCATCGTCGTCTTGAGGAGGTCTGGAGCTACTCATACCTTTGAGAGACCAGCACCTCCACCCACTTTTGGCAGGCCTGCCGCAGGGGCGAACAACAATGCCCCACCCCGAAGCAGTTTGGCCATTCGGCGGCCAATCACCCTTCCCTGGCGATCAGAGACTTCCGAAGCGGCTGCTTGAGAACGCGCAGACCGCTTCGTTAAATTAATGATGTTGCCGTCAAGTCTCGCCCTGTCACGCGAAGGGATGTTGACTGATCGACATGGCAGTAGTAGTCTACTGCGCCTTGACGATGTTTCGATCCTATTCGCAATGTCGCCTATTCGCTGTCCGTTGTGTGCGGCTTGTTTGGCTGCTCATCATTGCTCACAATGACCTCTGCTAGCCTTTACAAAACGTCTTCGATGTTCGGCTGACAGAAGTGCGACCTGACCACCTGAGTGATCTTGAGTCGTCAGAAGAGTCTTGAGGTGCAGCTGTGGAACATGTGCCGGGGTTTGCAAGCTTTCCACGCTTGCAAGACGTGTTGTGGAGCACTCGCGGCGAAAGGAACACCCCCCACCTTCTCTCTGAAGGTCGGAGCTCCGAAGCAGAAGAAGGAGAAACATCAAGAGAGGGCTTGTATGTGTGCAACACGCAACATCCATTATTCAAATCACCAAAATCGTAGATGCACCGCGCTGGAGCGCGGGACTGACGACTTGATTTGAAGCTGCTCGCACCGGCAAGCAAGGGGCGCATTTGTTGCTTCTCCATCAGATCGATCCTAGCCGCGAACAACTTAACCTGTTACTCCTGCGCCTGCTGTTGGCTGCTGGACAGACAGCTAGGCCGTTGACCGCTTCGCTGCGCTCGGGCTAAGGGCCGAGTCATGCAAGTCCCTGCATGCTGCAGCCGCGGCAAGACATGGCTCGCTGGACGCGGCGAGCCTCGAAGAATCATTGAGTCACTATATAAATGCTCTTGCCCCTGCGTCTTGGCTTGGCATGCGCCGTTGCGCCACCCAAGAAACATCCTTGCTTCTTATTTCTTTCCCTTTGCTTTTTAGGCGCCTGCATTTCGCGGAGAGCGAGCGGCCCTTGCTTTGTACTCCTATAATTAGGGCGAGCTGAGGGCTCTTGAGAGGGACGTCTCAATTGCAACAATCATGAATCAGAATGGTGAAAGGGGTCGCACGTTCTGGACAATATTCCGCGGATACATCACCTGAATACGGTATCGGAGTCCGTGTTTGAAAGTATCTGCAGTGGTCTTTAATCGGTTTCATCCTTGATGATTCACAATTGATATCGAAGTGTCTCATCAGTCTTGCCTGCACGAGTCCGAGACTGCATGAGGCCGCAAATTAATTGCGAAAAGGTACCTCACAGCTAGGCGGCGCGTAAACACGCATCTGCTACTTTCAAAATTGGTGAGTGAGATTGATCAAATCTTGGGATATGGCTCATTCATTCAAGATTAAGCGCCACACATCACACCTGTCACCGTGGCGTAGGCAATTAAGCGATCTCATAGTCTTGAGTCTGCGGAAGGCAAAGCTAGGCGATCCTCCGACCGTGACTTTTGAAACTTTGCGAAGGAAAGACCCATTCTTGACTTGCCAATTTCTAAATGCTCGTATACCCAACTGATAGGCTACACATACAAGGCGATGCGTCGAATGGAGGAACGCAAGGCTGCTCAGATGTGTTTCTTGAATTGGAACCAGGAAGCGGGGCGGTTATTGGAACTCCGCTGTTACTTTGACTGTGCAGAGTGACATCTCCCCCCTGCTGCAGGAATCTGAACCGGTGGCCTGGCGTGGCCTGCATCCCTTCGCATGTGCAAGCAAACGGGCATTATGGCCATTCTCGCCGCTGAGCCGGCAAGCACATGAAAGGCGCCGCACCAGTCAGCACCCCCACCCGCATGCATCCGGGAGGAAAGATCGATGCATGGTCCTCGTCGGATCGCCTGCATCGGCATGCATCATGGCTCCGTAACAGTCACGAGTGATCGAACACTTCTTGAGCAAATATCGCTGCATGCTCTCCCAACCTCCCGGCCGCTACGTCGAGCTCGGGCCTGCAGCGCCAGCGCGTTGTGTTCGCTTTCTCCAGTGCCAATTCACGACTGCACGCCTTAACACTGCTCCCGGGGTGGCTTGGACAAGAGTCATCGGACGAGCCAAAGTCACGCTTGGTGAAATCTCAGAGAGAGAACGATCTGGACAGATTTGGGCAAGGATCGGGACACACCTCCGGCATCATCCACATCTCCACCACCTTACCAAGGTCTTCTCTCCCCCTTCTTCCCCCCCCAAAGCAGCTCTCCTTTGCGAGCAGTGCGCATACATCACTGCCCACACCACCACAGTCCCTCACTTCTCACACTCGTCAGCGCGACGTAAAACCTTCCTTTTGCACAGGTTTGATCTACAATACCCGCGAACCTCACGGTCTCCCACGAACTCAGTCGATCCCAATCTCTTCAAGAACAGGCACGCACACCCATCGCGTTGCTGCACAGCTCTTCATCATGTTCAGCAAAGCATACCGTAACTACGTGCTCGCTGCATTGGGAGTCGCGGCTTTTGCCGCCGCGCCCGCCGCTGATGCACAAGCCAACACCATGTCTGTGGTCGGCAACTCGGGCGTTTCTGCACAGATGATGTTCCTGCAATCCAACGGTCAGGTCATTATCCTCGACAAGACCGAGAACAATCCCGTCTCCGTTGCTGGCCATCCAGCTTGGGCTGTCGCCTACAACTACAACGCCAACACCTACCGCACCATGGACGTCACTTCCAACACGTTCTGTGCCGGCGGCATGACTCTCGGTGACGGTCGCTGGATTGTTGTTGGCGGCAACAAGGCGGTCGGAGCAGGAGGTGTGGACGCAAAGGCAGGCGCTGCACCTTACAAGTCCACCAACGGAGGCAAATCTATCCGTCTTCTTCACCCTTGCAGCGGCAATGACTGCGCTTTCAAGGAGAAGACGAGCAACTCGCTCTCGAAGGAGAGATGGTATGCTACCGTGGAGCCTCTGCGGGACGGTCACGTTGCCATTCTCGGTGGAATGCGTGACGGTGGATTTGTGCCCTCGCAAGGCAGCAATGAGCCCACGTACGAGTTTTACCCCAAGGTTGGAGAGCCTACCTACATGGACATCCTCAAACGCAGTGTTCCTCTTTCTCTGTATCCCATCACTTACCTCCTCTCCGACAACCGCCTGTTTGTCCAGGCAAACAAGCAGACTATTCTGTGGAACACGGACACCCTTCAAGAGGAGAAATTGCCCTCTGCTCCCGTCCCCATCAACTACCCAGCTTCTGGTGGCTCTGCGCTCTTGCCTCTCCGTCCCAGCAACAACTACAAGGAGACCATTCTGGAGTGCGGTGGTATGAGTCTCGGCAAAGGCTCAGCGTGGGGCAATGAGGGAGGTCCTGCCGTGATGGTCACCGAGAGGCCAGCCTCGAACGAATGCAACACCATCGAGCCGCTCGGTGACAAGCAATGGAAGAGCACGGATAGCCTGGCAGAGGGACGTAGCATGGGTCAATTCATTCAGCTTCCTACTGGAGAGCTCGTGTTCCTCAACGGTGTGACCACTGGTGTGGCGGGCTACACCACGGACCCCAATCAAGTCGGCAAGCCCAAAGGCCGCAGCTTCGGCGACAACCCGTCCTACCAACCCGTCGCGTACAATCCAGAGAAGCCAGCCGGCCAGAGATGGCGCAACTTGGCCAAAGCCAACGTCGGCCGTCTTTACCATTCGTCCGCAACACTCTTGCCGGATGGCTCCGTCTTGGTCTCCGGTAGCAACCCCAACCCAGACGTCACCAACAAACACTGGAAGACCGAATACAGCGTCGAGCGATTGTACTTGGATTACCACGACAAGCCTCGCCCATCTAACTCTGCCTTGCCTTCCAGCTTTTCTTATGGTGGACAAGGCTTCAGCATTCAGGCGGCTTCCGCGTCGGCGGCCAGGAACACAAAGGTCGTCATTGTCCGCACTGGCTTCTCGACCCACGCCATGAACATGGGTCAAAGGATGATTGAGCTGCGCACCAGCGTTTCTGGAAGCACTGTCAACGTCGCTCAATTGCCTCCCAACCCAGCTCTTTTCGCCCCTGGTCCTGCGCTCGCGTTCGTCGTGGTGGACGGTGTGCCCTCTCAAGGAAAGTTCATCACTGTCGGTAACGGCAAGGTCGGTGCTCAGCCCACGGCTGGCGAGACGCAATTGCCAGCTGCTGGCAACGCCCGCATCGCTTCTCAGTCCAACTCCACCAAGCAGTCTACTCCCAACAACACGCTCGCGGTACAACAGGCCAAGGCTCTGGAGGGCAAGCCCTCGAGCGGCGAGTCACGCCCTGCACATGCTGGAGTCAAGGAAGGCGCCATCGCCGACATGGTAGACAAGGTCATCGCCTCGTTCGAGGACGGCAGCATCGATCACCCTCACCTGTCTGGCCGAAGCTTGCTGGAGCGTCACCGCAAGCGTTCTCGCACGCAAAAGCACGACATTTGAGCTTGCGCCTGCGTCACAGCTGCTTTGTCCTTTCAGCATAATCATTCCGCCCGCCGATCCTGTCCCCTCACGCATAGCTCTTCGCTTCTCTCAGTCCCTGCTTGCCCGGGAGCGTTTGCATGTATCTGCTCGACTCAAGCTTCTCTCGACCTCAGTGGCAGTGCCCAATTCAATGGACGATAATGTTGCACCCCAATGTTTGTCTCACCTGTGCGTCTGAACGGCTTCCTGGTCTAGCATGTCTCCGTTGTGTGTATCAGCACAGAAGGGCAAGAGCTCGGAGCTGCTAATTTGCCTTTGGGACAGACAGGCTGGCGCACACATTCGTTGGCGTATCAAGAGGGAGCGCAGGCGACAAGGGAAAAGGACGCCTTTCTTACCTCAAAGTAGGTACGAGCGAAGCTAGGTAAGGGAGAGAGAGCCATCGTAAGCCACGCTCTCACAACTGACAGGCAATGCGTTGAAGCCACTCAAGTACTGTAGCCTATAGACATCCAGCTGGACTGCAGCAGGACGCTGGGGCAGGCGGGACTGATGGTGCATCACCGTCGACGCAAGAGCGCCTGCAGCGCCTGCGACGACGAAAGCAGTCCGCCTTACGAGCCTTTGCGCTCGGTCACTATACTTGAGAAGCACAGTAAGGCGCGGCAAGTTGACGGGAGGCAATGCTGCTGAGCGGTGCAGTCATTGTGAATTGCCCACCGCGGCCGGCGTTTCAAGCCGCTGCGGCGAAGGGAGTATGACAACGGGAGTGCGGCGCCCGGGGCGGGCGCATGAATGCAAGCGCAAGCTGCAAGCATCAAGTCGTCGCGATCGATCGCGACGAGTGGAGATGAGTGGTGAGTCTTGGGCCGTTGCAGCGAGCGTGCAATGCAGCCGGAGCTTCTTCTGTTGTACTCAACTCTGCTGTTGTGGAAGGAGGTTGCGGCGCTTTGGGAACAGCGAAGGCTGGAGCGCGCATGTCATGCAGCAGCAGCTAGCATGTACGCTGTGTTCACTCACACGCAAGCAAAGTCCAATTGGGGGGGAATTGAGGGTGCCTGAGCGCATATTGCATGCTGCCAAGGGCGTGGCCCGGGAGCCTATAGCTAGGCTGTACCGTACATTCAAGTCACGAGTACTCCATGCAGCCAAGGCGGCATTCAAGATTCAGATTCAAGGTCGATAGTCAGTCACAAGTGCGTCATCTCATCTGACACCTCGTACAACGAGATTCGCAGCTGAAAGAGAAATATTGTCAGCCAGAGACACACCACACCTGTCGCGCTGTTTCCCATCATCACCTCGCTTGAACGGCACAGCTATAGGTGACTACGAGGAGCAAAGATCGAGTGCAGCCCATCCAGGCTGCAAGCCAACGTGCGGGCTCAACTTCCTCCACTCTCGAGATCGAGCGCGCGCGCGCGTTGCATGCAACCCGCGCCGCCGCATCGCTTTCAGACTCTCATCACAGCCAGGTCACAGCCACACACCTGCCGCCATCGTTCGGTCAACGCAACTGCAGCCCCCCTCATCGCGTTCAAACCCACGGACCGCTTCGCTCATCGGCGCGCAGAATTCTCTCGTCGAAGGCAAGCGCTCATATCCCGTATGTCCTATTTGCGACCTCTCTATACGTGCGACTTGGCAACCAACACCGGTCAATCTCCATCCATTCCAGCTCCTGCGAGAGGGCCCTCCCGCGCTCACTCGGTGACGTCTCTGAACAGCCTGCAGATCTTCGCCTGACCCTTCCAAGAGTCCAGACATGTCCTCCACGGCCCTGCAGCGCAGTACCAATGTGTTTCTTCCTCGACAGCAACCCAGCGAGTCGGCGCAACCGGCCGCTGCCGCTACCAGCACAACCTCTCGTCCTGGCCACGCCAACGATCTGGCCATCGCGGTGCCCGCTGCTGCAGGAAGCATCATCGTCTTGATGCTTCTCTCCTGGGCGGTAGTCGTGCTGACCAAGAGACGGCGCAGACGCGAATTGTCGATTAGCGCAGCAGGGGCGAACGAAGCCCAGGATGCGGCCGACCATGCTTCTCAGCGTCGACCGACTACGGCCGCGGGCGGCACAGCCTCGCGAGCAGAAGGTGGATCTGTAAGAATGTTGCTCTTTCACCTTTTTGGAGGCAGCGATCCTCGAGCGCAGGCTTCCCGAAATACTGCCCAAGCGTCTGCGGAGACACCTGAGGAGCGAACGAGGCGCCGAGATGAGAGGCGAGCTATGCGCCTGAGGAGAACAGACTCTGGGCATAGCGTCAAGACCATACCCGTCTATCAAGAAGAGGTCGGCGAGGGCGAGCTGGTACTGTACAAGTGAGTCTTGCCCGATAGCTGGATAGCCGAGTCGAGCTTCGGCACCCGCCATGATACCGATCACCCTTTAACTCTGTCCCGCTTTGCCCTCCTCTGACAGAGCGGAAGGCTCGGGATCTCAACTGAACCTTACACCCATGCCGACTAGGGGATCAGCCTCCGATGCGTGGGACAGGGGACACGAGCGCGCAGCATCGCTTCCGCTCCTGGGTGGACAGACCTCGGCTCCTCATTCAAGGACGAACAGCCGGCGAAGCGTCATCGGAGATGTCCGCGCAAGCTTGCGGCGCAGCCTGGTCGGAAGTCCCAGGCGCGACTCTGTACGCGCCCGTCAGGCCAGCTCTGGTGACGCTGAAGCGACCACAGATTCGAATGAGATGGAGTCGCTCAACCCCGTCGCAGCATCCACTTCGATGGACACCCTGGACGAGACCCTACCCCTGGAGCGTAGTCTGGATGAAGAGGAAGAGGAGCGTGAGCGATCTGACACTGCAGAAGTACCTCTGGATGACACACCAGATTACACCTCGCTGTACCCTAGCGTTCACGCTGTTGCCGAAAGTCGACAGTCGCCAGTGCCAGTTACGGAGTCTGCTGCACCGCGGAGAAGCGGACTACGGTCAATCTTCGATCCAAGGCGTCTGACATTCCACGTCACCTCTCCTGCCGGGCGCAGTCGTGGCGCGGAGGGTGTCCCAGAAGCGGATCTTGGCGTTGCTCCGTCGCAAAGAGCAGTTCTGCCCATGCATCATCGCAGGATGGCATCTCATGCCAGCGTCTTCTCGACGCTGACCGGTTTCACAGATGGCAGATCGCTGTCCCTGCATCCCACTCAAAGCAGGAGCAGTGTAGCACCTGGCTCCGCCTCGCCTTCCGGGCACCATCGACATGGCTCCACTCCATCGTCATATCAATCCGCATTCAGGAATGATGACGGGCGACTATCATTCAGCCATAGCGTGGTCAGCCTCGCGCAGCCCTCGCTGTCTGACTTGTCTGGTACAGCAGTCCCAAGAGTGCGAGGTCAAGCGATATCCGGGCCTGTGGAGGGAAGCGTCATCCGCACTTCGTTCCTCAACTTTGGTACCCCTACAGGACCCGATGGGCACAGAGCTCGACCCACCCCAGAACAGCTGAGGTTCCTTAGCTCTGTCGAAAGTCTGGGACGCTATGGTGTGCCTTTGAGCGGTCCCAGTGGAGGTGAAACGGAGGCGCCTCCGCCAGCCTGGGAGTCGCTTGGTCTGCGTGCCGATGATGCCACGTCATCCGCAAGCGCTGCGCCAAACGTCGACGACTCCGCAGCCTTGCAGCCCTGCGCTCGTGCCCCACCGCCTCTGCTCTTGTCTTCTGAGATTGCTGTGCGCGAAGAGCAAGAACAGCGACGCGAGGGAGGCTATGCGATCAGTCCCATTGGGCCCGAGCCTGCTTCGGCAGCACCAGCAGAAGGTGCTGCGCAGTCCGCTGATGCACAAGTGGATCAACAGCCGTCTGGACCTACCGAAGATGAGAATCCAGCGAGCATGCCTTCGTAGAACCACTCGCCCTTTGAATGATCAAGACTGCACTCACAAGGACGATGTCGAGCTTGCCCTGGAAACCCAAAGTCACGTCGACAGCTAATCGATGTCAGCTTTAAATTCAGCATCGCGACTCTTGCTTTACCAACTTCAACAAATTTGTCCTTCGCACCCTACTCGTAACGCTGCTCGTGTTTGTATTCTCATCGATGTCCACACTGCTTTCCTACAGCGTCAAATGTCTCTGTTCGCCTCTCACACATATCGCTGTAGCGGCTCAACCTGGTGTTCCTTCACATTCCGCTCTGCTCTCGCACCCCATCATGTCATGTCCTCGCCTGCGCATCCCTCGCGCCCCGTGCATCCATCCAATGCATCCTTCTCTGTCACGCAATCACGCAGCCTGTCCATCAGCTTTTCAAGTACATATTACAACAACAAGAGGCCGCTCTTCAGCGCGCGAATTTGCTGGGTTGCAGTTCCGAATCGAGAATCAGTCATGTCTTCGCTTGCCGCCCAAAAGATGCTCGAGGCCTTCGAGGCCCAGTCGGTCTAGGTGAATCAGATGACCCCTTTCTCTTCGCGCGTACACGCCAATGTAGAGTATTGTGGCGACGATGAGGAAAGCGTAGGATGTGATGGCAGCGTTGCGGAACTCGGACGGCCGAGACCATCCTATGGTAAGTCCATAGTGACCCTGCGCGAGGGATTGCACAGCATGATCAGCATCAGAAGGGATGCGGCGATGCGCTCAACTTGGTGCTGAGGGCCAGCGATACTAACTAGATCCTGCAAGCCCACGAGGCAAATGTGTCCGATCAGACTCTGATGAGATGCGCATCAAGACAGGACGGGCACGTTGTACTCACGAAAGCGTTTTGCATGGCGAATTGCAAAGCCATCAGACTGTTGCGTCGAGGATGAGTGGACAGGGCGGTCTGCAGATGGGAAAAAGCAAAATTGTCAGCTCAGCATGCGTCTCTCTGGGCAGGTGCTTTCGAGCACTTACTTGGACCAATTGAAGCTGAGTAAGGTCAAAGGACCAAAGACCTATCCTGCTGATGGCCAAGCCAGAGAACAGCAGAGCTGTGTTCCAAGCCGGTCTGTACTTTCCCGGTCCCACACCGATGTACAGAGCAATCAGAGTAAGGACGAGAGGAGTGAGGAGCATGAAAAGTGACCAGGTACCCGTTCTGACCAGCCCTATTTTGCGATGGGAAAATGGAGCATAAAAAGTGCCCATCAGACCTGTGAAAACGCAGATGGACCTCATGCCTGCCACGAAAGCATCGCTAAGGCAAGAGATGGAGCAAGCGAGGTCGACGTGAGACTAGCGACGGGATGGTAGATGCTGGCGGACCGCTCCGCTCGACTCACCTGTACGTCGTTTCGCTCTTCAGATAGGCGATGAACTGAGGGTCAAAGCTGAGCGCGCTCATGTACAGCAAAGCGATGGTGATGGAAGACGTGAAGATCGGCATGATTGCAAATGTGCGCCAGTCCAGCGCCTGACTTTTCGCCCAAACGTACAGCTTGCGCTGAGAGCTCGACATCCGCGTCCGGGATTCCTTAGGCAGCCGGGAAGATGCTGCCGCTTGTGTCTCGCTGCCAACTGCCTCGATTGGCGCAGGGCTAGACAGCTCGATGGCCTCGTGCTGCTCGCCGATCAGTCGATCTTCATCGGCTTTGAGCGCGCCGAAGCGGTGATACACTGTGCCGATCCAGATGAGCTCAAAGCCAGCACTTGCTCCGCTCATGCCAAGCAGAATGACGCAGCTGGTGGGATAGCCAGCTGTGGAGGTGAGCAGTGAGACGAAGAGCGGGGCCAAAAGCTTTGTCAACAGATCGATGCGCCGCCTGTATTTCCCGGCCATTGCGGGGGAAAGAATTTTCGGATCAGCACAGCAAAGCGTGCTGATTGCTATGCAGGCGCTCTCCAATGCGCTCACATGATCGCGTTTAGCCTTGAAAGTCGGGCTTGAGAGCCTTCGGAGATGGTCGTCACCCAGTCTCGCTCGACTGCCACCGAGACACCTACATTGCTCAGGCTTCGGAGTGAAATAGAGACGCAACAGCTGCTGGTCAGCGCGGCATGCGAGCCGCATGGACTGTCGGCGATGCTCACATGAGGGGGCATCCAGCGATGACGATGGCGGCAAGCAAGGACCACACGTTGGCATTTCTAGCTCCACCGTCCTGTCCTCGTCCATCATTCTTCGCATCGCTCTGCAGATTTTCCACGTAGAAGAGCAAGCAGAAGAGACCATAGCTGATCATTGCTGCTAGCTTTTGAGCGACAACAAATGCTCTGACGCAGTCGAGCTTGCGAGTCCTGAAGCGATCCACAATGCTACCCATGCTTCCAGAAAATACGATGGCAATGGCGGTGGTGAGAAAGCCGTATAGGGAAGAAGGAAGCAGGGTGTTGGTGTATAGATGAATAAAGAAGAGCGGAAAAGCGAATTCGGAAGAGCGAGAGATCCAAGAGTTCGAAAAGTGTTGGACCGAAAGAAGCACCAGAGCTACCTTGTCCAACGAAGAAGATGCAAAAGGGGCGTCTGTCAGGTCATCGATCTCGCTCGCAGCGTGATTCGCCGGATCGCTCGCTCTCGAGTTGTTTGCAGGTAAGTCAATCTCCGTGCCTAAAGAAGGGAGGGTGGCCCCCTCTGCCTCGTTTCCTTTGCGAGCCCCAGCAACGCTCATCTTGCCGATCCTTGCTTAGTCCTATTATATCTGCGCTCCAATTGACGCTACCATTCCTGCGAGGAGGGACGCGGAGGAGCGCGCATTGAGATGATATGGACAAGAGCAGAGTCCAAGGCTGTCGCTTCTTTCTACACAGTTGTCGTGATGATTGCGAAGCGAAAGGAGCGAACGTATTCACGAATGCTTATTCCGCACCCGTCAAATTGCGGCACATTCCGCCAGGCAGCTCCGCTCCAATTAAAAGTCGGCTCAGTCACGAGTCGCGGGTTTAAGTCACTGCAGTCACACGTTCAATCACGAATCTTGAATGTGCGCGTAGCATGCATGCATCATCCTCGCTTGAGGCTGCGCTATGGGCACCACGTCGACCGCTCCATCAATGATCGAGTCACGGTAGGTCAAGGTGTGTGAATTCGTACTCCACGACTGCGATAGCCGCACGATACGCAGAAGCCGCTCGACTCTACTCGAGCCATATGGTCGCACACTCGACTCGACCCGATCGCTCAGGCGTTTTTCCAAGCACATGGAATCGGGATCGCATGTATGCTTGGTCAAATTCTCACTACGAGTCTTAGTGTCGAGTGTCGGTGAGGGAAAGAAGAGGCGCAAGTGAATGCTACCGAAGTGGGGGTATGATAGCCGCTACTGCGCGCGAGACAGGCGTCGTCGGGAAGGCGAGAGGAAGAGAGAGAGAGAGAGAGAGGGAGAGAGAGGGAGAGAGGGAGGGAGAGTGTGCGTGGGTGTGAATGTGGTGCGAGGGTAGAGGGAGTGAAATCGACTCGCTTGTGGTATCGACCTGATCATCATTGTCAGGCTCGAGCGATTGTGAATGACCACCTCCTGGCAAACTTGAAAAAGCTCCTCTCGGCTTCTCCTCGCGAGTGCGTGCAGGACATCGTCCCGCCTTCGTTCGACGAACGTCCTTGGCCCCCAAACCACTCCTCTCTTGCTTTGTCCTACCACCAAGATGCGCCAAATACCCTAGGATAATCTCTGTCTAGCGCTGGTCTAGTGCTGCGCCAGATGGGCGCATGTTCGACGCGATGCTTAGAGCACGACGCAGTTGCAACCTCCACCGCCAGGAGCGTAAGGGTCCTCCTTCTTGTCCAATGTGCCCCATACTGATGGGACAAGGCAGTCGCGAGTCGATTTGCAGTAACGGATCAGACTGCGTGTGTGACGGGAAGAATGAAAGGGCGAGGGAGCACGACGGTGAGCATACACGGCGCATTTCGAAGCACAAATACGCGAGCTCGAAGCTGCGCCATGCGCTGCGAGGCCTAACGACATCACTCGCTGTAGCCTAGCCAAGCGCTGAAGCACCTCCCGCTCCCAACTTCGCACCGGCCTTTTCCCCGTCACGACGCGGCCATACTCAGTAGCTTGCTTGCTCGACATGAGAGCGCACAACTCACCTTGCACTAGCTTCGCTGACTCTTACACGAGGTCTGTCCAGATCCTCTCTCAACCTCTGATTGTGCTCGGCCAACCTCCTTAGCTTGAGCTCCGACATGGACTGTTTGTGAGGTCGATTGTTGTTCATCTTGTCGAGAGGAACCCACTTGTGCGCAATCGTCTCCGGAAGATGTGATGCACTCCAGTGCCTGTCTGTGCTTGTCTGGAACACGCGCGCGCTTCGCCCAAGACGTGTCGATCGAGCGTTGACGGCGGACAACCTTCGCACCAAAGGAGCAGTAAGCAGCGTCGATGCGTATTGGCTCCTGTCGACGCTCTATACTCGTGCAAGAAAGAGTACAGTGGTGTGGATAGGAGCGCACGGTCAACTCGACGTCTTGTCGAAAGCAAGACTCGAAAGCTGCCCCTAGTATCGACCCAAACAAGACAGCCGAAGTGGTCGCAGAGCGAGATTGCGTCCGTGGTTGTGAGTGTGCGTGATCGGATCGTTTGGCACTGTGAAGAGCAGTCGTGGCATGAGTGAGTCTGCCCGCGATGCTCACCCACGAATACGACGGCTTGCTTCCTTTTGCATGGCTCCCATATACGCAGCAGCATCACCTGCATGCTATAGCTGCTTGACCATCAGCCGCGCACGAAAGCGTCGCGGCATGCTTGCTGCGTCCCGGCCACATCATTAATTGATAGAGCGGTCCCTCCTCGTCCCGCGCAGAGGGGCACCAGCACATCTGCTGTCTGATGTGTCTGCACCTCCAAGGCATGCGCCCGCGCGGGCGTCGTTCACGCTGATCCTAGCTCTGCGCGTGCATGATGCTCTCTCTCGTCGCGCGCGCATCCTGTGCTCACTCACAAGCCCTTGGCAGCGCTATATACACATGCGATGATCATGTGCAGCAAGCTACCACACGTGATCGCCTGAGCAGCGGTCACTGCAAGCGCAACAATCTTGAATTGACTAAGATTTCAAGATTTACACATCCCCCGCTCGCTTCTCCTTGCAACGAATCTCAAGCAAACACGCTTCCAAGCCGTTCAAAACGGCGCACGATCTGATCGGTCAAGCCTCTACTACTAATACTGCACGGGAAGCGCCGAGCGCTTCGTGAAACGGTACGCACAAGAGTGGAGCCGGCCCGAGCCCCAGCTTCATACGCACGCGCTCATGCACGCAAAGAACCTCATGCGAGCACCTTGCTCTCTCCAAGCTTCTCATCCACCACATTTTCATTGCTCGAATCACGCACTGACATGTACTGAGCCGCAGGATGAATTGAGTCTGGGACGCTCTCTATCGGACATTTGAAGCGCTACCAAGCAAACTTTGCAGTTCGCTCTAGGCAGTGTAAGTGGACGCCGAGACGTTTCCACCGCGGCCGGTCCACTACGCAACGGCAAAGAATCGGTCAGCGGACTACCTACAGGACGACATCATGTTGCAAAATCTGTAATGGATCACTCACGTTGACGTGGACATCTTGACCAGCCTTGAGCCTGTCGTTCTCCTTTCCGGGCAGCACGCGGAAGGTGTGAGCACCAAAGTAGTCACGCTGAGCCTGCAGCAAGTTGGCAGGCAGGCGCTCCGTGCGGTAGCCATCGAAGAAAGCCAGAGCAGTGGAGAAGGCAGGAGTGGGGATACCCCAGAGCACAGCCTGAGCGATCACGCGACGCCAGCCGACCTGAGCATCGTGAATGGCCTTGTTGAAGAAGTCGTCAAAGAGCAAGTTCTCCAACTGGGGGTTCTTACGGAAAGCGTTGGTAATGTCCTTGAGGAAGACGGAGCGGATGATGCAACCACCACGCCACATGAGGGCAATGGAAGGGTTGTTCAGGGTCCACTTGTACTCCTTGGCAGCCTCTCGCATGAGCATGAATCCTTGAGCGTAGGACACAATCTTGGAGGCGTACAGAGCCTGCTCGAGGTCGTCGATGAATTGTTGCTTGTCTCCAGCGAAGGCAACCTTTTGGGGCCCAGAAAGACGCTGAGATGCGCGGGTACGCTCGCCCTTCAAGGAAGACAAGCAGCGCGCAAAGACAGCCTCACCAATGAGAGTGACTGGCTGACCGAGGTCGAGTGCGTTGATGGCAGTCCACTTGCCCGTGCCCTTTTGACCAGCGGAGTCAAGGATCTTCTCGATCATAGGCTCACCATCGTCGTCGTTGTACTTGAGGATGTCACGAGTAATCTCGATGAGGAAAGAGTCAAGCACACCGGAGTTCCACTTGGTGAAGATGTCGGCAATCTCCGTGGGAGGGAGGTCGAGGCCTCGCTTGAGAATGTCGTAAGCCTCGCAGATGAGCTGCATGTCTCCGTACTCGATCCCGTTGTGGACCATCTTGACATAGTGTCCGGCACCGCTCTGGCCGACCCAGTCGCAGCATGGCTCTCCGTCGGATTGCGCCGCGGTCTTCTGGAAGATCTCCTTCAGGTGAGGCCAAGCAGCGTCTGATCCACCAGGCATGATAGACGGACCGTGGCGAGCTCCCTCTTCACCACCAGACACACCAGCACCGACGAACAAGAGACCCTTGGACTGGAGCGCCTCGGTGCGGCGAATCGAGTCTGGGTAGTGCGAGTTACCTCCGTCGATGATAATGTCTCCCTTCTCGAGGTGGGGGGTGAGCTGGTCGATAAAGGCGTCGACTGCAGGTCCGGCCTTGACAAGAATGATAATCTTGCGAGGGCGCTTGAGGCTCGCGACGAACTCCTCGATGGAGTGCGTGCCGACAACATTTGTGCCTGATAGGAATTTCAGTCAGCCAAATTCGCTCCCGCATCGCAGTCTGACTGCGCTAGACACTCACCCTTGGCTTCGTTGTTCATAAAGTCAGTGACCTTGGAAGTTGTTCGGTTGTAAGCCGCAACAGTGAAGCCCTTGTCTGCAGCCGAACGGGAAAGTGAAAGGGTTGAATTAGCCTTGCTGCTAGTAGTTGCAATCTTCGAAATGCGCCTTGATCCGGCAGCATCAGGACCTGTCAGACAGTCCAACGACCGATACTCACCGTTCATGTTCAGGATCAGGTTCTAGAGACCGCCGAGAATCAATGCGGTCAAGAGCGTTGTCAGTATTGCCGTGAGGACTGTAGCTATCGCCCGCCCACTCACCTGGCCCATGACGGCCAGACCGATCAGACCAATGCTGCAAGGAAGGAGCGATTCAGGAGGGAGGTAAGCCATTGCAATTTGTGGAACTGCTTGCAAGTGCGCTGACCATGCTGACGCCTACTCACTCAGCAACGGCGGTCATCTTGCGATGCGAAGATGTGTGGAGGTGTGAGGTGAGGGAGCGAAGACGCGATAAAGATCGAGACAACAGCGTGGACTGTTTGTCTGAGGGTGAATGAGTTGTAGCCACGTGTGTGCGCGGGTTGGAGCTTGGCGGTGAGGTCGACGAGGTCGAGCTAAGGCTTTTGGAATGGGTGGTGGATAAGGGTGACGATGGAAACTTCATGCGGGCGAAGGAAAGTGACGCCCGTGGAGGGTTCCGCCACGCGCGCACGAACGAAGCAGCGCAGGGCGATGGCAGGCGCAAATCGATCGAGGCGGGACTTTGCCGGTGACGCGCGCTGCATCAGCGTTCCTGTTGTAAACGCAGCGACGCACTTTTGGGGCCGGTATACTCTCTCTATCTCTCTCCCTCTCTCTTCTATCTCTGACAGCGGTCTTGGGCACGCCTTCTACACGCGACTGTGTGGACTGATCAATCTTGATTCACGCTTCTTGGACTCAGCTATACCGATAGAGCCAGCGTGTATGGATCATGTGTAAGCGCTTTCCTTTCAGGTGGAGTCATCAGTTGGCAGGGGCGGCGCGGCAGTACGTGCAGCGAGCACGGCTCGCTTTTTGCTGGGATTGTTGCGCAGAAGTTTTCGGTGTAGAGTGCGCCGTCTCGCTGGCTGACCAGCAGCAGCAGCAGCAGCAGCAGCAGCAGCACGCATATCGTCCATGACGCTGCGCGTGCCCTCTGCGCGGCTGGCTCGTGCTGTTGCTCGGCGGGCTTGCGAGCGAAGAGGCGGCCGCCCGCGGGTGCTGCCATGCATGGGTGCAGCACAGGTCAACTATACCCATGATGCACGCCTCTTGCGAAGCCGTGCACCGGCCGATCATGACTGCTGCATGCTGCCTCCTCGCTACACTCAAACGATGGCGCACGGGCTCACTCGGGCGCACGCGTACACGCGATTGCGCTGATATCGATGCTGCTGTGCTAATTGCTGCTTTGCATGCATCCAGACTTCGCAGCAGGTGGAGTTTGGCATCGCAGCTACAACAGACGTAGTCACGATCGAGTACGGTAAAGTAGTCTCACTCTGTATACTCGTGACTGTACGTGCAGGCGCGGCTCTTGCTTGGGCGCGTTCATGCATCAGGAAAGAGAAAGCCGATTGCTTGCCCCAACTTCCTTCGAAGCGCCCCCATCGCAGCGATATACGACCTGCTGCCTGCTGGTTCACTCGTGACTACTCAAGACTGGCGCGAGAATCACGAATGTACTCACCACTCACAGACTCACTCACAGCTGTGATTTGTCCTTCATCAATGTGAATCCTCAGCTTTGGAGGCGTCCGACCGGCTGGCGGGCGTCGCTGCGTACGAGAACGAGCTCCCCTTGCTTCCATCAGGGTCAGAGGACAGAACGCAGGATCAAAAAGCTCTGAGGGCTGGCCAAGTATACAGCAGAGTGACCCGACACCGCCGCGTGTGAAGGAAGGCCTGATGGCATCTATACCGACGGCACGGCCGGCCGCGCCAAGCTGGTCGCGCTGCTTGACTCACGACTCTTGCTGACTCTTGACTCAAAACTCAAACTCTTGACTCTTGACTCCGATTGAGCCACGTGACTCGGCGCGTGGCACGCGGCAGACGCGCGCGCCTGCATGTCAAGCTGCTGCGCGTGAGTCACGAGTCGAGAGAGATGATGGATCAAGTCTCGAGGCAGGTCGAGATGCGTGTGTGCATGCATGCATCCATCCGGCACCCAAAAACAACCACAAGCCAAGCTGCTGATGTTCTGACCACAATTCCACATCCAATGAGCCTTGCCGTCCTCCCAGACCGCTCCTGAGAGCCTCGAACTCAGCAATTGACTGCCATAATCAAGACCCTCAAGACTCAGTGCATTCCCATCTCCACCCGGAGCCCTCGCCAGCATCTCTGCGACGCTCTCCGACTAGCTGATCCAGAATGAGTGCGCGTGGAGGCCCTTCAGCAGCAGTCGCGACACCTATGAGAGGTCAGGGAAGCCATGCGGGGCTACGGACACCTGCACGAACGCCAGGTGGCTCGGAACAAACGTCGGCGACCCCGGTGATCGATTTTGCGCGTTTAGAGGCTGCGAAGGAGAACATCACTAGGTCTGCACAGGGCAGAAGCGCCTCGGCGCTCAATACCACCTTGAGCTTGAAGCCTGGTGCACGGTCGAGAGCATTGGCCGAGAGAGCGGAAATCTTTGAAAAGGAGTGCAAGGCTGCAAGTGCTCCAGACAGCGATCACGACGACCCCATCGAGCCATGGAGCAGATATGCCATGTGGGCTTTCGACGCTTACCCATCGCACGGTCCGCACCTCGTGCACATGCTGGAGAGGGCTACAAGAGAATTCAAGGGTCGGGAAAGGTATGCGCAAGACCCTCGCTACCTCAAGCTGTGGGTGCTGTATGCCAGAGCTTGCGAGAAGCCGCAGCACGTCTACCAATTCTTGCTCGCTCAGGAGATCGGGACTAATCTGGCCACTCTGTACGAAGAGCTGGCAATCGTCTACGAAGGTCGTGGAGTGTAAGTTCAGAGGTGCAAATCCTCTTGCGCAGATCGATATGAGCTGATTGGATCGCTTGATGCTTCAGCTACGACCAAGCTGATGCGACTTACAAGCTTGGAGCCGCTCGATTTGCAGAGCCGGTGGACCGACTCAAGAAGCGATACCGCGAGTTCCAAGCTCGACTCACAGGACGCTCACAACTGGCAGCTACGGCCGCAGCAGCAGGGAAGCCCGAACCGACCTTTCGTGAAGTACTAGCCGCGGCGATGGCATCCGCGAACAGGGCGACGTTGGGTGAGCGCGCTCCCGATAGCCGAGGCGCTGGTGCCAGCAGTCGCAGTGGTAACGTGGCTCGAGCGTTTGGCAGCAATACAGCTGTACCGCTCAAAGCCATTGCGGCTCCCAACAATGCTCGTCAGATGGATGTATTCAAGGATGACGACGAAGGGCGTGGGCCAGACAGCAAAGCCCCATGGGACACCCTGCCTACCAATGCGGAGCGGAACCAGGAGAGCGGTCTCGGAGGCTCCAAGTTGTGGCATGGGGAGAAGCTGCTTCAAAAGCCTCCCACTCGCCCGCTCGCGTCCGCGACCCCGTCCAAAGGAGCTCCGCTGGCGGTGTTCAGGGACAGCGATGATGAGGACGATGAGCCGAAGCCGAAGGGTGGAAAGGCCGTCTCGCCAGCAGCAGATCCAGAAGCGCAGGTGTGGGACGCAGCAAACAAATTGCGCGAGGATCCGCTGGCTCATTACGATAAGACGACTAAGCGTGCACTGAGCGTCGAAGAAGTGCAGGAAGCCAGGCGCAAGGCTAACCAGAACCAAGCCAACAAGGAGCGAAGAGCTGCACGGAATAAAGCCACTCATAGTCACAGCGTAGCCGGCGCTTCTGCAAGCAGCTCAAAGCCCAATGCGCAGCCCAAGGCCACAGCAGCTAGCAAAGGTGGTGAGCAGTATGCCCTTCCGCTCACTGTCCTCTATCAGGGCATTGATCCCAAGGCACCACCTGATAGCGGCGTAGATCTCTCTGAGAGATCCGTTCCGGAGGTCTTGGCTGCACAGAAAGGCGTGCAGAGCAGCAGTGGGGATCCTGACCCATGGTCATATCTAGACTCGCGCATCGGACTGTGGCTGCCTACTAGACAGTCTGAAAGTCACGTCTCCAAGAAGGCCAGGTCGTCCACTGGAAGCACTCTGACGAAGTCTTCTACCTCCGAATCGCTGTCTCGCAACAAGTCTGCTTCGTCCGCACCGGCGCAGAAGCAGCCGGCGGAGCAACAGTCGAAGCTAAAGCCTCCGCGAGACCAGCAGCATGGTCAAGGGACAGAGCTACTTGCACTGAAAGAAAAGCCGCCACGTGATGCATTCGATCCCGACGACAGCGCAGCAAACGCTGCAGCGCTAGGTTTCAGTGCGCCACGTAGACGGATGGGCAACGTGCGTGCTGATCAACCGACCGTGACTATGGCTACTGCTTCTGCGCTGAAGGAAGTGAACGCCTTCTTCAATGAGGCGGAAGAAGAAGACACTGACTCCGATAGCGAGTCTGAAAGCGACGAGGACGAGGACGATCTGCCACCCATGTCTGCGAGGCGTCCTCCTGCCATGATGGCACCTTCTTCCCGCGTAGTTGATGAGACTCCAACGCCAGCTACTCGCAGCCTTTGCTCGGGCGCTGCGCAAGCTGCAAATTCGCTCAAGTCCCGCCCAGCTCTTGGAGCGGTCTCGGAGAATCTCAACAAAGAGACGCAACCATTTGAAATTGCGAAAAGTGCGGTGACAGTACCTTCGACTCCAGCCAAGTCAGCTCTCGGTGGCACGGTTGGAGAAACAAAGAAGTCCGTCGCAGTTGCTCCTCAGCTCAATCCTCAACCAGCTTCGCGAGCACAGCGCATTGATATTTCGACTCTAGCGGAGGAAGAAGATGAGGACGACGAGGAGGAAGACGAAGAGCAGAACGACGGAATGGAGCCTGATGCTGCGCATCCTCTCGATGAGCATGAATACCACCACTTGACTCGTGTCACTGAAGTGACGGAACTGACTCGCTTCACCATGTTCAGCCGAACGCCTGGACGCTCCAACAGCGGCGGAACCTCAGACGCAGTGAGCAGCTGCTCGCGCTCTCGACCTGGTGCCGTGCTCGCGCAGCATGGGCCTTCAGACCCAGCTGCTCGCGCTCACCCCGTTGCTATCGATCGGGCTATTGTCGATCAGCAAGGTCTGCCTCGTCTTGACAATGCTGATGCGGATCGCTCGTGGAATAGCAACCCTTCCACTGAAGGTGACGATCCTCGCAATCTGTCTGGATCGTTCGACTGGGCACGGCAGCGCCGAGGCGCTGACGTGTCTCCGGGCCACACGATCGAACAAAGAGCTGAGGATGCCTTGGAGCGCTTTGGACGCCCAGCGTTGGCTGACACGTTGGTCATCTCCGACGAAGAAGCTTTGGAGGCCACTCGCGGTGTAGCAATCCCGGTCCAAAGTCAGCAGCGCATTCCAAATCCTTGCTCCCCTACCGACGTAGAGGTAGTGGCAGAGCTCCTCGCCGCTCTCGTTCTGCCCATCGAGTCATCCCCGGACTTTGTCGACCTGTCCAGCAGGTCTGCAGAGGGTCGTTTAGCAGCGTTGCGCAAGCGCGCTAAGCTGCAGAACAGGAAGTCGATCTCGTCAGGCCCCAATACCCCCGGCAAGGAGTGGAAGCTCGATATCGATGGCAATCCTTTCCTCGTGCGCGGCCTGCTTGGCGAAGGAGGATTTGGATCGGTCTTCCTTGCAGAGGATGTAGAAGAATGCGCACCGGCACCTCGTAAGGCGATAGGAGGTATTGCTGGCGACTCGAGCTTTGAAGGCAGTGCAGCTGCGCGAATGGGAGAAGAAGATGAAGAAGAGGACGAGGAGGAAGCGGAAAGGAGAAGGCTTGTGGCTGTGAAAGTCGAGTCGCCAGCCAATCGCTTGGAATTCTACATTTTGGGCCAACTTAGAGCACGGCTTGAGAGGAAAAGCCTCAATAGCATCGTGTCTGCACGCAAGTGCTTTGTCTATCAGGACGAATCGTTCTTGCTGCTAGAGTATGCCGAAAGGGGCACGCTGCTCGACATGGTCAACAATGCCCAAGCTGCTGGTGTTGCAGGTTCAAATGTTGGAGGAGGCGGTGCTGGAAGTGGAGTGGACGAGACGCTGGCAATGTTCTTCACCATTGAATTGCTTCGTCTTGTCGAAGCTCTGCACACTGCTCGCTTCGTTCACGGAGATGTGAAGATCGACAACTGCTTGTTACGGCTGGACGAGCCACCACGAGGCGTCACTTGGGCCAACACTTATTCCAGCGCTGGCCAGGATGGATGGTCAGCCAAGGGAATTACGCTCATCGATTTTGGCAGAGCCATCGATCTCCACCTCTACCCGCAAGGCCAGACTTTCCTGGCCGACTGGGACACGGACGACAAGGACTGTCCCCAGATGCGCGAAGGCAGACCGTGGACTTTCGAGGCGGACTATTACGGCGTGGCTAGTGTGTCACACTGCTTGCTTTTTGGAAAGTACATCGAGACCGCGAAAGCGCAGGATGATTCTGATGCCGGCCATGGCAGATACAAGATCACTCAGACGCTGAGGAGATACTGGCAGACTGATATCTGGCAAGAGTTCTTTGATGCTATGCTCAATGTCAGGCTGGACGATCCTAGCGACCCTAGCGCCGCTTTGGAAAAGCTGCGGATTCTGCGAGGTAGAATGGAGTCTTGGCTTGAAAGCAACGCTTGCAGAGGTGGGCGCAATCTGCGAGGAGCCCTCAAGAAGGTAGCTCTTTATGCTCTCAAGAAATCTCTCGCCAGAGCGTGATGCAGCGTCAATGTGCTTTCCTTTATCTCTTCCCATCTTCTCCATGGCGACTTCGTCGTAAATTTCACGATTTCTCACACATCTTGCAGCGCACAGAAAGTCTAACGGCAGAACATGAATTACAATTAATTGGAAGGCTCCTCTGACCTATTCTCGTGCGCTGTGCGCCGCGATGAGTCGACACTGTGATTCTTGGTGCTATGGATGTGCGCCTGTGCCGTCTGGAGCTGAGATGTACTGTCCTGTAAATATAGCTGCGAGAAGAGACGGCAATGCAATGAGTCCGGCAAAGTGGGAGCGATAGCCGACGAACAGCGAGGTGATGTCTAGCGGAACGCTACGCAGCTCGAAATGAGAGGCTGCCGAGGAAAATTGCGAGTCGTGCGAGTCGTCGATCCGTTGCATGCTGATTCCAGCTGGTAGACGAGAGGGATCCTTGATGCGCAGCAAGATGGCGAAGAGGGGCAGATGGTTAAAGATTGCTCTCAGAGTGTCAAGAGCTGTGGTCGCAACTACGATGCAGTACCTGATACTGGCAAAGGCAACGTAGTATAGAAAGACGGTGGGATAGAGAAACGCTAGCAGAGTGAAGAGAATCGTGCCCAGCATTAGTTGATCAACATCATACGTCGCGTCATCTACTCGTCCACCTCGTAGAGGATTGCGCTTCTTGCCTCGAAACAGATGAAACAGGACGCCCAGCAGATAGAGGAAAAAGCTGTTGATGTATCTTGCCAAAATGTAGAAAATGGAAAGGTGGAGCGTTGAGATTGAGATGAGGTCGGAAGTGAGAGACAGTAGCATTGTGAGTCCGAAATATCGACCACTCATGCCGATCAGCACGATAGCTTGTGGCAGCTGCGCATGAAGAGTCTTGTATGCTGTATGCTCCCATAAGTCTATCAGACCTCTGAACATGTCTCCAAAGAAGGAGGCTAGCTCAGCATTGAGCTTGATACCAGCCGGCCAATTGCCGAGCCACACGAGCAATTCCTGAATAGAGCTCAGCGCGACTTTCTGAATTGCCTGAGAGACTGCTGCAGCAATAGCTTGATGGTGATCGCAGACGAACGCGCCGACAGCGTGCCCAATAATGAGGTCGTTGGCGACGAGCCAGACACCGTTCCAAAGACTGATGTACCGTGCGCTGAGATCCGAGGTTGGGACTAAGCCAGATCGACGCCATCGTCGAAGTCGATTGCCTAAAGAAGGCCATGTTGAGAGTTGACCCAGACGAAGATCAAGTTGGCAGGCTGTGCTCGGCCCGAAGAGCATAAAGTGAGATTGGACAACGGTGCGACCAAAAGGAACCGCCGCTGCACTGACCTGCCATGCTTACGCCCACCAATCCTGCATCTCTTGTCGCGCCGAGAGATGTGCGCAGAATTGTCTGAAAGATGCTGCACGTGCGCGACAATGGATACAACACAATGCTCAAATTGGTGTGTGCTGAGGCCGAGCATTCTTGCGAGTGACGCGTCTCGCGAGAAGGTGTGTCTAAGTTACTCATGCAGGTAGACGCTCGGTTGATCTATGATAGCCAAGGTCTCTCAGCACAGCATTTCACAGACAAATTGACATGGTTGCATTATGCCGTACTCACCAGTTCGACAGCCTTCCTAAGCCCAGACCCAGGCGCTCGACCTTTTGGATGCAAATCCATCGCATCTTTCATCCTCACTGGATCCAGAGCTACTAATTTTTCAGCCCTTGTTTGTTGAAGATATTGATTGGCGGAAAGATGAGCGTACCTGGGACGAGTGATTTTTGCTTCGCTCATTGGCTGTGGGCCTTGCGCTGGCTGTAGCAAGGCCAAAGGCTCGAGCGATAGGAATTGCAGGGCGTTAGATTTTGGGGGAATGTAGTTGATGACGGTCAGTGCTGGAGCTGCCTTGCATGAGAATCGGAGCGCGATAGAGCGTCTAACAGCGCAAGGTAAGTCAGCAGATTTAGTAGATAGAGATGACATCGTGCCGCGCAGTTACTCATCATGAGTCTGATCCCACTCACATCTCCAGTCGTCTCCTCGGGTACGACAGTGGCCCACGAGGGGAAATTTCGGCAACTTCAGCCTCGAGCCAGGCATCACGTTGAACGCGGTAAGTGCGCAGCCTCTCCTCGTGGCTCTGAGGGTCAGACTGTTGAATACCGACATTGCAGGTGCCCAGTATGGAGGGCTTGCTCGGCCTCGTTTTTTCATCCAGCTCCTGCGTCTTTTCGATCATCGAGAGGGCTTCATGGTGCAAGGCAAGCGCGCCTGCTACTATGATGATCGTCTCGTCAGGACCGCCGCGCACAAGCCAGCCAACGATGGCAGCAGGTCCGATCTTTGAGCATTGTTGCGCCAAGCCTGTGGGAATGTAGAGGTGGACGAGGGGTGTGGCATTGTCCAGACTGCTCGACCGAGTGAGTCCCGTGACCAAGGCGTGCGCCGTCAATTGTTCTGCTGGCGTTCGTGCGTGCAACGGTTCATGGACTTACTCCCAACATGCATTATGGCGCATAGCCAGCGAGATGAACAAGACACAATTGGCTCAACTCCAGTACGCTCGAATAGCTCGCACCGGCCCCGTCAGCACGTCCGCCCAAATCCTGTTTTGCGTACGGCTGCGAGGTTGCTCTTCTCTCGCCTTTGTTCTGAGCCGGGCACTTTGAGAGAAAGCCTCATCAATTGAGGGAAGGTCTTGACGGTGGTGACTGAAATCTGCGCATGTATGCTGCATGACGATCGATCCAGCGAGATCGCAAATGGAAAGCACGAAACGCCGTCCTCTGCGGCATCCATTCAATCACTCACAGACCGATGGAGTCAAGAATCGTGAATGGCCCAACAAACCCTCTTGACTCCACACGCGGTCACACAGATGCATGGAGAACGCAGCGCTAAAAGATTGGTCACGTGTCAGTCGTTCGCCAAGGGTTTTTGAAGAGCGCCGCACGCCTGCCCAGACGCGCTCGCAGGCATCAGCATGGCTGAGCGCGTGTGTGCCAAAATTACTCCTTGGCTCAACGGCCTCGGCGGCGAGCGGCGAGTGGCGGCTGTGCTGATCGGCAGCACTACTTGATGAATATGCAGATGAGCCGTTGCGCGACGCTCAACGGCCGTCGTGTGGCGGCGAAGCGAGTGTGTGTGAATACGAAGCTCACCATCCGTGGCCCAGATGCTATCCGCATCCGCAATTCCGCCGCTCGATCCTCGACCTTGCTGTCACCTGGACATGTCTTGTTGAGTGTGTGTCGCTGGTACTCATCACACGCATCGTAGCACGACTGGCGCCGAGTTTCGCACAAACGTTTCAAAGGCACGCCAAAGGCGACGGCGATACAAAGATGTCCGACAGATCCCAGCATACAGACCCGCGCCAGCAAGGGGGCGCTGACACCGACAACGCCGACCGCATACTGCGATTGCAAGAGGCCATATCCACGCTACGAACATACGCTGAGCTCGATGCTGCAGGGCTGCCGCAGACAGCTACAATAGCAGACAGGGCGAAAGGCGCCACAAGGTTACTGATCGGGTCGGCCTGGGAAGAGATTGAGGAGAGGAGAGGTGGTAGGTCGAACATTCCCGGCGTCAAGCCTCTGTTGTCCGCGTTACAAAAAGAGCTGAGAGCGTTTCAGGTGAGCGGAAGTGCTCTGTGCCAGCTGTGCCCCTCTGTGACAGTGCTCACTCTTGTGCGCTGCACCATCTACCAGTCGTCCACCCCGCCTACCTCTTCCAACGCTCCACATCTGATCGCGCAATGTGCTGCTCTGATGCAGGAGGCCACGTTGCACGTACCGATCGCCGGTGTGAACGTCAGCTTTCCTGCTCCAATTGACGACGGAGCGGTGCTGAGCGGAAGCAAATCGAAAGCGAACAGCACAGCAAAAGTAGATGTGGTGTCTGAGGGAGGAGGGCGATGGGTGCGCATCGTAGGCATCAGGCCCTCTGCCTTGCTGCAAGAATGGCGTGTCATGGGCGAAGCCTCCGATTCAAGGGCTGGTAGCGAAATGGGTCCGGACGGTCTGGACCCGGTGCTTAGGAATAGCTCGATCTCGAAGCTCACCCAAGGACTCGTACGAGCAAAGAAGGCGGCAATCGATCAGCATGCCCTCAGGAAGGATGTGCAGATCGTCTTGAAGTTTACACATCTGCCGCTAGGTGCTCAAGACAGCAGCATGAGTGCCATGCAAGAAGAAATGGGCTTATCATATCCTAGTCCGGAGGCGAGAGATCGCTTCTTGTCTCGATTGTCCGCTCTTCGAAGCGCCATCTTGCGCGAAGGCATTTTGCTGGAGAAAGGCGAGCCGAGTTGGCGAAGAGATCTCTCGCAGTCCCCAGCTCTGGCCACACCTGCTAGGATTTCCAAAGCGGTCGCTGTAGACTTGTCCGCCGTCGTGGCTCTTATCTCGGACATCACGCACATGGCCCTTCCGCCCAACGACGAATTGCCATTCATTTTCAGCAGTGACGGCATAGCAGGTCCCTCGATACACGGCCGCGCCCTCATCGAACAAGCGGAGCGGGAAAGAGTGGACGCTCTTTTTAACAACTTCATGCCGGAAAGCGAATCTGTTGCGGCTCATATTGAGGAGCTCTGGTGCACCGCCGAAACCAAGGACAAGGTCATGGATATCGTCGAAAAGATCGGAGGGACAGCTGAGAAGGCGCGCGGGCAAGCTCTCTTTATGGAGGATGCTGAAGCAGCTCGCTCGGCATTCTGGAAAGGCTCTCGATGGTCGAAGGCCGGCGCGCTTCGCCCTCGTCTGCCTCTGCCTATTCGGGTCTTGGGAGGTCGACCTAGATGGAGTAGGCAGGACTCTAGACCCTTCGTGGATCTCTCTAGCGCACTTCAGCTACCGCCATCTAAAGGCAGTCCCACGTCGCATACACTCAATACTCTTGATCAAGCATCTAGAGCGGCCATGACCACTTTCACCACCAACATCTGGAGCGCCACTTGGGTATCGGACAAGCTTCCATACGAGACCCTCCACGCGGACACTCCAGCTCTCATGTGGGTCTTGCACCCTCGCAGTCTGGCCGAGAGAATGCGCTCGGGTGCACTGCGCTCAGGTGCTGGTGCCCAATCACCCGATGACGCTATCGCCTTGGCCACGCCTAGCGTGGATCAGGTCAGTACCCCAAAGGCTTCCCTGCCCGTTTACCCACAGTCAGCTTGGGGGTCTCCAGCAGTATTGTACGATGCCTCGGGCAGCCGCTCTGACAACCTATCGTCCAAAGAACGCAGCAGTCTGCTCGATCCGGCGGTTGCCTCCTCTGCCGCCGTCGATCGCACGTCCGCCCGCGCTTCGCGGCGAGGCGCTGGCTTCAAGATTTTGAATTTCCTGGATGGGCCCCATCCACGCTCGCGGTTATTCATCAGACATTACCGTTGGTGGCCGTTCGCCAGTGTAGAGTCGAAGTGGACCAAGTTTACAAGTCCTGTCGCTTGGCGGGCGCCTGATATTCCAAGTCTGCTGCCTGAAGCATCTCAATCGAAGGAAGGTGCTGGAATGGGGCTGGAGTGGAAAGATCACGTCAAGAGAGACTGGAGGCTAAATTGGAAGCATTGGCTCCTGCTCGTTGCAGTGCTCGTTGCTTGGGTGTTGGGATTCGCATACCTCGTCAAAGGCTTGTGGTATGAGAGTCGAGTTACGCTTGGCTCGGGGCAAGTGCTCGAACCGGACTTTTACGGATGTACTTCGACCTTCTGGGTGAGCACGGAATTTTGGGCGGGTCCCGACGTTCGCGCACGGAGAAGCTGACGTTCTGCATTCGTCCATCTTTCAGTTGGGAAACGCACAATGCGGCGTTGACGGAGAGTCTTGCGCTCCTTTCGCATCTAATTCATCGGTACCATTTCGTTGTCCTGCAGGCTGCGCTGGAACGACGCTGGGCAGCGCTCGCGCCGTCGGCTCCGAATTGCCGAACTTTGTGCCCCTTATCGTCGGTGGTGGCGATAATCTGGTGGATGGACGCAGAGTTTACCGCGCCGACTCATTTGTATGTGCCGCGGCTCAACACGCAGGCGTCATTGATGGTCGGACCGGCGGGTGCGGAACGCTTTGGCTGGGCGGTGTCAGCACGTCCTACGAGTCAGCGGCGCGTAACGGGCTGACCTCGATCGGCTTCAACTCGACGTTCCCCGTAAGCTTCTTCTTTGACGAATCGGCCCAGCAAAGCGGATGTCATGACACTCGAGAACGCGGATATGCGCTCAATGTCGCGCTTTTGGCTTTCGTGGCCTTCGTCTTGCGTCCCAAGCGCATCGTCTACTTTTGGATCCTCGTTTGCACCGGATTCTGGCACATCAATATGCTGTCCGAACCGCGAGCTTATCCTCCGAAAGTGGGAGGCCCGGTTGGCGATTTCTTACCGACTCTCTTTGGCGCCTATGTCATTTGGAGGGTCGCAGTGCGATACGTTTGGCCCGCCTTCGAACGCCTGCCCATCGAAAGAGAAATCTGGACCTTGGGATTATTCTGGATTGGTACGATGCTCAATGTGAGTCTTGGTGGACTTAGTCTTCTTCCGCACCCCTTCGTTCCAGACTTACTCGAAGCGTGCGCATGCGCATTGCAATTAGGTCGTCTTTGCCAATGTGCCTCTCCAAAGACTGGTCGCCTCGGATATCGCGTCGCAGCCAGGCGCCCTGACTGCCCTGATCGTCATTATTGTCGTCGTCATCATCATTGTCATCAACCAGATCCGCGTGATCCGCAAAGTGGGAGCTCTTCCGAAGTATCTCGCGTTGGCAGTCATTGGAGGAATCATCGTCGGTCTGTGTGCTGCTGTTCCCACGACGGGGCTCCGCTTGCACCACTACATTATCGCGCTCGTACTCGTTTGCTTCTGCGCATTCCCCACGCGTCTCAGTGTCAGTCGCACATCACCATAGCTGGAAGCAGGGACCAAGATGCTGACGCAAGCTCTGCTCTAATTTGCAGCTCATCTATGTTGCATTTTGCCTTGGGATGTACCTGAATGGGGTAGGCAGATGGGGCTTCGACCCCATCGCTACCGATATTGCAGACATAGTTGGGGACGGCACCTTTGGTACCGGATTGCCCTCGTTTGCGTCAGCTTCGAACTGGACAGGCTTGCCAGGTTTTGGTCCTCCCGCGAATGCGACTGGTATGGTCCAGTGGGATGCCATACCTGGCAATCAAACCGACAGCTGGGACGGCTTCCACTTGTGAGTCGCTTTGCTCTCGAAGCATGCAGCTTTCTTGGTGTTGGCTGATTGGTTACCCTTTCTCATGAATGCTCCAGGCTGGTTGACGATGTGCTGCGCTATTCTGGCGAAGGCACATCTTTCAACATGACTTCGCTTATCGAAGATTACGCTCCCATGGGCAATAGTGGTATGAACACCACTCTGTATCCTGGTGGATCAGCTGCGCTCAATGCGACGCTCGCATCGCAGCCTCGTAAGTGATGGAATGCCGGCCGGCCCATAAGCTTGCTAATTGTTTCTCGCTGATCTTGCTGCGTGCTCTTTCCATGCAGATTACCTCCGCCTTGCTTTCACTTCGCAAGGCTCTCCAGGTGACTACACGCGCGCCGCCATTGCCTACTTCAACGGATCGTGGACGCCGGCTCCAGAGGGCGCCACCTGATCGTCTACGCATGCAAACGTTTCTAGCGTGTGTTTTCCTTTGCATTTCTCTCCGGGACACGAATCCTCCTCAGTGCATTCACACTGCATCTCTGTGCTAAATTGTACGCATACATCTCAACTCACTCCTTCATCTTGCTGTAAATTACATCCCTGGAACATCGTCTTGGACTAGGCATCGAACCTTTTCTCGTCGCGCGCCTTTTTCTGGCTTGCGGATTGAAGCTTGAGCATTGATCATTCAGCATCCCTCAGCCTGCAAGACTCTCGCCACTTTCTCCTCCCTCTCCTTGGCGCTCAATCGCCTAGCTCCATCTTGCAGGGCCAGGACCACATTCCTAGCTATCCGCAGTGCCCTCCTCTCCCTCTTGCTGCTGGCATTACGACTCAAATCCAAGCTAGCCAAGGCCTTTTCGAGCAATTTGCTCCGCTGCAGATAAGCCAAAGTCATCCTGTCATCCCTAGCAAAGAAGAAGAGTGGTAAAGGATCGGAAAGATCTTGAAGCTCTTCTGCATTGAGAGACAAGGCGTTGGAGGTGTTGGGAGATGCGTTGCTCGTGTTTGCACCAGCTGGCGCGGTTGTGCCAGAAAGTACATCCCACTCGCTCTGACGCAAGAGCACCAGATCCCAAAGGGCCAACAGCACGAGGTCCAAACTCGCGTTGGCGATCAAATCTTCTAGCGCCGCTATGCTCGCGACAGCTGAGGATGCTGAGGAGGAAGACTTGCCCGAATTGGCTCCTGCTCGACTTCGTAGATGAGGAGCAACGAAGCGTTCCACCGCTCCTCGCGCTACGTTGAGAGCGGGGGGAGATAAGGCGGAGTCGTGCGTGTGCGGCAAGAGCGCCCTCTGCACGGCTAGAGAGCCGTCGTGAAGAAAAGTAGATCCCTCGGACATGAACAGGACTTGAACATAGGAAGTCACTAGAGGCACCTGCGAGAGCGAGATGGAGTGGCTGAAAGGAGGACAATCGTGACATTGAGCATGCGTAGTGTAGGACGCCGACGATGCACGTATTGGAATTGCGCGCTCTCTACTTTGACTCACTCGATTGCCAATTTGAGATTAACCCGCAGCTTTCGCAGTCTCGCTTGCGTGATAGTGTCTGTCTGAAGAGTGCCTTTTCTGAGCGCGTGTTTGCCAGCTCTGATATCAGCCCTTCGATGCTGAGCCTGCTCGTCCGGCAACTGATTTACAAATCTGCTCATGGCGCCCACTAGCACGATTGCGATGCCTTCCCAAGCGGGACCAAGAGATATGGCGTATCCCAAAGGCATGCTGGAAATGGAAGCGCTCTTTGTTGCTCCACCAGCATCCAGCAAGAGGTCGAAAGATGCATCTCGAATACGCATCAACGTCTCCACGTCCTTCTTGTCGATAGCTTGCAGCACATCGTGCGCTTCCCACGCTCTTGAACGATCCACAGTCGACTTTGATCGCTCGGTTGTACTCTTTTGCGCACTGTTCGATGAACCGCCTTCGAATCCGCTCACCAATCTTGCAGGAAGCTCGTGCTCTGCATCCGAAGCACCTTGCACATCCAATCTGACCAGCAGATCAAACAGGGCAGCAGCAGCTCTGTTGCTCTCATTCCTCTCTCCCAGACTCTGCGCATCGCAATCCCAATCCAGCTGTCTCTCCTTGTAGAATTGTCGCACAGCATCGCGCGTCGAATGATCGGGGAACAACCTTGCTAGTTTGCGTTCAGAGATGAGAGGCGGCCAGTCTGATGGAGGAGTGGATGTGGAGGTGGACGAGAGTTGCGGGGCGGGTAGACCGGATGTACCGGCTTGCGTTGCATCCTCAGCTCCTTGTGAGTGAGCAGCGGATGCGCTGGATGGGAATTGGGAATGAATGGAGTTGCGCACGCTCTCAAAAGCTGAGGCAAGGGAGAAGGGTCTTCTGGGAGAGGTGCTAGCGTGGGCAGAGCTGCTGACTGGCTCGGCGGTGGAATCGACCATGCTTGACCGTTGCTTTGCGAGCGATGTCGTCCTCTGTTCCGCCCCTCTCTCGCGTTTCTTTACTTGGTTGGGAGCGACCTGGTACGGGAGATGAGGTCACGAGTGCAGGGCCAACGGGTACTGTGCATCCATCGAATGGTGAGATGTGAGTGGTGAGTGCGGTGAGTGCAAGACCATGCGTGCCCCATCTGACGCTTTTAGCTGCGTGAATTGGTCGCCTGCTGCGCATTTTGCACCGCCACACAAAGCTTCACGCGATGTGCCTATCTGCGCTGTTCGCATTCCATCCGTGAGCGCACGCGCAGCACGCCATTCAAGATTCGGAATTCACGATTCTGATTCACCATTTTTGATTGTAGTTAGTGAGTTCATATAAGCTGACGCAGGTCTTGCTCACGAGCCACAGTGTGAGTGTGGCTCACAAGGCGAGAGTCGTGCGTCGAGCTTTATCGACGTTTCATCGAGGTCCTCGTCGCATATATGGCTTCGTAGCCGCGCCTCTCACCCCGCCCATCATCTCTGAGTGGTAGGTAGCCTCAACGCTCTGCGCTCGTCGCATCATGTCTTTGGGAAAGGTTCGCATCATTCGCAATCCAGCTTCGGGTGCGCCTGGTACATCGGAAAGGCTTTTGGATCAGCAAGTCTTGCCGCTTCTCAAGAGCGCCAACCTTGATGCTCAGGTGCACGTCACAGCAAGTCAGGGCCATGCTACGGCTATAGCAGCCCAACTGCTAAGCGAGACGCAGAACGCTAGACAGGAAGACTCTGGTGGTCCGAATCCGCACGGGCTGGATGTCATCCTTCTGGGAGGCGATGGGACTACGTCGGAATTTCTGAATGGCCTGTACATTCCGCCCGCCGCTAGACCTAAAGACAGGCAAAACGATGTGGAACAGGATGCTGCCGTGTCAAGCTTGCAATGGAAAGCGCCTTCGATCCCCATTCGACTCATCATTGTCCCTACAGGAACCAGCAACGCTTTGTACGCTGCCCTCTATCCTTGCAACCGCGATGCGACATCTTCTGACGGTGATTCTGCCACAGCCAAAGAGGACAAATGGAGGCTTCACAGTCTCTCATCTTACATTCTCGCAAAGTCCCACCAGTCGCGGTCGCAGTCGCATGATGTTTCCAGCTCTTTACTCCCATTGACTTTGAGTGCGGTGCACATCACCGACGACGCCCAACAGCCTACCGGCACATCGGAAGGCGTTTCGCCAAGGCGCGATGCCTATAGCCTTGCGCATATAGTTACTTCTCACGCACTGCATGCTTGCATCCTACGCGATTCGGAAGCTTTGAGAGCGCAAGATCCATCCATCGAGAGGTTCAAGATCGCAGCTGCTCAAAATTCTACCATCTGGCATCGAGGCTCGCTGCAGCTCTATCACGCAAGCACTTCGGGCAAAGTCAAAGTGTATGATCCTCGCTCGAGGCAATTTAGAGAGGTGGATGAGAAGGAGAAGAGATTGCAAGGTCCTTTTAGCTATATCGCGGCTCTCAGCACGGATAGGCTGGAACCTTCATTCATTCCTGCTCCGTTTGGCTCCTTCTTACCGCTAGAGAACGCCGAGTCGGCACACCTAGCTCGTCGAGCAGACGAACTGGATCTTCTGATCGTCCGACCTTTGCGCTCTCCCGCCGTACTTGCGAGGTACCGACAAGCCCAAGACGAAGTACGAGACGGAAAAGACGACGCACCGACATTGTTCGCAAAGACTACTTTGACGGAGTTGACTGTTGGAATGTATTCTGGCGGAAAGCATGTGGATCTTACTTATCCGCTCGAGGGCGCGTCCGAGACGAAGCTGGAAGAGGCTGGGAAGGGAGAGGCAGCGTTCGAATATTACAGGGTTGGAGGGTACGAATGGACGGCTGTGAGCGTCTCTTGTGATTGCTTTGCAAGGGGTAAAAAGTGCTGACGCGTGCCTCGACCTCCATTCACATTCCCCTTTTCACTCCCAGGCTCCCGATGATAGCAATGCGGCTATTGTGTGCGTCGATGGAGCCGTGTCTCGTGCGCTCAAGACCAGAGTTGAGGTGCTGTCCACTGCTTCGGACGGATCCGGTCAAGTGCACGTTTGGCATTGATCCAGGCTCAAGACCATCGTGCCGCCCACAGTGCTTGCACGAACGGGTCAAAGTGGCGCCGTGCACAATTCCACACCCATAGATGAGAGTCAAGTACGTGCAGTTTCGTCGTTTCTCTGGATGCAGGATTGTCCCATTCACTTCATCATCGCGGATCCTTCACTGACATGGATCGTCAATACTGTCGGACCTTGAGGTGTGCAATGTGGACGCTGCGTGATCTTGAGATTCACCATGAACGCGTTCATCCGCCTTGCACGCTGGTCACGCGACACTCTGCAGCAGGTCTTGTGATTGGACCGCTGCCATTGTTCACGAAGCTCTGCCGTTTGGTGATTGGTTGGAACGTTCTGTGGCTGAGATGAGGTAGCGATGCTAGAGAGGCGGAAGCCAGCCCACACGCCCGCTCATCCTCATGTATCTATTTACATCTCAACGGCACACCATCAACATTAACGTAAACATAATAATCACGAAATCTGAATTTGATTCGACCTCGTTTGAGGGTTTGTCGTCGCGTGCATGTCTGCATGTCGTGGATGGGATTTCGCTCAAAATCAAATTCGTGATTATTGTGATTGTTGTTGATTCGTGAATTCTTATTGTTGAATCGGACCCGCTCGCCGCGGACGTACGCGGATGGCCTCCTGCCGCGCGAACGGAGGAACCCCTTTCCGAAGCTCAGCTCCGATCGGCCAGCGCTGCTCCATCGGGTCGGCTAGCTGAGAATGCACGCATCAGCCTCCACCACTTTTCGTGCGCCCATCATCCCCATGGCCTATGCAACTGCAGACTCGGATCAGCAGCACAGCTGCACAGCGAAGATCGACACTCGTCTCGTCGGACTCGACTTTTGGCCCTCAAGTGCGGCGGCTTTTGCGTTTGGGCTGACCGATCGGACACCGGGGCCAATCGTTGTGACTGGTTGCACGCTGCTAGGGTCGACAGCATATACGGATCTCTGTTGCGCATTGCGGCATGGGTCTCAAGCGGCAATTCGATGGTGCACATAGGGCAAGCGAGGAGAAGAGAGCGGCGGCACCTTCGGACCAGAATCCGAGCGCGAACCCCAACCCGAACGCAAAGTCGACACCTTTGAAGAGGGCTACGGCGGATGGAACATTGAGCTGCGCAGAGTGTAGAAGGTTAAAGTTCAAGTGCGATAGGCGGTGGCCTTGCAGCAAGTGCAGAGAGAGGAATTGCGCTCACCTTTGTCCCGACAACACCCTCGAGACACGCAAAGTGAAGACTTCTTCTGCCAAGTATGTACGCACTCTAGTATCTGCTTTGCATCCGGCAAGATGTTGCTGCGTGGTCGGCACTAAGTTATCCACTTCATATCTTTCCAGGACTGATGACGCTCTCTTGCAACGGATTGCGTTGCTGGAGAAGACGGTCGAGCGCTTTGTCGGCGGGACAGGCGATGCTCGGCCTGCGGCATACGGGGGCGACAGTCAAGATGCGCGACAATCGACCACGCTTGCCTCCCACGCGTCGGCTCGTCCACCTTTGACTGGGTCATATAGTGCTGATGAGGAGCGTATGCAGCATGCTGCTCTACACTCGCTTGCTGATGCGGCCATCCAACCCAGAGAGAGCGCCGAAAGCTCCTACACCACCTCGAACATTAGCCCAAATCGAGGGATACCCATCTCATACCAGTCTGCTGGACCAGAGGCTCTGGATAGCCGCGGTCGTGGAACGCTTGCTCTATCGAGGGACGGCAGGACATATTATGTCGGTCCCAACGCTCAGAGCATGTACTTCGCCCGCGACACTCAAAGACAAGAAGAATCCGACGTGCATACTCGACCTGGCAGTCCTGTGCCGCCAGTCGGTAATGCGCTCGGAGCACGGGGCGAGCCCGTGGCGAGTCCGTACGAAAGTGAGTTAGACCAAACGCCGTTGGGCGTCAGGGCCGCGCAAATCCTGACCGAGGAGACTGTGAATGGCCACTTTGCAAGATGATCCAGGCTCGACGATGATTGGAACTTGGACGACACCTGGCATTTGTTCGCCTCACTCTTCCTCTGCCATCATTGCACATCTACGGCCAAAATTGCCCAGCCGCGAGCAAGCCAAACATCTGACGGACCTCTACTTTATCAACATGATCATGTGGGAGCCCATCAGTCGTCAAGAGTACGACCAGAGCATTTTCGACTTGTTCTACGCCAATACAAGCGTTTCTTGCGCGCTGGAGGGGAACGTAGAAGTTGATCGAACTGATCAATCAGCTCTTCATCCTCATCGTCTTGCCATTCTCTTTGTTGTGTTATCCATAGGAACCATCTTCGATGTGCGGTCTGCTGCCGAGCCCGAAGCCAGTCGAGAGTACTACAGCTACAGCTGGGCAGCCCTCTCCCTATCCAATGTTACCGAGGCTCCTTCTCTCGAGGCGCTCATCGCGCTGCACCTCATCGGTTTCTACCTCAATTCCAGGAGAGGTGGACGATACGTCGAGAGCTATTGGGGCATCAGCGGCCTGGCCATGAGACTCGCTATAGCCATGGGTCTTCACCGCGATCCCGGTACTTGGAATCTGCCACAACCGCTCACCCAACGCAGACGCAGAGTATTTTGGGAGCTGTGGTCTTTGGATTGCTTCAGAGCTATCGCCTTTTGTCGACCTCCTGCCCTCTTTGCTCACCATATGGACGTGGAAGCGCCGCAGCAGTGGAATATGGATGATCCCTTTATCACGGCAAATGGTGTCTTTCACGCCATGAAGTGCAAAATCAACATCATCAATAGCGGCATGCTGGATCAATGCTTGTGTTCCAATAAAGCAGAGTACAGGTGAGTTGCCCAGATTGGGCCTAATGTTGGGGATTTCAAGTCGCCACGTAAAAGATCCCGAGCCTCACGTAACCTTGCGTCTCGAAGCGATATTCTCAACTACGACGCACAATTTCGTGCGTGGCTGAATTCGACGCCGCCACAAATGCAGCCCACGGTAGTGAGACCCAATGGCCCCAGTCGTGAAGACGAAGCAGCATTTCTAGCAAAGGCTGAGCGCGACAATGCCAGGAGAGAGGCCGAGTTGTCCAGCTCTCGGCCTGCTACGATCGAGGCGATGCGCAACGACTTGCAAGCACACGTCCACGTCTTCAACTGCCACCAGTCACTCCTGCTGCTGCACCGGGCTTGGTTCGCAAGGGAGCTGCACCGCCTAGATCGAACGCAAGACGACAGCGCATACGCTTCAAAGGTACGACAATCCGACTCGGATCCCCTCACCTCTCCCTGTGCCAAGTCCATCACCACCGTGCTCGACGCAGGGGCCAGCATCATCGAGCTTGTTCGATCGGCATTTGTGCAGCATACCTATGCTGTCTTGCGACAGTACTACATGTGGGTCGCAGCGTTCTCCGCAGCAGCGGTGCAGAGCTTGTGGGTGGTGCGCTGTCCTGGGCATCCTTTGTCTAAAGCGGCGCTTTTGAGCCTCGAGCACGCAACCAATCTCTTCACTGCGGGAGCTCGACTGCACGAAACGCTGTCGAATCCCTTGAACACGCTGCGTCGACTACTGCGCAAGGCTGATCTGGCCATTGCTGTGGCTACTGGTAGCATAGCCCTGCGCAAAGGATCGCTGCGTGCAGTTCAAGATGGCCAAGAGGAGGATGGCGATAGTGGTCATCGCACGCGAGGAACAAGCTCCAGTGATGGGGAAGATGGTGGTGAGCTCGACCTCGTCGGAGAAGAGACTAGACTGCTGTCCGACCGTCGAATCTCGGGTTCGAGGGCCGATTATAGGCAGCAACCTGGACTTCGAACGGGCGCAAGGCGCTTGCCGACTAGCAAGACGGAAGACGACAGCAGCCGTAACGCTGGTAGAGGCTCCCTGCACGAGCTGGTTCCCACAACGCCCAAAGGCGATCCTCGCTCAGCGGTAGACACCAGCCAAGGTCTAGCGACCCTCGCTTATCCGCTCGAATCGTTGCACTCTTCTGCTCAAGATCCCAACTCTGGCGCTTCGTATGCGCCCATTGATTTTGACGCGGAGAGCTTCGCGGGTCTGGACGATGCTGGCCAGTTGCTGAACCTCCTTTCACGCGGCTTGCCTTGGGACGGCTGGGACTTTCCCCAGATTGGTGCGCAATTTTGAGCCTTGATTCGCTGCAAGACCCAAGCGCGAATGCAAAAGTAGTGTCATACCCAATGTAGCGCCACGTAAGCACGACTCTATAATCGGCCTCCTGACCATCAACGATGTTGTACTTTTTGTCGTCTGACGCAATTGAGCGACTGATCATCTCATCACAGCTCGACGCTTGTTGCGCTTCCAGCGCGGTTCGAGTGGCACGGTTTTGTGCTCTCGCAGTTCGTCGCGGTCCATGCGGCCATGACCTTCCGCCCAGCATTGGCTGCAGTAGGGATCAGAGTCGCATCCTACGCATTGTAGTGAGGCATCCTCGTTGCATATACCTTCGATAGTGAAGGAGCGGTAGTCATGAACCGCGGCTGATCAGCTCACTAGCTTTTTCCATTAGCAGGACTTAGAGAAAAGTTGTCTTGAAATACTCACAACACCAGCCTTCCATGTCCTCCTCCTCTTCGTTCCCTTGCTTTGACTGTTTGATGTCAGCACCCTTGCTTGGCCCAGTGCCAGGCGCAGAGAGCTTCTTCGTGTCGAGTCTGGCAAGAGCGGAGAAGCTGCTCAGGTCTCTTTCTGGATCAATGCCGTGTCTGAGGTGCACGTCCTCAGACGTAGCATCCGGAGGAGGATCGCGAGGCACGGTAGGAAGCGCAGAGAAGATATCCTGCGGTACGTCTGGTAATATCCAAGATGGTCCTGATGCTGCTTTGACTGAGGGCGCTCGGTCTGGGTTGGATGTAGGACCTTTGGCGGTGGAAGAGGGCGTCGAAGACGCCAGAGGCGCGCTGACCTTGGTTCGTAAGGCCTGAAAACGCTGCAAGAGATCTGCCGGCGCTGTGTCTTGACGTAGCGCACTGTCTTGTGGAAGCTTCGAGAGGTGGCTTGATGAGTTTGCTTTGATGGACCCCAGCGATGGCGATGAAGCCATAGCAGCTGCCAATTCATCCTCGAGACCAGTCAAGTCCCCCTCTTGGTCGTGACTTGCTTCTTCTCTCTCGCTTGCGGGACCGCGCTCTAGCATTGGGAGAGGTCTTTGCATCCTTTCTAGTGCAGCTGATGAGCCTTCTGCAGACGCTGCTCCCGCAGTGTGCTTCTCACCGGCCGATCCAGAGGCGGGCCGGGCCTCTTGTGGTGCTTGAGGTGCTTCATTCGACGGCTTCAGCAAGACGCCTTGAGATCGGAGATCGTTGACAGCTTGCTGAGCTTCGCTAGACAACGCTTTGGACTCTCTCTCGAGCTGATGAAATTCCTCATCTGATGCGCTGATACCTTCGACCGCTTCCTCTTCGTCTTCATCTTCATCTTCGACCTCATCCTGACCCACCTCCACTCCATGCTGTCGACGCAGCTCGACTTCCTCCCTCGTGCGTCGGATCAAAGCCTCAATCTCGTCTTCATTGCCATCTCCCGTCTTGCTCTGCGACATCAGCTCGTTGCCGTGAGCATCTGCCGACGTCGCGTTCTTTCCAGCGTGGAGCGCGCTGCTCTCGTCATTCGAGCATAGAGGCTGCGGAGCAGAGGTTGAGCCCGATGAGCGCGTCTGAGCAGCACCTTTCGAAGCGTGTGCGCTCCTCAAGGCTCGAAGGCGATCTTCTAGACTGCCCATGCTGCTGCCTGCAAGCTAAAACTGCTTTGCGCCCTCGTCTCCCCAAGGTGTAGTACGTCTGCATCCAGAGGCGAATGGATAATCTGCAGGGGCGAACTGCACACGACACATCGCATCCTTGTCAGAGGGGTTAGGGTGGTGCAATCGTGAATGTGAATGTTGGGTGACGGGGGGTGCAATAGTGGATTCACGCTGGTCTGTGCGCAGACGAAGTCAGTGAGTGCTCATTTATGCAGCGAACGCTACACTGCTCGCACGTGACTGCTGAACGGAGCTGCGTTGCAATCGTGAATCTCAGGCATGAATCTTGAATGAACACCCCCCCCCCTCCCCCTGATCACAACTTGTCTGATCTGCGCAAAGCTTCTCTGACCTGACGCTGTTTCCTACACACTCCTACAACGTGTGGAACGACTCAAAGCGACAGGCTGCACTCCCTGTCCGGTTCACATCCATTGCTGGGGCATCCTCACGCGCGCAAAAGGACGCAGCAGATCATTATTCTATGCATTCGGAAAACATTTTGGAATCCCTGGTGGAGAGGGAGAGGATGCCAAAAGACACAAAGTAAGGAGCGGGGAGCAGCCCCGGTCTCGTTCTGCAGATGGATTGTCAATTCGAGCCAAAGACGCGTGATACTGCGGCCAGTCAGAGCAAAGTTGAAGGTCGTGCTGGGGGCAAAGCTGCACTCAGAGCTTGATCTTGCCCGCAGCGATGGCTTCGAAGTCCGACTTCTTGAAGGGAACGTAGGCATCAGCAGACGGCGGTAGCCAATAGAGTGGATCGCTGCCGCACTTTTCGTGTTCGATACCTTCGTTTCTGAGCGCCACCTTGAGCTGCTTGACAGTACCAGTGCTCTCCGTACTGGGCACCACCCGGATAAAGAGCGGCACAGCGTACTTTGGAAGACGCTTCTTGGCGTGCTGCGCAAGTTTAGCCAGATCCATTGTTGCTGCAATGTTCTTGGGCACAGCCGCGCATCCTGCACGTCCATCGTGGTTGGGTACCAGGACACCGTAGACGTTCGCTTCGTCGATCACCTCTCCCAAAGCGGTGGCCACCTCTGCAGTGGAGACGTTCTCAGAGCGCCAACGGAAAGTGTCTCCGATGCGGTCACCAAACCAGTAGTATCCTGATGGCGCAGGCGAGCCGAGGGTTGTCAGCGTCACTAGCATGCTTCGCGCATCGTTGCCTACCGCGCTCACCATCTTTGTCTAGACTCAGGAGATCTCCGGAGCGGAAAAAGGCGTCGCCCTTGGCAAACACATCAGTAAGGATCTTCTTCTTGGTGGCCTCGGGGTTGTCTGCATAACCAAGGAAGGCGCTCTTCGGATCTCCAGTTGCGATGCGCATCAAGAACTCTCCACTCTCCCCTGGGCCGCAAGGGATACACAAGCCAGTCTTGGGGTCTCTGGCAATGTCTTCGGTAATGGCGTCAACCTGTACAATCTTGAAGTCGGGTCGAAAAGTGCGCGCAGCGTTGCCGAAGCGGCCAATGGCTCCAGCTCCAAAGGGTCCGGAATTGTAGTTGAGAAGCGCACCGTTGCCCTCTGAAGACGCGTAGAATTCAGAAATGTCGCGAACGCCGAACCTCTCGCGGAACTTTTGCCAGACGTCGGGTCGCATTCCGTTGCCGTACGCCATGCGGACGCGGTGATTCTTGTCGTCAGGGTGGGGAGGCACAGCTAGCAGGTATCTCGCGATCTCTCTGTTGAGGGCGCGAAATATGTGAGCATGTACACTGCATAAGCAGTCGACCGCTCGTGCGATGACACTCACCCGATGTACTGCACGACGGTCGCGTCGTACTTGCGCACCTCCTGCCAATACCTAGAGGCAGAGAACTTGCGCCCGATGATGACCGTAGAGCCAGAGTACCAGCTCGCTCCGATGCAGAGGAATGCGGCAGAAGAGTGATACAGGGGCATGGGCGTGTAAATTCGGTCGTTCTTGTTGAAGCCGTTCACGTTGGGCCACATCGCGCAGGCACCGCCAATACGCCCGTGCGAGCACAGGGCAGCTTTGGGAAGGCCAGTTGTTCCGCTGGTGAAGATGAGAGTGGAAATATCGCTGGGTCCAATGGCCTCTCTAAGCTTAGGGTTGGGTGCCTTGGTGCTTTGCGCCGCCAGCTGCTGAGGTCCAAAGTATTCTGAATCTTTGAGCTGCACAGCGTGAGGCGCAGCCGTCTTTTCGTCGATGGCCACGCCATCATCGAAGCACACGTACTTCTTCAGGTGGCCGGCAGAGCGCAGGTCCGCGTCTACTTCAGAAAGCGCAGATTCGAGCTGCGGCTCGTAAATGACCAGACGAGCGCGGGAGACCTTGACACAGTGAGCAAGCGCGGGGCCTCGAAGACCATTGTTAATGAATGCTGGCACAACGTTGATGCTCAAAGCAGCGAGCCAAAGCAGCACGTAAGCAGTGCAATTGCCCATAAACAGAGCAATTCGGTCTAGAAAACAAGGACCAGGCTGTCAGAGTCGAGAGCTCCGGCTTCACGGCTTCTTAAACTCACCTCCTGGGTTGAGACCGCTGGACAGCAGGTAATTTGCGATGCGATGAACCTCTGCGAAAGGAGAAAAGGTCAACTTCAGCGCTCATTCAAAGGTCATGCGCTGTGACATGAGCAGCCATGCGTAGATCATTCCAAACGACTGGGCCAGCAAGTCCGCCCGCTTCGTCGGCAAGCGACCTGGTCTACATTCGTCTTTGCTCCAGCCTGGTCTCGCTAAAGCTGCCCGCATTCCAGGCAACGCTGTCATGCCTGTGCTTACTTCTTTGTCCACATGTAGTGACCCAGGGGCCTTTTGCGTCTTGAATGCGTTCGAGAGATACTTACCGGTCTGTGCCTGGCCCCAGGTTGTCTGACGTCCTTCGTACACGTATGCAACATCGTTCGGGCTCCTGGCAGCGGTGTCTTCGAAAAGAGAGTACATGCTCGCCTTTCCCCTCCATGAACGCAGTCGGAAGCTGTAGCGGATGGCATTGTAAGCATCAACCTGGCCGCGCTGCAGCCAGTGCTTAGCATTCATCATACGCACTTCAGGTTGCTCTTGGCGTTGGCTCTGGCCAAGTGAAGGTCGTTACCCAAACCCCATTTGGCGTCCAGATAGGCGACGGCCGCAAGGCCGGATGCAGCTTTGAGCACTGCTGATGAAGCCATTGTGTGGGCGAGTCAGGTAGTGTGCCAAGTCCGTTGTTGTAGCTTTAGTCTACCTTTGGTAATCCAAGCCGATCTCGTGTCGTATTGGATAATGTCGCTGACTGAGCGAGCTTATCCTCAAAACGCTGGAAGTGATGGAAAGTGACGAAGTGAGATCAGAAGAATCTCTTGTGGAATAAGGCCGTGACAGACATGCATCTGCAGTATGAAGGATGTGATCGACCCACGCACGGAGCCAGGATTTGAAAGCTCATAGCCGGGAATGGACGATGCGGGTGGAATGCCACACACACGACGAAGATCAGCGGGAGCACCGGCCGGTGCGAGCACACTCACACTCTGACTGAAGGCTCACGGAGACTGAGCACTCTGGCTGTGCCTGCCAGCTGCTGCTGTCTCTGTGGGGGAGAAAAGCGATCTGTGCAGCTCCGGGTGCCGCCTCGTGCGGAGAGAGTCTCTCGCATCCCACGACCAACGTCGTGAACAGGCTATATTCGTCGGACCAACTCCGGAGCATGGATGGCATTCACGATTGCGCTGAGCATGAGATCACCAAACTCTTTCGTGCGCTTGTGCCCGGTGGCAGGGACTTGTGGAGAGAGGGCGGTTCGACGCGCGCAGTGCCGGAACGTGCAGCTCTTCCCCCACGCTCGAGCCAAATGCCTCGAGTTGAAAGCGACGCTCGTGCGCGCGGGACTAACTGGACCAGTCACGAGTCACAGGGCCCACCTGCCATTACGAATCGACTAGCCCGCTTGGTGACGTCGTTTCAGTGCCCGCGTATCCTAGGCTCAAGCATCATAGAGGCATATGCTGCATATATGCTGCATGCAGCAGCAGCAGCTCATGACGGTGGCAGTCCCACCAGCGCAAGCGGACGATGAAAGGATCTTGTGAAACGACAGCATGTAGGGCATCGTCTCACTGGGCGTCTTGTACGAGACTGTGACTGCAGGAGCAAGTGTCGTGCGCGTCAAGCTATACCAGAAAAGATCTATCAATCCCTCCTGCCTTCCAACCTGTGCAATTCAGACCTGACCGCCTGATAGTCTTCGGTGCGTTCAGACTATCTATCACATCGCGAGCCTACGTGGACGACAGATGGCATGCATATGATTTGTGAGCGTGGAAAGGGCTGGGTGGAATGGCGAAGATGGATGGCACTTGTGGCCAAGCATAGGCATACAAATTTTCTGTTGAGATTGCAAACAAAGGTGCAAGCAATCAGGGAGACTTTCAATAATCGACGCTTTGTACCTTTGAGGTTTTGCCTGGCGCGCCGTGGTGTGTACGATCCTTCGCCAGAGCACACTTGTCACCCTGTTCCATAGTCCCATCGTAGCAGCACACTCGCTACGTCTCCAAGTCAGCAGGAGACGCCCCAGCTTGTCAACCCTGCGCGCTTCCCGAAGACGGTGTTTGCGCTGCACTGCTAGATGGTTGCTGTCCTGCATTCGACCCGCTGACGTTACCATTACCAGTAGACGCTTGCGGCCCCCCTCCTGGCGGAAAAGGCTGAGCGCCTGGCGGGAAAGGAGCGCCATATGTCATCCCTTGCACTGGCCGAAGCGGTTCAAAAGTTGGTTAGCTTGGAATCTATCTTCGTCCGCAATAGAAGATCTGGACTCACTCGGTTGGCCCTGGTAGAAATGACCTGGTGGTCCCTTGCCCTGCATGTGCGGTGGCATATGACCAGGCCGTGGGGGGGGACCGCCGCTGGGAAGGCCGCCGACGTAAGGAGGAGGTGGCGGTCCACCAGAGTGGCCACCTGCCCCGCCCATGAACTGGTTGCCATGCGGTCCATGTGGCATTTGATGTCCCATCTGTGGGCTGTACAAGCCTGCTGGAGGATCGATCAACAACAGAGCGAATCAGTCTCAGGCTCCGCGCACGTGGGCCTCATGGACCTGTAGTCGTAGGTCTGGACTCACATGGAGCACCGTGAGGTGGAAGGGGTGGTGAGAATGGCATGCCCTGCATGGCAAAGTGTGGGGGCATAGCACCGTACGGCATTGGCGCCCCTGGTTGCATTTGCATTTGGGGCATCATTTGTTGCTGCTGCGGCTGCCAGGAGATGTTTCTCACATCAGCGAGGTCGCGATCGGACAAAGCTCCTGCGGCATGCACTTACCTGTCCCTGGAAGCGATATGCGCCATACGGTTGTGCTGCATACATGATCGGCGCAAAAGGCTGTCCATGGTGTGGTGGCCCACCTTGCGAGTGAGGCGGCAATCCTGCCTGAGGAGGATGAGCCGGCTGTCCAGGCTGGACGTGCTGAGCACCAGGCGTGCCCGGTGCAGCTACGTTGTTTGCAGGTCCGCCCGGACCAGTCGGATGCGGTTGCGGCATTGAAGAGGCGCCCGCCTGAGATTGACCGAATGACTGCATCGCTTGACCTTGAGCTCCAACGGGAACGTGGGCAAAGTGTTGCTGCGGCGCTCCTTGGGCAACGTGCGCAGGGGCTGCGGAGCCAGCTGAGCCCTCTTCAGTGCTGAATCCGACGCCGGACACCTGTCCGCTGGGTCCTGCCTGCGGGCCACCTGGTGGTAAGACGGCAGCGAAGAGCTGACGATACGGCTTGCCCGTGAAAGTCCAAAGCGGTCCAACAGCCGAAGCCTCTGGTACCTTGCTGACTTTGAAAGGATTGAAGTCTTCGCGAACGTGGAGCGAACTTGGTGCGGTCGGCTTCTTGATCACGCGATTGCCGAAGAAAGGATTGGTAGGCTTAGCAGGTGTCGAGGCGCCCAAGGTAGACACCTGTCAAGGCACAAGTTGGTGAGAAAGATTCGAAGACAAGGGAAAGAGCGCCGACGAGAATACTCACATCCTTTTTCGCGGTCGTCCCTGGGGTGAATGCAGTAGCATTGGGATTGAAAGGTTTGAATGAATTTGCTTTCGCACTCATTTTAAAGACGCTAGTCGACGCTGTGAGGCCAGATGCACCTCCCGGAGCGCCGGAGGCTGGCCCGCCATCGTTGAACGGCGTGGTCCCACCAGATATCGTCGCTGAAGTGCTCGAGCTAGCAAGCGCTGGGCTTTTCCGCTTGGCTGCACCATTTGGGTTGAAAGGCGGTATCTTCGGAATCGTCATGCCTGCTAGGCCCTTTGAGATTGGCTGTGATTCGCGGCTGGCAGCGCCTGCGCTGACGTTCGAAGCGGTAGCAGCGAAGCGAGGCGCCACTTTAGGTGAAGTAGCGACGGATGCGGTTCCTTCCGATCTGTCGGCTGAGCGCACTGCTTCCCCAGCGACGGTGGTTGGGCTCAAACTCTTGAGCAGCGTTGGGTCGCGAGGCTTTTCCGATGCTGCGGCGCCGGATGGCGAGAGAGAAGTCGTAACTCCTTTCGATCCGCTCGGCGACTTCGCAACGTCGGCTGGAACGGGCGTCTTCAGCTTGAAGCTGCCGCCCCATTGTTTGAGTTCGGCCAACCTATCGTCTTTCTCCTTTTTGGCGAGAGCGGCTCTTTTCTTTTCCAAGCGTTCTCTCTCCTTGTTGACGAACTCGCGGAAGTCGCCCAGTATATGCCGGGACTCTGCATCCTTTTTGGCGGCCGGATCGACTGATGCGGTTTCTGGAGTGGTGCCGAGTACTGGGGTCGGCGCTTGCGTCTGCAACACTGGTGCGGCTGTCGATGCATCGAGGGTGCCTGTCGAGGTACTCTCGGCAGGCGGTCCGGATGAAACGTGGACAGAATTGGAGCTGGGGACCGCGATGGGTAAAGCGGCTGCTGCACTAGCAGATTGAGAAGGGAGGGCGGCGGCAGGGGCGGCGGCAGCAGCGGCAGGTTGTGGAACTCCGTTGGCCTTTGGTGAGGCAGTCCCTGTGGTGGCAGCCCCGGCTCGGCGCAAAGCCGGCGGGACGTACGCATTCGGGTTGCGCACCACCGCACCGTATCGGTCCTCCTCTGTAATGTTGGCGTTCTCGTGCTGCCCACGCTCTTCAGCGATGTGAGCATTAGTAGAAGCCTGGCCCATGATCTCTCTCGCCAAGCGGTCTGCTTCACGTTCGCGCTGCGCAAAGTCCTTGCCCGATCTATCGAGACGAGTCGTGTACAGATCTTCTGCGTAGTCACTCTTGAGACCAAAGCGCGCTTCATTGGCCTTGAATTGGTCCCATTCGCCGCCTCGGCTAGCACTATCAAGTGCGCCGCTTGCGGCGCTGAGCCCGCCAGGCGCTTCGATTGGCGCCAGCTCCGGGTCATCAGACCATTTTTGGAGCTCCCGCCCGCCACCGAATGGATCACCCAGCTTGGAAATCTCGGTGTCAGTCCGAAAGCCTGGTGACGAGGAGGCGAGATCAGCCTAGCCTGACTCTCTCTACAGGTGTGCTTCACATAGACAACCACTCACCGTCTCGCTTCCTATTCGGCTCGGATTGCACCTCGCCCAACCGAACGTCAGAGGCGTGCACCTCGTCCAGATCGCTACCATTGATGACGAGCATCTTTCGCAGCGGTCCATACTCCCCTCCAGGAAGCACCTCCTGCGCAGCAGAGAGGGCGACGCCCAGCTCGTCGGAGTCCGGCGAGGTGGCGCTCAGGATGCCGATGAATTTGAAGCCACCATGAGTTGTTGCAACTACAGGAGTGCCGATAAGAGACACCAGCAGAAATGTCAGGCGCTCCCTCATATCCTTCGCAGCAGCATTCGGGGGCTTGGCCTGAGCGGCTTGTGCGCTTGCGGCAAGCGATGGGAACGACGTGGTGGGGATAGCATGCGTGCTGCTTGGTGAAGCGATGGCAGGATTGGCTCCCTTGCTTGCAGCGGGCCCAGCAACACCGGGTGTGGAGCTTCCGCTGGCGTTCCCGTTCTGAGCACTTTGATTGTTCCTTGGAGGTCCAGCGGCCCATCTCGAGCCTGCTCCGCCTGCAGGACTTGCACCAGATGCAGCACCATTCGGTCCTCCAGTGCGCCAATTACCTGTCGGTGTGGCGCTGAGCCTTTGCGAAGCTCCCGGGCCCCCACCTCTGCCACCTCTAGCATTAGATGCCATCGCTGCGGGCCAAGAATGAGCGCAGTTATTTGAGAGGAGAGATCCGAGCCAGAGTAAAGTTCGAGCGCCCTTGGAAATCTGACCGCGAGTCCGCGAGTCCGCGAGTCCGCCTCGTCCTGTGGTCAGACAGCTGTATCGAGAAGAGTGATAGACGTTGAGGCGCTACAGTCGCAACCGAATGAAGCTGCTCCTGCAATGTCCAAGGGCGCGAACCATCCAGGGTCAAATGGCCCAAAGCCAAAAGAAGCGACCACCCGCTCAGAACGATCAAGGCACCGCTGTACGCAAGCCTTGTCGGTGCGACTCGATCAGACTCGATCAAGGCAATTGTTCCGGGCAGCAAGCTGGGTCTGTGACGGCTGCCGCGTTTGTGACCTTGACTCCTGAAAAGGACTGGGTCTGTGCAGCGCGCGTGTAGCCTGCTCCTGACTACGTGTGCTGCAACGGCATGGGTGTTGCGAAGGAGGCAGATCGACAACGAAGCAGCCAGTCACCTTTTGAGAGATGGTGTAGATGCGTGAGGAAGGAGCGACGGGGCGGGGTTGGATGGCTACCTAGCTGTTGTGGATTTGGCGAAGCCCTGGCCAGAAGCCAAAGGTAGGATCGCGCTTTGAGTGGATTCCAAGTTGTGCGCATACAGCATGCGCACACGAGTCCAGCAGCACAGCATACATGCAGCCGCGACGCAGCAGTCGCAAACTCAAAAGTCGTGAGGACGCAGCGGTTGCTGATGCGCTTGTTGTTCAAGTTACTATACAGGCGGCTGCGTGACTGCGATCGAGGCACACATAATAGCGGGCCGGCATATTATATGCTGACGCGCTACTGGTAACACACCAGCGTAGCTTCGCGGTCTACCAACAGCTATAGCGTCAGCGGTACGGGCACCACACCACTATGTGTTGCACGCTCGCGCCCAGCAGCATGCAGACGACGCCGCGGCGGATCTCGGCAGGTGAGTGCTGGTGCGTGTTTAGTTGCTGCGTGTGCTCGCAGCGCAATTGCGCGGTTGCAGGCACAATCGCAGTCGCGGTTGTGAGTCAAGAGTCTGAGTGCTGGTCGCAGTAGTCGGCGTTGGGTGCTGGCTTGCCGGGCAGCGCTCGGGGCCATGCACTTGCATGAGAAGATGCAATTAAAGGATCCGCAGCTGAATTCTGAATAGACGATCACGAATTGAAAACATCTCAAATGGTCACGTTTGAGAGGCGCAAGACTGAGACAGGCGGCGCAGGTCTGATCACCATTTAGATCAGTAGGGAATTTTGAATCAACATCCTTGATCGGTATTAATCTTTGAATATTTGATAGGTGCGTTGACCTCAAAAACCATAATTCCGATCACCGCAATGAGAATCTTGAATCAAGCATCCAAATCTGAATTTTCAATCCTGTCTCATGAATGCGAAGATCGCGGATCCTGGATGTTTGAGGTACAATCAATGAAATGTGAATCACGAATGTGAATGATGTGTATGCTGCCAGGTCAAGTTTTGGAGTTGGAATGCCGGCAGCTAAAGCATCCAACGGAGATTTGATGTGGATCTGGAACCAAAGCTTCGAATCAAACTCAAGAATCGTCAATCGTTCATCTGCTGAATTCTAAATCGTGAATGTCTTAGTGCACTTGCGGATCGCTGCGAAGGTCGGCCATCATGCACAGAATCTTGCAGCTCTGGAAGTACTGCTACAGGAGTAGTGAGAGTCTCGCAAAAAGGCTGTGGCAATGTAGTGAGTGCCCGCGAGACTCCCCACAAGAGAGTCAAAACTTGCCCCAAACAGACCAAGAACGTCCGTCGCAGCTCGGCGCAATCACTCCGAACGGCGCGTAGTTTCGAACAGCATCTGCAGAGGATAAAAGCGTTCATCAATTGGTATCTAAAGGAATGGTGTTGTTGTTGTAAGATGAGACAGCAGCAAAGTCGAGGACGCGGATAAGGTATAAAAGGAAGAGCAGAGGCGGCAAAGCGAGCGTCCAACTCGCCCTCTTCGAATCCAGGGTATAGCTAGACATTTCCGATTTTTTTGTTTTCTTTTTTCTTTTGTTTTTTGGAGATGAGTGCACGCGGCGTGACTTTGTGCGGCCGACATCTCGACAGCAGACGGAAGCAGGAAAAGGCAGAATCATGCCGAGGTATCAAGGGGAAATATGGCCAAGTCGCGATCGAGAACGCTCAGTCTTGCTCAGCGTCCACGTATCTCGAGCGGATACTGCCCGTGTTGATCGAGGCAGTGTCTGCCGGTAATGGCGACGCTCCATTGCTTACTGGCAGCGCGTCAGAATGGCTGCCGTTTGTAAGACTCACACCTCTCGGAGTGAGTTCAGCATCAGTGGACCCGTCCAGAGCGGACTGTCTAGTAGGCGTCAGAAGCGTGTCCGGAGCGGACCCATTGACCTTCAATGGAGTCAGCGTCTTGCTCTTTTCCTTTCCTGCTGTCGAGGCTGTGGGAGTGCCGAGGGGTGAAGAGCTGTTACTTCCGCGTACCTTTGGAAGGCTCGGTTGGTTCCCGCTGCTGCTTGCGCCACCTCTGACGCTCAGTAGACTGGCCATTCGGCGCAGCCCGGCACGGCGGTAGATGCTTGCGGTAACGCTCTTGAAGCTGGGAGCGAAGAGGGAGCGCCGCTCAGATGCGGCGTCCCCGTTGATCGAGTCACGTTTAGCATGACCACCGAACATGCGTCCGCCAGCACTTGGGCTGCTAGGCAAAGCAGGCCGAGGAGGCGCGATCGTCTCTTCGATGCAAAGCCAGGATGACGTCGGGGTGCCCATTCCGGGCGTTAGAATGCGCGAGGCTGCCTTCTGATTGAGCTGAACGATGAGCACTGGGGAAAAAGAAGCGCATGCAGCTGCATCTAGAAGCTGATCTTGCCACATGGATACAAAGCCTTCGTTGATTGGCATCGTCGAAACCTTAGTGACACTAAAAGCGGGCTCCGCCGGCGCACGGTGGGAGCGACCGCTAGGGGAGAGCATGCCAAAGTCGGAGTCAATGTCCGACTCGCGAGAGACAGGCCTGCGACTCTTTGTTCCGCGTCGTCTCAAAGAGCCAAAAGATGTTGATCTAGTCGCCATAGGGGGCTCCTGCCGTGAGCTCCGGCCTCCTTCTTGATCCTCTTCCGGCTCAGGAGCGGGTTTCATGGGTCGGACGTCAGTCAGACTAAGATCTGCCACTTGACTGACGGAGCGCCCAAAGCCGATAGAGCTGAAGTCGGCCCAGTCGATGTCTTTTGCCTCCTGCGAAGGACTGCCGTCGTCCTCTCGCAGCGTTCCCAAAGCGCCAATGGAGCCCAAACCTCGCAGACTCGAGCTCGGAGGCAAATTGCTGCTGGTACCCAGGGCAGAGGAAGCTGAAACGGAGCGACTGAGACCAAGACCTGCACCGCTTTCGCTAGCGGAAAGCCAATTCGACGCCGGCTCACTCATGCCATTTGACATGGCACTATCGACCGATCTGCTTGGTGGCACGGAGCTCATACTCGTGCCAGGTCTCGAGGCGATGCTTCCGTAAACGGACGGATTGGATGAGCGAGTCTTACGCAGCATGGTCTCGTCATTCCATGGGTCAGGCTGAGCTGCAGGAGGCATCTCTGGTGTCGGAGTAGGTAATGGATCGAGTATGTTCTGTCTCGCACCCAGAATGGTCGCCACAATACGCAAGACGCGGGCGTCTTCGGGCGTCGAAAGGGCGCTCTCTCTACGAATGTCGGACTCCTCATCTGTCTCTAGCAGATCCAATGGCAGCGTACTGAGGCCTGCAACTGGGCTGGAGTCTGGCGAAGGCTCCGGTCCGAGAGCGCCTGTAAACCCACCTGCAAGGCGTGCGGATGCTGGCACCGAATCAGTCGTAGCGTCCCCATCGACTGCATGCTTAGCAGCCACCTCTGCAGGGCCTGGCGCATTGGTGGCATAAGCAACGAGTGCCGTCCAATCGTCCACCTCAGCACTGCTGTCAGTGTCGCCGATGATTGCTTTGCAAGCTGCGCGGAAAGTGTCGTTTGGTCCTCGAGGGCGTCGAGGGTTCACACTGACGTTTTCAGATTTGACATCGACGCGAAGAGCAAAATGAGGCGCTGCCGCAAAGGGAGGAGGGAGAGAAGGGGTGGTAGTTCCCTCTGCGATGTATGGGTACTTTTGCACCAATTCCGTCAAGCGAGTCGGCATCAAGTGAATCGTGGCCGCCTGGTTGCGAATGTGGGCGAGCAAGAGGTGTTCCGTTATGCCAGCACTGCGCTCGCTTGCCCTGAAAAGCTCTTCGAGGTTCGTGGGTGGGCGATCTGCACTAATTCTTCCCCAGATCCAGTAAGAAAGAGTCCTGGCGAGTCGAGAAGCTGGCATAGCGTTGGCGACGTGATGCGCGGAAATCGTGGTGAAGAGATCGAACAGCTCGGTCAGAAATTCCGCAGTCGCCTTGGGAAGCGACGGCAAGAGTATGTCTGACCACGCCTTTGCTGGATAATCAGCTGCCTTCTCGGCCTCCACGAACGCTTCGTACCAGGTAAACTGCTCGGCCGAATTGAAGTCTGCCGTGCGAAGTCGCAATCTGCGCAGCGCCCACTTGAACAGAGCGACGACCTGCAAGGGAGAATGCAATTGTAGCATGGGCGTGCTCCCGTGTGAGTTCAAGGGAAATAGTGAATGCTTGAGCTCAGCTACACTCACGTCATGCACATTGGCGTACGAGAGGTTGCGTTGCAACTCAGAAAGAGCGTCCGTCTTTCCGATCATCTCCATCATGAGCGAGGCACCAGGCGAAGCGGGGATGTCGCCTGGCTGAGGTGCGATCGTGAAGATGCCTTCGTACTTGTGCGGATCGATGTGCAGCAGAAACAGCTCTACAAGGCGCTCCACGCGCTCTGGCGATTCTGGCAGCCGGAAGGGTCTAAAGATGCCGACTGTACCCAGGCCTGCAGAACATAAAGCGTCAGCTCGTCCGTGCAGAGATCGGCGAACAGAAGGCCTACAAGCTCAGCAGCTAGCTCACCTCTCATTCTGATCTCTTTGGAGCACAAGCTGCACAGTTGCTTCGCTTGCTTGATATCCAGACGCGCGTTCCTATGCGCGCCCAACTTCTCCGTCGCCGTTGCGGGTTTGGCTTTGGTTGCCAGCACCAGCGCAGCAGCTGGCGAAGGCCCCTGAGCTGTAGCTGACGCGTCCGCCTTCTTCCTTCGCGAGGTCCAAAGCGACGCCGCCTTGTCTTGTGCCGGATCTGCGCTAGCGATCGCCGGCTGAGCCTCTTCGAATGCGTTTTCAACGTTTGCTTTTCGTGCCTGCTTTGCATCTTCTTCCTGCTGAAAGGCAAGCGAGAGGGAAGGAGGAAGATCCGGAACGGGAGGGGATGCCTCTTGCACATGCTGTCGGCAAAACCGAATGGCGAGAGATGAGTGTGATGCAATTGCGCTCAGCTGCAATCCACTCGAATCACACAGCCGGCAAGCACACAATGTGCATCCAACGCTGTCCTACCACTTCACTTCGAACTCTCAGACTCACCTTCCGGCCCCAGAAGCCTCGCTTCGACTTGGTGGGGCCGTTCAAGTCTGGCGTGCTGAAATTGCGGGAGCTGACCCTCCTGCTGATGCCAACTGGTCGCGCCACCACTGCACCTGTCGCTGCCGCAGCAGCATCCGCTTCCTTTTCATAGTCGATCGACGAGACTCCCTGCTTGTGAGTCATGTAAGGTGCACCGCTTGAATCATCGGGTGAGAGACCGGCCTTGAATCTCGAGAACAAACCGCTTGGTCGGCGTGGAGATGAGACCGCGGCCATGGTTGTCTTCGCGTGTAAGGGGCGAGATGTTGTGACTGCTTGGTGCAGCTTGCGGGCCAAGGCGAACGAAAGTCAAGACTACTTTGTTCTTTTTCGCGAGCCCGTTGTCGCGTTTGAGGTGCTTGAAAGTCGAATGAGACCCGGCTGCAGCTGCTGGGCCGGGACAGATATCGGTTTAATGAAGGTAGACAGCTCTGCTGCAACTGCGTACCGATGACGCGATTTCAGATCGATGACGAAGCGATGCTTGGCCCCGCACCAATGCCAGAGTCTTGAGTGTAGCGTTAAGTCGTGGGTCGAGCCTGCGTGGATGTTGCTTGACTTTGAAATTGGCGCGCGAGATTGGCACCCTACAAGCGAACCGAATTCTTAGAAAGCGCGTCGCGAGGTTCACGAGATGTATGTGCAACGGAGGGGAGGGCGGGGGTATAGATGGAATGGTAGAGCAGTTGCTGCTGATGACAGCTTTCAGGGCAGGGAGGGATCGGGAGAGGATGATGAGAATGATCAGGCACGGAGAGAAAAGATGAAACATCAGGAACGCAGTCACGCGCGAGTCACGAGCGCAGCCATTCCTCAGCATTCGCCGCCGGCGCACGCGTCAGAGCTCCGCTTCAAGATATCGACTCCAAATGTCAAAGCGCGGTTACAGCACAACAAGTGCTAAACACAACAATCACCGTGGGCTGCATGCATGACTTTCCTCGTCTCTCTCTCCCTCCCTCTCTCTCTCTCATCCTGCAGCAGCAGCAGCAGCAGCAGCTAGAAATGTGTCCAAGCTAGGAGATTTGTTGGAGCGATCCGACCACAAGCGCAGCTTAATTGCCTCGAAGCTTGTGCGCAATGCACTGCCGACTGCACGCTATACATGTCGTCTGCATGAGGACCGTTGGGATGCAGAATCGTGAATCGCTCCTGTCACCGCGTGACTGCGTATGGTGACTCGTATGACTGTAGCAGCAGCAGGGTAAACGTCGTGATGAGTGCTGAACAGACGCGGCGGAATTCGAAGTTGACGCGTGCTGCTTCTCTTGGGCTGCTGGCTGGCTCTGCATGCGGGCCTTGTGCTCACACATCAGCACTCGTGACTGTCATCTCAACGCCTGCAGTCGACCCCTCAATACTCTTCTGACTTTTCCTTTCGACTCGTCTGTCTCGACTGGGGCTCTATTGACCGTATGCAGCTTCAAATGGTCTCAGCGCCAGCACCGCTCGCCATATGATGCAAATAATCACCACTCACAATTATCATTCGTGATCCAGCTGGAGTGCTGCTGCCACGCCGAGTGCATCATGTGTACTCTAGCTGACTGTATATAGCAGCGTGTCCGACGATATGCAGCCGACAGATCGACATGCAGCGCAGAAGCTACAGCTAGGCAGCACGCACGGCCTTTCTGCGCGCTCAAACACTATACTGACTGTTGTCTTGATGGCTAATCAGTGACTATACCAGCATCTCTGTACACAGCAACAGCAGTCACGAGTCTCGAGGCCTGAATAGGTGTCTATTATGAAGTATATGCCGTGGACTGTATAAGCGTCTCTGCATTTACACTGCAGAGGGGAGTCGTGAGGTGTCTGTTATAGAGCATGCCTTGCACGGCATAATTCAACTTATAATAAGCTGCACGTAATCCGCACATGCGAGGATCACCGGCACTTATTTTGACGACACCGCCTGTCTGCTGAGCTTGCAATCACGAATACCGCCCCGCCGTCCACACCGCGCGCTCACGCTCACGCGTGTCTGCGCCGCGAAGTCATCAGCCGGAGCGCCCGCGGTATACCGTACAGTAGCGCACACATCAGCAGCTGATGCAGCGTAGCAGCAGATTCCCCCACGCGCGCGAGGGCTGATCGGCGCGCGCCGAGCTTTTGCGTGGCGCGCCAACAGCTTGCCATTCGCGCGCCATGCTGCTGCTGCTGCCGCCGCTGCTGCGTGGCTCACAAAATTTTGGACGCAGGACCATCAGAATCAGCGCCTAAACGCTGTACCAGAACTTCCCACGCGGCCTTCGCACGCTTCTTCTACCGACCACACACGATAAGTCTTCAGAAACACCATTCGAACGAAACCCTTCAGACACAAGATCGAGGCGATATAAGCGTCATGCGTGAGTCATGAGAAAAGCAAGCCTTCTGAAACCCCCCGGCTTCGTAATGTGACGGCGAGCGAGGAACGACCGCTGACGCTGACGATCGCTCCTTACGTTGCCTCTGGCTGAATCACACCAAATGTGTCTGCGATTCTACCGGATCCCACGCAATCTCTATGCGCATCTCTAGCACCCAAAAAGAACACGAAGGTTTCCCTGACCGACTTTCTAAATGATGAGGGTGAGTCTCGGCTCCTTGCCCACGTGTAACATCCGCATACAAGCATGTCCGCAACCCTGCAAGGAACAAGCAGAGTAGAGACTTGTGGTGGAGCTTGGAGGTAGCCAGAGTGCGAGCAGCACGCGTGATGGCGTGTAAAATATCTTCTTGGAGCACACACAGCAGCTTTGGCACATCAAGCGCGCTCACCCCCTGCCGCCTACGACAGCCACCGGCAAAGTTAATTGGGCCGATGACCTCGATGACCTCCCCATCGCACGTGAGTTAAGCATATAGCACCAAGCCACGGCTCGGTTTTCAGGGTTACTTTTGGTTTTCAGATTTCTGACATCGCGGTTGGATCGTCATGCAGCACGCGGGGAAGGTGCACCTCGCCGTGGAGGAGACTACCTGTCCACAGTCCCTGATAGGGCGGATCGTGACCGCATGATGGGTGCCGATCGCGGCCCCCCTCGCGAGGAGCTACCTCTCCCTACCAAGGCACCATTCACTGCTTTTGTTGGCAATTTGAGCTTCGATGTTACCGAAGGCGAGATTGAGAGCTTCTTTGCTCCATCGCAGGTGAGCTGATGCAGGCTCCCGCCAATCCGCTTGGATCTTGCTAATTTCCAGATGACCTTCTCTCTTGTCTGCGATCCAGCTCAAAGGAGTCCGCATCATTGAGCGCGACGGTCGTCCCAAGGGCTTTGCGTACGTCGAATTTGACACGCTGGATGGTCTCAAAGAAGGTCTTGCGCGCAGCGGGTCGCAGATGGCAAATCGCACGGTGCGCGTGAGCGTAGCCGATGCACGTGAGTCTTCAGAAGCAACAATGTCAAACCGCACGAGTTTCTGATTTTCCTTTCCTCTGTCCGCAGCCAAAGGAGGTGCCGGAGGATTTGGTGGTGGTCTTTCGAGCGTTGCGGAAGAAGCTTCGCAGTGGCGCAGAGCTGGGCCTCTACCTTCAGGCGGGGATGCGCCCCCCTCGGGATTCGCACGGAGAGGGTCAGACAGGCCGGGTTTCGGTCGCCAAGAAGCCGATGGCCCCAGTGGATTCGACAACATGGAGGTCGGAGCTGGCGGGCGCAGCGGCTTCGGTAGTCGTTTCACAGCCTCTCCTGCTGGACGCGAACGCGATGGTCCTGGTGGTCGTTTCGCGTCGCAGGGCACGGCTGCACAACCCCCAGCTGAACCAAGTGCGGGTGATGGCGCGACAAATTGGCGTACTGGCAAGCCGCACGAATCTTTGCAGCCACCCTCTCAGCCTGGATCACGTCGGCCGAGCGCCGGACCTGCAGGCAACGAACGCAGCCCTTCATCATTCAACCACCGCGGAGATGCGACGCAGGTCGATGAGCGTTTTGCCAGTCAGGAGCGCATGGGTTTTGGCAGCAAGATGCTTTCAACTCCCCCAGACAGTCCTTCCGCCAGTGCAAACGGGCCACGAAGGCAATTCGGAGCAGATCGTAGATTGAGCAATGCACCTGGCCCCAGCGCAGCTTCTCCGTCAGCCGGAGATGACGCTGAGACTTGGAGAAGCAGTCGCCGGCCGAGCGCCCCAGCTCGCGGCACTAGTCAAGGCGGAGATCGATATGCCAGTCCTGGCGGCGCTGCTGCCCCGCCAGCGGAGCGTAAGAAGCTCGAACTCAAGCCACGAAGCACACCAGTCTCCGACAACGCGAGCGCACCTGCACCGGCCACACCAAGCACTCCAGGCGCTGAAGGAGCTGCAGCTAGCCGTGCAAACCCATTCGGATCCGCCAAGCCGGTCGACGCTGCAGAGCGTGATCGCTTGATTGAAGAGAAAATCGCGGCGAGGGAGAAGGAGAGGAAAGAGAAGGAAAAGGAGAGAAAGGACAAGGAACGCGCAGATCGAGAGGCTGCGCAAGCGGCCGCGCCTAAAGGCCCACGAGCGGACGGTTCAGCCAAAGGCACAAGCGGAGGTGCAAGTGGCAATGCTTGGAGGAGAGATGGATCAGCAAAGCCTGTTTCTAATGGCTCGCTCAAAGTCGAGGCAGCAGACACCCCTCGAGTCGAGTCTGCATCTCAGTCGCAAGCTGAATCTGTGGAGACGGATGCGAATCAGTCTCCCGCGCCGCGAGCTCCTGCACCTACCGGAGCCTGGGGTGGAGGTCGCAAGCCTAGCGGCGCTCTGGGTGCAGGCACTGCTGAAGCTCAAGTCGAATCTGTCGACTCTTCTGCAAATGGTAATGCGACTCAGAAGGACAACCCTGTCGACGCTGCTACTGCTGGTGTAGCAAGTATCAGCACCGCCTAGACACCTTTGAGTTTCAAGCGTGAGGCTCTCGGCTCATCACAAAGAGCTGCCAGGCTTATCACGCTCGACCTCCACTATCACCAAAAGAACGATCGCTTGCATCACCGCCCAGGTCATCTCATGACGCTCGATCTCAAGTCGGTGCGCCCACTAGTGGCCCTCTGCGCGCATCGTTCCAAAATGACGCTGGATTAGTGAACATTTTCTTGCCCTGCGTCAGCCTATTTCACATGACCGCGCCTCTCCCACCTCCTCGTCTGTATGTCTTTCTGTCACGCTCTGGCTCAACGTGCTACGTTGCGCGTCTTCTCAAAGGACGATTCGTACCCCGAAATTTCATGTGCTACACTGAATATTTAGTCTGACTCATATGGGCTCGGCATTCAGCAAAACATGCTTCGCGTCTGGCTCGAGGCTTGAAGAGGCTCAGTTCTGATTCTGCTCGCAATTCCTGCGCTCAACACTATGTACAAATTTGACTGCAATATCAGAAAGCAACTTTGAATCGAGATCTGATTTGTTGCAGGCAGCAGTAAGTCGTGACTTCGTTTCACACGCCTCCGCGCGCACGATGCGCGCGCAGTTGCCTCCTCTGCTGTGCTTCTCGCGTTGCAAAGTCGGGTGGGCGATTGCGTGCGGCCTGCTGCAAGGAGGCGCGGAAGCGTGATCGTGCTTCGCATGCACAGACCTCTTTCGCAGCACTCAAGACTGTAACACTATACATACTAGCTCAGACCAGCCTCAGCTCCGACCATTACTTGCTGCGTCGCCTTTCAATCTCACCATCGCCGCATCACTGACGACTGACCGTGCACGCCTATCCTTCCATCGCTCGCTAGACTTGGGCATACCTCGCTGATTGCAAGGCGAATCAGGCGCATACAAGCTGTTCAGGACAGGTAGGACCGGGCATTCGCCAACTCGTAAGCATGCGACTCCATCCACATGGACGCACTCGGGCTTGCTCAACCAAACAAAGGCGACCATTCACTCTCACGACAGCGGTCACACTCACATGCTTGCTGCTTGCAATTAGCAGCGCCGCAACGCTGGCAAAACTAGACGAGACGAGGGTAGCAGGTCGGCCTTCGCACAAAGCATCGGATTCAGACGGTTTTCGCGCGGCGGCGGCGGCGGCAGCAGCAGCAGCAGCTGCTGCCGGTGCGGCCTCCGCTGAAGACAAGAGACTCTCTGGAGACAGGGATGCAGGAGTCAAAGCAGACGTGTGGTCCTCCTTGAGTGCGAGACGTCTAGCACAACTGGCTGCTATCCGCGCTGGTCTCGATCCAGACAGCGCGGCAAAAGCTGACGGCGGCGACAAATCACCTGGACGATGGGCAGACTACGTCCCTTCCGATGCGCTCCTGGATCATCGTACTCAAGGAGCTCTTGGTGGGCAAAAGATCACTCTGGATTCGCCGCTTTCTGCGCCTGCTAAGGCCGGCCCAATTTCCAGAGCCGCGGCACGAAATAGAGGCGAAACCCAGAGCGGACGGAGAAGCCGTCGCTTTGAAGAAGAGGAAGATGACGACTACGAGGAGGATGAGGATGATGACTACGATGATGAAGAGCCCCTCATTCCCACTAAACGCAAGGCCGTGCGGCGATCGCGCAAGCTGGCGCGACGAGCAGCCCAAGCAGGAGAAAGTCTACTGGCGCGCATCTTTCGATACTTTGTCTGGTCATTCGCTTCTAGCTACAGCGCTTCAGCGATCGTCCTTCGCGTCCTGCTCTTCACGCCTTTGCGAATTCTGTTTGGAGCTGCGGCGCATGGAGCTACGGGGACCCTGCGCACGACGGCTTGGGCATCAGAGTTGATGCTCTATCGACCTATCTCGACTGCAGCGTCGCCGCTGGTCTACCTTGTACAGGGAATTTTTTTCTTGGTCATTTGGTCACCATATCGCCTGATACGTGTCGTCGTCAGAGAGCTCTACCCGGTCTAGTGAGCGTCCACGGATTCTCTTTCGCCAGGCGTGGATGATTGCTGACCCATACACGTTCCTCCTAACAGTGTTTTCTTAGGTGCCGCTTTAGCCTTGGGAACATGCATAGGGCTTGGTGGAGCGGCGGTGCTGTATCTCAGCTCATTCTTCCTGAGCGACACTTCTCCAATGGAATCGAGCTTGAACGCCAAGGGCAAAGAAGCGCTCAACGAGACGCACAAAGCAGCAAAGCGCCGCGCTTTTGCGTATCAAGACGGTGCTCCTCGAGAAGCCGCGTACACATCCGGCGGCGCCTCTCTAAGCAGACGAGGCAAGGGGGAGAGCGTGCTGGAACGGAGTTTGCGAGAGATCGAGAGGGAGAAGGCCAGGAGAGGGGAAGTCATGGACGCGGACCAGATCTGGGACCGCGAAAGAGCTGCTGCTGCTGCCGAAGCCGAGAGGATGGAAGCCGTGGGTGTCAGTCTGAACGGCACTCGACGTCGTGGTAGTGCAAGTAACAATGACCACGTTCCATCACCAGAGAGCGATGAGGATGACGTGGCATTGGACGACGACTACTTTGGTCGCTACCCGGATTCGCATTCGGCGCGCGGAGGTGTCCGACCTGCATCCAATGCATCTGCAGCAACTTCATCCATTTCCCGTAGAACGAGTGGTCAGAGCAGCAGCAAGGGTAAAGGCAGATCTCTGGACGGATACGAAGACGTGCATGCACCCAATAGCAACACGACGTTAAGGTTGGATACCTCTCCATCGGAGCTGCATTCTCCAGTCAGTCAGATGAAATTGCCTCTCGGAGCGACTGGGCGTGGAGGATGGGGCTACGGAAGAGGCGCGGCACCTTTGAACGCCGCGGGAAGCAACCACTCTAGCCCGGCGCAAAGTCCAATCGCCACTGCCAGGCGACTCCCTAGTCGACCCGGAAGCATCAAAGATGCAGAGGTGTGAGTACGGTCGATTGCAAAAGGGCTAGGTATAGAAGTCTAGCCTCTCAAATGTGCTCATCTACATGTGCCCGGCATCCTGTGCAGGTATGGTCACGCTTCGTCCCACACTTCGGCCTCCGGCAGTCCGTACGCATCGCTCAACAGCACGCCCCTCGCAAGCCCGGACGTGATCCGCAAACCATTGCCGGTCGGTCTGAAGCGCAGACTCGGTGCTGGCTCTTGAGAGTGTGGGATGGATCACAAGCCACTTTACACCGCCCTTCTTGGCATCATCGACTGCGCTGAATAATGCCCTTGACGCGCACGCTGACTTTGTCGTACTTGAGGCCAACACTTGTTTAAGCTTCGCCACTCGTTCTTTACGAATGTCCGCTACTACAGCTTCTTGTCACGTCAAAATTCCGAGTGACAGCGTTTTGTTCGAATAGTATACCATTCTATCCCTGCGCTACCCACTCGACCTTAGCATGCCAATCTTTGCTTTCTTGTTACGAATGTTCGATAGGTCGTTGGCGGAGCCACTCTGCTTGCGCAGGCTGACACAGAACGACATTCAAAGCTTACCAGCTTCGATTCCCTGCTCCTTGAGCTTGCTTGCCATCTTGTTGCGCACATGGTCCAAGAATTCGGTTGTACTGAGGTAGAGAAAGTGTGAGGTGGTGTCAGCGTCTGAGCAAGCCAGGACTGGCCATCTTGCCATCGCACAGAAGTAACTCACGTGACGTAATGTTTTCTCTCCATCTTTTTGCCATGAATGGCGAGAGCGAGATCCTTGGTCATGACGCCGTCCCTGTCAATGGCCTCTACGCAAGCGGCCTCCAAGCTCTTGGCAAAAGTGATGAGCTCCTGATTACCATCCAACTTGCCTCTGAAGAGCAACCCTCTGGTCCAAGCGTAGATGCTTGCCACGCTGTTTGTCGACGTCTCGTTGCCCTTTTGATGCTCTCGGTAGTGACGGGTCACCGTTCCGTGCGCAGCTTCCGACTCCATTGTCTTTCCGTCTGGCGTGATGAGCTCGGAAGTCATCATACCCAAAGAGCCAAAGCCCTGCGCCAAAATGTCCGATTGGACGTCTCCGTCGTAGTTCTGAACAGCATAGAATGATGCAGGCACAGTGCGTGAGCCATCCAAATCACGCGCCGGCTTTGCTGTTGCGCTCTCTGTTGCTCACCTTGCAGGCCCAGACGAATCCTCCTTCACCCTTGATGGCCTGCGCAACCATGTCATCGATAAGTCTGTGCTCGTACCAGAGCTTCTTTTTCTCAAATTGACTCTTGTAGTGCTTCTGGTAGATATCTTCGAAGATGTCCTTGAACCTGCCATCATATGCCTTTAGAATAGTGTTCTTGGTGCTCATGTACAGGGGCATTCCCTTATCGAGGGCCATCTTGAAGCTGGCGTGCGCAAAACCCTCGATCGAGTCCGTCGTGTTGTACATGGCCAGACCCACACCCCCCTTTTCTGGAAAGTTGAAAATGTCCCACGTCTTTTCCTCACCATCCTCCGCTTTGAAGGTCATTGTGAACTTTCCAGGCTTGTCCACCGCAAAGTTTTGACACCTGTACTGATCTCCAAATGCGTGTCTGCCGATGCAGATCGGCTTGGTCCAGCCTGGAACAGGTCGCGGAATCTTTTCCAAGACGATGGGTTCGCGGAACACTGTGCCTCCCAAGATGTTGCGAATCGTGCCGTTAGGCGAGAGCCACATCTTCTTCAGGTTGAATTCCTTTACCCGAGCTTCATCGGGTGTGATAGTAGCGCACTTGATGGCCACGCTGTACTTCTTTGTCGCCTCGGCAGCCTCTACTGTCACTCGGTCCTCGGTCTGCAAAAAAAAAAAAAAAAAAAAAAAAAAAAAAAAAAAAAAAAAAAAAAAAAAAAAAAAAAAAAAAAAAAATGCGTCAAGGTTGAGCTAGGATGCGTGTCCTTGCAAGCGCTTCTCTACACTCACAGCATCTCGGTTCTCGATGCTGAGATCGTAGTATTTGATGTCCAAGTCCACATATGGCAGGATAATCTATCGAAGCCGATCAGCGGGCGTTTTTGGGCGATCAGCACATGGCAGCTCCAGAGGGGAACCCTTGACAGGATCAGTGCAGTTTCAATGACTCACCTCTTCCCTGATCTTGTGCCAGATGATGCGCTGCGAGTGAATTCCAGCAAAGCAAGGATGAGGTTGTGCATCAATTACCGTGCTAGTCGCCAGTTCCGATGGTCGCACCGCTTGTAATTGGTGCGGCTATCGAGGTGCTCACAGTCATCTCGTCTCCATCCATCTCCACTACGGGGTTTGCAACCTTGATTTTGCCTGTGCGTCCGTGTGCCCAGATCAATCCAGTTGAAGACCAAACAGCGCGTCAGCACGCGCATGTACCATTCGCCAGGGTCGAGTCTCTATCCGAACACTCACGAGGCGCCATGCTGCTAGTAAAAGACCTGATCGAGGCGGTAGAGCCGAGGTGAGAAGCTGATGCTCGTGCGGCGCTCAAAGGAGAGCTGACTGTGCGTTGCGTCAATGAAGCGGATTGTCCAGTCGGGCGAAGGCTAGATGAGGGGCGGAGAGTCTGCTGGTGTATGGAGCGGACGGCGGCAAGGTTGGACGCGGGGGAGAGGGACAAGGATGAGCGGGCAAGTGCTCGAGAGAGGGGAGGATGCAAAGTCAAAGAAGACATTTCCCTCGGTGGAGAAGAGGCGCAAAGTATTTGTGCTGGAAGAGGTGGTGGAAGGGGGTGGGGGTAAGGGCAAAGGGAGAAGACGGCTCGGTGATGTTTGGCCGGTCCAATACGTGTGGACTGTGTGGGGTAAGGGGAAGGAGAGGTCAAGCTGTTGGGGAGGCAAGTAAGCTGCGTGTTCACTTCGTGACTGGCAGCAAAAGTCGATCTTCTGCACACACACCACTGTGACCAGTTGGGGGAGCATTAATTCTGATATGCAGGAGCAAAGGCTAAAGCTCGGTGGGACCAGGTGAGTGAGCGCACAGCCATGCATGCATCACACAGTCACAGTCATTTGAGTCACGAGTCTGATGAGTCAAAGTGGAAGAGAGAGCGCAATTAAGAGAGCGCAATTAAGAGAGCGCAATCAAGAGAGCGCAAGAGAGCGCAAAGCAGGGCACGCATGCATCCGAGCCAGCAATGGCTGCGTCGAGTCAAGTCTGAATCAGATTCGTGACTTGCTAGGCTTTGCCAGCATCGTCTGCTTTCCCAGCACCACCACGATGCGACGATATCTCTTGTCTGCCGAACTCGTGGCTGCGACTGCGAGGCTGCATGGATGCGAGCTCTCTTCCACCACAACTCGTGTGGCCCTGTGCCGAGCAAAAAAAAAATAACATCAAAGAATCTGAGCAAAAGCGTGCCGGGCCGCGCGCATGAGACACATTAGCCGCGGAACAGCAGCAGCAGCAGCAGCAACTTTTTGCTGCTAATTTGGCGCACCGGTGAATGGAGCAGCCGGAGTTACCGCCGTAGTTGACCGTCAGAATCAGAGACATCGCTTTGAATTTTATCGCGTGGTACGCCATCGTGAATTAGGTACTTGAACTCTCCGGCGCCTCTTCATTTGTTCATTTTCAGGTTGAGCAATAAATATAGGTTGATTCAAGATTGGCATCCTCCACACTCAAGACTTATTACTATGTTTCGCATCTTGCTTGCAAAGGCAGCCAGTCGTGGTCACGTGTATGCGCTCCCCCCGAAGTGCGTGCGGGGAGTCGACGCCCTTTCTGGCACTTCGACTAGCTCGCTCATAGACTCACAACTTGATGGATTGACAGCCCTTTCTCAGCATATAGGGCTCCATGCTCCAGCGCATACTATCATCCACGCATGCATCTACCTCACCTGTGATCGAGGTATCTGCCTATCTGATCGCATTTGGCCGGCTCATGACCCTCGGGGCCACAAAGCATGCAGCATGGCTTTCCAGGTCCATTCGCAGGCTTTATGTGAGCATCGCTTGCATAAAGCCTTGCATTTGCCTTGCGTGGGCAGTCATGAGTGCAACAGTCTGGTGAAGTCTTGTGCGATCTCGAATCTCTTCATCAGTATTTGAGACTTCTATCTGTATCGAGTCATATGCGGTGAGTCGTGAGTGTAGCCTGCCTGCAGACCTCGCCCTTCCCGATGAGTCTGGGCATCCAGCCGCAAGGTTCTTCTATATTCACGATTGATTGAGTGATAATTGGTTCGTGCAGGCGTGCAGTCGTGCAGGTGGTGAGTCAACAGTCAATCAGTGACGAGTGCGCTACAGCGCGCATAGGAATGGCAAAATATTCTCGATGACATGCTCCCCGCGCACCGCCAAGAAGCGCAAAGCTGCGACGTAGGCGGCGTCGTACCGTACCGGTGCCGTGCGGCACCTTATTCTCAAGCGCGTGATTTTCCCTTCTGCCTAATTCGAATAATTCACGATTGCGGAGATCTCGATCGAGCACAACTGGGACTTTGAGACTTGCGCGCGCGCAATCTTGTGAATCAAAATATCACGAATGGAAAAATCCTGACTGGCTAGCTGGCCATGCACGAGTACTCGGACGCGATGCAGCGTTTCTGTCGGCCTGCAACCTACCGGTAATCGTGAACCACAGAAGCGGATTTTGACTTCAATTCGGTGCCGCTCATCCTTGCAGTCAGCCGCTAGGCCAAGACTTGACGAGGTGAATACCGGTCCTGCCCATTCATATTCATTCAGCGATCCGCGATTCCCTTCAGACGCTCACAGCGGCGAGATCGTCATCGTCAAGCACCTCGTAACTAGTCCAGCACCCACCTTGGTGCCGGTCTTTCAGCACCACAAGACCAAGTGATCGAAGTAGGTAGCATCTTCGCCTCGAGGACTGCAATACCGTACTTGGCAATCGCCGAGGTAGGGCGCATACATTCGTCCACTTTTTCGCCGTACCTGCTGCAACTCCCCTCTGAACACGTCAGTCATCTGCTTCCCTACACTGCACACAAAACAGGGCAGGCATCGTCCATCTCGTTCGATCTTGGCCAACTTCTATCCTTTGTTCGAGCCAGCACACACCTTGTAAGGATAGGAACTTCGATCACGAGTTATTTTACAATTGCAGACACGTCTTCCACAGATCAGGCGAATCGCTTGCGCGGTCCCAGACGATACTCGCTCGGCTGCACTCAGGCCATTCAGAAGCCCGGTATATTGGCCCCCAAAGGTCACAGCTGAATTGGCAAGATGGTCGCCTCTTTGGCTGGAAACATCAAGGTGTTCTCGGGAACTTCGCACCCGGAATTAGCACAGCTGGTAGCGAAACGGTGGGTAGAAGGGGGAGAAGGGAGCGGAGACACAGACGCTGTAGCATTCGGGAAATACTTGTTCGCGAACACATCCGGAGTGCGTCCTTACGAAAGGTGGCAGAAGCTGACCCGCTTCGCTTGACACCTCCTTTAGGCTGGGACAACCGCTAGGCCGGGCTACAGTGACGCGCAACGATGCTGGAGAGTCGATTGTGCGAATAGCAGAATCGGTACGAGAGCACGATGTGTACATCATCAACACTTCTTGCGTCTCACCGACACCCTCAGGATCAGCAGCATCTCCCAACACTTCGTTGATGGAGCTTTTGATCATGATTCACGCTTGCAAGACTGCAAGCGCAAAGAGAATCACTGCCGTCATTCCCCACTTTTTCTACGCCAGGCAGGACAAGAAGGACAAGAGTCGAGCTCCCATCACTGCAAAGCTGATTGCAAACATGATCGAAAATGCGGGATGCGATCATGTAATCACCATGGACCTTCACGCATCCCAGATCCAGGGTTTCTTCAACGTGCCTGTCGACAATCTGTATGCGGAGCCCGCGGCGCTTCAGTACATCCGGGAGATGGTGGACTGCTCAAAAGCTGTCATCGTATCTCCAGATGCGGGGGGTGCCAAGAGAGCCACCTCGCTCGCAGACCGGCTTGAGGTGGATTTTGCTCTCTTCCACAAGGAGAGGAAAAAGGCCAACGAAGTGTCACGGATGGTTTTGGTCGGCAATGTGAAGGGCAAGGTAGCAATCTTGGTGGACGATATGGCCGACACGTGTGGGACTCTGGATCTAGCTGCACAGCAATTGGCGGAAAGCGGAGCTGAAAGGGTTCTTGCTATCGTCACGCACGGAATTCTGAGCCCGCCTGCCATTGAAAGGATATCCAAGTCTAGTCTGGAGAAGCTGGTGGTGACCAACACTTTGCCTCAAGCTGCGAATCGAGCCAGGTGTCCCAAGATCGATGAGGTGCGTTGGCCATGTTTCTGCCTGCCTGGAGAAGTGCAGGTGCAGGCCTTCCCAGCGACTCTACTCACCCAGTATGTCCGCCCCAAGATCGATATCAGCCATGTCCTCGCTGAGACCATCAGACGATCGCACCATGGTAAGAACCTTCTGCAGAGTATAAGGACTCTTCGTACGAGCTCACTGACTCATTTTACACCCTCTGTCTGTCCTGCTCTGTCACCTTGACAGGCGAAAGTGTTTCGGTGCTTTTCAACGAGATTCCTTACGACACGACACAGCCGTACAGGCACGGCCTTGACACTCCTGGTGGAAGTCCCCCGAGGTCTGGGCTGACTGGCGAAAGCTTCCACAGCGCATTCAAGCCTAGTCCATACAATGATCCGGACCCCCCATCTCGAGCCAATTACTTTGCGGATACATCCTCTTCAGGATCTGGCTCACTGCCCCCCACTCTTGCGGCGCTTTCGACCCAGACGCAAGCCGGTTCGTCCACCCATCAAATACAGCATGCCAGTGCAGAAGGTAGATCTACCGTCACGCCTCCTACACCCTCCGCACCACTGCCAGAAGATGCAACCCCCAAAGCGCTGACCAACAAAGCTAGGGAGCCGAGTCCACTTACAAGGGAATTCTCCGCCTCCTAGCTCGGCCTCGTGTCCCAAGAGCTCGCAACGCTGCACCCGGTATTCGAATGTAGGCTCTCTTCTCGAGTGGCTGCCTCAATGATCTCTCAAGCGTAGTCATGAATGCTGTCTAATTACAAATGTTGTCCAGCTCCCTGCCCGCATTCCAGTAATCCTTGCTTAGGGTCGTGGGCGCATATGATCGTGCCTATGTTCAAGGGGTCGACTGAGCAATGTATACGGATGGGGCCCCACATTCACCTATGGGCGAATTCGACCAAAGGAGTGGGGCGCTTTGGCGAGTAGCAGGGGACGCCCGCAACGTGCTAGAATGGCAAGAGAACAGGCAGCGAAAGATCGAGGAGCAAGACAGGTGAAGGTTTGTGTGAGAGAAGATCCACGACGCTTGATCACGTGCCTTTTGCACTGGTGAGCTCGCGCTGCTGCTGCATGCATGCAAGCGCAACGCCGTCCGGCTATTCGCGGCGCGGGCTTAGTCAGAAGCGCAGAATTCGAATCACGAATGGGTGAATGAACATATGCTGGGGTAAGGCGCATCTTCCAGCGCGACTGTAATTCCTGATGAGTTCATCAAAACCATCCTCCCTCACGACTCGATGCTTCGATCAGCACAACAAGCTCTCTTGCCCAGCATGACCAATTCCGACTCGTGTTCAGTGTGATTGGACCATAACTCAGCTGGTTCCGCGTTCAGCATCTCTCCTTTTCTTCTAGCGTCACAGACACATTGAGCTTCACATTCAACGAATAGAATTGCGACTAGGTGCAGCTGGATTCACCGTCAGCCTGCGCAGCTGTGAAAGCGCTCCAGCCAAGAAGATCTCGGGTCGTAGCTGCTAGCTATACAGGTGAAGCTCCGTTAAGCTTAGCGTACAATGGCCCTTCCACAGCTTCCCCTCGGCCTGCGTCTCGGACTCAGATCTGCCTGTCCCCCGCCTTTGGTGCTCGCATCCACGAGCGCTTGTCATGGAAATGCGCTGCACGTCTCGAGTCGGGGCTTGAGTAGCAGTATCTCCCAATGCTCGTCGGGCATTGGATCTTCTAGGGGTCAACTGATCAGCTCGCTCCGTTACGCTACGACAAGCTGTGCGCGATGCAGCGTGATCAGGCCTGGCTTAGGATCGCCAGCAGATGCTTGGCGAAGCATCTCCACGGAAGCTGGGTCATCGAGCTCACGACAGACTGTCTCTGCGCGGTCTACACGGGGGCATCAGCCTCTCAGTCGTACATTGACCAAAGGTCGCGATGCTCATTCAGGATCGTGGACGTTTGATCCTTGCCGGCCGGCAAGTCGTGCAACTTGGACCATCCCATCGTCTCGAGGCACGATGAGCTCACTCCGAACTTTGCACATTGGCAGCGCCTCTAGGTCCACCGCTTCCCTATCTGCTTTAGGCGCGTCACACGCCACAAGCCCAAGGACTGCTGAGCCGCTCAAACGCTCTTCGACGTTATTCAGCATCCCTACTTCGCAAGACCTAGCTGCGCCAGTCAACGAGAAGAAGTTCAATGATGGCACGCGACCGATCGTAGCCTATCATTTGTTGGCAACATTCGTCTTGGTGTACGCCATCATTGTAGTCGGAGGATTGACACGCTTGACGGAGAGTGGGTTAAGCATTACAGAGTGGAATCCTGGCACGAAAGGTATGAAGTGGCCCGCCAACCAGCAAGAATGGCAAGTGGAATGGGACAAGTACAGAGAGACTCCGGAGTGGGCATTGTGAGTTATACTCCTTGCTTTTCTTGGCTGTGCCTTTCTGTTCGAGCGAGAAAGGCGCACTGACACTAATGCGCATATATGCAGGCTCAACAAGCACATGACCCTTGAGGACTTCAAGTCCATTTACATGTGGGAATGGGGCCACCGCATGCTGGGTCGCTTCATCGGAGTATTTTTCTTGGTCCCGGCCATAGCGTTCAGTGTTAGCGGACTGGCGGGTCGACGGACGCGCCTCAAATTGCTAGCCATCGCCAGCGGCATAGGTTTTCAAGGGGCTCTCGGCTGGTACATGGTCAAATCCGGTCTCGCGGCACCTCAAAAGAAAATTGTCGCTCCCATCGCTGCTCATCCCAACAGCACCGCTCCTAGTAGCAACACCGGCGCCCAACCTCGTCTGGACCCTAATCTGCAGACTGCTGAGTGGACACCACGAGTGTCTCACTTCAGATTAGCAGCACATCTGGGCACTGCCTTCCTGGTCGGGTTGGGCTGTCTGCATACTGCAGCAGTCATCTTGCGACCTAGATTCTTTTCGAGGTTGACCTATGTCGCTCAAAGCGCGAAGGCGCTGTCGTCCAGCTCTGTCAGGCGCTATGCCAGTCAGACGAAAGCAGTCACCACGTTCGTCTTTGTGACCGCAATGACTGGAGCCTTGGTTGCTGGACTGGACGCTGGACTGGTGTACAACGAGTGGCCAACGATGGGGGACGGCAGGCTAGCTCCACCACTTGCAGAGCTTCTCGACCGACGCTACACTCTTTCCGGTGGCCAGTCGGAACAGGATGGTAGCGGTTGGCGAGCCGTTGTTGGCAATTTTACATCCAATCCCGTTTCTGTGCAGCTGATGCATCGAACGCTTGCCACCACTTCTCTCGTGTTGGTTCTGGCTCTAGGATGGAGAGGCCTGCGCCTCTACAGAGCTTCGAGAGCGGCCGGATATCCATTGCCAAAGTCGGTGCCTCGCTTAGCTCTGCTGAGCGCAGGCGTCGTCTCCATGCAAGCATCGCTGGGTATCTTCACCCTGCTCTACCTGGTTCCGCTGGAGCTGGCTAGCGCCCATCAAGCTGGTAGCGTAGCGCTGCTTAGCTCCCTCGTAGCCCTCACCGCTGCTCTTCGCAAAGCTCCCAAATCTTTGTGGAGCAGCGCCATCACTCAGGGGCCAGTCAAGAGCGAAGCGCAAAAGAGGGCAGATCAAGTCGCCGCCAACGCTTTGCGCAAAGTCCTAAAGGAGAACAGCGCTGCGACTTCTGCATCGCGCGTGCAGTTGTCTTAGATGCGCAAACTTTTCAGCCCCTCGTGATCCTGTCGTGTGATGTAGCCGCTTCCGCAATTTGTCAGTCTCTAGTCACCACACTCGCAATGGTCCTTGCCTAGGATGGTCCATCACCACTCGTAGACGCCTTCATCAGCACGATGACACACTTTGTCTTTCGACGCAATTCTGAATCACAATATCAAATGTCAATTGGCGTCCAATTGAAGTGAGGGCCTGAATGTACGCTTTTTGCCCTCGCAATCAGTCACTCCGCCCCCTTTCCTACATGAATCTGGCATTGAGCCGTAGCACGGATTTCGTGGGATTTCTCAGGCCTTGTACAAGGCCTTCTTGGCCTCCTCAACAACGATATCTGCGCTCGGGAAGGATAGATTCTCGAGATTCGTTGCGTAGCTGGGTGAAAGATCAAAAAGACGCGCGTGAGCGTTCATGCAAATCAGGTGCTTCTGCGATCCTATGCTGCTCACGGAGTTGGCAGGTCCGCGCCAGTCACTCTGCGGACTGGCGAATCCAAATGGTCAAAGGCGAATTCGTTGAGCTGCGCAGAGATCTCTGAAGGCGTACGAGAGATGCATCGGTGGTTGAGTTGCATGGTCCCACTGAGCGACGCGAGGACTTTGTACTCGACAAACTTACCGGACCCAACGCCGAAAGCTGGAAAACCGCCTTCCACAGTGACGACTCTGTTGGTCTTCTTGAGACTTTCAATGACAGTCTCAATGTCCAAAGGCCTGATGCTTCGGAGGTTGATCACCTCGGCCTCGATGCCTTCCTTTGCGAGAAGTTCCGCAGCTTGCATGCAATGCGTCACACCCAGAGTGTGGGACACGAGCGTCACGTCCTTTCCTGATCGTTCGATCTTTGCTTTGCCGATTGGCAAGACAAAGTCGTCGGAAAGGATCTCAGAGTTGACCGGGAAAGAGTGGCCGTACAAGATCTCGTTCTCCAAGAACACGACCGGGTTAGGATCACGAATCGCAGCCTGAAGAAGTGCAGGTAGTTAGGCGAGGCGCGCCTCCGCGTGTCGCTGACAGTGACCCCTGCACTCACCTTCATCAATCCCCTGCAGTCCTCTGCGCTCCATGGGCTGATGACCTTCAGTCCAGGTATCTGACCGTACCATGCGGAGTAATCTTGGGAATGCTGTGCACCCACTCCGGCGGCAGCACCATTCGGGCCTCGAAAGACGATGGGGCAAGGAACGTTTCCTCCAGACATGTAGTAGGTCTTGCCTCCACTGTTAATGATCTGGTCGATCGATTGCATCGCGAAGCTGAGCGCACGCCAAGAAATTCCGCTCTTGTCAGCACTTGTGGTCACGATGGCCGCTCGTTCGGCTTTTTTGGCCAGCAGCGAGAGATGCCGACTCACTTGAAAGTCATGAACTCGCAGACGGGTCGCAGACCAGCCAGCGCAGCGCCGACTGCAAGACCCGTGAAACCAGCCTCCGTGATGGGCGTGTCGATCACTCGACGCTCTCCGAACTTATCGAGCAAGCCTTTTGTAATCTGCCAAGGGCCAAGTCAGGGTGTGAGCATGCGGCATTGAGCTTTGGCGCCGCACTTGACTGCACGCACTTTGTAAGCGCCATTGTCTGGATATCGAATAATAGCATTTCCAAGTCAGCTCAAGCCAAACATGGAAATTTCGGAGGCAGTACTTTGACAGCGGTACAGCGTTCCACCAGCTCAACACTCACATCTGGCCACTTCCTCTCCGAGGATGAACACACTGTCGTCGCGCAGCATCTCCTCCTCCATGGCCGAGTTGAGAGCTTCGCGAACTGTCATCTCTGTAGGTTGACTGCTAGCCGCTCTCGCTTGGCTGACCGATCCTAGCAGCTGGGAACCGGACGCGCGAGAAGCAGTCGCAGCGAGGACACCACGAGCATCCTTGTTGCGTTGACTTTGCGAGCCGAGCGAAGGAAGCGCGAGCTGCGAAGTGGCACGATGGCTGAAGGGACGCAGGCTGCTAGTGGCAGCGCTCCTTACGGAGCGAGACAAAGGCGTAGCAGCACCTCGCAGCATTCTGAAATCTAGTGCTGCCAGGGTGGGCAGCAGTGTGTGGAAGTTGAGCTCCGCGTCGCCGTCAGCGACTGGTGAATATATCGAGTCGTGTCCTTTTACGAGCTCGACTTTGTGTCCTGAGAATCGATTGTGTGCGATCGCTCGTGCGCTTTGTTAAGCTGCGCCTTTGTGACGTCCGCAATTGCTGCTGTTGAAGAAGGTGGTGGCTGTAGCAAACAAAGGAAGGAAAGATGCCCACAGTCGCATCGCGATGCCTCGCTGCCTCTACACGATTGACCGGCCCACGCCATCAGAGCCTTTACGAAGTTTCGCTATTCTGCTCAATGCTTGCTGCACGCTTGTCAGCAGAAGGTGGAAATTGATGGGGCGCGCTCTCTCGCGCGCGGATGATTGACCCGCGGCGAGCACGGAAGTTGAGCGCACGCGCGCGCGGCAGGCACTTGACCGCGAATCTGCGGTGCTGCTGGCCCTGCATCATTGCTGTGCATGCAATGCGCCTCCCAGCCCACGCTGATGATGCTGCTGCTGCATGGGATTGCGGACCGTGCGTAGCGACGGCCATTGCACCGAGGGTCGACCGGTGCGAGAGGCCCTGCAGGGACTGTGCTGGTGCCTGCAAACGCGTTCAGACATCAACCTTCCCGCGCCCCATTCAAGCGCTTACCCCATGATCAGCCATCAAGGCTGCAGCGCGCAGCAGACGACGCGCTTCATTCGCGCGAGATATCTACAGCGACACCGCCAACACGGTTCTACAAGACATCAGCTACCTGCACACGAATAGATGAGCAATCGTGAATCACCGTGAATTCCTTCTCTTCTCCATATCTAGACGTAGCGGTCTTAGACGGAGCCGTCTTCATTCCATCCACCGGCGGATCTGATGAGCACTACCTTCAGAGGCCCACTTTGCCGATTGGTCTGGCGTTCGTCGCTCTCAAGTCCCCTCGCTAGACGGCGCGTGACACGTTCAAAGTCTCAGTTCACCACTGTCGGGCACGGACCTCTTTTGTTCTCGGCAAATTTGCTGGTGAATCTCCAATCTTGGGACACCATGCAAGTCGTAGCGTCAGCGATGGATTCATTGCTCGTGCTAGATTCCTGATTGATGTGAAACATGTTGAGTGCATCAAGGCGCTCCGCACATGGCATTTCTATTGCCAAGCTCCTTTCAATTTCTCTTCCAGGCGCTCCACCTCCTCAGCGATCCCGCGTAAAGCCTTGGCATCGCCAACACCACCTTGCCATCTTCGAGACTCGCAAGATTGTACGACTTCAGAGAGCTGCTGCACGCGACGTGACAGTTCGGCAAGAGCTCGAGTCGATTCGGCCACGTCTACAGGGTTGGAGAATTTGCCAAAGCCTTCTTCGGAGCTGTTCTGCGCTTGTGACAGCCAAGCCCACGAGCTGTAGATCGTTTTTGCATCGGCATCCTCGATCGATTTTGGCGGTGCATTGTCCAGGAAGCGCGAGGCGGTGGCGTCGTAGACCTGCAGGATGTGCTGGAAGATACCGGTCTTGTCGTCCGAGGCAGCAGAACGATCTGCTGCGCTCGCACCGGCAGTCAAGCGAACTCGCACGTCTTCCCAGCCCCATTCCGCGTTTTTGTCCTTCGCCTCGCCATCGTACCAGACAAACTTGTCTCCCAAACCGGTGCGCTGACCTTGCGGGGCCAAATAGGCCTTCAAGCTTGCACCTGCTCCGTGGAACAAGACGGCGTTGACAGCTACCGAGCCGTAGGTCGTGGCGCCGTGCGAGAATAAGGAGCGCTGTAGAGCGTCTTCAACCAGCGGCCACAGGCCCTCTTTCCAGGTGGCGTCACCTTTGACGAATAACCGCGAAGCCAGCAGAGCGTGACCGATAATGTTGTACCAATATGCGCGTGGCAGGCCCGCTCGGTCTTGCTCCTCTTCCTGCGGCGTCGACTCCAGCTGAGACGCTCGCAAGATAGCGGTATGGAGCTCACAAGTCAATGCAGCTCGCAATGCTTCACCAGCTCCTCGGACAGAAGGGCGTGGAGCAGACAAAAAAGTCCGATCCCTTGCCAGGGAAGGGTAGGCTTCTTTGACTTCCTGTAGTTTGGGCACTAACTCGATTGCAAAGTCTACAATGGATTCCACCTCTTCTGGTCTGGCCAGAGCCGCAATGACGATGGAGTGAGCTGTGTTGTCAACGAGCGGGCCAGTTTGGGAGATTGGCGCCTCGCTGAAGCGCTTCACGAGGGACGCGGTGTCCCGCGCGCCGACCTCCGAGGCAATGGCGCGCTCAGAACCCAAATCCAGCTTGGGAGGCATCGTCCTAGTTGAAAATGGTGCTTGCCGACGAGGCGTGGATTTTCTACGTGGTAGGAAAGGCTGGGATTTTTGGATAAAGTGGTGCTTGTGACACGCGGCGTCGGCAGGGCTGTTCCTATTTGCAGGAGTAGGGGCCCGAATGAATGCTGCGTTGTGATTGAGCGGGCTGCGGTGGGTCTGAGGTGATGCGCAGAGTCGCCTAATCGGTCGTCGCAAGAGCATATATGTCTTGGACGTTAGGGATTAGAGATTGAGACGAGCAAATCTGATTGTGTCTTGAGATGGCGAGAACGGTTGGAGGCGGACAAGGAACGTTGAATTTAGCAACCTTTTGAAGAGGTGCTGCCAACGAAGGTGAGTGATGAGTCTAGACGAGATGCATGCACGAGAAGAACGTGCTAAGCGGCGCATCCTCCACACGAAATTTGTATCACGTGAGTTCACTCTGATCGATTCGGCGCCGCGACTCAAGAGGCTCTTGCGGGTGTTCATCAGGCTTTGCTCCTCTTCGCGCGCGCACGCGACCATGTCTGTTGCCGTCCTTCGTTCCAAAGAGTCTGTGAGCAGTGTCGATCTCACCTATCAGCAGGACTCTGCCAAACTCAAGAGTATGCGAGCTGTAGCCTAGCTAACGGCATTATTGAAATAGGGAGGTCACCAGGACGGGTAAGCGCTTTCGACTCTTTTCTAGCTGGTGAAATCCAACTAATCAAAGGAACTCACGACTAGCGATCTTGTTGCCCTGATAGAAGCACCCAGCTCCTCGACGAGCTTCTTGTATGGAGAGACGCTCGCAACAGAGCGCTGCTCCCATCACACTCAAAACTGGAAGCGTGAGGCACGGCTCGGGAAAGGAGTAGGCTAATGTCACGTGACGCTGTTCATGGCACGGCGATATGTGGTAAAGACCCCAGGCACGTGTCCAGCTCTCCTGATTGCAGCTCTTGACTCATACTTGTTCGTGATTATTACGTTCATCTGACTACTCTGCCCGTGCTCGCAATTCGGTCGTCATGTGAGGCGTACGACTGGTGACAGTCATGAGTTACGCAGTCCGCGCACCCATTCTTGATTCGTATTCCTCCGCTCCTCTCCTAGCAATTTTGTTCTGGACGCGACCTGCTCGAAGCGCGCCAAGCTGGCAGCTGCAGAAGGAGCATGTACTGTATAGTTGTGCCTGCAAGCGCGTCTTTTAGCGCGGCTCCAGCTATCTGGCGCACGCTAAATTAGCGTCGACCGCGCAATCTTGAGCGCAACGGTGACGACATTCGCCGCGAAGATTGAATGATACGAAAATTCGTTCTTCTTCTCGCCCGAACCCTACGATGACGACGATGACGACGTCACAATTGACGACATTTTTTGACCAGTCACGAGGTGACAGATTGCAGGTGAAAGCTGCTGAAAGGAGCGTGATAGCATCGACCCGCCTTTTCACGCGGGCTGGACGAAAGCCGGCCGCTGAATCGCTTGAAGCGAGAGCTAGGGTCACGGCAGCTAGGGCGATGCCGGACAAACAGCCTTAGCGTATCTGCGACACTTGGGATCTCTATCGTCGAATTGGTCGAGGTCGAGATTATCCGCTCGACCAGCAGCAAATAAACAATCGCAGATCGAATACAACCCCCATCATGAGACTGTTCGTTCTTGGAAAGAGGCAAGTCAAGTCGGGTTCAGAGCTCACCAGGACCTGTCTCGCGGTTTTCTACAGCCACATAGAATGGTGTCCCAGCATCCGCAGGCGCCACAACCTCCCCGATGCGGCGGTCTCAAGACTGGCCGAGTGGTAAGGCGTGTTTGTGTGGCTTGGCTGAGTTCAGCAGGTGCGGGAACGATCTTGAAAGCGGGAAAGGCTTGTAAGCAAGCATTTCAATCTGTCACGCCATGATAAAGGCAAGCTCTCAAAGCGCGTGTTGCTCCAAGCTTTGTTTCGAAAGCACTCATTAGAAATGTGTCGGAGCACTTGTTCTAATCCGAACGATGCACGTTCCGCGGCCTGCTGTGCACGCGCTCAGTCAGGGTCTGGGCAAAGTCGAATGCACGCGCCCGCGGCAACTCCGCACGATCCCGATGCGGAAGCGGGACCTGAACCGCCCGGCGTTGAGGGCAGGCGCTCCTCCACCTACACCCTCTCGTGATCGCTTACAGGCGCTCATACATACATTTGACGAGGCGAATGTCTGTCTATGCGGTACCGCAATGCGGAAGCTCAGCTTCGCGTGTGGCTTGAGAAGGCACAGTCTGACTTGCTGGGTCACACTTGTCGAGTCAAAAGCGCATCATCAATGGTGTCCCCAGCAAGGCCAGGAGAGGCGCGCGTGATGCTCTGATCATGCCATTCGCGACGCGGCCTTGGCACTCGCAGCCGAGGAGAGCAAGCTTGATGTGCTCCACAGCCACAGCCACGCGGAGTCTTGGGGGCGGCATCGCAGCGAATCCTGCTTCACCCACATGCGAACATTTTCAGTTGACAAAGCAGACCGCTCTGGCTATCGATGTTCATTGCGCTACCTGATGGCGAGGACTGGCTGGAGTACGAGACGAGGATCGATCGATATCGTCATGAGGAGGCCAAGACGTCGGATCGCGAACGAGTCACGAATGGATGATGGTCAACAGTGGATCGGCTTGAAGATTACGCAGGGTTGGCGCGCAATTGCGTATCTCGATGAAGCCATCGCAAGAGTTTGCGCTTGTGCACCTCACCGCACCTTACTTTAGAGTGGCAGCGCAGCGACCGTGCATTCGACGTGCATACATGAAGTGGCGGGGCGAGGCGAGGAGAGGAGCGGTGCGTGCTGGGCAAGCGGCAAGCGGCAACTCTCAAACCCTTGCTTTGAGAACGTCGAGCTCCAGCAGAGCCCGCATGAACTCATCCACGCCTGGCGATGCTGCTGCAGGTTTCCTGCGCTGCCACGCATCATCGATGAGCAGTGAGAGCCTTTCGGCAGCGCTGCCCTGCCTTGTACCGGCCCGTCGGGAGCTGCCTTCCCGTGCTATCGAGTGCCGAGAGAAAGTAGTGGTGCAAAGTGGAGCATCCAAGATGTGGGAGGGGACCAGGAGCAGCAGCACGAAGACGCGCCATCAGGGCTCGTTCGCGACAATCATCTGATGCTCACGCTATGACGGCTCGTCAGTGCTCATTCGAGTTGCGCATTGCACCACACTGCTCAGGAGAGCGTTTAGCGCACTGAGCCCTTGCAACTTTCGAGAGATGAAGAGAGTCGAGTGCATGGTGTGGATTGACATCAGCCAAGATGTTGCAGGCGCGGTACATAGTCCCAGGTCGATTGGCTGCATCCCCGCTGGGTGTCAAGCTCCGACCGTGGTTTGTTCACCGCATTCGGTCGCAAGAGACAGGTCTGAGGCTGCCACAAAGCAAACATCTGTCTCACGACTTACTGTAGATCAACAAACCCGGTGATGACCGGGATCGAGCTGAGCTGCCATTTGCAAGACGTTGTGGAGCACTTGCTCGGCAATGCAGCATGTAGCGCGCCATGCTCTGCACACTGTCACAGACTCACGAGTATAAGTAGCCGCCTGGCGACTGTTTTGCCCTATGATTCCCCCGTGATGAGCATCGAGGAGTCAACACAACACCTGGCAGCGCTATCATCACCTCTGACCACCACATCCTCCCTACAACTCGCAACGTTGCAGCCAGCGTTACCATGAATTCCGCAGCTGCGATCGGCGTGGCTGTTGCCATTGTCGTCGTCATTGGCGGTGTCCTCACAACCGTCATCGTCTACATTCGAAGACGCAGATCAAGCAATGGGCACAAGGCCTCGGCCTCTTCCGCGTGTGAGTGTTGTCGCTTGCTTGCTTGGTATTTGTATCCTACCCTTTGTTCGCAGGAGCAAATGCTTACGATTCAACGCTTTGTACGCTCTACAGCCCGGCCACAGTCTCGCTCGTCGACGCTAGCATCCGAGTGGAGCAAGTCGGGACGCTCGCCCACCAACTCAATGTACGACGTGGAGAAGCTGAGCTACGCTCAGCCCATCTCGGTGCCAGCGCCCGTCTACTCGGCAGGCCCAGCGGTGCTGCCAAGCCACGCGAGCACGGACTCGAAGCGCGGGAGAAGCATGAGCGGCGCAGGTCACGCCTTGCGACGCACAGTCTCCAACTCGACGCTGAATCGCACCCTGAGGACGCGATCGTTCCACACCGGCAGGGACGAGCTACCCATCACCTCTTCGGACGCCGGACACGGTGCGGCTAGAGACTCGTTGGACGTGGAGAGTCTCGCAGGGGATGATGCGTCTTCCATCGTCGATGGACCAGCGTACGCCGCCGATTACTCAAGACACCGCAGGCCGTCGATCACCCGCAAGGCGGTGCCGAGAGCCCTCGATGGCATCGTGAAGGATCGCAGCGAAGACTTCAACGATTTCCTCGGGGGTCTGGACTACGCGAACATCGACGACCCCGAGGAAAGAGTCATGAGCCCAGAGCTCGAAATGGCAAAATTAGCTCTGCAAGATCTCGAGATCAGAGCAAATGCAGGTTCCGCGAGAGACAAGCCTTTGACGTTCCCAAAGTCAGAGCTTCGCTCAGGAGCATCTAGCGCACGGATTCCAGCTCCTTTCCGCTGAAGCGACAAGCTGGAAAGTCAACCAAGACCCGTACTCCAACAACGACAGTGAATAGCAAGCGCGCTAGCCATGGAGGCCTCAGCGATGTAATATATCTTAGAATTCCCAAACGTCACCCAATGATTATGATAGCTTTAGACGTACCCTCCCTCTAATTTGTGTGAGCCTGCAACACTCAAATAGAATTTGCGCGACCTTCAAACAACGTCTATTCGGTTCTCGTAACTCTCCGGAGGGGTGATGAGGCTAATTGACCAATGCATGCGAGCGATGAAGTCGAACAAGCAGTGCTATTTCTGATGACTTACGACCCGCCGAGCTCTCTGCAGAGCAGTCGGAACAAAGCTACGCTGATTGCTGAGAGGCTGCGGTCAAGGAGGCAATCGGGGAACAGTAAGTCTTTCATCCGTCGACGCGGGATGTTTGCTCGACATGCCCACAGAAAGGCCCTCTGCGCATCATACTCACGTCGCTGTTGAGAAGGTGGCAGGGTAGTTGCAGCCTCTTCCAACGAGTCTGCAGGAGAAGCTGGCTCCGCCTTGGGCTCAGGCTTCGACACGCGAGGGCGATGCGTGTCAACACTAAAGAAAGCGTGAGCGTCGTCAGCACAAGAAGGCTTAAAGCTCAGATTAGAGCCCCACTCACGCGTCGATAGGAGCTTTGTATCTCTTCTCGTCACATCCATAAGCCCGAGGAGTCAAGCAGATCAAACTGTGTGGAGAGCAGGTGTCATGCGTCAGCTCTTCGTTGATCTTGTAGGACTGGCAGCCCGTGTCTTCCATCTCACGTATGCAGAGGTATTTTGAGGTATGGCAGGTCCTCTTGAGGCAGAGCGTGTAGGTATGCATACAGGCATCGGATAATCTGTCGGTCAAAATGAGTAGTGCCTTCAGCGGACTGCAATTCAGCTCCCGCGTGTTCGCTCTGGGAGATCACTTACAGCTACGACGCGGAGATGGATGAAGGAAGAGCCGAATGCCGTTCAGAAAGATTGAACGCCTGAGGAAGCCCAAAGTGCAGACGTATCAGATGCACACTCACCTTGATGGGCAACAATCAGGATATTTTCCTGCCGTTCCAGCTCCATAATTATAGGCTCGAGGCGCACGACCACGTCGCGATAGCTCTCTCCTCCACGGTATCGATACATGAACTTGTCCTCATCACGTGCCTCGGCATCCTCTGGGAAGTATTGCTCAATCTGCAGAGCGACAAAGCTCAAATTTGTTGAGCAATCTGTCATCGGCCGCAGTGGCCTCTGGCATCGCTCTTCACACACCTCCTCGTAAGTCATGCCATCGCAGACGCCGGCGTCGAGTTCGTCGAGGCTCTTCCATGCCAGCTTTGGGTAGTCAAGGTAGCTTGAAGTCTGCCCTGTACGCTTGAGCGTGCTATGCCACACCGTCAGAGGTGCCTCGCCGACCGCATCCTTGACAAGTTGGGGCAGCGCCTGTGCGTACGTCCAGCCACGCGGCGACAGGTCCGCATCGCCTCCAATCTTACCTTCCACATTGAATTGGGATTCTCCGTGCTGAGAGGTGCACGTGAGTAAGATCGTCAGTGATCTTGTGGCCTTGGCTCTTGCGGCTGCGTTGACTCACACGGGAGAGGTAAATGTTGCGCGGGGTCAAGTGCAAATTCATTAAGAAGAAAGCTGCGCCAGGTGGCCAGTGGTAGGAATGAGCGGCTGTGCGAGAGCTTCGGCCACAATTACGTTATCTCACCAATACGACTCTCAAGATAACCGCTAAAGCGGTTGACTACGACCGAGCGACCAACGTCGGTGATCTTGCAATATGCGAGGTGTGCTTCCTGACCCTCCTCATCCACCGATTGATAAGCTGCTTCGTAGTTACGGATGCGCTTCAGAAAGTCTTCTTTAGCCGCTTCGGGCGACATTCCAGCGTAGTCTGGATCCCCGGACGAGACCTTGACAGCGATGTTTGCGGCGATCACGGCCGGGTCAGTGCTGCCAGGTGGGACGGCGTCAAGCTTGAGCTGAGAAGGAAACCGCTACGCTCTGGGCACGTCTAGCAAACTCACCAAAGACTCTCCAGAAATACAAGCTTCAAACCTGGCTCTTTCGAAATTCGCTCCGCAATAGCTTGTCTGCGACTCCGACTGGAGTTTGTGGCATCGTGAATGCCTACATTGCCGCCTCGCTTGAGCCACCCAATCAATTGCTCCAAACACTCCTCTGCCATTTGAGTTCGCAACTTGAATGCTGCCGGGTTCTTGGGATCGAAGAAGGTGGCCGTGTGGTCCTCTCTGATACCGCTCTCCTTCAATTTCGCCTTCGCCAAGGCTCGCCTGAGCTGTCCCACGTTGAAGACGCGCACGTCGTATTCCAGCCACTGCACAAACGCGCGGAGGCGTAAGTACGCAGAAGATGCCCGAGAGGGTGACTCCATGAGAGTAAACTCACCCTGAGGTATCGCATAAGCTTGTTGCTCAGATAGCTCTTGCCTCTTGCAGGCAATCCGACCATTGCGACGACAATTTTGGCTTCCGAATAGTCCGGCTTGGCACCTGCAAGGCAAGGTGACACGGAGCAGAAGCGTCAGCATACACTTCCTCGCCTGAGTAAATCTGCAAAGCAAGACAGTCAGCTCACCTGCACTGCCCAGATTCGGGTTCCCAGTGAAGCTGGAGTGTCTCTGAATCTGATGCTCCTCCTCCCACTCCTCTGCTGGTGTTGTCTGGCCGCTGCCCGACCGGCTAGCGAATGCGCTCGCACCTCCCCTACTAGGCGCACCGCTCCACTTGCCCCCAGCCGCGGCCGCAAGACTATCAGACACGAGTTCTGGATGATCCCTCAGTAGCGCTTGCAGGCCGTCGGAGCTTTGGGCCAGGTTGGAAGCGGCGACGTTGGACTCCCAAAGCCTCCTCTCGGCCTCCGAAGGCTGGGCTGCGGGACGAGAATGCGAAGAGTGAGACATATGTCTGCGCGAGCCAGTCTGAAGTGGTGTAGCATCTGGGGAGTTGGTCAAGGGTGCCATGCCCTGAGGACGTGGCGATGCGTTGCGCAGCGACGTGGACCTGTTGACTCGCGACGCGGATGCTGAAGCTGAGGTCGTTGTATTGCCGCTCGTCACAGCAGCAGAGCCAAGGATGGCGCTCTCGCCGATGGGTGGGATAGCTGCGCTCCTTTGAGCTGCGAGCACCGGGGACAAGGAGGCACCTCGTAAGGTTGCTGTCCTAGCAGTTGGTGATTGAGTTGCGGTAGCCAAAGTGGCGTTTGAACGGCCGCTAACGGAAGGCGCCGCACGCGGTGTGCTTGAAGGTGATGGCACAGCATTCAGACCGGGAATAGCGGTGGCAATAGACGAGTCGGCAGAAGCTTGGACCATGCGTAGAGCAGCTGAGGAGCTGGAGGTATCAGGGTTCGCATTTCTCTGAGCTAGAACGGCATCTCCGTAATCGTCGTCAGGCAAGGAGTAACTCTGACCTAGGGGCGACTTAGGGCTGGTTGGCCCCTTGGGTGGATCGTTGACTTGACGCGCGGACATCTTAGCGGTCGATAGGGACGTCCAGGCACACAGTGTCTATAGATTAGGGATTTTGTGGGTAGGATGCAACGACGTGCCAGACTCGCATCGAAGGCGGATGAGCGCCATGTAGAGGAGGATCAAGCGGTTGGGTGCTTTGGTAAGGTCCCGCCGCGAGCGTGGCAGCATCCGTGCGCGCGGAACGACTATAAAACGACGTCGTACGTGGGTGTGGCGCGTGCGTAGTCGTGAATTGCGCGGTCTCGTGACCCAGCGGGGTGATAAGCCCAGCTTTGGCTGTGTAAACGTGACTTTGTTATTGAGGGTACAAATCCATGCGCGCTTCTCCATGGATCAACAAGTCGAGCCTACAGTCAAAAGTCTGGAGTACAGCTGGTTGGCGCCCGAGTGATTCGCATGAGCTCCACAACCATACAATTGCTGACTTGAGAATACGAATCGTGAATTCTGATCAAAGCTCCACTTTGACTCAATCTCTTCTAGAATAGACCCCCTCCGCTAATGCGAGGCACGCGCCTTTGATTCAACGCTCCTTTGCTCATCCTCAAGGCTGTCCCTCTCACCAGCCACCCGTCCCGACTTCATTCTTCAACGCCCTTCTACGCCTGCTTCACCGCACACGGCTTACAGGCATTTCAGCCCTCATTCGCCAGCGCATACATCTGTCGAGAAGGAAGAAGGAAGTCAAGGGCCTTAGACGTGCGTCATGATCAAGATTTGGAGTCTCAAGAAGGATGAGGAGACGGCAAGGAAGAAGAAGCCGAAGACGAGTCCAGCACAATTGAGAGTCCAAAAAGGTGAGCTGCCAAGCCAGGAAGGGGCCAGCACTTGCTCGCAGCCGAGCAGGTCAGATCGGACTTCGGGCGTTGGCTAGCATGCAGACTCTAACTCGAGGTCTGCCTTTCACGCTCCCTCACAGACCTCACCGAGCTGGAGCTGCCGACGACCATGAAGACGACTTTCCCGGACCCTGCAGATGTGCTCAACTTTCAGCTCAACATTCAGCCAGATGAAGGTGAGGAGCTAATGCAGTATGGATGTCTGCGGGATAAGACCGGTTCGAGGGTGCTACTGGCTGCCGGCTGCACCACGATTTCAGGTAGTTGGAGGAGCAGTCATTGAATGGAGAGATCAGTGTTTGGCGAGCCATGTGACGTTTCTCGCGCTGGTGTGGGGCCAGGAGCAGAATCGCAGGTCCGAAAGGCACAGCCAGGCCGCCATGAAATTGCAAGCTGAGTTGTTCAGAGTCTCAGCTCATTGTTGCACCTCGAACAGCACCCCGTTCGGCTTGGACCGCGCAAAAACAGCCATCCGAGCTGTGGGCATCGTCTACGAAGCTTCAATCGCTAACGTGCTGTATTTGATTCGCTTCGCCAGGCATGTACAAGGCCGGCTCATTCAACTTCTCTTTCGCGATCAACAACAATTACCCTCATGATCCCCCGAAAGTCAGATGCTTGCAAAAGGTGCGTGTAGACTCGAGAAGGTCAAGGGGAGCTTCTTCAGAACCCAACAGCTCTGACTTACCAAGTGATGCAACCGTGCGGCAGATCTATCACCCAAATGTGGATCTCGAAGGCAACGTTTGCTTGAACATCTTGCGAGAGGACTGGAAGCCAGTCTTGAATCTTAATTCGGTTATGGTGGGCCTACAATACCTGTTCCTGGAACCGAATGCAGACGATCCCTTGAACAAAGGTGAGCGTTGCGTCCCTCATCTTCGCTCGAGAACGTGGTTGTAACCTGCGCGTTCTGACACGGAGCTGCGTCTGCGCTTTTGCATCATTTATAGAGGCGGCTGAAGACTTGAGGCAAGATAGAACGGGCTTTACGAAGAACGTAAAGACCTCATTAGCTGGGGGCTCTGTCAGTGAGTAGAGTACCCGTTCCACGCATGAGTCCATGTGCGTCCTGCTCTAGCGTGTGCTGCCGCTCACCATGCACTCCCTCCTTGTACAATAGAGGGCATCTCGTATGACAATGTCAGCAAGTAAGCTCCAGCTCCCTCTCAGCACCATACCACGCGGTCTATACCACGCAGTCTCCATCGTGAGCAGACCACTTTCACCTTCGCATGCATGCTTGTCGCCATAGCTTCTCTGCGCGGACTGCCAGACGAGGCGTGACCTGTCAGACGCAATGTGGTCCTTCGCTGAGTCTTCTGCGATAGACGGTTGAAGCAAGAAGACCTGACAAACGCGCATGCTGCCAGGCTTTTCCCAGTTGCTCGTCTTGGCTGTGATGGCGAGCTGATCTGTGATCAAGGTCTACACTTTGGAAGAACAAGTTGTTTCGTGATCTTCCAATCATTCAAGATTGAATCGCAAATGCGTCGAGCAGCCGTTCAAGCACTTTGCGGTCCGCGATCACCAGCGAGCCACGATCGGGTCGGTCAGACGACTAGTCGTTATGCAAAGGCTGTAACTTCCGCAAGTAGGGGCCCATCGAGCCCGAGGGCTTGACACTGCATCTGCAAATAGAGAGAAGAGCTCTTTCATGAGCCCCTCCATACCAGCGTCAGACCCCTGCTGCATGCCCGTCGGTGTCTTCCGCGTCGACATTCACATTCACATTCAGGCTTCATCGGTCAAAATACGAGAATCATCACGAGTGAATCGTGAGGCACCATGTTGCGAAACTGTACCGGTAAAGGCGAAGCTGAAGGCTCGGCGCTCAGCCTTGGCGCATCTCACGCGCTGTGCTGCCAGATGACCTAGCGGGCTGGTTCGCGCGGACCTCGTCTCACCGCTGCTGCTGGTACCCGAGCCCGCGAGTCGTGAGTGTATAGCTTTTGGGCCTGCCGCATCATCCTTATATAGTTCTGGTGTGCGGTGTGCCCCTGTGCGAGCCGGCAGCGTCTTTCTGCATTCGTGCATGTGTAGAGCGGCAGCGTGCTGCTTAGAGCTGGGGCATTATCAGAGCAACGCGCGAATCTCACATAATTTTATTGAAGTTACAGCCCTCGAGTGTACGTCGCAGCTTCCCTGCATGCATGGCTGAACTCACGACGTACTCACTGGCTGCTGTATTGCAAATGGGCGGTACACTCCGCGAGTGCGCCGTTGCCGGACATGCGCGAGAGGCGGCCAAAAGGAAGGCAAGCAGCATCATCAGCAACGGGCCCGGCAGAGTCTTGGGGCTCGGCATCAGCAGCCATGCATAGCACGCGCAGCGCAGCAGGTGCTGAAGGCGCGCGCGAGATCGAGACGATGGAGAAGCGGCTCTGCTGTCTGTCTCATAGGCGTCTGCGGGCCGGCCAGTCTTGAGTCGCTCAGCGAGATTTCACCTATGACACACGGCGCGTGCGATGAACCGTTTTGATACTTTTCACCATCATCTATTCTCCTCGCACATCATTCTCGAAATTCGACCACATCAATCGCACTGGGCACACGCAACACGCTTGGTGTATCGCAGTCATCGATCAGCGCTATCTCCCCGAGCTCTGCCTCAACCGGATCCGAGGCGAACTCTAGCGAATCGCCTGACCTCCGCCAGCAAGGACCGCCCCCGACTAACAGCCAGATCTGGATATATCCTTCACCGCCTGTTCAATCTCTACCGACACACGACATTGCGCACTAATCAACATGCGCTTTGCAGTTGCGGCTTCCATCGCCGCCCTTGGCGTGGCTAGCGTTGCTGGACAAACTCCGGTCACATATACGGTCACGGATGCGACTTGGTGAGTGCTCGAGGTTGCTCAATGAGACGATGGGTTGAAAGTCGCTGGGTGGATTCTCAAGTATCGTGAGGGAGGTACAGCAGCTGGACAGACATCCTTGCTGCTTGCGCTGAGGACAGCAGCGAGGAGTCGTCGCGTCTACTTGAGCGCCACAAGGAGGCTGACTGGTGCATCGTCTTCTCTCCCCAATAGGGTATATCAATACACTGCTGTCGAAGTAGACGGGCAATATACGAGCGAGTGAGTGTCATGGCAGCAAAAGATCGATGGTCCGACACGCCCCCACCTGTCGGTCACATCAGGCAGGCTGTCTCAGAAGGACAGCATTTTGGTGATGCTAGCCCCGCAAGCACGACGTGTCAATGGTTCGACACTTCTACGTGTCCGATCCACACCTTCGTGCTCGCCACAGCAGCCCATGTTCGCACGTGTTGGACGATGTCGACCAGGCAGGTGCCGCTCAACATCTGTGACGACACCTTCGACTGAAGTCGCAACGCTGAATTTGAATTTACGCTCGCCTTCTCCTTCCAGCGCCTTGATCACCAGTTCACCAGTCGCCGGAGGCGCTGGGGCATTGACCACAACTACCGCTGCTGCCTTGACCCCCACCACTCCCATTGTCGCACCAGTCACCACAACGACCCGCCCTGCCGCTGCAACGACGACCAGGCAACCTGGCGTAAGTGATGCTCCCCACAACGACGGCGAGGAGGCCACCGGCTGGAGCGTCGGCAAGATTGTTCACGATGCCTACGAGCTCAAGCACTTGCTGGGAGCCCGCGATGTGAACGACGAGGAGGAAGCGACCGGCGAGTTGCAGAAAAGACAACAGGTACGAGTCGCTCGAGATTGTTTCGCTTCTTTGAAATGTTTCGTTGGTGCTGTTTGTGATGCTGGAGTCTGCTGCACTGTCCTACGCCTTTGCCGTTTGGCCTCGTCGTTTTCGCGCCACATCACTCCTTCCACACCCATTGTTCTTGTTAACAGCGTGGTGTTGAGCGCACATAGCGTCTGGACATCTTTGCGACCGCATTTGCGGCTCAGTCTCCCGGGAGCAATTCTCCCATCAGGCGTGATCGTCCCATCCTCGATCAGCCTGCTTGCCTCTCTCCTGCGTCCTAATCATCGGACTCGCAGGCATGCCTCCGCGCGGTTGCTGCGTTGTCGGATGTAAAGAGGGATTGGATCTCTGCTCTTTCCCCGCATATGCATTCGCATTGCGACATTTCATCGACGGAACGCCTCAAGGGACTCGTCTCCGAGTCTGCAAAGTGGAGAGACCTTCAAGGCTCCTACTCTAAGCCTTCTCCTCTCGCTGTAGCACAGCCCGATCGAATTGCTGACCACGCTTCGCCGTCGGTGCACAATGTCGTCGATCGTGTCACGATGTCTGGCTTGCGATTTCGGTCCCGTCAGCCCCATGAGTGCGCGACGGTGCAGTCGCGCTTTACTTTTAAGCTGACATGTCTACTTGTTCCGATTTGCCTTCAGGGTGCCGCTCTCGGAGGCGGTGGAGGAACACAAGTTCAAGCGACGGGCTTGCAAGTCATCGACGGCTACACACCTCCTGCCCAGACTGCTGTCCAAGCCCCGGACAACGTGCAGGCTGGCAACATTCTTTCTCCTTCCCAAATTCCTGGCTACGGTGACAAGGCGACTGACGGTTCAGGGTCCGACTCTTCCGGGGGTCTCTCTAGCGGTGCTACTGCCCCTGCTCCTGCTCTCGCTATCGGTTGCGCCGTCGCTGCCGCATTCGCTGGAGCTATGATGGTCCTATAGACTGAGCTGCCCCTTTGGGCTCTCTATCGTCGCACGGTCAAGCCGTGGCGCTAGCACGCCTCGCGGCTTCACATCTCTTCTGAACTATTGTCCCCACATCTTGCATCCCGTCATCCTGCTCCCGCTCGTAATGCCCCGCTATCCGCTCCCACCTCGCAGGCCGCTCTGCACGTCTCTCCGGTTCTGTCGATGAAGCTTCAAACCGCTTTCCTCGCGCACTTATGACCGCCTGCAACCTCCCCACAATGGACTTTGTACACGTCGATCGACCACCTACTTCGCATCGCAAGTTTGAATGACATCACGCTCGCATCTACCGAGCGCATTTCGCTTGTTCAACGGAATCGTGCAGGCATGAGATGCTGACCTGCTCTCTGTGCGTGGAGTCTTTGAACCGTGCGTGACCTTCGCGCTTAAATGCTGGGGCGTCGACTGACAGCCACGTGTACACATGGAAAGGGGGAGGGGGCGGGGGCGGCCGGCCCAACTCATCCTTCTGGCTCGACCCTCGCACAAATCGTCATATCATTTCTTGGAGATCGATGAGTGTATGCTATAGGTCCTTCTAAAAGGTGCGAACAAAAGATGCAAGAAGACTCTCGGGGTGTTTCTGGGCGACGAAGACCGCATCGTCGAACTTCGTTTGACTTGTCTGCTCATCGCTCGGAAATCATCAGCCAGTCATTGCCGTCACTACACTCAGATTCGCGGTTGCCACATTCACATTGTGATATTGTTCTCATTCAAAATTGTGATTGCAAAGTTGAGGGCGTCAACTCTGCTCTATAGAACTGTTTTAGAAGAGTCACGAGTATGGTCCATGTCCGTGTTCATTAGTGTGAGCTCATCAATGAGACTTGCCGACTCCGATCGACAGCTCACTTGCTGCATGACATGGGGCTTCGCAATGTCAGCCGGCTACACTCATGACTCGCACAGACTCGCTGGGGGTTGCCTACGTACGTGCAGCGCTATCAAGTACGCGGCCAGGTGAGCCACGAGTCAAGAGTCTGAGTCCCGAGTCGTGAGTATTTTGATGTCGAACGTACTCACTCGATCGTGAGGCCCTTTGACCGCGTTCTGCCTTGTTTGCTGCCGGAAATAGCAAAAGCTAGCACGACCGCAGCGCACGGCGCTTGTGTGACGCTGCGGGCCGTTGGAATTGGGATCTCTCTCCTTGCGAGCACGCGCTAGAGGGGCATCGTCGGTCGCTCGGTCACCAGGGGCACAAACGCAGCGCCCACGCTGCGCAGGACCCGCACAGATGCTGTAGACACATATATATGCACCTTGAATGCCGCAAATGCATGCATGATGCTGTAGAAATTAAGATGCGTGTAGAGATGAACGCGCCGCGCGAGCGCAGGGCGATTCTCCAACTACGTACCAAAAACACCACACGCGGGGAACGCGCGCTGGCACCGTAAATGCTCATTTGTCGCAACAACATGCAACGCATTCTCGATTCTCGATTCATGAGACCGATTTAGACAATTTCGCTGGATTGATGAGTTCATCGCGATGCAAAAAGTCAGAGGAGTGTTGGATTCACCGGTCGAGCACATCGTATGGCCCATGCAAGCAGCTTCATATCGATCGAAGTGACGCAGCCATGACCCTGTTCTGATCCGATCGGCCCCGCCTTGATGTCATCCGTGTACGTCAATCAAAAATTGAATGGAGAAGGCCGGCACGGACTGTGATCACCCATGCCTCACACAGCTGTGAATTTGCAAAGCCAATAAGAGTGGATGCCCGCGAATAGACCAGCAGCGCATTCTTGATTCCCATTTGCATGTGATTGCGATCTCGACTGTGGTTCGTGACTTCAGACTGTTGCATGGCCGGAGCAATCCTTCGGAAATAAAGCGCGTCAGAAGGTTCATAGCAAATAAGGAGCATGAGTGAACCGTTCATCCAGTCACATCAGTCACGAGTTGATCAGCGCTTGACACAAAGCGCTCTTCTGATGTTGCTCTTCCGCTATCATCAGCAAGGAGCTCATTCTTACGCGATCGGACCTCCGTGGGCTACTCTGCCGCTTTCAAACCTCATAAATGACATCGAGTGGGCGGGTCGCGACTCGCGAGTATACTTAGGCAGATAATGACAACCTTCCCCATGCTGCTTGGTGATTGTGATTCAATTGCTGACTTAGGAGACGAGCGCTAATCTGAATGAGGCGTGCGTTGTTTCTAGCGTGGCGCGCCGCGGAGGTCTAAAGTGCGGAGTCAAACATATATATTAGAGAGCATCAGGTTCCATCGCATCGCGTTCGTGACACCATAACAGGAGAGATCGCCGCTGAAGCTTTTGGTCCATATACTGTATGTATGCACGCGCCGCTCAATTCGTGACTCCTTTGGGCGACCTCTTTGGATGGACGCCGCTTGGCTGTCTTTGCATGCATGGCCTTCAACCCAACGGCGTGGACCAGGAAGCAGAAACAGCAGCATCGAGGGGTTGGCGCGGCGTGGCATGCACGGCTTTGCTGCGAGCTGCACGCTTGGAGACGCTAGCGTCGGATTGCGAGTTCTTGCATGATCCACATGCCTCCCGCCTGGACTTGAACAATTTTGATCGCCGTGCTGCCCACACGCAGCCAGGATTGCGGCGGGCCTTGCTTCCAAATGTGGGTCTGACGCCTCTTGAGCTGCTGCTTCTGGCCGGGCTTGAACTTCACGAATTGCAGCCGCGGCCAAGTTGCGCTTCCGAGGCAGACGCGGTCAGCCAGCACAGGCAGGCAGCGAGCGCGGTGACCTCAGCAGCGCAGATGACCATGCAGGCTGAGCGCCCTTCCGACGATCCTTTTGATTCCTTCAGATTGCCGCGAATGGATCCACCGTTCAGCATGCGCACACATATGCACCAGGCATTGTCACAATGCACACCCGCAATGTGCCGCAATGTGGTCAGACCGCTCGCGGTTGTGCTTCCGCGAGGAGAGACGTCAGCTGTGAGTGACCCGGATGAGCTTCATCAGAGACAAAGTGGGTGGTCGTGTCTCACATTTGGATCCATCATCCCCGACCCGACCAACAGCAAATCGGCCGACTCATCTCACAGTCTGTCGAAGCTTGCACGACCACTCCAACCCTAATTTCTACACCCCTCACTTAGGATTTGACCACCAGCACCACTGATAGAGGTTCAGGTTCGACTCTCGAAGCCTTCACCGCATCCACCACACTCGTTCTTTCGTCCGAAGTTTACAAACGGGCTTGTCTGGCTTCGTTCTCGCATTCACTCTCGAGGCCTTGCCACAGTCGTCAGCGAGTCTGTAGTCTGCTCACGCCCATCACAATCGATCGTCCTTAACTGCGCGCATTCACTCATTCATACTGTTCAGTCTCCGTCTCACACTCTGATCTATCGGCATTTCAATCTTCAAGCCCTGTATCAGCACTTCCAAATCCTGGCATCTACTGTCCAGCCTTTTGCATTCTACGTCCCTGCTCTGCAACTCTCGTACGCTTTTGCCCCCCATATCTCGTCGATTGGTCAAGATCGCAATCAGCCATTTCAACATTCGCTGCATTCTTTCCCACTTCACAGCATCCAACACCATGCAGCTGACGACAGTCTCTTCTGCTCTCGTGGCGTTCGCCCTTTGCGCCATCTCGGCCTCCCAACCAGCTGAGGCCTCGCCAGAGAAGCGCGCCATCACTATGCCCATGCACCGCCGAGCAGCAGCCAACAGCCGCGGCATCATGACAAACTCCGATGGATCGGTGGACCGTCGAGCGCTCGCCCTCGAAATGGCCCACGTTCAACGTCGGTACGGTAGCGACGTCGAGGATGAAAAGAGCGAGCCATCTTCGCGCGAGAAGAGGTGGGTCAACATTCCCAAGCTCATCACCGAGGGCATCGCAGACATGTGGGAGGACGTGCTGGACTCCAACCACGGTGTGGCTCACGTCGCGTCCCAAGAGACCGAGACTGGCACCACCGGCAACCGTGTTTCCGGCACCGCTTCCAAAAAGTCTTCTCACCGCGTGCTCAAGACTTCCAACGGTCCTCAACGCAAAGCGCAGCTGCCCATGCGCGACATCTTGATGAGCTCGAACAGGGAGCTGGAATTCTTGGTCGAGGCAAAAATAGGCACGCCCGCTCAATCCTTCTGGCTGGACCCAGACTCTGGCAGGTGAGTAGCGCATATATGCGCACCGTTTACAATGTCGGTGACGGTGCTGACAGTGCCACGCACCCGGCTTTACCTCCTCAGTTCTGACTCTTGGGTCAAGGGAAAGAATTGCAACGGTGCAAATTGCGGCAACGCCTCTCGCGCGAGGTATTTGCGTAGCAAGAGCTCGACCGGCATCAAGACCCCAGGCGACAAAACATTCACCTTGCAGTACGGCATCGGAGATGTCGAAGGTGCTTTAATCCGTGACACATTTGCCCTTGGTGACATAAACATTGCCAACTTTACAATCGGTGCGGCCACGAAACTCTCCAAAGACTTCAAGACGGACAAGGCAGACGGTATCCTCGGTCTGGGCTTCCGCGAACTCGCGTCTGCCCACCAGAAACCGTTTGTGGACCGTGTGGCCGAGGGCAACAACTTGCCCCAGCCGGTCATGTCATTTGCGTTTGGACGTCACTTGTCCGGCACCGACGCGAAGAGCGAGATGCTCATCGGTGATGTCAACAAAAGCCTCTTCAAGGGCGACTTGTCATACTACGATGTTCAGCAATCGGGCTACTGGGAGTTCAAATTTGACTCTTTCGCCTCCGGGACTGCCAAGGGCGTCCAAAAGGGAGCTGGAATCGTGGATACGGGAACGAGCTTGATCGCAATGCCTTCTCAGCAAGCCAAAGCCTTCTGGGCCGACGTCAAGGGCTCCAAGTATGACTCTGCCAGCGGCACCTACACCTTTCCTTGCGATGCAAAGGTAGATGCTACACTCTCCTTGCCAAATGGCAAAAAATTCTCGTTGAACGAGCAGGACCTCAACATCGGCACGGACGGAGCTGGATCTAAACGCTGCGTCGGTGCTGTGCTCAGCAGCTCTACACCCGGTCAGACCATCTTTGGCCTCGCTGCGCTCAAGAGCGTGTACACCGTGCTGGACTTTGGCGAGAAGCCACGCATCGGCTTTGCCCCCATCAACTTCTAATCGTCACACATCGACTGTGCACACTGCACACTTCGAGACTTCTGCCAAGCTACGTTGGGCGGACAGCCTCGACACATTGTACATACCTCTTGAGTGACCTTGCTCAACTCGACTCTCCGCTCCTGCTGCTCCGATTATGCATCGAACGCTGCGCGTTCAGAAGCAACTTGATTGCGAGCGCACAGCCCCTGTGTTCCCAACCGGACCTTACATCTTTCCCTTCCAGTACATACACATTGCAATCCATTCAAAGTCTTCACTTGCTCCCTCTCCGTTCAACGTGCCGTGATGCTTCATGAGTGCATGTGTTCTCGCGCGCGTGCATGTCAGTCGGACGACCTGGCCCCTCCCTTCAGACGCGATGGCGACGCAAGCGATTCGCTGTGCGATTCGCAGTAGGTACTCAGCGCAGGAAATGAGATTGGAGGAAAGTAATGCTGTACACGGCTTGACACGCGGATTCTGAAGTCGCAAGTGCGCAAAAGCGACCAAAAGCGCTCGCGAAGGATACACTTGACTGGTCCTGTAGAGCGGCCATGTGGGTTCGAACACGTCGGTATATGGTTAAGTGGTGATGGTAAGGGCCAACGCCCGGAACCGTCGAGGCTATTCATCCCTCCTCCAGAGCCGTCTTTGTTCCCGACCCCTGACTCGTTGACCTGTTGGAGTGGCGCACCACTTCCTGCGCTGCTTCTTCGCTCCTCTTCAAAGGGGAAAATTTTAGTTGAACCAGCCCCTCTGCTCTCCTTCCTTCTTGGCAGCTTTCAAAGCTTGCTTGGCTATGCTCGTCGCCGCATCGGCTGTAGGATCCGTCTTCACAAAGAAGGAAGATGCATGCGCAAAGCCCACGGTGCTGTCGAATAGGAACTCTCCGCTGCCGAGGTACCAGGTGGTGATGGATCTTGCGGTCTCGTTTGGAATTCGAGCCACGTCCGGACTGTCACGAGTCATTGTACAGCGCCGTTAGGATTCGAATGCGAGTGACGAGAATCGAAAGGGCAGGGGAAAGGGAGGAGTTTTGTGCGGTTTTAATGAAGCAGATACTTGATCGATGCGGTTCACACCTGCTTCATCCGTCCTCCAGGCATCAACGAATCAAGCCAAGCACTCACGTCCAGCCGCTCTGTCTCTTTACACCCGCCAAGGCTGTCGCTAGCAACGCCGCATCGACTGCGTAATGTGCAACTCGTCCAAGCACCATCTCGAGTGATTCGACTTGGTCCAATAGGGACGACGAGAAGGAGCGCGTCAAGTAGATCGTAGTGCGTGATGGTTGGCTGGATCAGAGATGCGCAAGCTAGACAGGTCGTCGCGCGATCGGAGAGTCGCTCGCGCTGCTGCTGCTGCTGTGAGTCTGATCGGGAAGTTGATGAGGTTGCTGCGGTTGGGTGCTATGGACACTAGGCGATACGAAGCGAGCACGTGAGTTTGGTGATCAACGTGGATGGTAGATTGGGAGGAGAGAGGGTGTGCGGGCGCTTGTGGGCGGTTACGGGATGGCGGGACTGGCGGGATGGTGATGGACGAGCCGGTTCAGGTCACGATGGAATCGAGCGCGTGTGTTTCTTTGTGCCGATGGCGTTGCGTGTATGCTGTTTGCTGTGCAATTCACGCCCGAGTCGACGCGCGGTTGTGACCACCATGCAGTCACAGTCAAGATGTGCTGCGTGCGTAGCGATGAACCGATCAGGCAGTCGGCAGTCAGTCACAGTCACGATGAGTCAAGAGTGGTGAGTCTTGGTACCTACAGACGTGCAGGCGCGGGTGCAAGCAAGCTCGGCACGAGGGGACGGCGATCGATCCTGAATCGATGAGCAGCACACACACCTGCCTCGCGATCACGCACGCGCCCTTTTCCGCCAATCGCGAATCGCCATGATATGGCAGTCACGAGTCACGAGTCTGAGCAGGAATCACGTATGGTGAATCGCACTTTGACTGACGAATGGCAAGATGCGTGCGCATGCAGGCATTCACATTCAAGATTCAGATTCGTGATGATTGATGCATGGCCACGCCAACAGGTCAATCAGCCAGAATGTGAATGCTCATCCGTCATAGGCTCGAGGTTTGATCGTCGATCGAATCTGCATCCAATCCATGACATCAAAAAGGACAGAAGAGCAACGCGCGCACCATAAAGACCGGACAGGCATCCTGGCTCCCCAACCTCGTTCACGACATTCGCAATCCAACCAGGCAAGGAGCCAATCGCAGTCTGCTCGACGTATACATCCAGCTTGCTTCAAGCGCAGAGGGTACACTACCAGTGATAATGTCATCATCCTCCTTCAAAGTAAAGCTAAAGCGACCTTCTCAGAGCGCCGGCTCGAGCGCAGCTCCAAATTCGGCCAAAACCTCCAGCGGCAGCGGCGTTTCTCGCGCTTATACGGAATCCGCATCTTCATCGCCTCTGGGTCCTCAAGCCGGTGGAAGCACCACCCCTAGGAATGTTGCCAAGAGGGCAGCGGAAGGGATAATCGACGCAATGGGAGCGGGCGAGGAGGAGGGAGAGGGAGAAGGCGGTCTAGAGGACGAGGAGGAGGAGGAGGAAGATGATGATGAAGAGGAAGAGGAAGACGAGGAGAGGGATGAGCTTGAAGGAGGTGAGCGAGCGTCATGGTCTTGGCCACATTTGCATTTCCGACGAGCTCGAATGCTAATCTCGATCGTCTTGCCCGCTGGCTCATACGGCAGACTCTGATGATGCTGCACCCGATCAGGTGCAGCTGTCCATTGGCGAAGGGGCAGTCCGTGGTAGCTCATCGACGCGTGGAGGGCGGGGCAAAGGCAAAGGTGGGAGCAAAGGAGGCAGCAGCAGCAGCGCCCTCCATCCCCTAGCCAAGGCCAAGATCAAGAAAGCGTCGGCGCTGAGCGTGGAAGAGATCGATAGCATGCCACCTGCAAAGAGGCGAAAGAGTCACAAAGCCAGAGGAGCACCGGGACCTGGTCGAGGGTGGAGGAAGGGTCTCAAAATGTGAGCGACGGCTGCCTTCCACTGGAAGGAAGGCACAGGGCGGCTGCTGACTTCTCTCGCTCCTCCACAGGGGGCAGAAACCAGTATACACTGGGCCAGATGGTTTGGCAGCAGCCGAAGGTGAGTGAGCTGTATCTCGCAAATGAATGGCGCAAGGATTTGTCCAAATGCCCTGGCGCTACGCAAATGCTCGTGACTGATGGCGGCCGATCTCACGCTCCTGCTGGGCAACAGCAACGCCTTCGAGCTTTGCGGGAAGTCCGAGCGCCGAGTCACGACTGGCTTCGCCAGCTGTCAGCTTGAAAGAGGAGAAGAAGCCAACAAGCACAAAGATCGCCGCCGCTTCTCCAAGCACCAAGATGTCTGCGCCAGGAGCAGGGCCAATCAAGGCGAACGTCGCTTCAACAGGCGCAGCTTCGAGTGCACAGGACGCCAAGAATTCTTCGAATGTGCCTCGAGGCACGTCTGGCGTACGATATCCGCCCCTACCCGCGGCCAAGAGCGGACCCACCATCTTGCCCTTGGCTCGCATACCTATCGGATTCGCCAACCCTGCTTCATTGGACAGAACAGCTCAAAAAGTGCCCAGGAAATGGATCAAGAAGCCGAGACAGATCCTGTCCCTTGGCGGTCGAGTATGGACAGCGCCCACTTGGATATCTGACGTTCCTCCCAAACTTGCTCCGCCGAATGCAGAAGGTGCAGCGGCCTCATCCGGTAGCGGCGGGATCGGGAGCGGCAGCGCAAAGAAAGACAAGGAAGGAGACAAAGAAGGGGGCAAGTCCAGACCTTCTAGTCCTGCTGCTGCTCGAATCATCAACAAGACGGCACCCGCCACTTCGAGCCCTCTCGCTTCTCGAAAGTCTCAAGTACAAGCGCAGCAGCAGCAGTCTTCAGAAGATCGGGATGGTCCCGACGCAGATAAGGCACAAGTTCCTGGGTCTCCTCCACGAGGCGCATCGAGCGGTGGCCCAACCTCGCCCAAGAATCCAAAACTCTCCGCTACCAAAGCCAAGTCGAGCTTGTTGGCGCCCCCTACGCCTGCAACGAAATCGGCAACCAAAGCGGACACGAGCACGCCTTCCGGCACCACTTCTCCGATTGCGGCGCTCGATTGGAGAGGCTCCAGCCCGGCTTTCAGGGCCGGTGCACGCCACTGAACTCCATGCCGAGCTGCTCTCTTACAAGCAACTCTCCTCCCCATTGTGCTTTAGGTTTTTCGGTTGCCATAACGCTCTTGTGCTTTGTGTACTGTTCACAAAATGCCCCGTCAGTCTTGCAACTTTTTGAGAAATCATTTTGTCACCTACGGCGGGCTGCACACATCATCAATCACCCGCTGGCCAGTCCGGCGTAGCTCGTGCATCACAAATCGATCGGCTCATGCGTTGTGATGGGCAGGATTCCAATGTAATCGCAATTTTGCCGCACTTCAAGTGTCTTCCACCAAAGAGCCCATCCCTGTGTATCAATTCTACATCCGTGCCAGCGAGCATCAGTTGCCCTTGTACCCAGCCTCTGACAAAGATTCCTTCAGACTTTTGAGCAGGTGGTCGATGTCGCCTCTGCTAGGGTCAACAACGGTGACTCCCATGTGTCCAATTCTGAAATAAGTGTCCTTGACCTCTTTGTGCAGCCCGGCGGCAATGACGATGTTCTTGGCCACCATTTTGGGCAAAAGGTCACCAGCCTTGATGCCCTGAGGGTACTTGACTGCAGTCATACCGTTTGCGCCATCCTTGATTCCGTCCGCTACCAGTTGCTCCAGACCCAAGGATTGCACAAAATTCTTGACCTTGGCGGAAGTCGCCTTGTGCGCTGCGAAACGGTCTTCGAGGGATACGGAGCCCTTGGTGATGGCTTGCAGAGAGGCGTTCAAAGCATAGACTGTGGAAACACGTCGGATGCCTTGTCAGCAAAAGAAGGCGGAGTGCATCACGCTGCGTCCCCATCCTCAAGCCTCACTCACTAAGGTTGGTTGGAGGAGTACCAAAGTAGGCACCGGTCCCAGACTCGTATGCCTTCATGACGGGCAGCCACTTTGCCCAGCTGGCAAAGTACGAGTTGGGAGGTGAAGCGCGCTTCTCGAACTTAGCGATGGCCTTTTTGCTGGCAGCCAAGACCATGAGGCCAGGAGGGCAGCCGAGACCCTTTTGACTTGCAGTAAGCACGACATCGATGCCCCAATCTTGCATTCTGATCTCTTCGGATCCGACCGAGCAAACTCCGTCCAAAACCAAGATGCTTTCAGGAGACACTCTCTTGACCAGCTCTCCTAGACCCTTGGCATCGGAAAGGACTCCGGTAGAGGTGTCCACGTGTGTGAAGGTGACCACTGAGTACTTTTTGCTCTTTAGCGCTGCTTCTACGTCGGACAGGGCAGGCTTGGATCCAATGGGCGCTTTCAGTTGAGTTACTTTGGCACCGTACGTCTCGAAGCACTCTGCAAAAGCTGAAGCACCGGCGCAAATCAAGAGTCAGCTTTGCTAAGAGCTTTAGATCCTCATAACGTCATAGTGAGGCGACTCACAATCGCCAAAGTAGCCCGAGTTGAGTACCAAAACATCTTCGCCCGGTTGAGCGACATTGGCAGCGACGTGGTCCCATCCAAGGGTACCGCTGCCAGCAGTGATGACGGGTTGTGATTCGGGCGCAAAGAGAACCTGCCTGAGCATGCGGATGCTGTCGCCTAGGATGGGCACAAAGTCAGGCGAGACGTGCGAGCTGAAGGAACCGCATGTAATCGGGTCAGACAAAGCGCGCAACAAGTACGAGGGGAATCGGAAGAGTCCGACTTACACAGAGGGATGAGCGTTGGCCCAAAGCACATCATCGGAAACCTCAATGGGCCCAGGAATAACGAGGAGCTGGAGTGTAGACGAAGGAGTGACCTGATCAGCCTTGAAGGAGCTAGACCAGCCTGCGTGGGACGACGTACCTTGTGGGGCTCCTGCTTGAACCCTGCGCTTCCTGCTGAAGAAGACATTGTGGCGGATAATCGAGGAGAGGGGGGTGGGCTCGTGACGGGCGAGGAAGGGTTGGAATGTCTAGCGGGAGAAGCAGATAAATGCGATGCGACTTGTAGAGTTCTATGAGTTACTCTAGCTTGACTTGTCAATGCAGTTCGCCAAGACATGACCCTGACAAGATGGAGGATCGTTATCTCGAAGTTTGAAAGGTGATGGTCTGCGAATCGTGCTGTATGCTGTACGTGCTGCACCGTACATGGATCTCTTCAACAGACTTGACTGGCAAGAGACGTGGAGGGGACTGAGCGAGTGTGCGCGCTTCTGCTGGCTTTCCGTAGGTTGAAGGGTTGAGGTGCAACTCGCATGCACACTACACTCTTGACAGCCTGTGGGTGCAGTGCGAAGCTGCACTGTTACGATTTGACCGTGCGGGCAGTGCGCTAGTGTATCCAACCTGGGCTTTGGAGGTGGAGTATTTTGCAGAGTCGCGAGCGAGCTGAGTGTGGACACGCAGAACTGGTGTGCCGTGGTGATGCTGGCCTTTTGAGCTTCGGTAGCGTCGGAGTCCGTTGCAGGTAAGCAAAGCTTCGAATTTGAATCAGAATGCAAGTTGACACAGCATCAGCGCTATATGGAGCAGCTCGATCATTATACGCCTGATGGATCATCGCCTTGGCCGCAATTAACAAAAGGCCGTGTTGACCTTTACCGCGCGCACGCGTGACGCCGGCGCGCTGTTGCGCGCGACTGCACCATCAGCTTCCCCGCTTCTCTGCGTGCGCGAGCATGCATCAGCCAGCTGGCCTCCACTCGTGACTCATCGGCAAGGGCAGCTCCCGGCTCGCAGGGAAAGAGGCACCCAGAGGCTGCATGCCTATCCCACCATGCACTCGTGAGAGTCGTGACTGCTGTTGACTTTGCGGAGCTCTAGCGGATGACCGCGAGCATGCAGCGTGCCGATGCAGGTGCAGCCGTAGGCATAAGCAGCAGACGCCATCAGCATGCAGCAGCCAGGCAGGCTCACAACCGCTGGAGCCGTCAAGGAAGGAGTGGTCTTTCAGCGAGAGCTCTCGCTGTCCATGCAGCAGTAGTGTGAGTGTCTCGATCCACTCTCTGCTTGATCGCTCGATCATTCGTGATTTGGTATTCACCATGCATCCACCATTGTGATTCTTGATTGAAATCGTAATTACTCGTGACTGTACAGTATTGCTCGCTCTCCGCTGCTGCGATGCCAATCTTGAATTGCCAGCATATATGCACTCAACAGCGCGATTCGCCGTGTGTGGCACATGCACGTCTTGCGTCCCGCGCCTCCCGCCATCCACCCTTGCGGGGACACCCGCGCAAGTTGACCAAGGGGACGGCGACTGAACAGACTCACCACTAGCCGTGATCCGCACACTGCGTGCGCATCCCGACTCTGGTTTCCTCCTCTGTGACCTTGTGACTGTACTGGTACAGAGCCTTTCGAGGAAGAGAAGCAGAGGCGTGCAGCAGCTAAGAGTCTGAGTAGCATCGTAGACGTTCCGCTTGTGTGCGTTTTCCGAAGGCTCATTCTTGATTAACGATTCACAAATCAGGAATAACCACCAGTGTGAGTGTGAAGTCTTTCGAACGAGCTTGCGGCCAGTCTTGAGCAGATGCGTACTGTTGACTCCCGACTCACACTCTTGACTCACGACTGTGTGTACTGCTGTAAGCATGCAGCGCCTTGCTGCCCTTCCGGCGCCCGCCCCATGGCCCCATGCATGCATCGAGAAGCTAGTGGTCAGTCAATGTTGGAGTCGTGAGTGTGAGTCCAGCTACTGTTGCTCATGGTTGCGCGCGTGAGTGCCGTGCAGATTCGAGACGATGCGCCCCAGCAGTGTGAGTGAATTGTGAATGGTGAGACGTATGCTACAGTCACGACTGTAGACCTGTAGAGGGTCACACTGCATGGTTACCCTATCTCTCCGCATCTCCGTTGCGCGATAGCTTTGCTTTTGCAGCATGCACAAGCAGCTACAGCAGCCGCCCTTCCCACCTTGCTTCGCACCTACAAACCTTCTTCATCCAATTCACGATTACAATTTCACGGTTCACGTCTTCGCATTTTGTTCGGACGCGCTAGCATCTCATTCTATATACCTCACCATCCTCTCCCCCTCCTTCGAACCTTTATCCTTCGCCGGCAGATACTCGAGAGAGACGCAGAATAAGGCGGGACCTCTTTTGGCGCTCGTGCCTCTCAATCCATCTCGCCCCGCACACTCCAATCGTAGATCGCACGTACCACCAACCTTTCTCAATCAAGCAAGCTGCCAGTGTACTCGCTCGCTGCTTCCGTGCACGCAGAGGCACTTCAGGCTGTCTTGAGCATCAGCATACCGCTCAACTGCAGCGCCACGCTAGTTCTTGTTTGACGTCGGCTTGGACCACGTAGGGAAGCATACCAACGCAGCGCTGCGCCTCGTTTTCCACCACGACGGCGGGCCACGATCCGAGCTGGGAAATTTGTTACCGCTCGCTCCTCCGTCTTGACCTACCCTGGGCAAAATGAGCGACCAGCCGAGCTTCCAATCGACGCCTGTAAGGCCCACCAGGTGAGCGCATGCTTCCCCATCACCCAGATCGGCGACCAGAGTGTAAATCAGGTTTTGAATGGGGTTAGACACGGGTCAGGCCGCAGCGGGATCGGCGACCCCAGCAAACCTGGGCGATCGCATCGTTGCACCCCGGGTCTGCGCTTGCTCTTCCGTTGCCGTGCACTCACAGCCCCTGACCTCCCTTGCAACTCCATCCATTCCCATCTGCCCACACTGTGCGCAAATTGATTCCGCGGCGACGCCGACTCGGTAGACAACCATCGATGGCGACGCCTCCGCATCGTAACCCACATCAGTTCAATGGCAGGGGTGCTCAGCCCAACGGCAACAACAACGAAGGGACGTATCCGCAGGACAGCGCGAACGTGGTGTATGGAAGAGGATATCCAAGCCAAGGCGCAGCTTATCCTGCTGCAGGATCTCCCTCTCCCTTTGCACCTCCTTTACCGCCCATGGCACCCTCACCTCAATACGACGATTCCTTCCGGTCATCACCAGCACCTGCGCCAGGCCCAGCAGTTGACCAATTTGGCGGTTACAACACGTTCGCGGATGCGGGTAGCGCGCGCTACGAACAAGACTTGCGCGAACCAGACCAGTTCAACGGACCTGGATACATCTCTCCTTCGCCAGCAAACATTCAAGGTGCCGGTCTCCGTCACCGCACAGGAGAGAGGTGAGTCTGCAGTCAGATCTACCACAAGACGCTTCCCCTTTTCGCGCTGTCATTGCAGCTTGCAACGTGAATGCGCTCAAGTCGGATCAAACTCCACCCACATGCGACCGTACTTGCGAGATTTGTAACGCTGAAGCTTCATCCCCTGCACAGTGTATCATTTGCGAAGCCAAATCCGCCCTTCATCAGCGGTGGCGGCGGCGGTCGGGTAGTTGGAGATGACGAAAGCATGTACTCTCAATACAACAAAGGTTGGGATGACCAGGCGTCCATGATGGGAGGTGCAAGCTACTACGGAGATCAGCACATGGCGAGTAGCAGCACATCGCACCTGAATTCCAATCATTACACTGGAAATGGATGGGATGCACCTGGCGGGTTTGGCGGCGGCCACGAAGCTATCGAGATGCAAGCTGGTGCGCCCGGCTACCCACCTGACACCTATCACAATGGCGGTCATCCAAATTTTCCCAACCCAGGAGGTTACGGCTTCGGAGCGCAACGGATGCCAGAAGAGCAAAACATTGGTGCTGGTTGGGTCGGTCTTGCAGCGCCGGGCACAGTGCTCGCACAGGCTCAACCCCGGCACACTCATGCAGGCTACAACGAGACTCACGAGCGCATCATGCGGCGTAGGACCGTCAAGAAGCTGGCACTAGAGAATGGAAACTTGGTCATCGAGACGCCTGTTGCGCCAAACATCTGCAAGCAGAACCAGAGCAAAGAGTTCACGCATATGCGCTACACGGCCGCTACGTGCGACCCCGATCAGTTCATCGCTCAGCGCTACGCGCTTCGACCATGGCTGCTGGGCAGAGAGATCGAGCTCTGCATCGTGTTGACCTCGTACAACGAAGATGAGCAACTGCTGGTCAGAACTCTCAACTCTGTGATCAAGAACATAGCCTACCTGACCTCACGGACCAAGTCAAAGACCTGGGGCTTGCAAGGCTGGACCAAAGTCGTGGTGATCTTGGTCGCTGATGGGCGAAAGAAGGCGGACAAGCGCTTCCTGAAGCTTTTACAGCTGATGGGTGTCTACCAGGAAGGAGTGATGGTGGATCACGTCAACGACAAGCCGACCGTTGCCCACATCTTCGAGTTGACTTCGCAAGTAATGGTGTCGGCCAACGGCTCGGTGGAGGTATCCCAGTGTCCTATTCAAGTCATGCTGTGCCTCAAGGAGACCAATGCCAAAAAGCTCAACTCGCACAGATGGTTCTTCAATGCTTTCTGTGCCCAACTCAAACCCAATGTGTGCATCCTGCTCGACGTTGGAACCAAACCAGCAGCAAAGTCCCTTTACCACCTTTGGAAGGCTTTCGACAATCATCCAAAGTGCGGAGGAGCTTGTGGCGAGATCACAGTGGAAACGGGTCGCGGCTGCTGGCAGCTGGTCAACCCGCTCGTCGCGGCACAGAACTTTGAGTACAAAATGTCAAACATCCTAGACAAGCCGCTCGAGTCGGTGTTTGGGTACATTACCGTCTTGCCCGGAGCCTTCTCCGCTTATCGTTACAAGGCGCTGCAGGGGAGACCGTTGGAGGCTTACTTTAAGGGAGAAGCGCTGCATTCGGGTGCTGTGCATGGGGGCTCATTCTTGGGCAACATGTACCTCGCGGAAGATCGCATTCTGTGCTTTGAACTTGTTGCTAAGCGAGGGGAAGGCTGGCTGCTCAAGTACGTCAAGAGCGCTCGGGCCTCTACAGATGTCCCCGACAAGCTTCCAGCGTTTATCGGACAGCGTCGAAGATGGTTGAACGGAAGCCTGTTTGCAGCAATCTACTCTACTTGGCACTTTGGGAGGATGTGGACCAGCGGTCAAGGATTTTTCAGGAAACTCCTCTTGCAGTTCCAGGTCATCTACTCGCTTGTACAGCTCATCTTTGCCTTTACCGGCATTGCCAACTTTTATTTGGCCATCTACTTCTTGTTCTCTTCTGCCACGTCCGACGACAAACACGATCCGTTTGGTGGCCAGGGAGACTCGGTGCTGCAGATTGTCCTCAATGCCCTGATCGCCATCGTGGTGGTCTGCTTGATCCTCAGCTTGGGCAATCGGCCGCAAGGATCTAACCTGGCTTATCATGCTGTCGTCATACTTTTGGGTAAGTCGCGTCGCAGCTATATGTAGAATGCCGCACATCACTGACGAAGGTAGTGTTTCTCGGCCATCTTTCTGCAGCCCTTCTGATGGGGGTCGCGCTGTACACTGCTGGCTTTACCATCTTCATCGCTGCTGACGCTGCGGGACTTACCCACCTCTCGGGCTGGACTGGTGACAATATCCTTCAACTCATCAAGCTTGACTCCTTCAGAGACATTGTGATCTCGCTTGCGAGCACATATGTTCTATGGGTCATCGCCTCCATCATCCACTTTGAGCCTTGGCATCTCGTCACTTCCTTCGTCCAGTACCTGTTCCTGACCCCTTGCTTTGTCATTGTTCTGGCAATCTACTCTATGGCGGTGAGTGCTGCCATCTCACTTGGCGCAAGAACGCTGCAGCAGGACTGATCGTTTGCGTCTCCCACTCGTCTACAGAATACTCACGATTTGTCGTGGGGTAATCGACCTGCAGAACCTGCGAAAGACTTGGGTAAAGCTTCTACCACTGGCGGGAAGGATGGCAAGCCAGGCCAAGTCGAGGTGAAAACGACGACAGCAAACGATGCTGCAGAGCTGTGGCAATCCGCTCAGCGAGAAATGGCAGTACCTCGAGTGGAGGAGAAGGAGCACCGAGCGCCGACACAAAAAGCTGCAGATGAGGCGGCGACGTTCAGGACGAATCTGCTTCTCATCTACATCCTTGTCAACGCCGTCCTGGTTCTCTTCTTTACATCCTCGTACTGGAAACGCTTTGTGGGACGCAAACTGCCGGGGTCTTCTGATCCGTACATGGCTGCACTCTTTTGGTCCACCGCTGGATTGAGCGCTCTGCGCGCGACGGGCTCCGTGCTCTACATCGTCTTCAGGATATTTGGACACTGATGCGCAGCTTCATCAGAGCAGTCATCTTTCATCTTTGTGCTGTTCTTCGGACTGCCGCAACACACTGCTCCATATACTGGCCTTTCTTATTCGAATCTTGACGCGCAAATGCTGGCCAATGCACGTTCGAAACCTTCCACACTCCTTCATCGCATCTTTGACACTCTTTCTGCGTTTTGCGTCATAACTGTACATTCACCCAGCCCGTAATCGCAAGGTCATGGATACTGAAGTCAGAAGCGATGCGAGCTTGCTAGGTGACTTGGGGAGGTAAGGCAGGGAGAGGGATGGGGCTCTACAACGGCGATGCCCTGTACTTAGCGCGTACCACGTCACCTTTGCAAGCGTCATATCTGCTAAGAAGCGACAGCCAAGTGATTTGGACCAACGATTCAAGTAGCTCTGATCAACGATTGGCGATTGTCGTGCGCATCATGTGGGTCGAAGAGCTGAATGGACATCTGCGACTGCATGGTCTTCCATGCCAGACGATCCGACTCCTTTCCTCCGTCTGCGCCTATTGTACACTTTTCTTCGACGCGTCTCTCGACGCTTCTCGAGCCACATTGAAGCTGAGGCCGAGGTGACGTCGCTATGATGGTCGACGGTGGAAAAGGGACGTGTTGCGTGATGGGTGCTAGTATCTGGGCGAGATGCGAGCGCATCTACTTCAGCTGCTCGACATTTTGCAAAGTTGAGCACTCGTGGAGGAAGCTGCTGCAAGATGGATGCTTGCTCGCGTGGAGCTGGACGACGAATGCTGCGCCATTCGATTGAGGGCTTGCGCGAAGGTGTGCAAGTCTCAGGCACGGTGCTGCTGCTCGCGAGCAGATCCTCAGCTGCGCGTCTCGATCTTGCCCGGATCAGAAGCTGCGGAAGCAGAGACAGAAACTTGTCAACACACCCATTCGTGGTGAGTGGAGTAATTGCGCAGTGCAGCACATCCAATACAACCCACCCATTTTTCTGATTCGGATTGCGCAACCTCGTCGTCCTGATCTTTCTCCTCTCCCAGAAGCTTTACGTACGATACGCTTCGTGGACAAATCTTCTCTAGCTGCGCCACGATGTTAGCTTTGCTGTCCATGCTCAACTCGCCTGAAGCACAGTGTGAGTCAAAGTCGAGCACCTTGACTTTGAGCATGAGGGCCAGCACGGCTTCCTCTGCAGTCTGTGTGGGATCCGAGTGCGCCGATAGCGCACTGTTGGATAGTGCGACCACGGACCCGTCATGACGCGTGTTTGCGCTGAGAGGAGCCCTTTTGGGTTGATTGCGAGCCACGCGACGTGGTACAAATTGCAATGACATCTTGAGCGTCTGCGCACACAGTGCACACAGTGCGGGCTGGTCAGTGACCTTGGATGCGTCTTAAGCTGCAGTGGAACCACTTTCGGCTCTGCTGTGTATCTGACTCTTCACATTCTACCAGGACAAGTCGCACAGCGTGCTCGGCTCTCGTCTGGATTCACGGTCGTGTTACTGCCCACGCTGATCTTGAACTTGATGATGCTGGTCACTGACTTGCTCGGGCGATATCCCTCTCGCTGTGGCTTCGAGTGTGTGGTATGTGACCGGCAGCCCAAATTCGAATCTTGAATTTGAATGGTGAATGTAAAGTCAAACCTAAACCCTGGTCTTCAGCTTATTCTGTCCTTGAACTTGGCTGACGGACGGACGTCACGTGCTGTTCGGATGGGCCGCTCTCTCTGTGGTACGCGCCGCGTCTGCCGCGTAAATTGGCGCGTCGCGCGAATTTCGCGCGCCTCGCGACGACCCGAAGTCGCGATGAAGTACGCGGCGGCCCGCGTGCGCCATCGGTGGCTATGCAGTACAGCAGGTGTTGGGAACGCGTGAAGCGGTCGCTCGAATCGATCCCTATACCATCCCGCCATCGAGCAGCTAGCAGCTGTGCGAGCGTTACATGCTACCGCTGCATGGCGATTTCGCTGCTTGCCTGCAACGTCTCGTCCATCACAAGACTCACGTCTGGCTCCTCGAGACATTCACGTCGACGGCCACCAGATTTGCATCCAGCTCGGAAGCGTTTGATTGCGTACACAGGGCTCACCGCTCGCATCCATTTTCCAGAACAATCATCCGCACTTGCGCAAGCTCGTCGTCGCCTCACTCGACAGGCGAGACCTAGCTGTGTTTTGTCTCACTTTGCTGTGCTGCAGCTAGCAAGTGCAAGCCTGCAAGCCACTCCCCTCCCACGACGAGTCAGGACAATACACCTACTAGGAGGCACGTCGACCTGGCGGGCACTTCCAGTACTCTTGCATCCAGCAGTCGTAGGAAGCAATCCAAGGGGTAAACAGTCGCCCAGACCCTCCGCCTCTTTTGCACCACTCCACATCGACCAACACCTCGTCAAGATGGCATTTCTTCCAGACTCGACGGCGCATCCACCTGCCGCATCTCAGGTCCTGCCCCCTTTCGCCGCCTCAGCATCCGGTCTGCAATCTCTTGGATCTCAGGGTCGGCTTTCTGGCTTTGCGCGCTCCGACTCGGTAGCTAGCGTAGCTAGTCAAAGCTCCGATGCGGGCGCTAGAGGCAGTCACAAGCTCAGCGCAAGGGTTCCCCCTCACGTCGAGAATCGCTTGGAGTACTTGGGAATGGAGAAGCGAAGCTGTGAGCGAGACACTAGCGATACGGATCGTTGAGTGATGCGACGTGCACGGTCTGACGATCGCTGACCTTGCTCGACTTCACCTTGCACAGATGTCGCTAGGGGATATCGCTCTCCAGCAACTTCCATTCCCGAGCCGAAACACGACAACGGCGTCTGGCCCTTGGGAGCTGGGCCTCCACCAGAAATGAGCGAGAAGCAATCTCGATTCGAAGCAGCTTTGGCAGCGCGCACGCTAGGGGTCGGGCTCCACTCTGGATCGCACGCCAATCCTCGTCAAGCACTGAACGAAGGTAGCTCGCAGAAGAAGCTGGGCAAAAGGACGGCAGCTTGGAGCAGGACTGCTACAGCTCCTGCTCGCGAATTGCTGCCTTATGGAGGCTTTGAACGAGCGAGCAGCTTTAGCAGCGTCGCTACTGCTTCGCCGGCTAATCACGCAGCCGGAGACGAGTGGCCGTCGGACAATGCGCTCCAACCTGTGCAGCTCACACACGCTGGTGGACGCAACGCCGTTCTCGAGATGGCTTTTGCAGAGGAGGAAGAGTACGGGTGAGTGCATCCGCAATCCCAATCGCGTGTACGCCATTTGCTTGCTCCACTTCTTCCACTTGCTGATGATGTACTTTTCCCTCGACCAGTGTGCCACCTCTTTCTCCCATTTCTTCCAACTCGGAGGGAGAAGCGAGCCCATCGACGTCTCCTGAAGAGTCTCTCCCCAGCTCATTTGTTCACAAGCCATCGCCATTAGGAGGACTTGGCGCATCGACTGCTTTGCAAGGGCGCAAAAGTGGATTGGGAACGAGGGCCAATGGCTTGAATCGCGCTGCTGCACAGACCATGCCAGTGCAAAAGTCGGAGCCTTGGACCCAGTGGAATTTTAGCGAGGCGGCAAGGAACGACACTGGCTTCTGAAGCGTTGTGCATGTTCAAGACGTTCATAGCTGGATGCTCCTGCGCCCACAGCCTTTCGTGTTCTGCCAGCGTTCGCTACATCAGACGAGACAAACTCGCAGCGCCAACTCTTCTCGTTGGCTCATACGTGACATGGTCCGATTTGAGGAGAATCTTCATTCAAGATTGTGTTCAATTGATTTCACTCCACGCAAGCATGACGCACAACACTTCGTTCCCATACCTACACGACCACCAGATTGATACACATGTTCCACAATTTCTCGCTCGCCCCACGCACCGACTCGAGTGGCCATGTCGCCACATTTTCCAACAAATCATGCGCGTCCTAGTGATACGTCTTGCTTGTTCAGTGAAGATGCGTGTGTTGCGCGACGGCCTCCGGTAGGCTGGCGAGCAGCAGGCGGATGCAGTCATGGAGACTACCAAGGCAGTCAGAGCTAAAATGGTACCCACATTAGGGCCCGCCTTCATTCCCACTTGTCCAGTTGGCGCGGGTGCTCGACCATGCATTTGAAATTTGAGAGCGGATATCGAGTCCCTGTCACTCACCCCTCGAGTCACAGAAGGCGACCATTGAAGATGAGGCCGGGGTTTCGGTGTACAGGCCGGTAAGCTATGCACCGCATCGGTAGCAGCGGCCGTAGGTGGAGGGAGCAAACAAGCAAAAGCGTGCCAGCACCCGCCGCTCCCATCGTGCACCCTCACAGCCTATACCTGTAGCTGTGAGCGGTGTGAGTGGCAGGCCGCTGGCGCGCCACGTGAGCGTTTTCGCCCCGCTTGATTGTCGACGCGCCACGCCCGCCACCCATGCAGCAGGAGCACTCTCACCTTTTCGCAGATGGACTCACGGCTGCGCATGCGACGCTCACGCAGGCGCAGCAGATTTTAGCCGCATTAGATTCAAGCGAGTGATCGATGGTCACGAGTCGCGTGTGTGTGGGTGATCCATTCTTGATTCATTGATTGTGATTCCAGATTGGTGCGATGGCATCAAAACAATGAAGTGGTCGATGCCGATTTCACCTGTTCATCAGCTACCTACACCATCCCGATTCTCGCACCTCTTTACAGTCATCGACACAATCGTGGCTATTGTTGTTGGAGTCGCAAGCGTCAAGAAGCTTCATCGAGACACTCTTTGAGGGTCCATCACCCTTCAAACGGCTCGATCGGTCGCACGCAAGCGTCACTTCGTCACAACCATGTCCTCCACTGCGGATCTCGCTTCCAAGGCCGAGGCGGGCGCCAAAGCGGCAGCAGGAGATCTGGCTGCCAAGGTGAATGCCGTCAAGCTGGACACCAACGGTACCAATGGAGCAGCAGGCGCTGCGGCTGATTCTGGAGACGAAGAGGACGACGCCGTAGGAGCTACGCCGGCTAGTGGCGATGCTGCCACCGCTGCAAAGAAGAAGAAGAAGTCTGGAGCTGCGAAAAAAAAGAAGCAGGCGGCGAATGGAAAGAAGAGCGTAAAGCAGACTGATCCTCCCACTGTCGGCCTCACAAAGATCTTTAGCGATGGCATCTTCCCCGTCGGAGAGATTCAAGAGTATGATGACAAATTCTACAATGAGTGAGTGGCGCTTCACGGAAACGACCTGCTGCCGCAGGAGGGTCGGAATGGTAGGAATGAATGCGCGCAGTATGCCTTGCGCGCTGTTCGTCTTGTTGCGGCCGAGTCACTCACAACGACGCTCTGCACTCACAGCAATCGCAAGCGCATCACTGCTGAAGAGCAGCGAGAGCGCGACAGGATCGCACAGCAAGAAGAAGGAGCAGACTTCAACTATGCTCGAAGAGCCGCCGAGGTTCATCGCACAGTCCGTGGCTATGCGCGCAAGGCGATCAAGCCAGGCATGACGATGACGGAGATCGCCGAGCTGATCGAGAATGGCACGCGCACGATTGTAGAAGCCAATGGGCTCGAGAGTGGCATCGGTTTTCCCACCGGCTTGTCTCTCAACGAAGTCGCTGCGCATTACACGCCCAATGCTGGAGATAAGCGCGTGTTGCAAGAGTCGGACGTGCTCAAGGTCGACTTTGGTGTGCACGTCAAGGGCCGCATCGTCGACAGCGCTTTCACCCTCACTTTTGGTGATAGCCCTTGGAACCCTCTGCTCGACGCTGTCAGAAGTGCCACCAATGCCGGTATCCGCGAGGCTGGTGTGGATGCTCGTCTGAGCGACATTGGAAAGATCATCCAGGAGACCATGGAGAGCTACGAGTTTGAAGCGGAAGGCAAGACGCAAAAGGGTGAGTAGCGGAGCGGCGTCTGACCAGCATGAAGCGCAGGTCGAAGCGCATCGGTACGCTTTTCTGAAATGCTGCCTGCATCCGCGCTCGTAGTCAAAGTCGTCAAGAACCTCAATGGTCACAACATCGACAGGTACAAGATCCACGGCGGCAAGTCCGTGCCGTGCATCCCCATGCCCGAGATGAAGGACCGCATGGAGGAGGGAGAATACTTTGCGATTGAGACTTTCGGCAGCACAGGCAAGGGCTACGTCGAGAATACCGGGGATTGCTCTCACTACGCCAGAAAAAACGTTGGCAGACACGTCCCGCTGAGAGTTGCCTCTGCTAGGAGCTTGCTGCACACCATCGACAAGAACTTTGGAACGCTGCCCTTCTGTAGAAGGTATCTCGACCGACTCGGCGAAAAGTCATATTTGCTGGGCGTGAGTGATGATGATGATGGGTGCGATACTGCAGAAAGGGCGACGGCTAATGTGCAGGCTCTTGACACCCGTGCTCATCTTTGCAGCTCAAGCATCTCGTTCAGATGGGCGTCGTCGAGGTGAGTGGCACGTTTCACGAGCTGAGTGTGCACGCTTTGCTGACGCCGTGTCTTGATCTTGCTTTCTGTCCTCAGGATTACCCGCCTCTCGCCGATATTCCCGGCTCCAAAACGGCTCAGTTCGAGCATACATTCCGCGTTGGCTACGGCTACAAGGAAGTGCTGAGCCGAGGCGACGACTACTGAGTCATCTCCTCCTCAAGTCAAATGAGCGGTGATGTGAGGAGCGTGGGCAGGGGACTGAGTGGCTAGTGGAGAAGAAGGAAGTCTTATGAGAGACATTGGGGGAGTGCAGACCTCCTTTCGTCTACGTCTCGGTTGGGGACTCAAAAGTTGAGGGCAATGGTGTGCCCTAGGCTCCATACGCGGATGGTTTCGCCTCGTGACGTGAGATCCTTGAAGCGGTGTAGGCGTGCTTGCTAGCTTTTCTGAGCTGGATTACTTTATCTATGTCCTTTCCGAGGTCAGCCAAGCTAGCTAGCGCAACTAACACTACTTTTGAGCAGCTCACGAGACAGCACAAGCGCGTTTCTTTTCGTCGTATCGAGGACAATGTCATCTGCATGTTTCGGGAAAAAAAAAAACAAAAAAATTTCAAAAGAACAAACAAACGCCTGTACAAGTTGCGTGTGCGCGGAAAGGTGGTGGTGGCGGTAGCTCTCAGATGGCGCAGCTACAGCCGTAGCGCGCGGTATGGACCAGATCAACCCAGTGCGGAGTTCGCTGGTGCACCTATTTGTGGTCTCGATGATTACGATCACAACACTCACAACTTGGCTTGGTCACAAAGCCCAGTTGCATGCCAAACTCGGTCCATAGGCTTCTCGGGTGCTCTGAGCTTGGGCAAGAGGAAGCCAGCCGGCTCGCCTGGCTTGGATCCAATTATGACTCCCGTGAGCGGCTACTCAAGACTGATCCTCGGGTCGCGTATGCGATCTTCGAGAACCTTCCAGCACAATCATGGCGGCGAGTACCTGCTGTACCGGTATCACGAACGACGCGCACGCGCACGCGAATGATATGCTGCGACCTGCGCGTCTGAGCGCGCGCGCGGGTAAATGTAGGAACCGATGTCGATGAAGCCTCTTCCATCATCGTGGGCACCATTGACTCCGATTCACATTCCGTGATTGCTTGATTCGCGAGCACGACTCCGATCAATCGAGCATCGAGCATCGACGAGCTTAATCCTCGAGTCGGAGCAATCGAGCATTCGAGCTGCCTACAGGTAGGAGAGCCAGCGGTGATGCGTCTGCATTGAAGCGGAACGTGGAACACGAACGGCGGCCACGCCCGATCGGATGGCCGTTCAACATCAACTCGAACGACCTACAGCTGCAGCTCTAGGCGAGCGCGCGGAGCGTCACCAGGATGCGACCGCTCAACGGACGTGTCTCATCGCGGGGGTAGAGTCACGAGTGCTGTGACTGCCTGCACCTTTGCGTTCAACGTCGAGCTGCAGCTGCCTCAATCAGGTAATCGCAGGCACGGCCTTCTGCTGATCAAGCCGAGCACCAGGCAGCAAAGTTGTCCCTCGCATTCGTCTTGTAACCTCTACGTTGCAGTTCGACAGTACATCGAGTCGCAGCATAGGATTTGCCGAACGGCTGTCTTCTCTACGGTGACATCCGACTCGCGGATTCTCCATCGCCCGGTCAACGGTACTTGACGTAGAACGTGCCTGCCCGTCTGCCTGCTTTATCTGGTTGACCTGGCACACGGAACTCGACTGTGCTGAGAGAGAAAGTGCGGCAGCATTGGCTTGAAGACCGGCAGAAGCCACAGCGCCGAAAGAAGGTATCATTGCTGTAGCCTGCATAGCTCATCCGCGCCCCAGGCGCAGCAAAGCACACCTACAATCTTGAGTAGTCGTTGGCCGAGGACTCGCTCCAGCCGTTGAGGGATGGTCCAGTCGTGGTCGTGTGGTCGGCTTGACCTTCCGAATCAGGTCTCATTCAATGTCCGTCCTGGGCACACGGCAACGTAGCCGATTAGGCGGAGCTGGATGAACCAAGCAGAGATGCCCGCCGATGTCTCTGTGCAGCTGACAAAGTGACCGCCGAAAGGAAGCCCGACTGTGCGCAGGGTGCCTGCACCAGTTCTCACGCTGCTGTTCGCTTCTAAACCTTACGCCCTCTTTCTTCCTACTTTAACGAGCAGGGCTCCTTCATCTTTGCTTCGACCACCCTTTCTTCAGTCAACTCCCGGACGAGTGTCTGACTGTCTTCTCACCCAACCACCTTCTCTTTTCTTACCTCCTCTTCTTCTTCATCTTCTCTAGCCCACGCCAGTGCGGCTCAGGACGGAGACAGGTCTCCTCTTGCTCGAGAAACTTTTTTTACTTATCTCCTACTCCCTTTGCGTCATCCTTTACTTTTCAAGAGGCAGGTCGTGAGTCTTCTGGATGAAGCTGGGCCTTCGGAACGCTGCTGTGGGTGGGGCTGACATGGCATCCTTCTGCTCCTCAGCTCCATTTACGTTCTTTTGCGATTAGACTGTCTCTCTCACTGCTTATTTGGCATTGTATAGAAGCATCCCCGATTGCCTGCGACCCCGATCCATCTCGCCAGCATGATCGCCCTTCGCACGCCCTTTCTGTCTCTGCTCTTCCTAATCCTCGCGGTCTCCATCGACAACTTCAACGGTCTACCAAGAACCGGTGTGTCGGCAGCGCCCTTGATCGGAGATCGTGTGAGCACCGAAGGAAAGCTGTTGGAGCGCTCTCCGCGTCCTGAACCTTTCAGAAACCCGCGAGTGGGTATTGTGGTGAAGACGGGTCAACCGAACCCTGCGACTTCGGCCAGAGACGTGCAGGGTGGCTCGAGGGCCGGGGTAAATGCGATTGGGAGGCGAAGTAGCTTTCAGGATGTAGAAGCCGGCAAGGGCGGATTGATCGTTCCCCTCAGACATCTCCCTCCTCGGGGTGAAGATGCTGGTCTGGTGAGTAGCTGATCAGTGTACGACACGCAGGTGTGCCAGACTAATCAAGTACAATTTCTCTTGGCATATCGCAGGTCCTTCAAGTGCATCTGAATCGCGCCGTCTCAAAGCTAGCCCGCATGACTGCTCGAGCCGCTCCGACCTCCGAGGAGCTCTTCGCTTCCTTGGCTCGCAGAAGAGAGCAAAGCATTTTCTCGGCCAACAAGCGCTATTTCCGTCCTCACGAGGGCGAACATCCTCTTCCGAGAGCCGAACACTCCCCGCCACTTCCATCCCAACGAGCAGCGGCAGTCGGCCAACGTAAGAGGGCGCCAGAGCCAGAGCCCGTCAAGTTTGCGAAGGGCAAACATGGTCGCATCGGTGTGGTGATCCAGCATCGCGATTCGGAAGAGTTGGGAAGACGCTTGCTGGATAGTCTCACGGGTCTCTTGGGTGGCAGTGAGAGCGCAGCTGCATCGGCAGCATCTACTGCCAAAGCTGGCGTCACAGCAGCAAAGGCTTCGAGTTCGTGCAAGGCGAAGTCTGCACCGCAGGCCGCTCCCACCACGTCGAAGACGATAACGGAGCAAAAATCCAACGCTGCTGCGCCGAGCAAAAAGTCAGCGGCTGACGCTGACGGCAGTGCGGGATATCCCAAGGCTGCTCTGGATGCAGCAGCCGCTGGCGGTCTAAAGAACGCGTCGAGTCCCAGTGCTCAGCAAAGTCTGGGCCTCGATATTGAGGCCAATGACGTGGGCTACGTCGCGACAATCCAAATCGGTAGCGAGAACACGCCTTTCCGTATGCTAGTGAGTGCAGTGTGAAAGTGCGCCATCCAACGTCACCGCATGCCCATGCTGACGCGTTCGCACACTCAGGTCGATTCTGGCTCCGCTGACACATGGGTGGGAAGCACCAAATGCGACAATTGTAGCGGAGTCCATCAAAAGCTCGGCAAAAGCGTCTCGAAGACCTTTCAAGGAACCACGAACCCTTTCAGCATCACGTATGGTACCGGCTCGGTCTCTGGCATACTGGGGCGAGACGACGTGTATATCGCTGGGATGAAGCTGGCAAACCAGACGCTCGGCCTGGCACGCAAAGAGACGACCGATTTCAGCGATCCTGGCGTCCCCTTCGATGGGCTCATGGGTCTTGCAAAACAAGAGCTGGCTAATAGCAAGAGTCCGACCCCAATCGACGCTCTCTACAGCGCGAAGTTGGTGCCTGCCCCGGTCATGGGATACCACCTGGGTAGAGCCTCCGACGCTGACAATGACGGCGAAGTGACTTTTGGCGGCGTCGATGCGAGCAAGTATCGTGGTGCTTTGAAAGAAGTTGGCAATGTGTCGAAGCAAGGCTTTTGGGAGATCAACCTGGATGGAGTGACCTACGACGGCAAAAAGATCTCTTCGATCAGCGGCACCGGCAAATCTCAGCGCACAGCGATCCTCGACACTGGCACAACGCTCATCGTCGCCCCTCAAGCTGATGCCGACGCTGTCCATAATGCCATCAAGGGATCCAAGCCGGACGGACAGGGCGGCTACACCATTCCCTGTACCACATCCGGCAAGCTCTCCTTCAGCTTTGGCGGGCAGGACTGGGAGATGAGAGCTGACGACATGAAGTTCTTGCCTGTGGACTCGAACAATCTCAAAGGAGACTGCATCTCGGCCATCTCGTCTGGTGATGTTGGCCAGGCAAACGAGTGGCTTGTAGGAGCGGCTTTCCTGAAGAATGTCTACCTTGCTACCAACACCAAAAGTAACAGCGTTGGGCTTGCTACCCTCACCTGAGACGGCAATCTTTGCTTGTGTACTACTGCCATGGCACTCAGCGTGGCCGCGGCGATAATGCATGAAACAAGCTGCTGTTGATTGCATGACATTAGCTTGAGCCCAATTTGAGATTCGTCGCGTTCGGAGGCCCTGCTTGCGATTGCTCTTTGACCTGTTGACACAGTCTCTGCACCTCGTCTTGGTGATCCTTGAGGAATTCACGAGCTGCCTGAAATCGGATCTCGATCCACTCTTCCAAATTCTCGTCCTTCTCGTGCTCCTTCACTCGACCGTCCTCGTGCTCAAGAGCGGGTCGAAGACGCATGAGACACCCCCACGCGACCCAAGTGAGCTTGGCAGATATGCCCCACAATCGAGCACGAGCAAGTCGGGATTGCTGTCGTGAGCTTTCCTGCTTCGGCGTTGTCGGGCTGGACGAGTCAGCGCGCTCAGCTTCTACCGCTTGCCAGTAGGCGTCGACGAGATGCCGAGTCTGCTCCAGATTGAGCTCGCATTCGGATGCGAGGTTACCGAGCTCGAAGGAAGGCCAACCCAGACCTGATAGCTCCCAATCAATGATGGAGTACGTTGCACGGCTACCAGCACAGCGAGTGCCTCCTGAGGAAGCACCGCCTGTCCTTGAAGCAGTCTCCGACTGCGCTCGAATGAAATTGGCCGCTAGGAGATCGTTGTGACAAGGACACTTGTCTTCTGCAAACTCCAACGCGTCTTCGATTAGTTTCAATTTCGGCAGCAACTCCTGTTGAATCGCACGCAAAGCTTCAGATCGATGTCTGCTTCCTCTCCCTCGAGGCAAGTGACGAACGAAAGCCGGAAGCATTTTGGAATGACACACTCACCAGGTACCCCGGAGGTGTCTCTCCTCCCACCTTGTGCAGCGTGCGAAGATACCTGGCTCGAGCATCACGAGGCACGAATTCGTTGCAAAAGCTGGGAGATCCCAAAGCTCCTGCTCGACTGAGATGCAAACGAGCAATTGGCTCTACAAAGGCCATCAGATCCGGTGTGCGCTGCCCACTGCACAGATCTTGCACATCTTGATTTGCCAGTGTTGAGCCGTCTACGTATCGAAGGACCATCGCTCCACCAGTTCGCAAGCCTTTTGGTGCTGATTCTGGATGTCCCAGCTGGATTTCAGCAAGGACTTGGTCGGCGTCATCCGAGTTTCCTAAGCTCGCCGGGCTGGGCGCGATGAAAAGAAGGAGCTCGGGCGAGATTCCGAGTGTAGCAGCGTGTCGACTTGCGGACACCTCATCATGCCGACTGATGCTGAGCAACTCGGCAGATGTACGATCCAACAGCCGCACGACCAGTCTTGCGCTCGAGAGGGTAAGAAGGCATGCCCGATTGGTCAGCCCACCATTGAGCATCCGACAGGGTCTGACTCCTTGCTCTTGTTGCCCACCGTCTCGTCGCTGTCCGACGCTATGGCGCAGTGTCCTCTCAAGCTTTCGCACCACCTCTTCAATGGGGGTGTAGCGGAGTGGGAGGTCAGGCCATCCTTCAAAGGCACTTGAGGAGCCGTCGCTCATTCTTTACACGCTTTCCTTTCGTAGATCCGGCATTCACACACTCTGTAGCTTGTTGCCATCGATCAACGCAAGCCTTTTCTTATGGTGGTAGTGGTGGTGGTGGGAGCCAAAGGAGCTGGGGACGCGTGGCATGCACGCTCAGCCTCGCACCACGTTTGCCCACCAATCAGACAGTCACCAGTCATATGTAAGCCGGCCTTTCGAATGTGCAACCACTCGCTTGCGCAGACCGTCATACCGAGCGCATCATAGGCACAGAGACAGCTCACTACACCGTCGTCCTCATTCAAGCCTAGCCACGAGGAGGTGTGCCAGAGGCTGCCATTCTTTGAAAGTAGATGGGCCAGGGCAGATCCCAAGACTCTCGGCATGTATGCGCACCCGATGACTCCTACTACACAGACCACGGATGCGTAGTCTGACCCAGCAGTCACACCTTTACCTGTTGTAACGAAGTCTTAGCATCAGAGGATGATGAATGTATAGTACAACGGAGGCTGCGCGAAACGTCCGGCAGCAATGTGGGATTGAGTTTTGGTGAGGAGCGGTTCACCCAGTGTGGCATCGCCAGGAGGCGCTCCCTCGCCCACTAGACCACACTGTCATTCCTTACACTCCCTCATCAGCCAGCGAAGTGGCCCTGCGCCCAGGGATACCTGTTAGGAGCCTGCCCTTCATTCTTCCAAAAATCGAACGTCTGCTCGTTTGGGGCCTAGAGTGGGGACAAGGCATGAGAGGGACGCGGAGGCGTCAGTCTGAAGCTCAGCATACTGCTCTTGAGGGCTAGGTGTGTGCGCTACTGGCATGCTTTCCCAGCAGAGCTATGACTCACTGATGAGAGGATGAAGCTGCGCCAGGTACACGATGGTCCACATGAGGTAGCAGCATGTGAGGGTGAGGATGGCAGAAGTCCTGATCAGACTGGGAGGGGCGAAGGCGAGCAGGAGTCAGCATGGATGTCTTCGTCGCGCCTCTCTGGCACAGCTGCGCAGGTTGCGTGAGGCGTGGAAGCGGGGCAGGTCTGACCGGCTTTGGATCGGCAACACTAGCAGCTTTGTCGACTGTTTGGCGGTCCTGCGGCTGCCGGGCTTCCAGTTCTCGACAGGGAATGGCGCATCGCCACTCAATCGACGCCTTCCAAGCGACATATTGCCGCAAAGTCTCCTCGGTCACTCACACCTGATTCGGGCCTTTAGGGGTGACCAGCCATGATCCGGCTCCTGCGATCGCAGCAGCGACCAAGACCCAGATGACCGTGAAGCCAGACATGATCGCGAAGCAGCCGTAGCGGACTCGAAGCAAGGATCTGCACAGCTGAGTGAAGCCCGGTCGAAGTGCGATCTGGAAAGCGGCCGCTGTCGGATGTGAGGGAGGATTAAGGTAGACGTACTCGGGAGAGCACTTCTCGGATCCGCCGAGGACCTGGATGTGAAGATGGGAGTTCGCAGTTGCTGCTTACCAGATGACACGTAACGTGAGTGTCTTCGGGAGCGGTGTGTTCGTCGGACTTGCGGGCCGAGGAGGTGCAAAAGGGAGAGGTCGAGTACGCTCCGGACCGCTGATTGAGGTGCGCTATTGAATCGGCGCTGGCTTGTGACTTGTGGTGCTCTAAATGAACGAGCGAGAGAGCGTGTGCTACCTTGTGGCTCTATCGTACGAGAAATCCCCCACACAGCCCCTAGCTCGGCCAAATCACAAATTCACGCTTGCCTACACCGCGCATTGCATGCGGGCACCGTAAACATGCCCGGGCGATCAGCTCGTAGCGCGTTGTGTGCATGCGGAACCCACCAAGACTTCAGATCGACGGACCCCTGACGCAGGAGGCAGCTTCTAGAGTTTCCTCGCCAGATCCACCGCTGCTGGATGCACGCAAGGACCGTCGAATCTCGCTCCGCATTCCATTCTCACCCTCTTGCTTGGCTCCAAGAGCTCATCAAAGGCCGCGACAGGTCATTTGATCATGAAGGGATTCTTTGCGAGGCCAGGAGCAGGGCGCGCCGCTGGAGCGACACCGGGAGGGGCGGCCAACGCAGCAGCTGGAGCTTTGGCGTCCTTGTCCCTCCCTGACTACCCTCAGCCATTGCCAGAGAAGCTCCTCTCCATTCACGTCACGGAAGCGGGGCTGTTTATTATTCCGCAGCAGCCACATCATCACTCGATGGAGGCAACGACTCGCACGCAAAGCTCGAGACCTGCACCCTCACCACTACGGACTACGGACGAGGCTAGATCGCAAGATGTCGCGCACGAGAAGCGCCGAGAGGATGGGTCATTATCCTTGCAACATTCTGCACCGCTAGGGGCTTCCAGTCGAGCTAGCACTTCCGCTGCGGGTGGGAGTGGTAGCACAGCAGTCAAGATAAGTTGGGGCAGGAGCGCAAAGGTCTCGAGCTTGACCGTTAAACAGGCCAAGGAGAAGCTGAGCAACGTTGGCGAGCTCAATGAGGGCGCTGAAACACTTGCTTATGGCGTGGTGGGATTGATCAGGGTCTTCAAAGGTGAGCAATCGCCGCATACAGGCCAGCTCATGCGCATGACTCCGGCTAAACGAGATTCTTTCGTGTCGAACTGCAAATGCAGCCGCGTATCTCTTGGTTGTCACCAGTCGAACGCATGCAGGCGACTTTCTACACACCTCTTGTCCTGTATATCGCTCCACAGGAGTGCTCAGCATTCCACTCGAACCTCAGAGAGCTCGAGAGGCGCTTCGAAGCGAGTCGTTGAGGCAAGCGAAAGTCCCCGCAAAAACGCAGTCGAGCTCGTCTTCATCATCAGAGGAAGAAGACGAGGAGGAACCTGACGATGTTCAGACTCCGGCTGCTCTGCCTCGGACTGAAGATGAAGCGACTATAGATGCTGATACGCACGCGGGAGGCGCCGCGGCGCTCGCCGTGGGCGGAGCTGCCACGATGAGGCCTGCACGCAGTGGACCTTGGCTGCTACGAAACGCGCACGGCAAGAGCGTGTCAGAAAGCGGACCGGGAGCGAAGGCGGCTGCCGCGACATCTCCGAACGATGCGGTTGATGCACCTTCACCGGTGTCTGCCGCCATCAGCGCAGCATTCGAGCCTGCTGGCGCAGTTGCCGATGCTACTCTCGGCGCTGCGGCATCAGAGGGCAAGATCCCAGCTTTGTCCGCCGACGAGCGGTATCACGAAGCTCTCAAGGCGGAGCTCGAAGAGAAGGTTGTCACAGAGACCGCAAAGCAATATGCTAGGGGTGAGATGTTGTTCTCGTACGATTTCGACCTCACAACACCGCTACAGCGCAAAAACCAAAGTGCGGCGACACCAAGCGCATCCACCACTTCGCCGAGCTCTCAAAGAGGTCCCACTGCCTTGCCTTGGGAAGAGCCAAACGCGCGGCTGCCTTTATGGAAGAGAGCTGATTCGCGCTTCTGGCACAATCAGAGCCTGAGCAAAGATTTTGTTGATGCGGGTCTGCATGGATTCGTTCTGCCTTTGGTACAAGGCTTCTTCCAAGTGGCCCAGCTGCCAGTCGACAACCCGAGTCCACCGGGATCTCCCGACGTAGCTGGGGATGCGATGGACGAAGTCAGCGCGGCCACTGCTTCCTTGCGGTCTGATGCGTATCTGCTCATTATTTCACGCCGATCGAAGGAACGTGCTGGCCTCAGGTATCAGCGCCGTGGTATTGCAGAAGATGGTAGCGTCGCCAATTATGTGGAGACCGAACAGGTGCTGCTGGTTCGCCGGTATGGCAGCAGCTCATCAGAACCGAAATCTACAGAGAAGCTCGAGGACGCCACGGCTCATACGCTCGCCTTTGTGCAATTCAGAGGAAGCATACCTCTTTTCTGGACTCAAAGCCCATTCCATCTCAAGCCTCCGCCTCAACTCGAGCGAAGCGCAAATGAAAACGCGAACGCCTGCGCTCGGCATTTCGATCTGCAGGTTGCGCGGTACGGCTCTGTGACGTGCGTCAACCTCGCGGAGCAAGGAGGCAAGGAGGGCGTCATTACGGAAGCTTACAGGAAAGCCGTCGAGAACTACGGCGGTACAACGAATGAGAGCACAGGCAAGAAGCCCGTCAGATATGTACCGTTTGACTTTCACAAGGAGTGCGCGGGCATGAAGTTTGAGAATGTCTCCCGACTGCTTGGCCGCATGAAGGAGGAAGATGTGCTTACAGCCATGGACTTCTATTGGAGATCTTCAGGCACAGCCATTGAACAACCCAAGGTCTTCTCGATGCAAAAGGGTGCTTTCCGCGTCTCATGTTTGGACTGGTGAGACCGCGCGTTGTCACACGCAAGCGCAGAGCACGGCGCGCTTACTGCAGCACGCCTTCACTTCGCACAGTCTTGATCGCACAAATGTCGTGCAGTCGGCATTTGCTCGCTATATGCTTGGCGTCCAGCTGCAACGTCTCGGCCTGGACGTGCCAGCTGCTCGCGGAGAACGGGACGAAGCGTTTGATTATGCCTTCAACGATAGCTGGGCCAACAACGGCGACATGGTGTCGCAGATCTATGCGGGCACTCGAGCTCTGAAGGGAGACTTTACACGTACTGGCAAAAGAAACCTATTTGGAATGATGAACGATGCCACTGCCAGCGTGTATCGCATGGTGCAAGGTGCCGTCACCGACTTTTTCAAGCAGACGGTCATGGACTTTCAGTACGGGTACATCAACACCGCAGCGCTGGAGAGATACAACGACAATCTAGCGGCGCAAGATCCGTCGGAGCAGCACAGACTTGCACGCGTCCGTGCCGGCGCTATAGACAGCTGCGCCAGTCAGGTGCTGGGTGAAGATGAAATCAAGCTTGCGGGCTGGACGCTCATGTCGCCAATCGAACCCAACCGCATTCAATCAGCAAAGCTCGAAGAGAAAGTCGTACTGCTCACCTCCAAAGCGCTCTACTCATGTGGCTGGGACTTTACCGCCGAGAAACTGTCCGAGTATTCTCGCATCCGCCTGGGAGATGTCACAAGTATCCAAAAAGGAACCTATATCTTGGCGCCACATGAAGGCTACCATCCAGAGAAGCATTGGGGTCTTATTGTTCGCTATATTGAAGGAGAGACTCGCGTCAACTCTGCCACTAGCATGCGCAACGTCGCCCCTCCTGCTGAAGCGGCCGGAAAGAGTGGCTCACTCGGAGATCAGCACTTCGTAGCCTTCCGAGCTGTGGCGGATGACTTCGTGGGTACACTCGATGCACCCGAGCCTTCAGAAGCTGCCACGTCGTCGGCTCCTTCTCGACGCTTTTGGCGCCTGTCGGGCAAGACGGGCTCGATTGATAAAGCGGATAGCATCAAGAGTCCAGACGAATCAGTAGCCGATACGCCCCTCACCTCGCACGACATCGTTGACCGCATCGTCGCGCTGGTCGTAGAGCAGTGCGCCGATGCTGGCGCTTGCGATCCGGGCGCTGCGAACGCAGTTCATCCGACTGATGAAAATGAAGAGGACCGCACGAGCGAAGCAGATGCTTTCGTCAAGGAGGAAACGATTCAAAGTCTAGCTCAGGCTAAGGCCAATGCTGGACTGTTCGCACCGCTCATCGAGGGCCTGAAAAGACGCGTGTGGCTCTGACCCAGCCCTCAGCACTCAATATCATTCTATATGCACAAAGTGGCGTCGCTCAAGCACCTTGGCCCTCCTGCACCTCACTCCTTTAGACTGCTCTTCTTCTTACTTTCAGGCACATTGCAATCACGTCCACCTCGCGTTTCTCACCTCCGCCACTATTCGTGCATCTCCACCAACTCGTAATCGACCATCTCAGCTCTGGCATATACCCCATGCTGTCTTGCCGTGCCCTCTTGTGCACCTTTCTCTTGCACCTTGCGAGAATGGACATGCAATTTGAAGCGTATCTTGCCGCGGAGATAGCGAACCGTTGAACGACTTGCCTGCTTATTTCCGGACGAGGGATGACCTTTGTAACCTCTCACACAGATCCCTTGACCCTGCACGCGGATCCGCACGCCGCTATCTTACCCAATTCACGATTAAGATTGACGACGTCGACTTTGAAATTCAATGATTCACACTCAAGACTGACCTGCTGATTCATGATTGGCGGCCAAGTCAATCGTGAATCGCGGACAGGTCACGAGGGCGCACCGTCGGAATTGGTGAACAACGTTCAATCACGAATCATGCACTCTGGCGTCGAAATTCGGCTGAATGCGCCTCAATGCATACGCGCAGCCTCAGCGAGGATGCCCTACGGATCAATTTAGAGATGGCCGCGGGGCTGCTCATTTCGATTACGCTCAGATGCTTCACTTTGAATCTAGGGCTTGAAATCGATGGACATCAACGATTGATGTCGCGCAGGTGTTGAATTTGCTGCGTGATTGAATACATCAAGTTTGAAACACATCAAATACTTGCACGGCAAGATGATTCAAATGATGCTTGTGATTTGGGCTAATCCGCGCTAGACATGGCACGCGCCGGCACGCGCGAGCCAATCGTGAATCTGCATCATGCTGTGAGCTGTCCCGTGCTCCAAAGCTGCATGACCGCCAACGATCAAGCTTGGCCCGCGTGCCGACTGACGATGCATGTGCGATCGTGCACCGTTCTGCTGGCGGGCGCCCGAATTCTGATCTCGTGAATCACGAATGATTTCACGGGTCTCTCAAGTCACAATCACTACTCTGACTGAGTCACGGGTCACGAGTCACGCTCCAGTCGCGAATCGTGAATGCACCATCTTCGCCAGCTCAGTCAGTGAGAGACCTTCTTTCCATCTCTCACGCCATCACGCTCTCTTGCCTGTTGCAGAAGTGTCGATCCACGCCGAGCTCGTCAACGGTTTCGAAGAAGGTTCCTCCACGCCGCTCTTGTAAGTCATCCCTCGCACCGCTCTGCACCACCTTCACACGTAGCGGCAGCAGCAGCACAGCGCAGCACGGCACGTCACACATTTCGATCGGCTCGGCTTTGCGCACACCAAGGTTTTGCTGCTAGACCCGCGAGTCAAGCGCCGGTGAGCTTGCGGTCACCAGATCAGCGCTCCAGTGTTGCCTAGCAGAGCTTCACCCAAGCTGGACAGTACCAACAGTCGATCCGCGCATACACTCAGCGCTTCGACAATGTCGAAACCAAGCGCCAGCAAGGGGTTAAGGAGCCAGCAAGGGGCTTTGCTCTTCCTCTGCGTACTTGCAGCCATTCTTGCCTTCTCAAGCTCCCCTTCCCAGGCGTCCGACAATGCTTCAGCAGTTAGCTTTGCAGCCATCCACAGACGGGCGACGATTGGTGGAGCACCAGCTTACGACTTGCCGATGCCTAGGTCGTACGATACGCATCACTATTATGCAGTGCAGATCAAGAGGACGCACTCGAATCACGTGGACATCAGGGATGTGTCCGAAGCGCTTGGCGTGGAGTTCGTCGAAAGGGTCGGAGAGTTGAAAGATCATTGGCTTGTACGCGCAGAAAAGCCTCTAGACCCCTCATCCCTCACACTGGCTGCTCGTGATACAGATCCTCGCTCTTCTGGAGAAGTCAAGATCAAACGCCGGGACTGGAGCGAAGACGAAGATCCTATCATTTCACGATGGCGATCATACAAGCGCTCGCCTCGCCAAAACAGTGCTATCCTCTCCAAACGACAAGTCCATCTCTTTGAATCTATCGTCGACGTGGAGCGGCAGGTGCTCAAGAAGCGTCATAAGCGGGATAAGATTATCAGTCCTTGGGACACACCGGAACACTACCCCGAAGTGCGCGCACCGATTCCTGGTCCTGAACCCCAGCCCTATCCGGATCCTATGCCCCTGCCAATACCAGACGGCAGCAACCTCAAGTCTACTCGCATGCGCCAACAATTCAACATCGCTGACCCCATCTTTACGGACCAATGGCATCTGACGAACGACAAGCGAGACTCTAATGATCTAAATGTCACTGGGATCTGGGCACAAGGCATTCACGGCAAGGGCTCGAACGTGTGCTTGATCGATGATGGGCTCGACTTCAACAGTCCAGACCTCAAGGATAATTTCGTAAGTCAGGGCTTGGAGCTGGCTGAGAGCTGCCACGCACACAGATAATAGTGCATCAGACTCTCAGGCGCCTGCCACGCGCGCTAGAAACTGGGTCTGAGGCGCTGCTGCGAAGTGCTGATCAAGACGACAAGTGGCTTACCCCGAGATGCTATCCTACCCTCGCAGTTCGAAGCCGGATCGTATGACTTTAACACACATACTCCCTTGCCGAAGCCTTTGCACTCCGACGACCAACATGGGACGCGCTGCGCAGGAGAAATCGCTGCAATTAAGAATGACGTCTGCGGCGTCGGTGTTGCGTGGGATGCAAAGGTTGCCGGCGTTCGCATTCTATCTGGACCTATCTCTGATGTGGATGAAGCTGCAGCACTGAATTATCGCTACCAAGAAAATCAGATCTACAGCTGCAGTTGGGGTCCGCCCGATGATGGCCGAGCCATGGACGCCCCAAGGGGACTGATCGCCAAAGCTGTCCTGAATGGTATTCAAAACGGCAGAGGTGGCAAGGGCAGCATTTTCGTCTTTGCCGGAGGAAACGGAGGTGCCTCCGATGATCAATGCAACTTTGATGGATACACGAATTCAATCTACACCATGACGATTGCCGCAGTGGACCGCGAGAATCAGCATCCTTACTACAGCGAGATGTGCGCGTCAAACATCGCAACTGGTTGGAGCAGTGGCAGCGGCGACCATATTCACACTACAGATGTTGCTTGGAACGGGGTGAATCGTTGCACGACTCATCACGGAGGAACCTCTGCTGCAGCGCCTCTAGTCGCCGGTGTCATCGCGCTTGCGCTCCAAGTCCGTCCAGAGCTAACCTGGCGTGACATGCAGCACATTGCCGTTCACTCTGCCCAAATGGTCAACCCCGATGACAAGGATTGGCAAGTCACTCAAGCCGGTCGCCACTACAACCACAAGTATGGCTATGGTATCATCGATGCGTTCAAATTTGTCGAGGAAGCCAAGACTCATACATTGGTCAAGCCTCAGGCTTGGGCTGAGTCCCCAAACGTTACGCTGGCACGTGACAACACCCTCATAACTGGAGATGGTACTCACAGCACGTTCACTGTGACCAAGGAATTCCTGGAGAAGAACAATGTAGACACTCTGGAGCATGTGACTATCCGAGTTTGGATATCTCACGAGCGCCGCGGAGACGTCGACGTGGAATTGGTTTCTCCGCACGGCACCAAGTCAGTACTCGCACGTCCTCGCAGATACGACGACGCCACGACAGGATTCCCTGGCTGGGGTTTCATGACCTTGAAGCACTGGGACGAAGATCCGATCGGAGACTGGAAAATGACTGTTTACGACAGGGCACACCCTAAGCAGACTGGAAACTTCTGGGCCTGGACCATCACCTTGTGGGGTCAAGTCATCGATCCCGCAAAGGCCAAGGCTTGGAATTTCCCAGAAGACAGTATCGAATTCCACGAGACCCTGGAAGCTGCCCCCACCACGACCACTGTGTACCAGCCGGGAGGAGCTGCCAGTCAGCGTCCAAAGCCTACAGACCACTTGCCACCTGACCATGGCTCCCGACCAGGCGAGAGCGACCATGACTTTACCAACAGTGGACCAGGCCAAGTGAGTGGCGCCGCGAGCAAATGCACACAAGAAGCTTAATCGCTGACCACCCACCATTCCTCCTTACACAGAGCTCTCCTGAGGCCGACACCGGCTACTTGGCAGGTCTCAAGAATCGCAGCAGCTGGCTATTCATTGCTGGCGGCGTGGTCCTGATCTTTGCAGGCTCTCTTGCTGCCTTCTTCATCATTCGACGCCGTCGTCAGCGCCGGTTCGGACCTGATGCAGCCGCAGCGTACGAATTTGTGCCTGGAGAAGAGGACGAAGAGATGGCGATGAGTGCGATGGGAGGGTCTGCAGGTGCGACTGGTGGAAGAGGGGGTCGACGTGCACGCGCGAAGGAACTGTACGATGCGTTTGGAGAGGCTACGGATGATGAGGACGAAGGCGAAGAGGATGCTTTGGTCAAACGAGGAGCCAGGCCCGGCCAGTATAAGGACGAGCCCGACACTCCAACGGTTCGGGAACATAAGGAGGGAGAAGAAGATTCGAGATTCGCAATCTCCGACGAAACCCAGACTCCGCTCACAGCCGAAACGCCAGCTCGAGGTCGAGGCCAAGCCACTTCTCCAGCACCTGTACTTCGAAGTCAAGAGATGGACAAGGGCAGGAGCGAGCAGTTGCTTTTCGATGCGGAAGATGACGATGAAGAGCGGGGCGAAGAGGGTAGCGGTGGAAGTGGAGGAAGCTGGCAGGATGCATCTCGACCTTGAGCGGGCCAGGGATGTCAAGACGTCATTTGCGCTCCTCCGCATGACCGCTTGGGATGCTAGCTTTTGCGATCACGCGTATGACCTCTGACATCCGGTCGCAGACTCAAATCTATAGTCGATGCAGGGCGGCCCTAGACAGCCTCCAGATGCTGCAGAGATGCATTGCCAATTGCAGCCCTCAAAACGCTTTATGTGAATATGTATCTGCTAGGAGCTTGCCTGACCAAGAAACAGATTGATGCAAACCGAGACACGAGACGTGTGAAAAGGGCGGCGCGGAGTTCCAGTGTCTAAAGTCTTGGTAAATTGTGAGGCGGTAAGTGGCTGGACGATCCGCTCTCATGGTATAGCCGCAGAGCCGCGGGCTGGGCTTTCACCAGTCGCTGGAACCAGCGATGAGCGCCGCAATTCTTTCCAAGCCCTTCTGGTCCTCCTCGTCGAATCCGTCCAATTCTTCGCAGTCGATGTCCAGCACGCCGATGATGATATCGTCATCACTTTTTGTGTTCACTCTAGACGCTCCCCACTGATCTGCCCTGTCCTCCAAAGAGTGGCCAGAGAGGGCTGAACGGGGAATCACGAGGGGCAGAACTATTTCTGATTTGGATGCGCTGTCACAGGCGATATGACCCGCTGAGATGAATGGATCGCGTCCAGAATCAAGACATTCATATGAGCTGAGCTAGACATCGAGGGTGTATGCGGCATCCGTCCGAGAGCACTCACGATAAGCGTCAGTGTCTTGTACCCTGACTGTCCGAGGAGGCAAGATGGCGCTAGCATCTGCACACACCCCTTTGCCAGCGATGCTTGGGATGGCTTGACAAGCTGGCAGACCGACGAAAGGACCAAGTAGCAGCGTAGGTCTCTTTTGCTTGGCCGCGCCAGGTATCAAGGGCGAAAGGAGATAAAAGCCGGCCCAATTGATTTTCTTGGGCGCAAAGTTTCCGTGGCCGTTGCTGCTGGCGCTGTTGCCATTACTGCTGCCATTGACGTGCACCGATTGAGATTTGGGAGAGGACTTCCAGGCATTTAAACTGAAATAGATGAGCGATGAGGCGTTTGAAAGATTGGACACCCAAGCTCTTTGATCTGATAATAGACCTTCAAGCTGTTCTTCCAAATGAGCGTAGAATTGTGCACTGCTCTGGATAGAGTCTGGCAGCAGGGCAGCATCGGCGCTGTAGAGAATATAGAGAGCGTGAGGAAGGACTCGCTTGATTTTGATGAGAGGCTTTACTCACTGCACCATTTCTAGCCAATACTATTAGAGGCAATCTAGAACGTGCTCCAACTAAGTCTTTCCTATTTTCTACTCAATGCGCGGCCCTGCCAGTAGGCCAGCAGAATTCTTGACTTCACAGATGGCCTTTGCTCTTGGATCTCAACAGCTGCGGCCCTTTTGACTGCCTGCTACGCATGTGATGAAGGAAGTTAAGATGAATGCAACGAAGGCGATTTGCAATCAAAAGGAGCTTGCCATACGTGTACAGCTAGCTATAGCTGACTGACGGAATGCTGCGCTGCACGGCCGCCGTTTTGAAACGGAATCGCGTTCATTCACATCATTCACGATTGTGATTCATGCCTTTGCGCGTGTATATATTTTGCGCGTAAATATATATAGCTGCATGCTGCCCGCGCTTCCAGACTTCGCCGCGGACGCAGACGCGGCGGCGGCAGCATTATTAGCATGATGTATGGAAATCGCGAGGGCACGCGCGGGCTGGCTCGATGGCGTGCTTTGGCATTTTATCGGCCGAAAAGTCACAACAACGGAGGCGCCCTCCACATGATCACGAATGCTGCAGCTTGGGGAGCAGAACACCGACCGCCGGTTGTCCTTACTAGAGAGCTGTACGCTCGCACCAGAACCACAATCAAAACAGCCAAACACCACGTCGTTTCCCAGGAGTAACAGAGTGCTCCATCCCAAAGCAAGGTTGAGCATCCCAGTATGGCCACCAACATGCGTGCGATCCACATCAAGGGGGACAAGGGCCCAGCGAGCGCCCTCTATATCGGAGAAGCGCCCGCTCCAGCCCTCCAAAAAGGTCAGGGAGCGAAGGAAGATGAGGACAAGGTGATTGTGAGGATCAAGTACGCTGGCATCAACCGAATGGACACTTTGCAGAGGGAAGGCAAATGTGAGTTTGGCGTACATCGTCATTGAGGACAGGGCGCAACGAAGCGGTGGCGCTGACCGTGGCGCATACATCCACTCTTGCTGCTCTTGCCTGCCGGCAGATCCGATTCCCCCAGGAGCGTCGCCCATCCTAGGCGTCGAGTTCTCAGGCGTAGTGGAGGATCTCGTACCCTCCGCATCATCTAACGACCCAACGACTTCCAACGGCCTCAAAGTAGGTGACGAAGTGTTTGGCTTGAACACGGGTGGATGTTATGCAGAGCTTGTCAAGCTTCCTGCTAGGATGGTCCTCAAGAAACCCAAAGAAATCTCGTGGGAGGAAGCTGCGGCTATACCAGAGGGTGAGTATCGAGACTAGGGGAGTCCCGAGTGATCTAACCTTGACCGATCGCTCCCCACTTGCCATTCTTAATTCATCAGTCTGGCTTACCGCTTTCCAAGCACAGCGGTGGATAGCCAATCTCCAGCCAGGTGAAGATATTCTGATCCAGTGAGTGGATTTGCGAACACTGCGCAAGGGAACGCCGATGAATGGCGTTGACGAGCTGCATATCGTGCAGTGCTGGAGCTTCCTCTGTGGGCCTCGCAGCGATCCAGCTCGCCAAATCCTTTGGAGCTCGGCACATTTACGTCACTGCTGGAAGTCAGGAGAAGATCGAGTCCTGTAAGAGTCTCGGAGCCACAGAGGGTATCAACTACAAGACAAGTGTTTGGGAAGAAGAGGTGAGGCGGTTGAAAAAGGCTCTTTGCGCACATTGCAAGTGTCTCTGCTGCACTACTGACAGTTCGCTGACCCCACCCTTTGCCAGCTGAAGAAGCTTACGTCTTCGCGCGGCGTCAATGTGATCATGGACTTCCTGGGCGGGCCATACTTTGGGCCCAACATAAGATCACTAGCGCTCGATGGCCGGCTTGTTCTTCAAGGTCTGATGGGCGGCTCACCAGTGTGTGAAGTGGATTTGACGCAAGTGCTAGTCAAGAGGCTTCATATCGAGGGCTCCACCCTGCGAAGCCGCAGTCTGGAGTATCAGAGCAGCTTGATGCAAGATCTGCTTAAGTCCGGAGTGCTTGAGAAGATTGTAAAGGGGTGCGATAAGCCGGGCAAAAGTGCATCGGACGAGCATCACCGCATCGCCATTCACAAAGTGTTCGATTGGGCGCAAGCAAAGGAAGCGCACGAGGAGATGGAGGCAAACAAAAACACGGGCAAGATCTTACTCAAAATTTCCTAGGCATCTCGCAGAGATGAGGAGATGAGCAATGCAAATTGAATTGTGACATCGGGTCGATGCATTGTGCCGCCTATCTATTCCCCGTACACTTGCTTTCTGATTTCGTTGACCTCACTGACCGTGAGCAGATGACCCTCGCCGTGCCTGTTGTTGACCACCTGGACAGCTTGCCGCATATGTTTTTCGTCTGTTGTTCCTGTCAAAACGCAGCACCGCAAGCCTTGTATGCCCATGCCTTGGTTGACGAATTTGTAGACGACCTGAGCAGGTGTCCAGTCGTGAGCGATGGCTGCGCGAACCACAGGTTCGCTCCGCAAGAGTGCGGGATTGCCAGTCAGTGTCCAGAAAGGCTGATAGTGGATCGCTCGTCCTTCAGAGTCGTTGGGCGATAGGACGGGGGAAAGCGTGGAGAGCAAGGAAACGTCGTGTCCCGAGCTGCTGTGCCAGCGATTCTGCAATGCAAGGGGTCGGATGTTGATCGATTGCAATAGGGCATTCCATATCCTCGAATCGTACACATCTTTGAGCAGCAAGTTGCGTCGTTGTGCGAAAAATTCAGCTAGAAGCTGACGCGCGCGCGGGATCAACTCTCAATAACTCACTGCTGAAGCCAATATGTCTCACCCAGCCCTCCTGTACAAGCAGTTCCATTTCTTGCCACGCTTGCAGCGTCTCTTCGAGGCTTCGCAAGGGTGAGTGTAAGAGATAACTATCGAGCCAAGGTCTGGTCTTGCCGTCCGGTGAGATAGCACCTATGGGCTTGAACTTGGCAAAGTCCGGCAGACCAGAAGGATGCTGCTCTCCTTCATCGCTAGCGCTTGGTCTTCCGAGAGCGCTTTGTGTATAATCTACACTTCGACCTTTGCCTTTGTTCGAACCGGAAGCCCCACTCGTTTGAGCGAGGCCTGCTGCTTGCTTTGCTGCTTCTAGAAGCTCGGCTTTGTCCCACCTGTCGCTGACGTGAAGATTGCGCAGGGAAGCAAATGCGCTGTGGCGGATCTGTTTCCGGACTGGCCAGCGCGGATCGTATGGGACAGGACCCGAAAGATCTTGCCCGTCTTTGGAGGTGAATCTGAGAAGAATAGCGCCGACATCAGATCAATCCATTCAGACAGGTATAAGAGGGGTGGTCACAGAGCCTACGACATCAAGCTCACTTTGTCTGCAACCAGACCTCTTCTCGTCGAGCCACGCCGGCCTCTTCTAGCTGATGAAGAGCTTGACCGACCAGTTCTTCCCGGTAATGTTTCCTCTGACCAGCGGTGTCGATGCCTCGAAATCCGGCAGTGATGGCAGTGAAGACGAGTGTAGTTGTTCGCGTATCCTTCCAAGCCGTGCCGTAGAGAATGTCGGGTATGGAAGGAAGCATTGAGGCGCTCGTGGACGCCTCTGACGATGCTGTCGACTGTGGTGCTGGTGCGGCCGCGGACACCGCTTGTGGGGAAGAAGACGTGGTCGAAGTCATTCTGAACAAGTTCAAGGAACCAAACTTGGTGCTTTGTTGAATTGTGCGGAGTCTCAAGCTATGATTCTGAGCTCGATGAGGAGTCGGACTTGAATGTCGAGGTGCGAAGGCGCAATACGACCGCCCGATCACGCGAGGATCGACGAGCGATGGAGCACCGAAAGGTCCTTCCTCACTCGATCCACGGTGCGAAAGGGTGATTCGCGAGGGGAGGCGAATTGATGTGTGAGTACCAAATGATGACAAGTGTGACCCGAACAACGTCAATGTGGTAAACGCAAAATTCAAAATAAGAGGATCGTTGCGATTGTTCCTGGCGCCGACGATGATGGACGGGGAAATATGGCGCAAGCTGCGGACTTGGCGCTCCAGCACTGGTCTCATTCCCAGAATATCTCGATCTGCCAAGATGCTGCGGACGAGCTGCTTTTGCAACAACGAGCAGAGCAAGATTTGCAGGTGGTCGTGCGCAAGGGCACACTTGGATGCCAAGTTGCCGGAACCGATACGTCAAGAATGTCTCGAAGGGCGATAGGCACAGCAACACGCCTCGCCCACGAAAATGGTACAGTCCGCGAGTCGTGGCTAATCCACACGGCACGAAGGCGGTGTGTAGTAGCCCGGGTAGTGTTGAGGTGCTCGCCTGTGAGACCCCATTCCTTCGAAAGAGTGCATGCGTGCTGGAAGTTGAGAAGAACGCAATTCCGCCAATTCGAGAAGCAGGTGGCCAACCTCTCGCACCTAAGTGCCGCGGGCCATATGATGATTCACTGCCCGCACGCACTCACGACCGATACACCGTTTGAGAGGTGTTTGGCCCGTTACTGTCTCGGGACCCTTGCGTACCACGCAAGACGTGCTGCTGCTGTATGCTCACGTAGTACGAGCGTCGAGCTCAACCTTGTCGAGTATATAGGGCCGGCCTGACGTTTCGCCAGTGTGTGTGCATCCCTTTGCGCCTCTGACGACCGACGTCAGCTAAAGCTCGGCAGGTAGAGGATATGCTATGCTGGCTCGATTGACAACTCTTGACTCCTGCTGGCGCCATGCAATCGATGTAACATGAACCCTGCACACGCCAAACGACGTGGGTGGCCCATGCGGCCCTCCGGGGAAATTATCCGATCTTTAATCACGTCATTTGTGTCACTTAATGCGTGCGTGCGCTGTCTTGACGCACTCTAGAACATTCTTACGCGACGCAGCACGTCGCGTCGCCGTGTGTGTGATCGGTTCGCCGCGCCAGCTTCATGATGTCTCTTCGATGTTCGCCAAATAGTCACAAATGTGTGAATTGCTGTTCACTTCAAAAATAAGTGATGCCTACACGATGACAATCGAGACCACGAGAAGCGCCTTTGGGCCAGATGATCAAGTACAAAATAGAACAGCGGAATGTCATTCTACGAATAATATGCTTCGCGGCGCCAAGCGCATCGACTCAGGAAGCATCACTGATCAAAGAACAAAAGGAATGTGGGATGTAATTTCATCAGTAATGTCGCCCAGCGACGGGTCAAAGACAGAGCGGGTCGCGCAGGTGTTGTGGTCAAGGGTGGACAAATCTTCGGTTGGGAATGCCGGCATTCCCCGGGGGCTTGGTCGTGGTGTCTGTCGGGTCGCGTCCCGTCTCGGTAGGCGTCGCAGTGGGCTTTGGCGAAGTGTTAGAGGATGTCATGTCGGCTATTGGAATCAAGGAGTCAGAGGGCGCTGTAGTCGACGTTGGCAGGACGGAGGAAGAAGTTCTGCTAGTAGCCGCTCCTGCTCCTCCGTCATCTCCGCCAGTCGGCCCGCTGTCCTGAGGGGGTGGAGAGCCGAGTTTTGAAAATGCGGTTGCTGCTTCTTTGCTCGTCTTCGCTGCATTGTCAAGCGCTTGATAGGCTGGCAAACTGGTGCTAGCTGCGGTGGAGAGTGCTGCTATTGCGGCTGCTGCTGCTGCTGCCTCAGGCGCAGCTACGACCGCAGCCACAGCTGTTGCTGCCGCTGGTGCAGCAGCTGCCGCTGCTGAAAGTGCTGCAGCTGCGGCTGGCGCCGCCACTGCTGCCGCCGCAAGTGCTGCTGCTGCTGGCACGGAGCCTGCCGTCAAGGCTTTCCTAAGCTGGCTGATTGCGTATGGATCTCCACCTTTTGCGGGGTTGCCACCGTCGCTGGGTTGCTGGCGTGTAAGTGGTCCACTACTGCGTTTGCGGCCTCTGCCTCATTGACTGTCGTTCTGTCCTCGTCGTCGCCCTTCTTGCAGTCGTTGGGATTGGCACGGTATTGCATCTGGCCGGCCAATATGGGACCGCTCAGCATCTCTCGTCGACCTGGAGGACGTCTCGATGACGCGTCTTTGCGGGTCTTCCCGTCAGCTTTGAGACAGCATTGTACCTTTGGGTCACAACTCTTGCGAGAGCACTGGTTTGGGCTACCGGACCCATTTCCTGACTGAAAGTCGGTGTCTGATGGGCGCCATCTCTCAGAGATGTTGGAGTCGGGGTAATCTTCCTTCTTGCAGCAACCCGTGATGGGGTCATTGGTAGGAACTTTTACGGGTGGGGGTGGGGGTGGGCCCCCCTTCTTTCGCTTCAATGGCGGGTCGTAGTATCCATTTGGATTCATGCCGCAATGAACAAGTGGCGCTGCGGCGATCTCTTGCTCCATATCAATGATGGAGTCTCTCATCTGGTCGTACATCTGATTGCCGAGCTGTTTCCATTTCCCCTCATCGTATTTGGTCTTTGGAACCCATCCGGCGGCGTGCAGAATATCGACCACAGCCGTCTGCATATTTGCTGTCGTAGTGTCGGCGGTTGCTCGGCGACCAGCGTCCGTGATGTATCTGGGCATAAGGCACCGTCAGAAGAGGAGCAGGATCAGACAGTCTGTTGACACTTACGATTTCAAGCCAGGTGCGGCTTTGTTGTTGTTGAGGCGGGAAGTGCCCTTTTCACCGACCGGCCACTTGTAGCGAGTGTCACCTGTATCTAAAAAACTCTCAAGCATCACGGTCTTGAGCTGATTCACAGTGGAAGGTACGCCAATCAGGTTTGGTATATCATTCTAAGGGTTGACCATGCCCGTCTTCCATGCGGAACGATTTGCGTCGATGGCCAAACAGATTTTCGCTTCTGCGGCCGCAGTATTCGGAAAGGTAGTCGGATCGTCTTTGCGCATGTATTCCGCCAAGTCCGGCATGAAAAGTGAGGTGATGATACGCTTCTCGACGAAGTGTTCGCATTCGCCTTTCAAATCCTTGCCACTCAGGTGATTCGTTTCCCAACTCGGCACGCTCTTCAGCGCTCCATCCCATCGGGATCTGTGGCACGAACAGTCCGATACTCGAAACCCTGCTTCTTCTGGCAATGGATGGCATAATTCCCGGTCTTCATGGCATCGTTGACTTTCTTGTCACAGAGAATCGCATTGTTACTTCGCCAAGAGCTTCTGTCACCGTCGGCCCGGGAATGAAACTCGCGCACACGTTGAATAGCGTCCACCGAGCCGCGCTGCAGCTGGAAACACCACAGAGTGATGCAACAAGGTCAGTGAAAGCGACTCAGCGCAGCAGTGACAGGCGCAGGCACTTACATCGCGTCCGTCGTGGGAATGAATTGGAAAGTCTTGCACCCGAGAACCTGCCGCCTTGTAAGGAATGTTGATCAGTAACATCAACGCGATACTGGACATTAGGGACACGCGGTAAAACATGTTGAGACCAGCTCAAGGCAGAATGCAACGCGATAGAGAGGTAGGTGCGAGAGGGGATGGAGAAGGGACAAAGCACGGGAGAGCGGAAGGGGAGCCGAGAGAGGATGCTCAGCAACCTGTGGTGAGAAAATACGGGAGAACGGGCGGCACTACCAGAGCGCCGCAAGAGATGAGGACAAAGAAAAGACATATCGAGCGACATCCGATTCACTGGCGCTTTATAGTCTTGCTCGTCGCCTATCAAAAGGGCAGTCCTGCCGTTCACTGCTCCTGGAAAGATTGCGTGGGGCGGACCTCGCGGAAGTCTACGGAGCAGACATTGCCACGGATCACGAGGTCGAAACCAAGACCTTGTGCTTCAAAATGAGGTTGTCATCCATTCAATACCAGCTCGCGAGAAGGTGTACACTCTGAACACCGTCCTGTCGTGCCCAAGACGCAGCAGCCAGGGACATAGTGTCCGATGCAGTGCTCCACTGCAACGGCGTATACTACCAACCTCCTTCGACCAAGGCCGATGGTCTGCCTCATACGGCTGGATAAGTCCTGTAGGGCTCTGCAGCTCCATCTGGCGCCTTGATGACGCCACATGAAGTGGACGATCGTACTAGCTGGAAAATGTGGCGTCTATTCACGTGGAAGTATCAGCGAGGAGGCGTAGCAGATGCTAGCACCGCCATTGGCATGAAAGCTCACATGCTCTTGAGCGCGTGTCAGCAGCCTGAGGACTTCCAAAGCACGTCACGACCGGCTCGCCACGCCTTGCGAGTTTGATTGCCTGATTCCATCGTCGAATGCCACGCGATTTGGGCTATCCTCGAGTCTTCATTCCCCTGTGAAAGCTAGGAATACTGGAGCTCTTATCGATTGAAGTACGCAGCTCCTCATGCGAGCGCGAGAGAGCGCACTAATTTGAGTGACCTGAATTACGCTGCGTGCTTCTTTTGCTTGAGTTGTTTGGCATGGTAGCGGCGTATGTCTCCTACTCCAGTTCCCATCCTTTCACCTGCAAAAGCCGGGGCTGCAACCAAAGTGATCGGACAAGCCTGTGCATGCAATGGGTAGCTCTTGTCCGCACTGAGGCGCCTCTCTGTTAGTCGCGAGTGCCGTCGAGGCGGGCGCAAAAGAATGCTGAAGGGTCCGGTTGGGCGTGCATCGGATGGCGACCACGCGGTGCGACTGACGCTAATTCCGCGTCTTCAGCAGATGTCGCGCGGCGTGTCGCTCGCTCTTCACCTTTGGACCTTGAGGATTGATATACGGGACAAGTAGCGCTTGGTGGCATATCCTACAGTGTAGCACAGAGTTTGCAATGTTTGCCCGCCTGCATGTTGATGCGATTCACGATTGTTCACTCGCACCTCACCACTGCATGTAAATCTGATTGGATTGTCCGACCGCGTGGAGATCATGGGGCTGCGCGCGACAGAACAGCAAGGCAAGAACAGCATGCGCCTACGGTACACTCACGACTCAAATCTCACAACACTCATGTAGTGCATTCCCAGGCAGGACGGCTTTCAAGCGCCAGCCATGATTGACTGCGTGATTGTAGCCCAAGACTGGATAATTCAAGATTCAAGATTGTGACAGTTTTGATTGGAATCACGTGTGTGATCTTGAATAATAGTGAATGCGTACCTAGGCAGAATCTATTCGGAGATGAGACCATTTCATATTCGGAGACAACGGCAAATATGGACGTACGGCAAAATTGGGGTACGTCAATATATGACGTATTTCAAAAATGGCACTTATACAGCAATATTTGTTGCATTGCGCGCGCTTGAGCATTTAAATTGCAGATTACATTTCTCACTGCGCGCGCGTGCGTTGCGTCAAGCCAAATACAAAAAGACTAGCATGCATGCGCCTCCAAGCAACTGGCTTTGTATTTGGCCTGATTACAAATGTTAATTTTCCTTTGATTGGTGGGCGCGCGCGCAGTGAAAGAGCAGTACGGCCACAGATGACGTACTAATGCCGTGCTACCAAAAGGCGGTACGTCCATATTTGCCGTTGTCTCCAAATATGAAATGGTCTCATCTCCGAATAGAATCTGCCGCGTACCTACCACAGCTATTTTCGCGCAGCACATCTTTCACAGCCCTCGTGAGTTTTGAGTGTATCGTGCGAGCCACGCGCGCAGGTCATGCAGGAGGGCCGTATGCACACTCGTGACTCATGATCGTGACTGTCACACTCGATCCCTTAATTGACTCTTGAACCGTGACTCGAACTGCATGCCCGAGTCACTGCCCATGCATTGAAGTCACGGGTTATCAGTGGTGAAGGTCGGTCATGGTAGGTCTATTAATTGCGGAGGGCAAGAAAAGTTTCATCAGCTTTACGCATCTATTCACGTAAAGATCCACATTCAAATTCACGATTCGCGATGCACAGCAGGAGTCCACACGCAACAGCGGCGGAACAAAAAGCGATACCATGCATCACATGGTCAGAACGCCCAGCCGCATAAGACAAGCCTCGCGCATGCATGAGTCACGGCCGGCCCTACATACCTCCGCGTGTCTTGCCGCCGGCGCATCTGTGCTTCATGCGTGATTCACGATTTTGATTCACGTCTTGTCGTGCGTCTTGACGTGGTGAAGGCGCGCATGTAGATAGGGTACGTAGGTACATGATGATTCTTGATTCGCTTGAAGCAAAACTCCTCATCTCATGGGGGGTACGAGAGCGCACGCACTCGTGCTCACGACTCACACTCACGACTGCTGATGTAGATCTATCAACCAGAACTTTGTTCTTTCAGCTCGTAATTCCCAATCTCCATTCTTCCCCATCACTTCCCACCGCGCTGCAGCTTGTCTTCTTCGATTTCCACTTGGCCTCATTTCTAGCGTTGCGCTAGACCCTGAGTTCAGAAACCTTTCTGCGACAGACTTGAGTCGCGGACAACGTTACGGTACAGCTCCTTTATAGTGCAAGAACACTCTCAACTTGCTGTCGTCAGCTGTGAAGAAGTGGTCTACAATGGTTTCGCATGCTTGCTCCGACCCTTTCCCTCGCTTGCCCGCGGAGATCATGCACACTATACGCGAATTTCACTCGCCACGCAAACAAGAATCTTATCGCCACGAGGAACATGTGCTGCTCGCTATCGTGAGGATCTCTGGCCCTGGCCCTTGCGCTTCCGCGAGCGGGCAGCCTGCGCCCTTCTGCTTACCATGCTCAGCCCTCCGCCGCAGTCCCAATACTGGTTTCGCATCGTGATGGCTGCCAAGTGGCGTCATCTCGAGGCACCTGTCAATAGAGTCTTGGCTCACATTGAGACTTACAAGACCTTTCCATGGCTTCGAAAGGAGATTCAATCACTTGAGGTGGGCGGGGATTATCCCATGTGCAATTTTGCCAAACACACTTGGGGCTATTACTTCGATTACACAATGTTGGACCCGAGCGTCCGATTTGTGCCCCCCTTACAAGAGAGGATTTTCATGGATCTACGACGCATCTTGCGCGTGCCCTTCTACGGCTACCACAGCGGCGACCCCTCACATCCGGATGGTCTCAAGGTGGATAAAGATCAGTACAAGCTGCAGATGGCTGCACGACAATCGGCGGGGAGTCCGCCGTGCAGGTGCGAGATGTGTCAACGGATCGACGAGCCTAATTGGCCTTTTCCAGAGTCGCCGGACTTTTACGACGACGACGCCTTCACGGTCCGGGACCAGTTTTGCAGTGATCCAGAGGTTTTTTGGGATTTCAACGGACCGTATGGGACGGGTCCGATCCCAGGAATAAGCTGCTTCAGTGACTATTGGAAGGCGGTGGATGTCTTGCTTAGTCTGGTCAGACCTGAGCACCTACGCCTGGTCGACAGAGCGTCACCAGTGCCCAAATTTCTTGCGAGTGCCATTGCTTCTATGGGCTGTGTGAAGCGTCTTGACATACCGAACACGATACCGTACTATTACGTTCCAGGTGAAGCACATCATATGCCAGGCGAGGTGTGAGGGATAGAAGCTGATCGCTAACTTTTCTGGCATCCTCCAGCACACTACACGAGGATCATCGCCAACATAGAAGAACTCAACATCAGTCTAGGTTGGGTGGGTGAGGAAGTGGCCTATCTGGATCACTGGGATGGTTGGCGGGACGAGGAAAATGACGTAGCGATTTCGGATGATCAGCGCGAGACTAGGGACGAGGATGGAAACGATTGCCACGAAGTTCCTTCTGCAAATGACGAAGATGCAGAAGATGAAGACGAGTCTCGCGACGAGCGAGCCGAATGGGTGCCTGATTCGCTAGGCTACGTCAATTCCACTCTAGACGCACAAGGCCGGCACACGTTGAAGCTGGAGACCAGGGACGAGTCGCAACGCTTGATCGACGATGCCCCTCCAAACTCCTTGTCAGGTCGTCTGCTTGAGCTAGTCGAGTCCGGCGCACGTCTTCGGCGGCTGACACTGCTTGACCCTGAAACATGCGTAGCTTTGTTTAGCGCACGCCTTCTCCCCATTTTCGCCACGCTCGACGCTGTCGACACATTCATCACCAAGCCGGGCAGTGCGCGAGAGTTGCCCACCCTAGGTGTACAAGATCCAGGAGCTCATCTAGCGTACACGATACCTTTGAGCAGTCTACGAGTTGCATTCCTAGCGCTAGCTCATGACAGCGATCCACCACGTGCACTTCGAGAGTCAGACGTTCACAAGGTAGCCGACCAACCCGACTTTTGGATCTTGTCAGAAAACTTGCATAAGATGGCAAGTGCAATAGTCCAAAAGTTCAACGAGCGCGAGAACCTTCGGGGCGCAGGGCATCCTGACACCGCCACCAAAGGGTAGTCATCACGTCCCTGTCATGAATGACGAGGTTGCATTAAGAATCCATATGGTCAGCGCCTTCGACTTTCGCTTTCCGCTGTGCGACCACAGCACCGCGGACCTCATCCACTTCGATATGGCGAAATCGCTACCCAAGGCTGCGTCTTTGACTCCCCGCGACATAGCGGGACTCAATATACACCACAGATCTCTCGTACAATTCGCGTGCTCCTGTTTATCCAATCACCAAAAACGAAAGCGATGGATCAAGAGACTCTCAGGGATACGCTCAGGGCTGTATAAAAGTATATGTGCTCGCTCTTGCACAGCAATGCGCCGAATGTAGGACTCGAAATAGCGTACATACATGTCTACAGTACTGATGGCGATGTCGTATCTGTCAGATCGCGTAATGCCCTTCTCGTCGTCGCCGATGCCTGTCTTTTGCTTTGGCCTCACCTGATCATCGGTCATCTCCTGCAGGATCCTGTCCATTCTCTATTCATCGTGGTAAAAGAGCAACCGCAGGCGTCTAGCTTAGACCGTGTCATCCGAGATTTGAAGAACAAGGACGAGGGTCGATATGAGCAAATCGAGCTAGACGTAACGTGACGGGTTTTTAGCAAGGTACTTCGCCTTCGTTGTCTTCATCTCCATCAGATGGGGAAGCTCAACTTCACGTTAGAGTATCAGGTATCGAGGGAACGCTGAACTTGCCTAAGTCGCCCATGCGTGTCGACTCAGGAGGAAACGCAAGCAAAGGGAAAAAAGGAATGTGATGTGCCATTTCTCAAAGGTCGTCCCGCGACCTGAGCAAGACACAGAGGCGGGTCGCACAGCGACTTTCAACAATCAATTATACCTCCGATTGGGGCGTCCGGCGTTTCCCGAAGGTATGTCAGTGCTGCCTGTTGTGTCCTCCCCATCACCTGTGGGTGGCTGCGTGGGCTTGGCGTTAGGAGTAGAGACTGAGCTGGAAGATGAGGAAGTGGGAGCGCCAGGAGGTCTTGCAGTGGGGGTGGCTACAAGAGAGGAGCTCGAAGACGGGGGAATGACGCCGGTGATGCCCGATGCCGACGTTGGTGAAGCAGAGTCGGACGAGCTAGCCGGCAGAAAAGGGACCTTGATGATGCCTGTCAGCTCTTTCTTAGCCGGTCCATCTGCACCCGCTGCTGCTTTGATGAGAGCCGCCGCCGCTGGCTGACTTCCCGATGTTGCTGCTGAGGCAAGTGCTGCGGCAGCCGCGGCGGCAGCAGCAGCTGCTGCCGCCTCTGGTGCTACTGCTGCCGCGACTGCCGCGATCGCCGCTACCGCGGCTTCGCTTGCTGCTGCCGCGACCAGTGCTTCCGCTGCCGGTACAGCGCCTGCTGCCGCTGCCGCTGCGAGGCTCTGTGCAGCCGTCTTGTCTCCTCCGCTCAACGCTTTTCCAAGCGCGGCTACATCAGCTGGTCCTGGAGCGTTTGCGTCATTCTCGTTGCCGTTGTTCTTCTTGCATTGGTCGGGCTGGGCCCGATGGACCATCTTTCCGCCAAAGACTGGGGCGCTCAGCATCTCGCGACGACCCTTTACGCTGTTGCCTGGACCAGCTGTTGAGTCCGGTAGATCTTTACTGCGGCCATCGGGCCTGCGACAGCATTGTAATTTAGGATTGCAGCTGACGCGCGGACATTGTGACCGATCGTTTGGATCCTTTGGTTTTTCACTATTCTGGAAGTCCTCGTTGGAAGGGCGCCATCTTTCCCCAATCAGGGTGTTCTCTGGACAGCAGCCAGTCTCGGCACTCCTTTTAGGGATCGCGCCTTCCTCTTCGGGGGGCGGTGTCGCTGGCGCACCGTTCGCACCACTCCCTGCAGCGGCGTTGGCGTCAGTCGTTGTGCTTTTCTGATATCCCGTCGGATTCATACCACAATGTTCAAGTGGCGCTGCGGCAATTCTTGGCTCCATCAAAGTGATCGTGTCCCTGATCTGATCGTAAATGCCGTTGCCGAGACTGGACCACCGCTTAGGGTCGTACGTCCGACGGGGAATCCACGTCCCGGAGGTAGTCAGGATCTTGAGAACGGTTTGCTGCATCGTTCTTGCGTTGTCTTCCGCAGTCCTTCGCCGGGTTGCATCGGTGATATATCTAAGGGCCATTTCGAATGTCAAGAGGGGCATACATCCGAGTTGGGCGGGGTACTCACTGTTTCAGGCCAGGTGCTGCTTTGTTGTTGTTCAAGTCGGTGTTACCTTGTTCCTCTGGGTTCCAGGTATACGTCTTCTCTTGCACAAATTTTTCGATCATCTTGGTTTTGAGCTGATTGATTGTAGAGGGCACGCCAACGAGGTTTCCGTCGCTGTTCAAAGTGCTGACGACTCCTCCATCCCAGTCAGTTCTGTGCTGGAAGAGTGCCACGCAAATCTTGGCTTCTGCAGTGGCGGTGTTTGGAAACGCTTCAGGCCTGTCTTGGACCATGAATTCTACCAAGTCTGGCATGAATAAAGTTGTGATGATCCGCTTTTCGAGAAAATGCTCACAGTTTCCCCAGTTCTTTCTGTTGCTTGGCTGACCCCGTCCCTCACGCCCTGTCACCCAAACACCAGGCGTGTTCTCTAATGTCGGATCAGGGTCAATGGCGCGACTGTTACGGTATTGTAGGCCTGGTTTGGCTTTGCATTTATCGCCGTATCGTTCCTTCTTCATGTCGTCCCCAAGTGTGTCCCGATTCTTGTTGGGTGGATTCTTGTTGGGTGGATTCTTGTTGGGTGGATTCTTGTTGGGTGGATTCTTGTTGGGTCGCTTCTTCCTCTGATTTACTTGCCGCTTCTGAGCGTGTACAGCGGGTGTAGACGCAGCCGCAGCTGCAGACGTGGACGTGGAAGCAGCCGGAGAAAGGGAATTGGGACAAAACTTGGCATTGTTCATGCGCCAGGAACTCTTCGGCGAAGCTGTCTGGCCGGGCGCCTGACTGGGCGACGAGGATGTTGTCGAATCGTCCGCTGCGCCGGTCGCCGCGCGTTGATGGACAGGGCTTGGATATTGGCCCGAGTAGAATGCGTCACGCTGCAATTATACCGATCGGGAGTCAATGTCAATTTTTCAGCAGTTCATACATACGGTGCATTTGGCACGGATGTGTCTACTCACAGCTACATCAATGTTCGCAACCTTGTTGAGATGCTGCGAGGTTGCCGCCTCACAAGGAACGTTGAGCAGTGCAGTGAGCGCGAGGAAACAAACGAGAGCAACGCGCAACAGCATTTTGAGACCAGCTCAAAGCAGAAGCAGAAGGCAATGGGCCGGAGACGAGAGGTCGTTGAAGTGCGTGCAATCAAGGAAAGTGTTGCAGAGAGGATTGGCACTGCCAGAGCACCGTAGGAAGGGAGGAGGACGAGATACAGACGGAGCACGATGTCTTGCGAGGTAAGAGATGCTCATCGTCTTTATACCTTCGCAATCCACCAAGCAATGCATCCCCTGTGCCATGTCCAAGTGCTACCGTGCGTGGGACAAGTAGGCTCGACAGCGTCCCTCAAGGAATGTAAGATTTTGGTCCAGATTTTCTGCAGGGACCACGAGGTCGTCTGACTGAGCTCTTGCGCCCTGCCGAGCAGGTCTCGTGCTCAAAGAGGCTCCTTTCCGACAAAAGGCGGCGAGCCAACATCCCGCCTATCTGGACGACCAACGATCGGAGCGCCGAAGCTGCAATGGTGCCATTGACCATGATGCTCATGCGCAGTGCTAAATCTTGCCAAACTGATCGTAAGTGTGACCGAGTGCCCCACGGTCATGGTAGCAGTGAAGGCCTACCTGCCGTAGCGGACCTCTGAACTGTTTTTCTGAGCTTGATACACAAAGCGAACCCCGTACTAGCTGCAAAATGTGGCGTCCGTTCACGAGGTTGCAAGGCAGAGTGGGCGCAATCCATGCAAGCTCCGTCATCGGGCTGAATGCCTTCGCATGCTTGCGAGAGCCGATGTCCACAAGTGAGTGCCAAGCACGCTATGCCTACGCTGCAAAAGCTATGTGAAGATCTTGCTCTTCATCGCGTTGTCAAAGCGGACCAGGGGCTGTGCTCACTGACTCCTATTGTAAGCACTCTTTACAGGGTACCCTGCTATGCCCTGGATAGCCATGTACTTGGCAAATGACGATAGGCCACTTCAGATGTGACGAGTCCGTCGCGCCCGAGGGCGCTCTCTGTATCTAGCCATCCTGAAGCTTGACTTCGCCTGTTGGCAAGCGGTCGGCACGCTACGACCGCGTGCAAGGCTCATCCACTCAGCTCTAGCACGCTTTGGAGGCGCCGACGCACGTTCATGGAGCTATCTTCTCGCTGAAGCTCAGACGAAGGCGCAGCGCTCGTGGCGACCACGCGGTACGACTGGCTTTGCTCGGCTGGCTTTACGTTCACATTTTGAGGTCCGAGGTGTCTTGTCTGATGCTCCGAGGGGACGCGAAAAATTCATGTGTCGGCAGGCAGTGCACCAGAGCTGCCACTCAAAGCTAGACTAGCCATGACTGTATGACCATGTGGGTTGTGGTGTTGTTGAATCGTTCACGCTCTTGAGCAGTCTCGATGCAACCTTTAATCTGCTCGAGCGACCTCGTGTTGATCGCTTTGCTGCTGCACCGCTGCTGCATGCACGTGGCGGAGAGCATGGGAAAGTTCGCGTGTTCGCGATTCACGTTCTGATAATTCGTTCGTGATTCGCCTACGCGAATGTGCGCCGCGCACTATCCCACGCATGCAGAAAGGACGATAAGCAGCAATCGCGAGTCTGTGAGTGAGGGCGTGATCCGCAACCACCAATCGTGAATCCGGCATCAATCACGAATACCTGGACATGAAGTGATGCTGTATCGTCGTTCGAATCAAGAACGTCTCAGTCGTGAGTGCTGTCTAATCTTGCTCACGTCTAACACCGTCCTGCGACATACTCGTGATTATGCTAAGCAATCGTGACTGTTGTGGAGCACTCGTGAGCGAAGCCAAAGAACGCTAGCGGAGCTTGCGCGCCTGCACTACGTTACCTCGTGGTACGCCAGGCTGCAGCGAACACACGCGGTCCATCGACGCAATTTGCGACGCCACATCAAGAGCTACTCTTTGCCTCTGCTTCAAGACACTAAGTCAGCTCTTGCCGGCCGCCACGTCTGACCAAACGACAACCATCATGCCTGAAAGAAGTGCAATGTCGAGCGAGAACGCAGCAACAGGTGGATCGCCTCACTGACAGTCCGACTCAAGCTCGTCGACAAGAAAAGATCAGGATAAGGCCGTCAACCGGGACGAGGTTGGACACCGAAGCGGCTACTCACAAAGAGGCCTATCACGCTTGATTCGCTACTTCACTCGCAGCGGCCACTGCTACTTGTCGACTTCAGATCTTCGATCTCGTCGCCGACACCCTTGCTATCAATCAGGCCCTAGTATCAATCCTCTACATCAACCACAGTCACATCGCGGCAGTGAGCGACAACCTCTCGAGTTCTCTGCACACTGCGGCTGAGAATGCAAGCATTCGATCCCTCCGACCCCTTTACACGCCTTCCGGCGGAGGTTGTCTACAACATCCTCGCGATGCTCGAAGACGATTATGTGGACGACCGAATCATGCTAGGCATCGTGAGTTAGCGCCGTGTCTGTATCAAAGTTGGAAGCAGCCGCCAGCTGCTGACTTGCGTATGCTCGCTTTCAGTCCCGCTACTGGTTCGCTATCGTCATGCGCAATAGGTGGCAATACGTTCACGCAGATTGCGATGAAGTCTTGGACATGATCGCGGAGTGCCGCTCTTTCCCCTGGCTCACGCGTGAGGTCAAGACTCTCACGGTGGGCTCAGATCAGTATGCAGATAGCAACTTTTCGTACAAGCTTTGGGGCTCCGACCGGGATGGGTATATCAATGATCCAGGTATTCGAAGCGTGCCTTCACTGGCCGAGAGGGTCTTCATGGATTTGAGGCGCATCATGCGCATACCATTCTGGAGCTACTCCGCGGGTGCTGGCTGCGGTCCCTATAACCATCCTTTCGCGTTGGATAAAAGTCGAGAGGAGTACAGAATACTGGTCAAGGAGTTCAACGAGAGGGCAGGGGACGCATGTGATTGCGACATGTGCAATCGGATAGACGAACCTACATGGCCCTTTCTCATGCCGGCCGACTTCTACGATGCGGATGCCTTCACACTCGAAGAAGCTACCTCGAGCATAGAGGACTTGGACTACGAGAACCTCAACGGCCCATTCGGCGACGGCTTGATACCTGGCATCGACAGCTTCGAAGAGTATTGGAATGCGGTCCAGACATTGATCTCATTGTTGAGACCTCGTCACCTGATCATGATCGATAAAGCAGCACCTCTACCTGAACGCCTGGTGCAGCACATAGCTGCTTTGGGCTGTTTACGGGTTCTCAAGATTAAGTACGTATATCCTCAATTCTGTATGCCAGGTGAGCTTCCGGAACTGCACAGGCCTACGTTCCCAAAAAGACGCTGACCAGCGTAGAGCCTTTGGTCGATGCATGGTGCGATATCGGCTTCAGCCTACTACAAGGACATGATGGAGCACGTAGAGGAGCTGAGCATCAGCGTGGAATGGAGTAGCGACTATTTATCTCTCGCGGAATGGAACGAAAGCACACAAGGCGCCGACACCGAGGAATTGGAGAGTGACGCTATAGGATGGCTCAGGGAAGAGACAAATGCTGATGGATCCGTAGTGCTGCGCAACTCGAGCATGGGTCGTCACCACGCTCGCCCCATCGATGACTCCCCCGAAGAATCACTTGGTCGAAGGCTCCTCGTCCTGATCGAGTCTAGCTCGGCGCTGCGACGGCTTAAATTGCTGGATGACGCGGCTGACTGCGTGCTGCTCAGCACGCGGCTTCTGCCCGTGTTTGCCACCCTTGACGCCGTTGAAACTCACGTCACTCAGCCTGACAGCTGGAGTGAGAGGTCGACCCGCGACATAAGCAAAGAGGCACACCTGGCTTACACCAGACCATTAAGTAGCTTGCGGGGTGCCTTCCTTTCGCTTGTACAGACTGAGCCTTCCCGACCACTTCGTGAGTCTGACGTGCTCGAGGTGGCGGACCGTACAGAGTTCTCCATACTCTCGTCGGGTCTACGCAAGATGGCCACCGAGATTGTCCAAAACTTCAACAAACGCGAAAACTTGGGATGTTGAAATCGCTTCTGGCGCCGATGAAGAGTGATGCAAAACGTCCTCCTTTGCACGGAAGCAATCACGAATGCATGTTTTTGGATTCGCCGATGACTGCTGAGGAACTCGTTGCGTGCCCCCGCCGCAAGCAGCCTAGCTGTCACCCGTGCCCTGCTTTGTGCCACTGATTTATGATTGCAACACATGTCTGTTCATCCGCAACAAATGCGTATGTTGACAAGTTCGCTCGAAGACGCATGCCTACCGCATAGAAGGAGCAAGAATACGTGGTGCTTGGACATCTCTTGGAGCTGGTCGTGATTGCCCCTCACGGCTGGAGCTCAAATATCGGCGCAATGTGGTACCAATGCATCCGATGCTTGTGGGTGTCGATGCGGGCGTCAGGAGCGGCGTCTCATTCCGCTTCAATGGCGACGAGCCCCGGGCTACCCGAGAGCACGTCCCAAGAAGTCTGAAATGCCACTCGCACTCGACCACCATCGCAGTGCCTCGATGCGCAAAAGCGGGCAGTGCAGACTTAAGAGGTGCAAAGTCCGACGCCCGTTGCGGCCCCTCTCTCTCTTAAGAAACAGCGCTCCAGAATACGTATGTAGATGCAATCTTCCTTGACCCTCGATTTGTCGATAAGCTGATTGGTGCGGCGCAAGTCCCTTGCCTTCCCCCATCGAACCAGATAAACGCTAATCTCTACGAGTCGCTCGCCTGCGCTTTCGATGTCCACAGTAGCGAGGCTTCTGGTCCATCCAGGGCGCCGGCACTGTGCTCAATAACGCCGAGGCTCTCCACTTCCTCCCTAAACTACGCACAGCCTTTGCAGCTGTGAATCATATCAGTAAACCAATCTGTATTCTACTCTCTCCTCGCCGAGCCACGTTATAGCCAGCATAGAGGTGGGGGCGGATGCACCTCTCACCGACACATGACCCGGAACGCGGCGACTTGAGGACAGCGTAGTTGTGCTTCAGCGACTGCGATGATGCGATGAGAGAGGTCCAAACACCGCGACATTCCTGACGACGGTGTCATATGTTTCAGTTGCAAGATATTTAAGACCTCAATTCGGTCACAAATTATGAAAATCGTGAATGCCGCAGTTGAATCACAACCGACTTGTAGTTAGCAGGTAAGCCAGCCGCGCGTCATTTCGTGATTGTTGAGATTTGGATGACGGCGCGGGCGCGCGCGCGCGCGGGGATGATCGAGAAGCTCGCTCGATCTCTGCTGATGCTATGCATGCATCAGCATGGGGCACAGCAGGCGCGCGCCGCGGATGTATGCTCCCTATATATATATAAATGTCGCTTAAGGTAGAGCCGCCAATACGAATCAAAGTCACAGCGGATGTTTCTGCCACCATCTCACCACAGCCACCCTTCGCTCAGACACTCAACTCTAGTGCGGCCTCTGCACTCTGGGTACGCCTCTACATAGACTGGCACATCAGAGGCGCCTCGACCCAAGCTGCATCCAGCAAGAGTGGAGCAGCCATCCACGTCTTACAGAGGCATTGGCCCTGACTTCACCAACTCAGGTAGAAAGAAGTAGGACGTGCCCCATCGATTTATGTCAAGCGGAGCACCTCCTGCAGGTGCTGCGGCTGCCTCGGCTGCGCAAAGCTCGGCGGAAGGAGCAGCATCAGGTGGTCAAGATAATGCTTCTAGCAGTGGTGGGCCCGCTGTTGCAGTAGGTGCCGGAACGGCGAGACCGCCCCCATCGAGTGGAGCTGCTCAGGCACAGCAGTCAACACACGCCAATGTCAGACCTGCAAATGGAGTGAATACGACTCAAGGGGCGCCGGCTCGACCAGCTCAGCCTCAGGGTCCCGGACAGCAAGGTGGTCCTCGACCCAGCGCGGATCAAATCGCAGCATACAGGGCAAAATTGCTGGCGCAACAGCAAGCGGCCGCAAAAAACGCACAGACAGCAGGTGGCGGAGCGGCGAGTGGAAGTCCAGCACGTCCATCTGGCAGTGCTGCTCCGGCTCAGAGACCTCCCACTGCTGCAAGACCAGCCCCGCCTGCCCAGGGGACACCCGCGGCAGGACCAGGGCGACCAGCTGCGCCAACTTCCAGTGCTCCAAGACCACCCTCAGTACCAGCGCAAGGCCAGAGCCGCCCTCCTCCTGCTGCGTCATCACAGCAGCCAATCAGGCCTGGCAGCACTCCCTCAGCTCCACGACCTCAACAAGGTGCTGGTGGAGCAGGAAATGCGCCTCCTGGTATCCAGCTTGAACCTGCTCAGCAGGCAGCTGTAAACAAATTGCAGTCGTTGCAAAGGTCAGACCCAGCAGCTTTTCAGCGCGCAGTGGCAGCACTGCAAAGCAGCACCGCTACAGAAGTGCAAGGCTTTACTCAGGATGAAGTGACAGCACTCAAGAATTACGCTCAACTTCAAAATAGAAAGAGAATGATGCTGGCTCAAGCACAGGCTCGCGCTCGAGCGCAAGCGCAGCAGCAAGGTGCTGCAGCGCAGACTGCGATTGAAGGACAGGGCCTGTCTCAGCCAACATCCTCAGCGCAACCATCTTCTGTGCCGCCAACGAAACCGGCTACGACCTCTGCAGCCCCCGGGCCTGCGCCTCAGCCTGCTCCCGCCTCCACTCCAGCTCTGGCTCAAGCTCAAGGCCCGTCTGGACAGGCCCAAGCTGCAAAGCCATCTCCTTCTGCCTCAACAACCGCTAGACCACCGCCGAATGCAGCAGCCAGCCAGTCGGGGCAAGCGAAGACTGCTCAACCTACAGCCGCCGCAGGACCAGGACGTCCACCGCCAGGAGCACCGGCTAGACCTCCCTTGACAGCACCCCAGCTGAATGAAATTGGTACGCAATTGAGAGCCCGCGTGGCAAATCTCGAAGCGCGGTTGAATGGGACGAACCCTCAGAGTGCGTCGGGCGGATCCGCTGCGCAGAGCACGGGAACCCAGATGCCTCCTGGTCCTGAGCGGGATCAAGTGTTGAAAGAGCTTCAGCAGAGTCGTATGCAACTGAGCCAAGTGGCGAACATGTTGAAAGCGATGGCATCGAATGCAGCTCAGACCAGGGCAGAAAACACACCTCAAGGACAGCCAACACAAGCACCGAGGCCACCTGAGCCGCGTCCTCAAGGCCCACCAGGGCCGTCGCAGCAGCAGTCTCAGCAAAATGTCCCTCAGCCAATTGCGCCATCGCAAGCGCCACAAAAACCACCACCGGGGATAGGGCAGCCTGTCTCACAACCGCCTTCTCGCGGCTCCGCTCCCGGAACACCCATCGCCGCTGCACCCTCGCCGAATGTCGGCAATGCTGGAGCAGCAGGTGCGAGACAGACTCCAGGTCCTGGTCCAGGTGCACCTGCAAGATCCTCGCAAGCAGCCACGCCCGGCGGTCCTGGCTTGGCCGCACCGCCTGGACAATCACCTCAGCCACCTCTACAACAAGGCCATGCTCAGAGTCCATCGAATCTCAGCCAGCCACCGATTCCCCTGTCTGTTGTGAGCGCCCAGCCAGCGCTCTTAGCAGCCTCATCCGCTTCGGCTATTCCAGCAAGGCTTGACGTACCTCAGCCTCAGCCGGAAGCATTCCCCTCAAAGGATGGCAAAGGGCCTAGACCTACGCTGAGCCAAGGGCTGGGTGGGACTCATGCCCTCACTTCGACTCCTGCCATTCAACAGCGACCAGAACCTGGCAAAGGATGGGAAGGCCTCCTGGGCGTCAGGAAGGAGACGGATGCCCCTACAACTCCGGGCACTGCTGCTGGAGCGTCTTCTGGCCCTGCGGCTGCTGCTCCTACACCAGCAGCATCATCGCTGGCGACTCCTGGTCCCGATGGTGACATCATTAACCCTGAATTCTGGGACGCGCTCACGGGAAGAGGGACGGGCGCAGCAAGCCTTGGTGGTTTGTCGGGCGGCCTCGACGCTGCTGGGACATCTGGTGGCACCTCTGGATCTGCTGGCGCCTCCTCTTCCAATGCAGGTGGTACGATAGGAGATCAGAGGTTGCTGAGCAAGCGCAAAATCCAAGAACTGGTTCAGGAGCTGGACGGGGCTGAAGTGTTAGAAGGCGATGTTGAAGATGTGAGTTGGTTATTGGAGCGTCTGTGTATGCGGTGGAACCCCTCGCTGATCAAGCTTCTCATTTCGATTGTCTTCGCAACGAAAGCTGCTCTTGGAGATTGCCGACGAATTCATTGAGAGCGCAACAACATTTGCTTGCAGACTGGCAAAACATCGCAAAGGAGACCGAGTCGAAGTGAGGGATGTGCAGCTGCATCTCGAGCGCAATTGGAACCTAAGGTGAGTTCGACTGGAATGTCCGAGGTCATTTGAAGCTCGAGCTCGAGCTCACACGGTCAACGTCCCCTTTCAGAGTACCCTTTCCCGGAGCCGCGCCGATCGCACCTCCTCGCGGACGAGTTGGAAGAGCAGCAGCTACAGACAAGAATTGAAATGCGCAATGCACGCACGTCTTTCGCGCTTCAGAAGCCGATTGTAGAACCTTTGCGGACCCTTGTGTGCCTGCAGAGTCGCCAAGGGGACCTTGGCAAACAGGCAGTGAGAGTCGGGAGTCGCCTCTCGAGACAGCAATTGCATCGTTCTACGGATAAGGACAGCAACGAACCCATCTAGCGTGCGCGAACCGTATGAATTTCAGTGTGAATGTCATGAGAGAGTTGTCTGCAAGTAACGAGAGTGTTGTTGTGGGACATGTCAACGCGTAGCAGGAAGGCGTCGTAATGATCATGGGAATGAGCAGTGGTACAGGTTGGCGCTAGTAAAGACGTGTGTTGCCATTGTGCTGGAGATGATGAGGTCCACTGCTAGTCGATGACAAAGTCGCCGGAGCTGGGAGGTGGCAATTCGAGCTCGTCTCCTCTGGGATCCGTGGGACTTCTATCCCAAGGGAAAGGAGTGGGCTCGTTTCTGCTGCCGCCAAATGAAGAGACGGAGCCCGTATTCGCCGAGAGGGTGGCTGATAGCTGGCGAATAGCCTCCCTCGCCGAGATGTTGGAAGGCGAAGTTGTGCCGTGCCCATTGCCATTGCCGTAGGTTTGAGGTGGGGCCAAGAGGCTGGCTCGACTTGTCCCGTCAGCGGTCCACGCGCTTCGTCTCCTCGACACGCTGCTACTGACACCAGAAGGCTCGCGACTCGAGGGCGACGGAGTCGCCGCCAAGTCTGCCTCTTCGAGGAAAGCGGAGGCGGCGAAAGCCGTGGATGAAGAGTCGGAGTCATCTGGAGTCCAGATCCTCACCGTCGAGTCGTCCGAAGCAGAAGCAAACATCCTAGGGTTTGTTGGGTGCCAGGCGACGCTGTTGACAGCATCAGTGTGACCTTTCAATTTCTGTAAAAGCTTGCCACTCGGTCGGTGGTACACGTAAATCTGGCCATCTTCGCTGCCAGAAACGACAAATGATCGTTCTACCCCACCAAAGCAAGACTTGATGACCAAGTTCGATGACTTGTGGCCATTGAATCGGCCGACCAAAGTTTGGGACGAAATGTCCCATAGCTGAGCTTGGTCTGGACGAGCGTTGATGAGCGCGAAGCGAGAGTCTCCGCTGATGCAAACGCTCATCATCTCTTCTTTCATGTAGACAGTTCTGACGAAAGCAATGGAGAGTCGAATGAACGCCGCCATATCAGCAATTGGATGTTGCGGGGATCACAGGGAAAACCTGATCTGTGTCTCAGGAAAAAGGACTCGTAGTTCGACTCACCCGGCCGTTGCCATTTCTTGCAAATCGAGGAATAGAATCTCGTGCTTTCTCCGCTCCATGATCCTGCTTCCACCGCCCAATGCGCCGTCCGTAGATCGCACGTTTGGCGTCTCTCCATCCTCGCTGGCGGGGTCACCAAACGAGTCTCCGTATGTTCCGTTTCTCAAAGGACTGGAAGCAGCGCCAGCAGCTGACGAGGTAGGAGCTGGCTCATCCTTTGCCAGAGGTCTCGTGCCTACCGCCACGAGTGCACTTCCGTTAGGCGCCACCGCAAGAGCCAAGATTCTGAACGGATTGGTGTTGAAGCTGCGCAAGACGTGTCCATCAAGATTGCGCACGTGAATCTTGTGGTCCATACCTCCTGTGACGAAGGACTTGCCATCCGGCAACCAAGAGGCGGTGCCAACGGCATATCCGTGTGCAGATGGGACATGTTTCTTGGACCCACTGGAGAGGAAAAAGATGGTGACGTCGCAGTGGTGGGTGCAAAGGATCATGCTGTCGTCTGGAGACCACGCTACGCTTGAGACTGAGTCACTGAGAGGGCCGAGCTTATGGGTTCCTTCCCACGCGCTATCGATTCCTGCCTCGACGCGGCGCAAATCCTATAACAGTTTGGACAGACGTCAACCTTAGCCGACAGGCTTGAGCGCTCGCCTTCGCCACGGTAACTCACAACAGCTTTCCAGACAAGTACATAGCAGTCCTGCTCGGACGTGGCCTTTGCTTTTCCTCCAGCTGTAGCCAATTTTGAGCCGTCTCTGCTCCATGCGAGGTCCCAAACCTGAGCCCCGTCATGCCCTCTCAAGGTGGCGCTTATCCTATTGGGGAAGACGGATTTGTCGGATCTGTGATCGACGTACAGCGACATGTGATGGTGTGACGGAGAGTTGAAGAATGGATCGCGCTGCTTTTGGAGCGTTTGAGCTTGGTGAAGCAGCGTCGGTAGACGTCTAGTGGGCACCATGACGGATGGGTGCACAGCGCCTGCCATAGTTGAAGCGGCGGCGAATGAGCAAGCGTACTTGGAATGCGAGCTGGAATGCGAACTGGAAGACGGAAGATGCTCACTCTCAATCTCCTGCAGCAATTTGCGTCTGGATGCGGGCCCAGTGCCTTGCCACTTCGCCCTTGCTCGCAGCTCCTCGGGAGAACCGCACATGACCAGACTGGGAAGTAGCAAGGAGAGCAGAACTTGAGCACGCCGCAGCTGCCCTGAAGGAAGCACCTCGGCTCACCTTGACAGCTCATGCAGCGAGTCAGAGCCGTGGTTCAATGGAGTGAGCTTGTCCCGAAGTATAGACAAGGCCTTCTTAGGCTGCTGAGCTTCCAAGAGTTCCAAGTATCTTTGCTGGTGAATCAGGAATCGTATCCACTTTGAAATAGCACACATGCGCCTCAGCGTCGGCGTTTGACCTAGGAAGACAGAAAAGCCGGTATACTCACCTCCAGTCCTCTGACCTCAGGTGATCGGAGTGCCAGGTCCAAGGAAGCCTCGTGTCCGACTGATGGGGATCCAAATGTGCGTACATTCGCCCCCGAACGGCCAGAAAGCTTCTGTGCACCTGCATTCAAGCCCTTCAGAAGCAAGTCTTCGGCGCTCTTCCATTCTCCTCTAAGCGCCGCTTTGCGAAATTCCACGATGCAGGGGTGCTCCAATACCAGACCAGTCTCGCTTTCAATCGCTTGGACAGAAGACCTGCCAATCGCAGCCAGACGCGTGTCAGTGAATGTGCATTGCTCGAGAAGCCAGTGCGCAAATCCTCGTCGCAGACAGTGCGCGAAGCGATCGCGGGCTGCGTATGCACCCTGTATGCAGCGTTCGTACTCACTCATAACCCATCTCCTTGAGGCTTTGCATCGCCAGTCGCAGAAATTCTCGCCTGTCCAGCCCACTTCCATCAAACATGGGCACAAAATCGGCCTCGTCGTCCAAGGCTGGCTGTGATCGGGTCACGCTGGCGCTGGCGCCATCAATCATCGAAGCCGAGGACCTTAGCGGGCGCTGCTGAGACTGGCTAGCAGATGCTGCTGAAGCGCCGTTTGTTGCGCTCGAGCTCGAGCCCGAGGGCAGGGTGGGACTGGCCGCCATGTCAGCCAAGCGTGACCGATACTCAGAAGAGCAGCCACTCGGTTGATCCTCGTGTAGTCTTGCCTTCTTCTGTGGCCTTGAGATTTCGGGACGCTCGGCTTGAGAGGTGTCCTCGCTCGCCCTTTGAGCAGAAGCAGAAGCAGCGAAATCGATTGAAGCCAGGCTCGTGCTGCGTCTTGGCTCGGCTTCGCCACTTGTTGCGCGCGTGGTCACTACCGCGCGTCGAACACTTCGAGACGCTTGTCTCGCCTCGGCTTCGCTGTCCGAATCGACTTCTGATCTAGTTCTGGTCCTTCGCCGCCGCTCCAGATTGCCGGTATCAAGATTTTCGCTGGTAAGAGCAATTGCGCTCGCTGGCGTTGTTGTGGTTGCTGCTGCTGGAGCAGAGGCTTGAACGACGATGGGGCTGTTGGTGGGCGGCGCGGAGTCTTGTGGAGTGAAGGGTGGGATCTTGGCGAGCTGCGGTGGCAGTCGAGGTATGGTGAAGGATGAAACCTATCACCACCACACCCCTGTGCGCCCGTAATTTGGTCGATGAGTAGGAGGAACGGGCCGGGAGAAGCCTAACAATCGTCTGGGCGCTGCTGCGGACGCGCGTTTGGCCCCCAAGATTTGGTTTGTGTGGGCTGTGTAATGACCCGAGCATGTGATTGTCTGCAGTCACGAGTCGAGAGGCACCAGGAAAACGATCAGGGTCTGGTGTGGACAGCTGCTGCAGCACTGGATGGTCACTATAAAGATGGATCAGGGGATGAGGCAGTCAGTCTCACAAGATAGCGCGCCCCGAGCGCGCTATCAGCACGCAGACAAGCCACTCACTCATCAGCAGCATGACTCGCGAGGCTACCAGTCATCATCGGAGGTGCCGTCGCTCAGCAATGGCATCGCGCGGCAGTAGTCGCTCACGCGCGCACACCGCGGCCGGTGCTCCTTGCCGCAAAGCGGCGCACGATGGGTCAGGGTGCTTCGATCACGTGTTTTCTCTAGGCGCGTGGGAATTTTGAATTTGATGAGCATGGATGCTGCATGTGGGGCAGTGATCGTGACTATAGTGAGTGAGGTTCTTAGCTGCAGCAGGGGGGTCCACCTCCACATTCACGATTCAAGATTCAAGTCGTGGGTCACAAGTAGGTACCCATGGCAATCACCACTTGACCCACCCTGATTCACAATGATTCACAACATTGCAGTGAGTCAATGACGAGTATCTATTGTGTGAATGTTTCTATCCACCGAGAACACGTTTTGTTAAAACTCTTTCTCCTCAAGCGTGACTTGCACCGCGCGTAGTACGCTCGCACCTGCACATCTGGGCCATTTGTACCTCCTTCTTCACAACTGCCGGTCACCTCCGACAGCAGGTACGCTTTGTCAGCATGAGTCACGATACCTCCTCTCAAGCCAAGGCTTGCGGAGACTTGCTGCTTTCCGAGACAAGAAAGTGCAATGTAGGTGCCAACTTGTCCATCGCATATAGCACCGCTGGCTCTCCTCAAGCTCGCCAAGCAATCCTGCTAGTGCACGGATATCCTCAGACGTCCTACTCTATGCGATATTTGCTGTCTGGATTCGCCCAGGCTGGCTACTACGCGGTAGCGGCAGATTACAGAGGCGCCGGTGGCAGCAGCATGACAGCTTCTGGGTACGATAAAATGACCATGGGGGATGATCTGAACAGTCTTATGGTCGATCGTTTGGCGCGCAAAGAGTACATCGTTCTGGGCCACGATATTGGAAGCATGGTGGCTACAGCACTCACCTTGAAGCACAGGAGCAACGTCAAAGCCCTCGTGATGATGGAGTGCCCCCAACCAGGCACCAATGCCTACCAATTGTCTATCAAAGATCCCGAATTCACCTTTCAATATACATTTCATTTCTTCTTTCACAACTCCAAAGACTTGCCAGAGCTCCTCACGGCTGGCAAGGAGGGATTGTACATTCAGCACTTCTACGATCGATTGGTGAGGTCAGCCTGACAGCTCAAGAGGCTCTCAAAGACTGCGCTGAATGCAACTTCTGCACGTACTCCCCGCGCGCGACAGGCACACAAGCCCTACTTTCTGACTTCTTCCGACAGGGAGTACTACACGCATGCATTTGCTCGCGCAGGAAGGATGCAGGCAGGGTTTGAGGTATATCGAGCGTTCCAAAAAGACGACCAGGATATCAAGGAGAACATCGCATCTCTTGGAAAAGCCGATGTACCGTTCCTTGCCACCGGCGGAGAGCACAGCGTCTTCACACAGGTGAGCAAAGCTGAGATGAAGTAGCTCGTCGTCCAAGGAGAGATACACTGACAGAGCGCCTCTTGACCCCACGGGCATTAGCATATCCAATCTATGGCAGAGGAGTTGTCCAACGACGTGACTTACAAGTCCATTTCGGATTCTAGGCACTGGGTACCTGAGGAGAATCCCAAGGAACTGATCACCACTGTCGTCGACTTTCTCAAGAGCAAGAGCTTGGGCGCTTGATGCTTCAGCTGCTTAAGATGCAGACCCTCGTCAGGCTGCAAGCAGCGAGCAGCGAGCAGCGCGCAGCGACCGCTGAGCTCGATCACAACACGAATGCGCGTCTGCGGCAATGAGCTGGCGCACACGTAACATTGCGGGCACATATCAGTCCTACAGTGTCTGCTGTAACGATGCGGGATCGAGGAATTGTTTCATACTGTACAGAGCTTTGCAGGTGCTTGACGTGGCTGGATGCTCCACCATGTGCGACACACCGTCTTATTTTTTGTGAGCCAGAATGGCCGCCATTCGTGCCGCCTTTGGCTTGTGTTGACCCGACTGTCGAGCAGAAAGCGATGTCAGCACCTGCAGCTCAATCCCGATCCAGCTCACCTTTCACAGTGCTAGCGCCTAGCTGTGGGAGCTGCGATCCGCGACTCACCTTGGTGTGCTTCCTTCTCCTCTCTTCCTTGACTCTCTCTGCTTCGAGCATGGTACCCTTGAGCTTCCTCGCGCTCGTAATGGCCTTTGGCAGTCTCCTCTGCGCATCGATTTTGCCCACCTCTCCGACCTTGTTCCACTTTTCTCTCAACTTGTCTCTATACTCCATAGCGGCCAACTCTTTGCCGCTCTTGATGCCCAGCTTCTCGCTTGCTCGAGTCTTCCAGACCCGCAGATTACCGTCGTCTGACCCAGAGAGCACAAAACGATTGTCGTAAGTGTAGGAGGAACAGAATATCCTCTGCATTCGAGAGGCGTGGTAGGTGTCACGCGAACGTGAACCGCTTCCCACGTTCCAGAGGCGTAGTGTCCGATCATAAGAACCAGAGAGTAGCTCTTGACCTGTCGGAGAGTAAGACACTGACATCACTGCGGCGACGTGAGATTTGTAAATTTGAGTGGCCGACTTCAAATTGCGCATGCTTCATGGGGTGAATGGTGAGGATGGGTATCCTCGCGCGTCAGCTCGTCTACTCGGAATGATGAGAGTCTATGACGTGCCGACTCACTCGAAAGTGTAGACGTTGTGATCTTCGCTAGCTACGGCAAAGGTAGTCGGTTCCACGGGCGACCAAGCGATGTCGTTTGCTCTCATCTGTCGAGATGAAGGTCAAAACGGAGATGCCAGCTGCCATGAGCTTGATCAAGCCACGCTCGGCCGAGCGCACACGCCTTCGCAGATTTGCTGCCACTCACACTCATGATCATCTTGGTCAAAGGGCTAGCACTTCTCAGGTCGTAAAGCACAATGCCTCTGTCGCTCCCTGCGCTAGCCAACACCTCTGTTTCTGCCATGTTGAATCTAACGCAATTGATGCTCTCAGCTCCCCATTCCATCGTTCTCAACGCTCCGCTCTCTCTTTCTGCGGAGTCATTGCCGCGCGTAATGTCCCACAGCTGGATGGCTGAAGATGCGCTGACGAAGCGAGGATCCCTGGCGTGATGCGAGAGAGAGTTGAGCGCCGTGGGTGAGGTCCAAGAGGAAAGGGCCTGAAGTGGTCCCGCGCCGCGCATGAGCCAGATGAAACATCATTTGTGTCAGCGAAGAGTGCGTGGCACGCCGCGCATGTCTCTCCAGCATGCAAGAACGCCCACTCTTGACCAGAGCGCCCACCGCCACACTTTGACTCACCTGGTCCTCCTTCTGTGTCCAATTCGCCCGGCGAATACTGCCTGCGCCAGTCAGCTCCAGCTCTTCATCTTCGTCGGCATCGCCTCCCTGCGCTTCATCGCCGCCGCCCCCAAACCTGCTCGCTTCGGGATCCGCATCCCACATTCTCACAACCCTATCGGTTCCGGCGCTCAATAGCCTCCTTCCACTCAATCTGGAATTTCTCGTCGACCCTTCGCTTGCAAAGCTCAAACCGGATGGAAAGGAGATTGGACTGATCACGAGGCTGCTTATGATGCCCCTGTGAGCCCCATAGTAGCTCTTGATTGTCGTCTTGCTACTCAAGTCCCACAATCGAATCTCCCCATCTCCAGCGCCTGTAGCAGCAAAAGCCAGCCTCTTGCTGTCCAGAGCCAAGCTGTACACGCCATCAGAGTGTCCCTCGCAAGCGCCGACGAAAGGCTTAGCATGCATCCGTTCCAGCTTGGATGCGTTTAGAGCGCGCGTATACTCTCTAGGTCGATCGAAGGGATGTTGAGAGGCGTCCAGGTTGTGTGAGGTGGGTGCAGCGTCCCCTTTGCGCGCGGGAGCGTGCGCATCCAGCGACCGTGTCAGCGCCTTGATCTTCATCGTCTTGCCTCAGAGACTGCAATCAGGTATGGTATTGACGCAAGCGCGAGAGCGCCAAGGCTTTTGTTCTTGGTCGTGGTGAAGAGGAGTCGTGAGTGCAGGCAATGCACCCTCAACTTACGAACATGTACACGAATTGGCTCCCAAAAAGTTCCAGTCAGATTTCAAATCGGGTGGGTGGACGAGGTAAACTACAAAATCTTGTCGTACGAGAAGCTGACCCCGATCGGACGATGACAGGTCACGTGTCTTGGCCTGGCGCGAGTCAGCAAGTTCTCTTTTGGACTCAACCTAAATTCGTGATACTTTTTAATCACGCGCGCAGAGCCTTGAAACTCCAAGCTCGACAGCACCGCCACATCCTCGTGCATCACAACATCCATCCACCAACCAAGCCAGAGACTCTAACGACATCGGCGACGCTCCTCACACCAGATTCTGGCTTACTCCGAGCTACCTTCGCATCTCGTCTGGGGGCTTGAAACACAGCGCAGATTCAGCATACAAACACCGAAGGCCCGTGAAGAGGCCCAGGATTGCGCGTTGAGCGACGCGACAGACCCCTTGGCCATACGGAAGACCTGCACCAGCAACCGGCTCAACTGCCGTATTCTCGGGCTCATGTCGGACACGAAAGGACACGTGCACGATCACTTAGCCAAGTTTGAAGAATAGCCGGGTCGAGTCAGCTTCATGCCTTCATCAAAGCAGCCAGGTGAGTCGTTCACGAGTTGTAGCGCGGTGGAGCAATATTGCATTGAGCAATAGATAGAAGCATCTGCTTTGCACGCGAGCAATAGTGGAATCGTATCGCTGCCAAGATGCGCGATGGATGGATACACAGATGGCGTCTTGTAATCGAAGCGGAGCAGAGAGAGAGTACAGAGGGTGACGTAGGGAGATGGACCGCCATCTTGCATGTTGAGAAGAGAAGACATCGTCGTTGAAAGCAGACTGCTCATTTGCAGAGCTTGGCCAAGACGCAGTCTCGGTAAGCGGCGCCAAGGTTGGAGACGAAGGATTGACCTTCTGGAGACCCAGTGATGTAAGGCACGCGGCTGTGCCAGTCAAGGGGATCGATCGCTGGGGCAGCAATGGCGGTTTGTGAATCGATGGCATCGCTGAGAGCGGAGCGAGCTCGATCGGCAAGACCAATGAGCTTCTGCGTGCGTGATCGAGGATTGACGTCGGAGTCAAGCACAGCTAGTCTGTATGCGGCCGAGGCGAGCGCCGCGGTCCCGGAGACCTCGCCGAACCAGGGTGGTTCGACGATGTCGAAGCCGTCAGCTCCGCCGATCAAGTAGTTCCGATAAAGACCATTGGTGTCGACTTCTGCAGTTTCGAGACCACCCAGAAGGCTGTAGACGATCTTTCGCAGACGCTGTTGCTCAGACAGGGTGATATAGCGACTCTTGTTCCAGTGCTTCATTGTTGCTAGCACACGGGCGATTCCTAGCGCTACCCAACCATTGCCAGTCGACCAGATGCCCAAAGTCTGGCTTTGAGGGCCGACGATGTGGGTCCAAAGTCCTACGCCGCGCTCAGTCATGTTGCCGACAAGAATTTGATGTTGGCGCTCGATATCCAGTGCGACGTAGCGCAGCAACGTCAAGTTGTTTGTAGCAACCGCCTGATAGGCCAAGAAGGGGTGCGTCATGCTCAGCTGGTCGGCCCAAAGTTCAGCGATGGCTTCGCGCTGACTGATAGCACCGTTGTAGTAGCGCGGAACAACGTTCAGCAGATGGTTGGCTTGGCGAGTCGCAGCGGCCGAGTACTCCCGCACGGTCTGCCCGATCATAATGGCTCCCACACCCAAGCTGGCAGGATCTCCCGCAGCGCCATCGCCCTCGACCAGCGTGTCGTTGTCAAGTTGAATGTGCGGCCGAAGGTACGTGAGCGCCTGAATCTTGCTGGCGTCCACCTTGGGAATGCGTCCGTTTGGGAAAGCCTTTGGGCTGTAGACGCTAAGCTCTGGATTGTAGACCTCTAAGATGGCTTGCATGCACGTACCGAATTCCCAAGAGTGCGTGGAGCGATTCATCGCGAGGTCGAGGGTGGCTCTGTAGTCCCACCCAGGATTAATGTCAGAATCGTTGGTCGAGGGCCTCGTCCTTCCCGCTCGCAGTGCCAAGATAGCTTCGCTCTGGGTCGCAAAGGGAGCGGCCATCGAAGCTGTCGCTGCTGACAGCAGCAGCAGTGAAGTTGAGATTCGCCGAACCATGCTGGGCGATCGATCTGGTCAGACCGTTTGCAGGGACGGGTGTAGCGGTGGCCTTTAGGAGGGGAAGAGCAAGAAGAAAGCAAGGGACACCAATGCATCATGTGGATCTTATAGGATCGCCCTCGCATTCGCAGCCGTTGCGTCACAAGCGCAAAGCTCTTGGCGAGACATGCAGCTGATGACTCCCAAAAAGTCTAGAGCGCAGGACAACAGAGATCGGCCAGCATCTCCTGACGGATCAGCTGTTCAGGTCGGCTTCAGCTCATGTCAAACTGCTTGGAAGACAAATACGAGACACCACCAGACCATGACCCAGGCGCTCAATCGATCTGAGGTTCAAGTTCGGTGTGTACGGCGTGACGGCGTGACGGCGTCATTTCAGAACATTTCGTTACGCCTTTCATGGACGGCGGAGACTCATGCAGAGCTACCCACAATTACGCATGCGTCCATGACTTCGTGGGTCCACCAATGACCTGCGAACACAACGGCCATGCACCGCCGCATGTAACGGCGTTGCGGCCCGTGTGTGCAGGTGGCATTTTTAGAATGAGCTAGGAGCCCCGCTACTCAGGTCGAAAGGGCGAAGCCGCGAAATAGGGAGAGGCCGCCATTCCCAAAATTACTGAGCCCCTTCTTTGACTTGGCAAGTTCTCTCGCGGAGATGTCCCTGTCCGACAGCGAAATGACACTTGCTCGCTCGCCCCCTTCTGTATCTGGGAAGACGCCGCAATTTCTCCAGGTACAGAGCTACTGCAATCACAGTTACTACTTCTACTCTACTACTGCTTTGGGCAAGAGAATCATTTGCTCCCCGCGCGTCGGTCTTCCACCACGCCCAATCCGGACGTAACTAGCGAAGCAAACAAGGACAGGGTTGGACCGCCGCTCGTTCATGGATTTGCCGCATGCTTTGCATTCGCCCGGCGTCTCACTCTAGTAGAGCCAAGGACTTATTCAGAGTCCTCTCGCAGCACGCCGGTGATCACTCTGCGCGCGCGTTCCTGCTTGCATGCAACTGTCGACACGCCTCTCGCTTGCGGGTCTTGGCGAGTGCCCTTGTGCCTGCTGGAGCCAGCGAGCAATACCGCACTGGACCGCTACGCGTGGAGGGACCACCGGTCATACATTGTCACCACAGGGTCGGGCTTGCCAGAAGCGTCCCGTGGCAGTCAGAACTGGCAGATCGTTGCCGCAATAGCCTTCCGCTTGCCTTGCAGGGGCACACTGTACTCCTGGCGCGCAGAGCGCGCACATACTTTGCTTTCGAAGAGCCTTGGCCGTATATCAAGCGAGACTATCGATTGCGTCCAACAGATCTTTCATAGCAATAGCGAAAGCATGGAGGACGAAGCTCTCCAACCCGCAAAGACTAGAGCTTGGCGTTCATCGCGGGTGAGCCGGACCGCTCGACGCAACGGGTGCGAGGGACCGTGAGTCATCAAGTTGGACATCGCAGCAATCGATTCACATTGGTGATCGCAACTGCAATTAGGCACGGAACGCTAAGGCAAAGGTTGCGCAACGCCTTGTGCACTAGGCGACGAAGCGCATGCGCAAGAGTAAGTCAGCGCCTCGGAAATTGGTTCTACGTTGGAGCAGACGGAGAGACTCTTGCCTTGGCATTTGTCTTAGAAGCGTTCAGCCTTTCCAGCCATGCAGTGCTCAGACACCACTATGCCCACTGGACGCATGAGATGTGTCTCGCTAAGTGTTGCGCTCTGGGAGCCATCAGCGGCTCCGACAGCGCTTGGGTCTGCCCGCTGCGTCATGCTATGCAAGAGGCTCTGGCCGTACAGCTGTGATGACCAAATGCATCTTGCTGCGCGCTGTCGGATTAAAGTTGGCGTCACACGTGCACGTGCAGCTCTGCCGCGTGGTGATTACTCTCGATAATCATACCGGCGAGCAACGCGTGCGCAACGGATTTTGCTCCTGGTCGACTCTGGAACGCGCTCCCTGCACGCAGGTCTGATGAAGAATAGCGGGGATTAGCTGAGCAGCTTCGCCCACCAGGCACAACTCCAATCACACCACTTCACAGCAAAGAAGGCAGGTTCTGGTTCGGACATGTCCGTAGAGGATCTTCGAGTCCTCGATTCAGCAACGGGGGGCATCAGATCCGCAAGTCATTGTTCTTGGTGCCAGAGCAGCGTCTTTATCGCCAGGCACGCAGCTGTTTCGGCAACGCTTCTACAAAATAGCGAGTCTTGTCCCCCCGTCAAACATCGAATTGGTGCTCGTGTTCAATTTCGCAAGCGTGCTCGGCCGGTAGTCTCCAGCAAGCACTGATCATCAAAAGCGAAGCGTGCATGCGATATCCGGGAGCTTACTGGTACAGAGAGGGGCGCACTCATGCCATAACTATATCATGAGGGTGCCTTGGGACAATGCGAGGGAAGACGCTGCCTATTGTGGCCGAGGGTGCAACTTTGTCGACATCATTCGTCGATAGGCAGTTCTTCGCTATCGTCGTTGGTCGAAGCTGCTTGGAGGTACTAGAGACATTGTTCATACTGCTTGAACTTCTGCGCCAAGTCGAGTAGTGGTGCGAGCCGGCAGAGATGTCCAATCTATCTGTCGCTCATAGTCTTGACGTTGCGATCTACTTGGAACTCGGCTCCACTTGCTCCTCCAGCACTCGCGACGTCTGCCTCTCCTGTTGCGCGTCAAGCCCTTCGACAGAGGTGTTCGCTGAGCTTGTTGCAGATCCGGAAAAAGTCAATTGTCGGTCGCTGCTAGAGGAAGCTAAAGAAAGGGCAGTCTCAGCGCTGTTCGAGGTGCTAGCTGTTGCTATAGATGGCGTATCAGAAGCAGAGCTGTTGACTGAGGTCGTTGCGAGCTCGATGTTTTCTCCACCGCGTCGGTGCATTCTCGTCCTTGCCCAGATGCGCGCAAAGGCCGTGGTTGCGCTTTCGACATGGCGTCCTTCACCGGGACTCTTGCGTCTTCTAAGCGCCACGGTAGCGATTGTCCCGCACAGCGCTAGGAAACTCATCGTCCCAAGCACGATTCCAACGACTCCGCCAGCGCCGATGTGCCCGGCAGCAAGTGGATGATTCTGGCGCTCTGCCAATCCACAAGCATTAGCATTGACGCCAGACTTGTCGTTCAAGCCGAGTTGTGCCAGGTCGAGGGCGCCATCGCAGCTACACAGGGCTCGAGTAGGAATCTTGAAGGTGAAGTCGAACGCGCGATTGTCGCAACGATACTCCAAACCTGCAAAACGAGAGGAAGACGCTATGAACATTGCAGCGTTCATCATGCCGACAGTGAGCATGGCAGATCTCACCTATGCCGTCGAAGATCGTCTGCCCGCCTGAAGGAAGTTGCCGCGAGCCGGCCGCAGACAAGCACGCCCCTTGAGCAGCATCTCCAGTGAAGTTGCCTGGAAGTAGATCGTGCAACCAGTCAATGATGAGTGTGGTCATTTCTAACGCGTCAGGCTCTCAACGAGCACTCACCCTTGCCGGGACTGGGCAGCATGACAAGATTGCAAGAAGTAGAGAATGCCGCCGACATGGGCGAGTCACACCTGCCGGGGCAAGAAGTGGAGTTCGAGAGGTGCGCTCCGCATGCACATAGATACGGCTCTCCTTGCACCTCGTTTTCGTGGTACCGATTGTCGCATGTGTACTCTTGCGCGCCCGGAGGGGTACAGTCGGCCGGTCGTTGCGGATCCCCGAAGGGATCTGTTGGCGTACCTCGCAAAGACCAGTCGCATATCGGGCTAGCTGCTCCCGACTTGTCAAGTGTGCCGTCCAACTCTGTCTCGCCGCGATCGCAGTTTTGCTGGATGAAAAGACAATCGGACCGTAGAGCCAGCATACAAAGGCCTTCGTCGTACCTCTCTTCACGAAGCTCGATGAGAGGTGCGCGGGGCGCAGGGTAGGGACGTGCTCGATTCGGCATTTCTCATTAGATGGGCAGAAAGGAAGACTGATTGGTGATATCCAATGGAGTTGCACGGCGTGAAATGATGTCCGGGTGAATGTGAGGCTATGAGGAGCGACGAGGAGCCATCAAGAGGCGGTCTTGAAGGCAGATCCTCGCCTGAGCGAGCAAGGACCAGTCCGTCTATCAAGTGCGTGGGTAATCTCACTGCACATGCGAGTGCGCTGTCGAGCGAGGCCCGCAGGTCAAATTACGAACGAGCGCATGCGCGCAGTGTCGACATGCTTTCATGAAGAGCCCTTGATTGAGACACACTCGTGTCAGAAGCTCATCTTGGCCGCTGCACCGGTATGCTGATCCTCTTGTCCATCTATCAGGTCTTGTGGAAGGAATAATCCTTGGATCAAGACGCGGGTGCGTGGCGGAGTTTGGGGTCGTTTGCAGTGAGTTGGTGCGCACAAATACACTGGTGATACCCTGGCACAGCGGCGTTTGAGACTTTGAATTGTTAGTCTGATCTCGCTCGCGCAATTGAACGCTTGGCGCGTGCTGCACAGCCAAATGGGCCCAAACGCCCGCTGGCCTCAGAGTCTGTGAACGAGCTCAACAGCTCGGAGACCTTACCAAGTGGCCTCTACAAGGGAGACCGGTTGGCACTCTCTCTGCGCAGCCTGGGATGAGAGTGCGGCGAACCAGGTCGAAGGTCCATTGACAGCACGAGCGTGAGCAGGCGCTGCTAGGCACGCATCCATCATTCAGAATTGACCATTCACGATTCACGATTGCCTGCAGAGGTGGACCTCGCTTGGTGGCGCGCCCGCTGTAGGATCATGCGGCTCGTTCTCACTCCGACGCAAGAGGGACCGGTCCTATCGGCCTGCCGCGCTAAAATCTGCACGGCGAAGCCAGCCAGAACATTCTTGTAGAGGCAGGTCCAGTGCCCCCCTCGATACAGAAGGCATGTCCCACCTAGGTTCATGATAATGCACCTCAATCGGGCACTGTTCCAAAGCGAACCACCTTGTGGAGGCTCGCGGGCAGAACGTACGGGCTTCATGCGATGGCGCCTGATGGATTAGGTACTGACTGACCTTGCGTTGCTTTGTGTTGGCAGCTGTGGCCGAAGTACATCCAGGGCCACGGACGTGACATTGATGCAGTCGACCTCCAGAACTCACTGGTAGGCAGAATGGCGTCCAAGACTTCGGAGCCTTGACAGCGCTTGGAAGTGCCCATAAAGCCACGCCTGAATAAACGTCCTACGAGACCCATTTTCAACGCAAGCACCCAGTTGAGCCTCAGCGCTGCGGCTCCCATGGTGTGGGTGATGGACACCTTCTGAGGCTCTCAATTCGCACGTCGATCCTCTACTATCCGAAGACGTCGCAGCGGACTTCACATCAACATGGACCCATCCCGTTCCAATACTTCGCCGCAATGGCCGCCTGTGTGGCGCGCACATGCGCCCGAGGCTAGGTGGAACCATGACTGGGAGCATGAGGATCTGCTGCCGACCTACATGACGACGCAAATGTACGGTCCCACTCAGCTGGCTCCACACACGCAAGGTCGGCAGAGATCCCACACCGCTCACACAGGCGCAGTCGTCTCTGGCCCGACACCCACCGCAAAGCGCCCAAGGCAAATCGAAGACTCTGACTTGGCACAATTTCGCTCGGGGCCAATACCGATCGATAGTCGTGCAAGATCTCAGACCATCGCCGCAGCTCATTCGACCCAATCAGGGTCTACAATCTCTCAAATGAGCGGCTTGCAAGGTCAAAATCACGCACATGAGCGACGGAATGCTGCAGTAGAATTGCTGCGTGAGTCGCTGAGGATTACCTCAGTCAAGGCGCAGCATTTCATGTGCGTATGTCTTCTTCACAGCTGGGCCAGGAATTCATGCTGCCGAAAGCGCCACCTTTCCAACGGAAGAGCACCTGGATGCTATACAGCAGACACCGTACAGTCTCGATACTCGGGTAATTTCAGAGGTGCTAGCTCACGAGCCGCCCCTTCCTGCCGGCTTTGCTGGTGCGCCCACGCCCAACGTCAATTTCGAGCGCCATGGCTTTCTCATGAGCGCACTGTGCTCACGCACCTACTCTGGAAGTGAGTGCAGTCCGTGTCAGCTTCCGCATCTGCTGACATGCCTGTTCCCAGAAACCTTGCGCCATGCCTCCAAAGAGAACTTTACCGGCCTCAAAGCGTACGTGTGCTTGCCTCCGCATGACAGACAAGACAAATTCAGAGTGGTTCCTTCCGAGGGCTCAACTGTCAAGCAAGGATCTAAGGGCCAATTTCATCTCGCCATCGAGGCGTTTCCAAATGTTCGTCGTGCGTGCTGACATCCTCATGTCATGTTGCAAAGGACCAGCCATGAAACCTTGATTACAATGACCTTGCCATACTTCTTTCACAGATCCTGACGTGCTCGAGGGCGGATATGCGCTTTTGTTCGTCCAGCGCAAGGACGAGAATGACCACTGGCTCTTTGATTCAATGGTGGAGTATGCGGATGACCCAAAATCGGCAATAAAAGAAGCAGTCATCGGACACCTTCAAAATCCACAGTCGGACGGCGGACGTGGGAGGTTTTTGTGGCGCGACAAGATCAAAGACGCTTCTGGATCACCGGGACGACCACTCGCGTTCCTGATAGCTCGATCAGCTCTGAAAAAGGAGAAGGACATACGGCTTTGCAATTTGTGAGTCATGGGAGCTGCCTCTGTCTATGTTCGTCTTTTAGTTCTTACTTTTCTATACTCAAATCTCTCCTACAAATGCACGGAAAGGCGGCTTCGCGTGAGCTTCCACAATCGCGACGGCTCCATTCTGCGTGACGAGGATGGCCGTGCTAGCATCTGTGACACCAACGAGTTCACTTGGCTCAGCACGAAAACTGTCACGAATAGGGAAGCGTCAGGAAGCGCTGGAAACAAAAAAGGGAAGCGCTTGAGCGGTGCCGAAATTCAAAATGACCGAGAACACTCTGGCACTGGGGTTGGGGAAGACCGCTCCGAACCTCACGGCCAGCGGCAAGACCAGCAGCAACCAAAAATTTCGATCGAAGCGTTAGCAGAACTCGCCAAAAGTGTGAGATGCTCAGTGACACGGCGGAGAGAACAGCAATAAGTGACTGACCATTGGCTAGTCGTTTTCGTCGCTGTTGTCACCTAGCTAAGCATCGGCGACCTCAGTCGGCTGTCACACGCATTCGACGCACAGCTCCGGACCAGAGACGAACAGTGAGCTGGGAACGACGTACAGAACCGAATCTGCAATTTCTAAAATTTTCTCTCTATCGCAGCTTGAGCGACCGCATAGGTCTGCGACCTTCAAGATACGATGGCCGGGAGCCGCCTCATCTCGTTCGGCTCAACTCTTTCCAAGGCCTTCCAGGGCACGAAGAGCGTGTTGCCGGGGTAGCCCATCGTCTAGGCCAGCTTCACGGGAGGCGCGACGCCGAGTATGTCGGAAGCCAAGCTTTGAACACCGGGAACGTGGAGGGAGGCCTCGCCCGGTATGAACAAATTTTGCCAAATTACGCAGCAACGACTGCCCAAATGCGAGTGGAGTTCGTCGGCCTGCATCTGGAGGCGCTCCACGCGCGTTTGGTAGGCATGGCTGGTTTCATGCGAGCGTCCCGATTCACATGTGCCTGGCTAAGAGCAGTCGGCAACATCTACCCCGACTTTATTGGTGTCGACAGCCGTCCAGATCATCAGCACGTCGTTTACTTTTTGGGCGAGGCCAGCCACCCGGAGATTGACATTGGCACATACGCCCAGCTGTACCCGCTGGCTCGGCACGCCTTCACCTCGCGAGTGCCTTTCGAAGACTTAGAGAGAGTCATTTGCAAACCATATTTGATGGGATTGCAGGAGAAGAGCGTGCATGACATCTGGACAGACTCGCCTCGAAGCGGTGATGGGTCTGATTGGATGCCGGATCTCGGCCAACATCCAATCCCGGAAAATGGCAGTGGGTACCACGGCCCGTGGGACTCGGCGTTTGCGAGCACGACTTGGCCCACCACTCCTGCACCGCCTGCACCGCAATCGGAAAACACAACGCAAGCCATTTGGCATAATGTGCCAGACTCACGTAGCCAGAATGCTTCTGGCAACGTGACTGGAGCCACTACACCCTCTTCGCAAACGGCATCATCATCGGGCTTGGAGTTCTCGCATCTCGGGCCCGAAAATCGCGAGCGATTCGACCTGCTTATGCACTGCATCCACCTCGACTACTTTTTGTTCAATCTCGTTCTCAAGCGTTGGGATAGTGTCCGGCGGCTAGAAGTGAGGCTACTTCAAGAAGATGCTATCTTGTGCGCTCGCTACCCTGAGGCCTTTCAACCACTACCTCTTTACGATCTCTCCCTGTCTCCCTTGGATACTCTCCTGCAACGAAGTTGAGATGATTGCTGTTTCTGCATTCCTGCGAGACAAGCCGAACGAATGAAATGGCGTTGCGTTCCCGTGGAAGGTCGCGATCGTACACGAGAGAGCACTTCCTCCCACGTTCTGAGATCAATTGCATTCTGTTGGATACAGCATCATGCCGATCCATCGAGTGAGCATGCAGTATGCTGTGCACTCTGCGGTGCTTGGCCTGATGTCCTGAGCACGCCTCGTTCCAAAATGTGCCCAAAGTTTGTCTGGGTGCAAATCGCAGAGGGAAACTGGCCACAGAGAGCCTCGCTTTCGACAGTCTCTGTTGCGGTCGGTCGATGTAATTTGATGCCGTGATGACCACTTTTCTTGCACTGTGGCCCTGCTCATGAGTGGGAAGGGTCTATGGTTGCTTTTATTTATATTTTATTTAGAGCGTGTGGAGGATCGAATTCGCCATTGACTAAGTCGCTGGCGAGGCGGGTGATGAGCGCAAGCTTGCGACTAACATTGTAGGCAGCATCCATGTCGATGGACATCGCATGACTCAGCAGCGACCGCTTGTATGGTCACGTGACGTGGGCAGGAAACAGCTCTCCAAGTCATACAATATACCAGCCGCCTTTCTTGAGCAGTTTTACGACCTCGCTGCTCGCTACCTCAAGGCCGGCATATGGACTCAGTCCAGCAGCGTTACGGCGGCCACGAGCATCATGGCCACGAGCATCATGGCCAGACCAAAGCCGGACAGGCCCGATAAAGCACGGTTTGTGTCCAATCTCTGCGGTCGAGACTCTGTCACTGTCAAGGATCTATATCCTCCACCTAACGTTAAGCTCATCTGCAAGGAGGTGGCGCAACAAATCGGTCGTGGTCAGGTGGGCACAGAGTTTGACTCCCCTGATGCCTTTCATCAGACTTGCATACGAGCAGATCACGTACAGCACATGTCCACCATGACCCCCATTGGTGTCATCAATTGGCACATCATGCAACAAGGCGATAGAAATGCGGCAGCTACCCAGCAGCGCAACATGGACCGCGTAGCTGGAATGGAGGGTAGGCCCAAGGGTGTATTCATGTACGTTGATAACAGTTGGTGTATTACGGAAGCAAAGGATCACGTAGCCACGCTGCGGTGGGTATTTGAGAGGTTGCAAGCACACCGTTACTACATCTCGCATAGCAAAGCCGTGTGGGCCGCTCGTAAACTCACAGTTCTCGGCTATCAAGCTGACCGCAATGGCGTCCACATTGATCCCCGCAAAGCGTACGACATTCAAGCACATCCGGTACCTGGGACGCTCAAACAGCTTCAATCCTTTGTGGGCATGGTCAACTACGTAGCCTCCCATCTCCCTGATATTGCCACCGTGCTGGCGCCTGTCACGGCCATTCTCAACCGCACAGACGGGCGTTTTGATATGACACCCCTCTGCATGGAAAGTTTTTGCCAGACAAAAGCCTTGCTCAATCACTGCGTTGCGTTGGCACCCATCGACTCGCAGCTCAATGTGCCAATCTGGGTTGTCACCGACGCATCTATCAATGGAGTTGGCGGGTGTTTTGGGTGGTCAACTCATGATCAAGAGCTACTTGCAGTCATCACACTTCTTGATGCAAACCGAGATCAGTTGCTGGGGTTGCCAATCACCATTGTCACCGACAATAAGGCTTTGTCTGACATCGTTACGAAGTCTAAGGAACTAAAGGGCCGTTCATATTGTTGGAACGAGTTCCTTATGAATTTCTACGTCGTATCTTGGGTGCATGTCGATCGTGCTGACAATCAAGTCGCGGACTACTTCAGTAAATTGCTAATGGAATACCTGGACGCATTTAGTAGCCCGGACAACGTCCTGGTCGACCCGTGCGCCGAGAAGGAGGAAGACCCCTTCAAAGTTCACGTCGCGGAAGTTCCTGCGGTTTTCCCCGACTGGTCAGAGGCGTACGCGGCCAACCCAGTTCTCGGACCAGTGTATCAAAATCCGGATAGGTACCCAAATTTGTGCGCATGGCACGGTGATCATCTTTGGGTTCTCGCAAAAGACTCGGCAGAGCAAATCGCAGTGCCCGCGGACCAGATCCCTTCGATCCTCCAGCAAACGCATGACGCAGTTGGTCACCAAGGTGCTCGTTATACCATTGCGTTCATGCGCAACGTCTATTGGTGGCCGCACATGGTCCGTGATACGGTGTCCTTTTGCGATCGATGCACCACGTGCTCCTCTACCAAGGCGTCCACACAATCAACACAGGGGTATCTTTGCAGCCTCACCGTGGCCACCGGGGTGTGGCGTCACATCGCGATCGATTTTGTTGGGCCTCTTCCAACCATTGCGGGAGGTTTTGACTTCGTCATGGTTGTAGTGGATCGCGCGTCTACGATGGTTTGTTTGCTCGCGTGCCGCCAAGCCATCACGGGCCGCGGTGCCGCCAACTTGCTCCTCAGACACATGTACCCTCTGTTTGGATGGCCAAAATCGATTGTTTCCGACCGCAATCCTTGCTTTGTCTCTGACATGCGGCAACGCGCCATGTCCCATCTATCAACAGACTTGAAAATGTCCTTGGCTTGGCACCCAGAGACTGATGCGCAAGCCAAAAGAGCCATCAAAACCGCGATTCAAATTGTGCGTTCCACCTTGGCCAAAAGGCGCCAAGAGCGGTCCGGGTGGTACAACGCCTTGCCACACGTTGAGTTTGCAATGAACGCGTCCGCCTCCCGCTCCACGGGCATGTCGCCTTTCGAGTACCTCTATGGCTTTAATCCTGCGCCGTTGCCGACCCCTTCCGGCACTAGTGCTTGTCCTCAGGATTTTGCGGACAGGATTGCAGACTTGCGCGGTTGGGCTACGGACCAGGTTCTACATGCTCGCATTTCTCAGTCAACAGCGACCAACAAGAAGCGTTGCGCCGCTCCAACTTTTGCGGAGGGGGACTGGGTACTCCTTCGCAACCACAACGCTCATAAATTGGACCCTGTCTTTCTTGGACTGTATCGCGTTCTGCACGCTTCACCTCCAAATTATACTTTGGACGGTGTTTTTGGTTATCCCGTTTTCAATGTGGACCTTTTGAAGCGCGCACCCATGCCGCAAGAGCCCAAGCCTGACATTGTTGCTACGCACGTTCCGGCGTTGCCCCGTCTCCTTCGTACCCGTCGTGCTCCTGTCCGTTACTCCCCTTCATAATGCCACGTTCTATTCTCTCCGTTCTTCGCCACATTGTTCTGTTGGATAGGGGGGGTTAGTGTATGGTCACATGATACGCACGCACGCGCCCCTATATGTTCCTATAGCAAACATCCACTTAGCACTTGAAACGCCAGCTTCTTACCACCACCTCCGTTTGACTTACACCGCTCATGATAAACACCGCTCATGATAAGAAATGAAGGTGCTGCCGGCGGTTGACACTGACGAAGGGAGTCCGCAGCTTGTTTATGGCGCTCGACCCAAAACATTCTTTGTTTATAGCAATCGTTCATGAATTACAAAGCTTCACAAACGGTGTGTAGTCCGACCGCTTGGTGAGCTGATCGACCGTGCGTTTGCAAGCGTGACTACGGAACATGAAATACTTGATGTGTCCGAATCGCTGTGCCAATCTATTTAAAAGGAAACTCCCAGCTTCGCTTTGTTCCGGCAACCAAAGAGGGCCAGGAAATGAAACCCCAGTGCACAGTGACAGGGAGCCGCACGAAGCCTTCGGGGACAAGTGCGCACCGCAACACTGCTGCTCTATCATGGCGCAGGCCGAACACTGAGATCCAGTCCAGGCAACAAGGCAAAGCAATTGTTTTCTTTTTAGGACAAGACATCAATTGCTGTGATATACACAAGCTCGGACTTGCCGAGTGACTATATACAGCAGAGCTGGCAACAGTTTGCAAGGGGGGAAGAAAGTTCGAGTGCTTTTCATGGCTGGTGTCAAGTACGCAAAGTAAGACATTTCTCCTTCTTCAGGGGGTGAATCTTGACGTGGGCGAGAGTGACATGTGGCGAAAAGAATTGCACGAAAGGCTCGATCCTAGTCGAGAGAGATGACAGCAGGCACGTGCTGTCAAAATATAGTGTGATCGGGAAAACACGCTACTAAAGAGCATGTTCGAGATTACACGCTGAAAGATAAGAATAGGCTCGAATGAAAACGCCGTTTTTTTTTTTTTTTAGGACGAGACATAGATTGCTGTGATATACACGAGCTCGGACTTGCCGAGTGACTATATACAGCAGAGCTGGCAACAATTTGCCGGGGGGGAAGAAAGTTCGAGTGCTTTTCATGGCTGGTGTCGAGTACGCAAAGTAAGACATTTCTCCTTCTTCAGGGGGTGAATCTTGACGTGGGCGAGAGTGACATGTGGCGAAAAGAATTGCACAAAAGGCTCGATCCTAGTCGAGAGAGATGACAGCAGGCACGTGCTGTCGAAATATAGCGTGATCGGGAAAACATGCTACAAAAGA